CTAGAAAAGAGAAAAAAATAAAAACTTATATAGAAATTCTAGATAGAGATAGGAAGATAAGTAGCTAGTATATTATTAGTAGGTAAAAAGTAGAGGGCTAACTATAGGACTTACTAAGGAAAGAGGAGTCTTAAGGAATAAGAGATATAAAAAAAGAAAAAGGTAGATAGAGTAGAGAGAGGTTAATATACTCCTTACCTAGAGACTAATCGCTAAGACCTTAAAGGAAATTAGTAGCGAGGATTAAATAATTAAAAAGTTTAACCTTATAGGTATAGCTTACTATAGGTACTATACTAGAATACGAGAAGTATACGAAGTTTCGCTAGAATTAGGTAAACTAAAGTAAATACGAAATAATTCCTAAGAGTAGAATAAGTTAGGATTAGAAGCGACCCTAAGATTAGGGAAACGTATTACGTTTTCTTTAATATTAATATAGAACGTATATAGCGCTATACTAGGACGCTACTTTTTACCTACTACTCCTATACTCGAGGACGAGTATACTTCGGAGGAGGAGAGTAATTATTACGAAATAGGACTACGGTAGACTCTAGAAGTATCTATCCTATACTAAGACTAGTTCTAAAATACTAAGGGGCACGGTATATAAGACCTTAGGGGCTATACGGATCGTATGCGAGGTTTTTAGACTCCTTAAGTTCTTATAGTCGATGTTCTAAGGACTATATAGTAATTAATCGATTATCTTAGTGTTTTCGTTAAGTTACTTATACTCTTATATATTTATATTAGCGTTTGTAATTAGCTCCTAGCTATTCTCCTTCGCTTTATTAAAGACTTCCGCCGCGGTTTTCTTTCTCTTTAGCATTAGGAAATAGCGAATAGAGTAGGAAGCGCTGGAGAAAAGATAAGTACCGAGAGAAAAGAAAAAGAAGAGGACTAGAGAGGGAGGGTTAAAGTACGATGAAACGTAAGGAATGTACGTTTAGATAGTTAGAAGACTAAATAGAAGAATTAATTCATACGAGAAGTAGAGAGAGGGTAGAGGAAAATGTGAGGATAGAGAGAGGGAGAGAAAGAGAGAATAGTAAAAGGAAAAGAAAAAGAGAAGTATTATCCTATAGAACTAGAGGATTTAGTTTACCTCGTTTAGCTACGTATAATAGTAGAGTATTCTCTTAGGAATCTCACCTTTCATTAGGGCCGAAACGAGCCCTTATAGATATAGTCGGATAAAGTTATCACGAGGCTAGATATACGTAACGTTAGCGCTTATAAGACTAGAGCCCGAACGGAAGCCTTACCGGCACGTAAGGGAGTACGATAGGAGCGGGCTAGAGCCGTGAGGGAGTAGAAGGGAGTGGAAGGGGAGGAGGAAAGAGAGGAAGGGAGTAGAAGAGAGTAGACGAGGGAGCGAATGGACTAAATAGTCGTTAGCGGGAGAGCAAAGCGGTAGGGGATGAGTCAGCTAAATAGGAGCGAAGGACGATAGTTCGGGGATGATATATATATAAATATATATTACTTCCGACCTGTTCCAACGTCATGGCCCCCTGTCACCCGCCACCCCCCTTCCCCCAAACAAAAGGTAAAGGCCAAACCCTCGGGGTTCCGCGCCTAGCTTTCCAACAAATTGTGAACAAGTGCCTTCTCACATCACATACAAGAAGTTTCGATTCTCAAAGTCAGTCAGATCCTTGTTGCTCTCATTGTTCACATTTCGCGCTAGTACGGTGAACCCGGGTGCAGCCTTGCGTCTCCAATTCTGCCACATGTAGTATACTCTCAGCCCGATCAATAAAGCAACACCTGCTGAGAATGAGGAGACGGCTGAGGCCAGTCCGGTCTGTGGAAGATATTTCGTCAGCAAATGGCGAACGCATAGATGATAGGCGAGAACAACGCAGCCTAGTCTGGTGACTTACCCTGTATCTCGGTGCTTCGGATGCAATATAGAACTGGGGGCCTGCAATATTTCCAACACAATAGCCAATGAACTGTGGTTCGCTCAACTCATATCAGCGCCAATTAACCTAAGCAGGGATTGGGAAGGAAAGTAGACCAGGCCTCAGCGTCCTCAAGTGGGCTATCACTTGGTAAAGTTCATGAAAGACTCAAGAGTTCTGATGAAAGCGCTCTCGATTCTCCCTGAGACTATGCACTTGTATAATTTCGCTGAGAACCGCTGGGCCTGTTTAAGGGGAGGGGTCGTCTGCTGAAAGCCAGTATCGTCGCTCAAGACATGTCTCAGGCGTCAACGCAACTTCCGGCGAGCCACCGATATGACTGTAGAGAAAACGTACCATCATTCCTAAAGCTGTTGATCGTTTCGTATGTCCGGTGACGTTCGAGGTAATGATTGAAAGGGCCGTCGGTAAGCACGCAACATAGCCAGTCGTGAGACAGTAGCCACAATATCGGGCAACAGAACGAACTGGATCAATCGCATATACCATAGTCATGCCAGTCAAGCTAAAAGACTTTTACTACCGAGATTAAATATTACTGATTCTTACTGCTTACCTGCATGAAACAAGGAAGATCATCACATAAAGACGAGCATTTTGGAAGTAGTGTGTGGCTAAGATTCTGCCAGCTCAGTCAATGCACGAACCTTGCAATGGTGACGTTCTGCTTGCTTACCCCGTCACGATGAATATCATTTGAAAGCCAGCGATAGGTGCTTGCAATAGCAGGGTTGTTCGCTTGTCGAAGCCTAGGCCTGAGACGACAAGCACACCAAACTGTGAATTTAGTGGGCCTGTTCAACATACGCATGACAAGGGATCATAATCACCTACAGCAGCAATGCCACCATTGGCGAGATGCACAGTGAAAGTGTACAAAGCCATGAACCAAACTTGGGGATCCATAAGAGCCTCGAAGACTTGCCCCTTCTTGTACACTGACGACCTCTTTGTCGATTCATACTCTAGACGACGGGTTGCAATTTCCCGCTCTCTTAGAGTGAAAAAGCGTGCTGTTGAGGGATGATCAGGGAGCATGAGTAGCATGACAACCCCCCATACAATAGTCGCTGCTCCATAAATCAGAAAGAGGTACTGTCGACCGTGAGTCAGCCTCTAGAGTTGGACGTGTCGCAAGGCCATTGACTTACCTGCCATGTGTCCAGTGCGCCTTCCAGGAAAGTGACTGCCCAGGTAATGATTGCACCGCAGGCACCTCCGACAGCTTGTCCGAGAAACCATAGGTTCTGGCGTGATGGCTGCTCACTTCGTTTGTAAAAAAGGCCTATCAAAATAGCGAAAGCAGGTGTGCAAGAAGCTTCGGCGACTCCAAGGAACGCTCTGACGGCCATCAGGCCGCCCCAGTTGTAGCAAGCAGCATGAAGCATGATAACACCGGCCCAAACGATACTATAAATTGGCGTTAGTAAGAGCAGTCAAGTCTATCCCTCACGTTGTCGAAGAACTTACACTGTTGAAGAGACATATTTACCAATTGGATACTTGACCATGAGCACCGAAGTGGGATAGCTAAAGACAAGGAAGCCAAAGTAGAAAATGGAGGAAGACCATGAATACTGGCTTCCTACGAGTTTCTGCAAACACATGAGCCAGTTTCCCGGTACCGTGACAGCTAGGGGCTTGCGCAACTCACCAGGTCTTGAATGATACCCAGGATCGAAGCACCGGATAACGACGTCTTGTCCAGAAGTTGAAGCATATAACAAATTGCCAGAAGAGGCAAAATCCTAGTGAGCATGCAGATTAGCTTTTGAATTGACACAACGGCAATTTGGTTGAACAGTACCTAACGTCAATTTTCCTTTTAACGCGTTGCTCTTCTTCCTCGGTCCAGCTATCGACATCCTCACCCCTCGAAAGTGAGTTGGTGTCAACTGGATTGATTTTTACTTCTTGCGCATCTTGAGGCAGTTCATCTAGTTCACTCTTGTGCGGGGATTCCATGTTGCCACTCGTGGCTTCCACACGGATTATGTTTGAAAGAGTGATTTCGAAATTCAGGCAAGATGGTGGTAAAAGATCAATATCTCGAGGTGGTGAAGGCCGTCGCGATTGAGTGATTGGAATAAATGCCAGTTCATTCTGCTTTGACAACCCATATATAAGTTGAGATCGAGATCTCAAAGAGTCGACCAACCAGCCTAGAGATAAGGCATCATAGACGTTTCAGACGATATGGTTGCTCTTACAGGCATGAAGGGCTGGCTGAGCTATCTAGCCACAGTGCCAAGGCTAGTGAAGATATCTTGTTGACGAGTACATGACCTCTGGCGAAGTCTAAGCCGCGGGGTATTCGTCAACAATCTTTCGAAACTGACGCTCTTCCTGAGTATTGATAAGTTTTTTGATGAAATTGCATGAAGTGCTGTTGGCGGCGCTCACCTCGTTCTCTCCATTTTGAACCTCCGACCCTCCGACCTTCCGTGCGTCCGCTGTCAGGGGAGGCTGCCTCACGCGAGACATATAAACCTGATATGATTCGCCTGTATCGTCGCTAAGATGTAGGCTAAGTTGAGGCCTCCTGATTCCATGAGCACCAGCCTTTTCGTGTATCGAACGGAATTCCGTTTCTTGACCGCCAGGCGACAGCGTCCTGAAATGGGAGATTGTCACATGATGACGCCAAGAAGATCTACACCTGCCACCCACTCATTCATTTACCACCCCTCACTTAACCCTCACTGATCTTTTTTCCTTTGAGGGAGACAACATAGAAGATGACATAGTTATAATCCACTTGTTACTCATTGAGAGTGGCCTTTCACTGTCTTTGCTCGCCGTCCTATTACAGAGATGGCCATCTTTCAATAGTTAGCAAGCTGCTACTAATTATGACGACCGTCGTTTACGTCGTAGAAGGATGAGAAGCGGTGACAGATCTTGTTGCGTGTATGACCTTCAGAGTAGCCCCATGAAATATTTTCTGCCGATTCACCACGGGACCGAGATGGTACGATCTGCTCATTCTATGAGATCATGATCTTGGTGACAGATTTGGACCTGCGCATACTCCTGTTACCGTGTATGCTACCACAATGACCGGGAACATCTCTTCACGCGTACATATGTCTAACCTTTAACCATTTTCATGTAACCAGACTCCGCAAAACTCCAGAAAAATTGATGATGGTTCCAACTATCTCTTTGTGCAGAAGAAACGATGGTTATTGTACACAATACAGTAAGGGATAAAATTTGTGGACTCTCTCATGCAAATCTTTCGTTCAAACAATGAAGATTGACGTTTTCAAATCAGCTCCAGTCGCCAACACTAAGCAATGACTCTCCCGCTTCTCGCTTGTTTAGCACATCTGCAATCGTCCATGGCTTGCAAGTATACCCTGGCGGGATGTTTGTGTTCTGAAAGGGTGTCCCAGTAGTCAGATGCATCAACGCCTTCCCATAATTTTCGTATGCATACATCTCTGCATCGTGACTCCAAATCCATCGTCCATACCTTCGGGTTTTCTTCAGATGGTCCTTGTCTCCATTAACCACTTTCCAGTCCAGAGTGTGCCTGTTAGTCTGTGCGACACAGCCCATAAGCTGAGCACAGTTCACTCGTTCGCATCTATTCGAGCGAGGAATAAGCCAGTAGTCCATAGTATCCAACAGTACAGTCCAGGCACTTACCGTAGTAAATTATGGACTTTGACAGCGATCGGGATGTTGTTCCTTCCCGCGATATGGAGACAAGCTGCCAATGAAATCGCATCCTCAATTCCCTGAGTGGCACCGTTGCCGGAACTGGGCAAGAAAGTGTGAGCAGCATCTCCTATCTGGACTACGCGACCACCAGGAGAGACCCATTGTGGTTGCGGGTCTCGCCAAACAAGTTTGAAGTCGGTAATTGCACCTTCTGGCGTTGCTTTTATCAACCTGGTCCTTTCTTCTGGCCAGTCAGGTATGGTGGCAGTGAACTTCAACACATCTTCTTTGTTCACCACGGTACTCCATGACTCTTCAGCTGTTCCAGTGTTCTGCACAGGTAAGGTACTGTCAGTATATCTTCGGAACGAGCGCATGAAACTTTCTGTCCAAGTGAAACTTACACGGTGAGTGATGCTCCATATCATCCTTTCGTCTGTTCGCCAAACAAACCCGTGCATGTCTGGTCTGTCGAGATCAGCGATAGCCTGAAGACAATAATCCAAAAGATACAAACCCTGTCCACGTTTCCAGAACTCTTTTGCCATCCTCCCACTCTGGGAATCGTTTGATCAGTGTCTCATCGGATTCCACGTACTTGAGTGGAAAAGCTGTGCGGTAGAGTGAGTAACCACTGCTCTTGGCAGGAGTTGGTGTCTCAGTCACGATCTTGTATGATTTAGTGCCCACGCCATCGGCAGCTATAACGAGGTTGCTTTCGATTCTCTCATTATCACTCAAGAGCACACCGCCCTTCCCAGCATCAATGTCTTCAAAGTATTCCACAACATGTTTGTCCCACTCAATCTTCACTCCAATATTCTCGAGATGATCTAGCAGCATTTTCTGGAACCTGGGCCGGAGATGTCTATGCATTCGGCTAGGGACATCGGAATGCTTTGACTCGCCGAAGACAGATATTGGCGGTGTCATTTTCTCTCCAGTGTGCTTATGGTAGACGAGCCAAGGATCATAGGAGACCTTGTCATTTGTTTCGAGCATTCCAGGATATGACTTGAAGGCACGGATAGCACTTGGACCGATTGAATACGCATCGCCTGCTGCCGTATTAGTGTCGTATTCTGAGGTCATAGTCGCAGCCACACACCCAACTGAGAAGGTTCAGGTTCTTTCTCAATGATGCGCACCTCATGTCCTTTTCGCCAGCATTCAAGTGCGGCGAAAACTCCAGATGTTCCAGCACCCACAATAAGGACAGAGATTCCCGATGGCGGGAATCGCTTGACAGAAGATTCAGTATCCTTGGGTTGCACAGCATCGAGCTCCGAGTAGCGACTTGATAACACGTTGAGAATCGACATTGGAGCGAGGGACAAGTGGTTTCGTGTCAGAAAAATACTGTTGAAAGAGGTTGCCAAAGAACACTGGCATTCGTTCCTGGGTCAAATACTTTTCGTATGTCGGCCACTTATATCCAGTTGAAGGTTGTGAGAGTAGCTTTCACGAAGCAGATGTTCAAGTCCATTTAGAAAGTCATGTCTCGATAGCTCCAACATCAAACTCCAGTTGAGGTTTAGTTTCGTAGTCGTATGGCCACACTCGGCGCTATCATCGAGCACCAGGTGTGGCCAACATTGCACAATCCATATGCGAACCTACCTACCTAGCTTCGCCTAATGGCGTGGGTGTCCGAATATCCGTACATGGCGCAAGACAAAGAAGCCGGAGGGTCGGACGGTGGACGATCAGGCCATCCTGTTTTTTGGGAGAAGCAACTGGCTTGGCAATCCCTACTCTTGGATTGACTTGCAGCTCCCAGGATCGTTCATCATCAACCGCAGCGGGAGTCTAGACAAGGAGAAGGGGCATCCTTCAAGGCAACAGCTCGACCAGAAAAGTGACCCCGATGGGCACTCTGGCAACAATAACCAGCAGCCAAGGCAATGAAGTTATCATGTATCGCAGGAGTTTTACCAGAAATGGAAAGCGAAGTTGTTGATGAGCGAGTGCTTTTGTTGAATGTTCGGAGTGTAGTCGATGGATTGTCACATACGCGATATGGCTGAACAGCTCTTAGTAAGACTACGCATGTCGAACTTTACCAAAATAATTGACACTTCATTTGCGGCAGTCATATCCACCAAAGTAGATGGGCCTTCATGGTCATGCCGCTTTGTGGGACACAGGCATGCTCAGCCTGTACACCCACCATTAGCTGGGCTGTTGCCCGCAGTGGTAGGAGCTAGATCCAAAAATGATATGTTCTGAAGAGTTGGAAATTTCATGACTTCGCATCTTGTTTTCATATGCTGATGAAATTTTAGTAGGTCGCCTGTAAGGCAGAGCCGATGCGGAAGAAGTTCAGGGTTGACTTGCAACAAGTGTTTCCGATCGTGAAAACTTCGCCCAATGCTACAGATTTGAAACATACAGCACCTGCGACTGACAAAGGTGCGCCCTGCAGTCCAAATTGGCACATTCGACTAGCCGGGGTCAAACATCTGCCAATATGATCGGCTGGGCTATAATTTCCACTGAATGAAAGCTCCAGGATATGCCCTATGAACCGTCATTGAAAGTCTCATAGTGCTGACGATCATCCTCAGATTGGTTTATGGGAACTTCTTCATCGTCCAGTTCGTCAGCTTCGTGTTTGCGCCAGCTTTCAAATAGACCAACGTCCCGCTCTAGACTTCCAAAAACTTCCCATGCAACAACCGCAAGCGTCAAGCCTGCGCCGATAGAGACAAGCTGGGTAGAATTGATCTGGTCCTCTGAGGTTATCGGCAAGAGAATGAATATTAGGGAAAGCGCCAATCGGGGCCAAAGTCGCAGTGTCTGCTGCTCAGTCAACGTGTTTCTTCAATATCAAGAAAAGCGAAATTCAGGCTTACCTTAGAAAACCTCAGCAATCCATCCTGATCGTTGTCTTCATAGAGCAGAGCAATAAGGAAAAGACAAAAGGTCCCGACACCGAGTCCGCCTCCCCATAGCCATCGTTGTCCCGGGGTCAGATGACTATTCCTCACCGTGGCCGCTGAGATGTGCCCACCCACCAAAAGGCCACCAGACAGTGGCAAATGGATCAAAAGCCACGCAAAAGCGCTCCAGACAGCCCGGCGAATTGGGTGTTTATGATCGACTGACCCATCGCAGTACACATACATCGAGTTGAAGCAGAAAGCTATGACTAAGGTCCAAATAGCACGCATGACGTTCAGATTCAGCCCACCCTTTGCCGGAGAGCCGACAAGGATTGCATACGTAAATTCTCCTAGAACGAGGATTGTGAATGCCGTATAACGATCGTTCTCATGGTCAATATCAACTGCAGTTGTATAGTCAAGGTTGAGCCATCTCGCTACCCAAGGCCCAAAGGTCAGGACGTATGAGACCTCCTAAATCATGTCAGAATTTCATTGGTGGCCAGCGCGGGACCTACTTCGTAAATGATCCCAATAATTGCAACGGCAACTTTGGTTCGGACACTGACAGACTCAAATAGTAGCGGTATCCAGATACATATGCTTATGGAGATGAGAAGGAAATAAGCACGATTTTGAGTCCGGTGGTGGTGACTGGCGATGCTGTAAAGCGCATAGAAGCAGATCTGTGAGAAGCGAAGGACGATGTAAGAAACGACTGTCGCCCTCAACGCTGCGTTGTCTTCAGCAACTAGATTGGCATTGTTGCCATAGACTACCAACACGGCCATGATCCAAAGGACACCAAGACGTTGAAGGACATCGTCGTTGTAGTAGTTATTGGCATTCTCCTTTTGGTCAGCCCATGCGTGCCTGCCTGGGATTAGCTCAGGTCCGTCATCACAGGATAAACAGCGACCAGATACCACGCTGGGGTGAAAACAAGCACGAATTTGAGTAGGTTTGCAGCTGTGGGCTCCTCAGCGAGATGATCCGCTAAATTTGCAATCTAAGTCATTCAGTGTGTGGTCTCATCCCATTCTTAAAGCCTTTTGTGAGTTATGGCAACCTACAATCGCAACGTCTATGGCGGTTAGTTTGACGAAAACGAACAGGCTCAGATGTAGTCTCAGGCGTTACACACATAGTAAGTCGAAAAATAGCTCAAATCGGCCCGCTACGCGTTCTTCGTCAAGTTCACGACGCAACTCCCCTTTGTGAAAATATTGAAGAACGCGAGGTCGGCGGACAAGGTAACGGCGCTGTTTTAAGTGAGGCATGTTGGCGCATCAACCATATGCAGCCTCGTGGCGCTGAGTAGTTGCGTTGCCCGTAGTCCTCGTGGTAATCGAATGTCCTAGACGAAAGGGTTGTAGGCCGTGCGAGCAAGGCAAAAATCACAAGCAAAAAGAGCTTCAGATTAACTTTCGTGGTGACTAATCAGCCGCGGGGGGTTTCCTAACAGAGAACATCAATCACGTGAGTAGTATTTCCAGTTACGAGTAGGGCGCTAAAATACGAAGCTTCCTCGGCGATCGGCGCTACTTGGCGCCAAGACCTTTAGCGCTGGTAATCGACTCTTTAGTACAGTTACCTCGTATCTGGATGTAGAGTATCCGTACAGGGCAAAGAGTAGGGCGCCCTTAAGCCTCCCAAGGTCCTTCACTCTACGCATAGTATTCCCCTTCATGAATAGTATCCCATGGCTAGCAGGCGGAATCATATCAACGGTTGTGGTCTCATAGGTAGGCGAATGATCATGCATCGGCACCCACTGATATTGAGCCGCCGAGTTACAGTCGGGGCTGAGTACGTCTCACTAATGACCAGTTCAGCCTCAGCTACTGCGAACGACGTTCCAAACTTTTCACCATCTACGTAATGTCAGGGCGGACAGGAACTTCCTGTTTGCAGGTTGCGTCAATCGTCTGCTCGACCCGGCAGTGCGCATGACCAAACAAAGTTGATTCTCGAATATGCCGCTAGCCCACTCCACGCCTGTGAAGCACTGCACGGCCTCGTACCGACAATCTCAGGTAACTACGGCGTACTCATAATCAGCTACGGGGAGCTGAGTACGTCGTGGCCACTCACTTTCAAGCGGGTTTGCATATCGTGGCGGATGAAGTTGAACGCCCTCCTTGTTTTGTGGGGTCCAAACCACGGGGTGCACGCAATCCATGCAGGGGTGGCAAATGGGAATGTCTGCCACCAGCTTGTTACAAATTAATGTCATTCATAATATGTAAGCACCTACTGCCATCGTTTGAGGGGATCATCATACGTCGTAAGCTCCTAGTTCGAGCTCGCCGGGCCTCGACACTATGTTTTGCTGGCAAGGCCGGCAAGGCGTACCTTATGCCGAGCTGAGGGAATCGTCCACCAGGGGACAAATATCGCTTCACCCAGTACACTTCTCGCTACATTTAGCACATCGATCTGTTAGCTTTCCAGATTAATAGTTGGCACCTTTATCGTGCGACACCCGTTAAAAGGGCTGAATCCATGTTCAAGATCTGGGTTACTCATTGACAATTTCTGGTGAGAGCTTAATATACATCCACTCCTACGATTCTTCTACAGAATCCGTGCTACCATTGAAGGAATACTACATGTTCAGTCTCTGTCTCCCTCTTGAGTTTCGTCCATACCGGTGGTCAAAATGGCTCGCCCAAAACCCTCGGCCATTTACGATGAGGAAGCAAAGTTATGGAAAGCAGAAACAATGCAAAAGGAGTACCCACAACTTGCTCACACAACATATCTCGACCATGTCGGTGCCACACTGTACCCACAATCGGCTATCCAGTCTTTTGCCGCCGACATGACTGCAAACTTATACGGTAACCCACACTCGGCCTCACCATCGTCCTCCTTGAGCACCGCGGTTATCCGTGAAGTCAGAACGGAAGTGTTGAAGCGTTTCGGTGCTTCATTAGACGACTTTGATCTGATATTTGTCCCGAACGCTACCGCTGCCATCAAGTTAGTTGCACATGCATTTCAGGACCAGGATGAAGGCTTTTGGTATGGGTACCACAAGGACTCTCATTCCAGCCTCGTCGGAGTGAGAGAACTCGCCAAAAATGGTCATCATTGCTTTCGTTCAGATGATGAAGTCAATCACTGGATCGATAGCGACGTCTTGTACCCAGGGCGGCTTGCGCTGTTCGGATATCCAGCTCAGTCTAACATGACAGGATACCGCCCTCCATTGGCATGGGGAAGCCAGATCAGGCGAGTTGTGAGTGTGCAAAATAAACAAGTCTATACCTTGCTTGACGCAGCTTCATACTTGACCACCAGCAACCTTAATCTTAACGATCAAACGTTTGCCCCGGACTTTATTGCGCTTTCCTTATACAAGATATTTGGCTTCCCTGATCTTGGGGCTCTTATTGTCAGAAGAGAGGCAGCTCCAATGCTGCTTTCCCGGAAGTATTTTGGGGGTGGTACTGCGGAGATGGTCATTGCAGTTGGGGACTCGTGGCATCAAACTCACTAAAAGCAGGTCCACGAGGCACTTGAAGATGGAACTCTTCCCTTTCACAACATACTGGCGTTGAAGCATGCGATGAGGTCACACTGTCTACTTTATCCCAACTCGGTTCAAGTGGCACTTCATGGTGCAGTGTTATCTCGGTACCTCTATACGGCACTGGAAAGTTTCAGGCACGAGAACGGAACAAGAGTGGTCACCATTTACAAAGATCCTGCAGGGCAGTACGGTGACTCACATACTCAAGGGCCTATTATATCGTTGAACATTCATGATAGAAACGGTATGCTGATTGGCAAGACCAGAGTCGAGGCACTTGCTTCTGCATGCGGCTTTCAGTTTCGGACTGGATCCTTATGTAATCCTGGTGGGATTGCAACCATCTTTGGTTTCCGTCCATGGGAGATGAGGCGGAATTTTTCATACGGTATGCGCTGCGGAGATGATCTGGACTTCCTCGGTGGAAAGCCAACCGGCGTTGTTAGGGTCAGTCTCGGAGCAATGACAAGTAATAGCGACATAGAGCGGTTTCTTGACTTCATTGACTTCTTTTTTGTTTGCAAAAGTGTCATAGAAGAAGCAAAAGCTGCTCGCAAGCCTGGAGAGTCTCTCCAAAACCCTGTCACTTCGATTCAACCAATTCGGAGCTGTATGCCACTAGCTGTGCCTCACGGTGATTTTACATCCCTAACGGAAGCCGGTGCTGCTTATGCGCCTTGGCACGAGAATTGGGTTGTCGTTGATCCGAACTCGAATACAGAAATCCACGGCCGTGAAAGGCATCTTCGGAAGCTGGCGGTCGACTTGCGGCCACTCGAAGGGAGAATGATCATCACACATGTGGGAGAGGAATCAACTTCAAAAAGCTCAGTACATTCTTTAGAACTTGACTTGTGGGATCCGGCAAGTGACCAGTACCATATTAACCTATATCCTCATGATGCAACATCAAAGGACTTTGATCCAGCAAAATCTGTGAGTGCCAACGCCGAAGCATTTGTTGCTTCAGTTCTTGGAATGCCAGCCACGCTTTCTCGACGCTTCATAAATCGTGAAATATTAGAATTGAAGCAGAGAACGCATATTTGTGTTGTTTGGAGCTGTCAACGAAACTGTGGTACTCTCGAAAGTCTTCTCCAGCATTACGATCTTCATGCGCGGAAATTTGCGAAAAGGAAACCATCGGTCGTTTCGCAAGCACAGAACTGGAGGGACATCACCTGAACGCTTGACCATTAGATCCATTGTTCCATGGACATCAGATGATTTGAGCCAGACCCTACTGAATGCTAAAACCAGCATCCGGAGGAAAGTATCACGATGGAGACTGGAGGATAAGAATTCGGGTTGAGACATTATGTTGCCAATCAGTCAGCATTGCACCAGATACGCATGTTTTTTGATAATCATATAATCAACTAGGCACCCTATAGGTTTCACGATATAGTAGAGTTGGCAGCGAAATTTTAACCTACCTGAATGCTCGTTCTATCGGCATGAATAGAACATGTTTTTAAACGTCACTGTCGTCCTTAAACTGTTGACAAGATTCACCACTTTATTTGAAATTTTTTGCTACAAACTCCTTCCATGTTGTAGGTGCATCTTCTAGGGCACTAAGACTGTCTTTTAGGCTCTCTCCTTTATAATAGCCTGGAGACTCAGGTAAAAAAAAATGGTTCTCCAACATTTCTTGGGCAATAGGTTCTGGGAGGAAAGACTTATACTACTCCGGTCTAACTTGAACATATCGGATGCTCTTTCCTGTGACTTCTTGGAACTCAGATGTAATGCGGTCAACGGTATAATAGTCTGTCGCGGCCAGAATTTGCTTTCCATTGAATTGGTCAGATCTCTTCAGCGCTGGCTTCACGAACTTTCCTGCGCATAGTTAGACAAGGCGACCTGGATGGTGCTATGTGGAACTGACCTGTGTCTTCCACTGGCGCAAACAGAGGGAACTGGGCAGCTTTGCCCACTTGGTACGCAAGCTTATAGTTTTCATCAGCTCCCTTTTGAATCATCGGTGCGTAAGTTGACATAAAATATCCAGGCAGAACGAACGATGTCAACGGGAAGCCGGAAGCCGGAAGCCCGAATGTATTTCATTATGTCGACTTTCGTATCGAAGTGAGGAACATGCTTCATTCGACCAGCAGTTGCTTCAGTTACATTGTGTAGCGAGGAAAATATCATATGCGAAACGCCCACTTCTTTTGCGACATCACTGACATTCTTTCCTTGGGTAAGCTCGACTTGTGGATCCGCTGCTTCCCAATAGTTTGTCGGAAGGGATGAAGGTATTCATGAGATGAGTTGTAGGTTTCGGAGTCAACCCGGACCGAAGACTCTTTCGGATCAGGCTGGCTCCGAAGATAGATTTCGCCTTAACGTTTATCCTACATTACGAGAGACGTCCACTACCATTTCGATTAGTGCTCAAGGTTAGGCCCAATGAGCTCGAATGGAGCTTTCTTATACTAGAAGCCACGGTCAGAGCACTGACACGACTAATCTGTATTTATCATGAGTACCCAGCATGGATACCTTTTGTGCCGTTCTCCATGTAGAATTTCTGTCATAATCGCCTACCTTTGACGCCCTACATGTCGAGGTAATACGACACGTTCCCTCCCTCAGCTTCGACCTTAGCAAACCCGTTACCCATAAACCGAAAGCGATTCGCAGACTGGTACTCGAGCTTAAAGTCCTCCACTCGAAAGCTTTCGATGATTTCTGTGATAATCGATCGTTGGTGTCCTTGGTGTTGGAACTTGATGATATTGGGGTCCTAACATACTTCTGAAGTGTAGCACACTGCCCGCATACAGAGCTGTCACTTTCCCCTCGGTCTTCCCATTCTTGTACCAGCTCTTGCAGTCTGCTGCCCATACAGTGCCCTTGAGAACCTCTTGCGAATACTCATTGTAATCTCGTACAGCTTCGCGTGTTACGCATACAGACCTAGCTTGTCAGATCTTGGATATCTGATACGTTTATGATGGTGGAGGCTTACTTAATATCCTCTGTGGAAATCTTCTTGCACCACTTAAGCATCCATTGAGCAACGAGGAGCATACTGCTCAGAAGGACCCCGTGCCCGACTGCGACTGTTAGCTTCCCGATATCTCATCACATGGATGCTTAGAGACATACCAGGGCTGTTGGGCCCATTAAAAACAAAATAGTTCGGATGGTCAGGAGCACAGACGCCGAAGTACGCTTCAGGGAGTGCAGCCCATTCCGTATTCAAATCGACGCCATTTCGCCCTATCATCTTCCAGAAAGGACGGAAGCTCACGTTGAAGCCAGTCGCACAGATAATAATGTCAAACTCCTCATGTTCCTGCTCAGTCTGAATCCCTGTTGGGGTAATATTGAGTATAGGACTGAAGTTGCACCTAGCATTTGAGGCAGAAATTGCTTCGAGATAACCGTCTCCTGGAGTCAACCGGCGACATCCAACAGGCCAGGTGGGGATGAGTTTCTCCCTCAACTCTGGAGCATTTGATAGTCTATCTTCCATCAGCTTTTTGGTTGCGGTCAAGGTTACCTTCTGCAGTTGAGCATCAGGAAACAGTGCATAAAAGAACTGATTCATCCTAGAAATGTGTGAGTTTCTTGCGCAATCAAGGAAGTTAGGGTAGAATTCTCACTCGTGCTCCAATTATTTTCTCAAAGCAAAGAGCTTCTCCGGATTTTCGCGGAAACTGCGTTTTTCTTCTTCCGTATATTTGAAGTTTGCACCATCTTTGGTCCAATCTGTCAAGTAATTCGCAGATATCCAGGTGGGGGACCGAATGAAATTGACCATCTTCGAAGCCGTCCGTTGGATGTGAGGAGCTATCTGGATGGCAGATGAGCCATTTCCAATAATTGCGACACGTTGGTTGCTCCAGACCAAATCCTCATCCCTGCGTAAAGTCTTCAGGAAACTTGAACATTGTTCATCAACCAGCTACACATACCAGTCAGCGCTATGCACAGCTTTGCCCTTGAAATCATTTAGTCCATCGATAGCGGGCCAGTCCCACTTGCTGCAAAACATCAGTCCGTTATGTCTTGTGCGGGAGGGATAAAACAATTTACTTCAAAAACCCTGCCGCGTTGATTAAAACGTCGCATTCATCATCCATGATCTTGCCAGACACGTCGACCTTGAGCTTCCATTTAGCGCTGTCATCATCCCAGACCGATTCCACAACTTTTGATCTGAATTTGACTTTCTGGTCAAGGCCGTATTTCTTGGTGACAGACGTAATGTATGCTAAAATTTCAGGTCCCGATACGTAGAATGATGACCAGTCCGGATTTTGCTCGAAGGGAAAAGTATAAAGGTGTGCTGGAACATCACATGCCACTCCAGGGTATCTAAAGCACAGTCTCAGGTCAGATTGGCTCTCGAAAAGCCATTGTATATGTTCCTCCGGAGATTTCAGAGTTCAAATTCAAGTTCCGTCGCCAGAAAGTTTGGTTCTGGATTGAAGGAGACGCCCGGACATACCTGTTTTCAAACCATGTACCACCAACACCAGCATTCTTTTCATAGATTTGAAAGTCAATAAAACCGTCAAATTGTTTGTTGTATTTGACTTGATGTGCAACTAACAGTCCACCAAATCCTGCACCAACGCATACGACCCGTAGTGGCCTGGGGTTGAAGAGAGGATCATTTTTGATTTGCACCATCGTGTTTGAACGGAGAAAATCTTGACTGGCTATCATAATTTGTTGTCGCAAGGCGATGCTCAACTCCTTATTAAAGCGTGCCTTTTGTGCCTGCGGGTTTGTGGCAAAGCCTTCTATATGAATGACCGTAAGTCTGAGTACGAGATCGAGCAGTCCGGGCCGACGGGACACCGCCGAATGCAGAATGATAGTGTGGTTATGGAAAAGCTGAACGGAATTTTCGTATCCCGTCATTTGGATTCACCGGCCCCGGACAGTTCTGGCGTATCACGGAGACAAAGATGGGGTGTTTCCATAATCCACTGCCACTTTTCCAATGATGCTATTAAGGACTATATTAGACTCGGGCAGCTGCCGGCAGGGAGGCCGGGCCGTAAGTACGGAGAGTTGTACCGAGATCTCGATTTTGTGCGGACCGTCGATAAGTTTCACCAGAATCAAGGCTTGAAACAAGTATTATATTGTTCAAGAATCTTTTCTTTGAACGAAACGGCGCCAAGGAAATGAGAAGTCCAAAGTATCACGAATTGCATTAATACTCATCATGCTAGCCGATGTCCAGAATAGAGCGAGCACGCAAGCTCCCTTACATAGTTACGTCCTTGAGAGTCTACCCGTTGCTTTGCCTCATGGCTCTATCAACAATGACCAAGATTTCGACAAGATTACAAGGGATTTTGTGAATCGTCTATCCTCTTTAGATGCATCAGACTTCGCGAAAACTGCGACCTGGCGTGACTCGATGGCCTTGACAGGGACATTCAGAACATTTTTCTCTGGGTATTCAATTATAACAGCCTGGAAGAAGCTCTGCCATGATCAGCATGTCAGGGATTTCGCATCAACGGGAGGGTCTGCCCGTGTGATAAGGACTCCTGGTGGAGCGTCTTGGGTCACAGTTGACTTCACTTTCCTAGCAGAGAGGGAGCCAGCGAGGACCTGTGTTGGTTCGCTGTATCTTGTTCCAGACAGTGAGAATGGGTGGAAAATATGGATGTTGACGACTGTGATAGACCAGCTGAGCGGGCATCCCAACGTCGACAGGTACTCACCACGACGGGACGAAGTAAACGGGAACCAAAACGTTCCACAGCATCACTTGAACAGCGAGAAGATGAGCACAGACTTTGATGCAGTGATCATTGGTGCCGGCCAAGCAGGGCTCGCGGTAGCCGGACGACTCAAGGCTCTTGGAGTATCTTACCTTGTGGTCGATCAGATGGAAGAAATCGGCGACAACTGGTCGACCCGATACAGGTCTACGCGGCGTGAGTATCCAAAATTCCCATCCTGATAGCGTACTCTCCAGCTAACTTTAATGCGCAGTACACACCCCAAGGGAGTTTGGTAACGTCACGTCCTTCCCTAAAATACGCGAGCTAGCATGGAGCTAACATACGTAGCTCACTTACCATTCGAGCGAACCTTCCAGGCCTCGGAATATCAAGAGTACCTGGACAAGAATGACCTTGCCCGGGGTTTTCGAGAATGGGTGAAAAAGTGTGGCATCGTCAGTGGTACCTGCTATGCAGCATGCGACGAGTCTTCAAAGTGCTAATTTTAACGCAAAATATCTGGTTATCAACACGTATTATATCTGGGCAGTGGTTCCAGGATTCAAATGTTTACCAAGTCGATCTAAGCGTCAATGGGCGGCCGGTGAGCATCTCATCTTCGCACGTTGTCTTGGCCACAGGGGGGTATGGGCCTCAGATCTTCTACCCTCAATATGAGGATCGCGTCAGTCATGTCGTCTGCCTTATACGTCCTCCCTTATACTCAATTTTAGCAGGAAAAATTTATTGGAACGGTGATTCACACTCAAGGCTACAAAGATGCAATGGATTGGAAAGGAAAGAAGGGCATCGTCATTGGGACTGCGAACACAGGTCTCTGCTTTAAGCCCTATCCCGAATTGCTGTGCTGACTAAGATTCTATAGCACACGATGTCGCTCAGGATATGTTTACTGCTGGGCTTTCATCGGTTACAATGGTACAACGAGGACAAACTTGTAGGATCTAGATTCATGCCTGAACAAGGCCATCGATAAGCTAACTCCAAGCCACAGATGTCCTGCCCGTCCAACATTTCAAAGCATTCTCTGATTGTGCGTATACAGCTTGTCCTTACGACTAATTATTTCTTCATTAAACTTTACTAGTCACATATAACTCTCACATCCCCACCGATAAAGCCGATCGAATGAGCTACTCCAATCCTTGGTCCATCTCCCGGCTTTATCTTCAAGACTTTTTGCACAATCTCGCCGCTAAAGAGCCGCAGCGTTTCGATGATCTCGCGAACTCCGGGTTCAAGGTTGAAAGACACGGTGATCTGACATACCAACTGACCGTGAGAAGAGGCGGACACTATATTGACGTTGGCACTTCGGAGAAAATTTCGGAAGGTCTGGTGAGTATTCCGAGTTATGCTCCACCGCAATGGATTTCTATGGACAGCTAATCTTAAAATCATAGATCAAAGTAAAATCAGACTCTCTGCCAGTGAAATATACGGAAACAGGCCTTCTCTTCGCTGATGGAAGCCACATTTCTGCTGATGTCATTGTTTTTGCGACTGGCTTTTCTGGAAATCTTCGTGATACTGTGGAAGAGCTATTCGGACCAGAGGTTGCCACGAGAGGGGGCATCTTCTGGGGCCTTGATGAAGAGGGAGAGCTCAAGGGTGCATTTAAACCACTTGGCCGTTTGTGATCCCCCAAATTCCCTTGAAGGTATATCTCACTGATTATCTGCAGAACCTGGCCTTTGGTACGCAGCTGGTACTCTTGGACATACAAGATGGTTCTCTCGATTCATAGCTCTCCAGATCCGAGCAGACATGGATGGTACTCCGTTTGAAGTTACTAGAAAGACATATTAGAAAATAGAGCTATGCCGCAGGATAATAGTCCAAGGAGGCTTGGTGCAAGAAATGAAGCACACATAGACTGAAAAGATTGATTTCTGGATTCTTCAAAAGCCCAGTATGTTATATCATCGCGGCTCGCTCCTTGAATTGCAATGCGGGTGCTTACGAATGCTTCTCTTCAACTTATCTCTTTTCCCGAAGTAGATAGTCAATTGCCTCGTACAGGAAAAGAGTTCCAATACTAACATTTGAGGGACAATACAGTCTATCTAATGTCTAACCTTGATTTAGAAGCACTCGAAAGCAGCTATTAGTAGCAAGACTTTTCATTTTCTTTCCAGTCTTTTAACCCAAGATCGGACGCTACTCCTCCAAATCACTGTCAGCTGTACAGAAGCAGCGGAGTTTATTATTGCCTTACTAAAGCAGGATAAGCTTGGCGATGGTCATAAAGATAGGAGAACCATCCCGGGTCCTCCATCTGCAGGTCAAAGCCATTAGTCTCATCCAAATCAAATGTGATATCCTCCCATCTAACTTCCTCGCTGGCTGGAGCTTCGAATGGTGAGCTTATGTCGGTCGCAGTGATTCCGTCTTGGGCAGAACGATTAGGGCTTACTAATATAGGCTGCTACAACTGGGTCTCAAATTGGTTGGTTGGTGAAAATCCCACTTCCTTAATCTCTCGCAGCAGCTGCGCATCTTTCCATGTAGTAGTATTCTGAGTATTGTACATCATTGACTTCGATGGGGCAGACTTTATACCACTGTTCGCGACCAACAGGTCATTTTTTGAGTGCTCCTCGCCATGGCGGGCTTTCCGATGGACCTCCCAAAGCTTCAACTTCTTGAAGACCGAGTGGAACTCTCTCGCAGAGAGGCAATAGCCCTCGGCTGATATTTCACCAAGTCGAGTAATGAGGGCGTCCAAGAACTGCTCGGTTGTCGTTTCCAGCATTCCAGCGATCGGACTCTGCAGTGCGGTTTTCTGGAAGTGGCCCAAACGGATTAAAATGGTTGCTGCGTAGACAGTCCAGACTAGATATAGGTTTGGGAGACATCGAGCCAGCTGGACGGGGTAGGATAGGTACATAGACAGGACTCCGTGGCAGCTTTGTAGGCAAAGGTATAATGCCTCGAGATGGGCAGGGCTCAGGGACATGTCTTGGGCCTTTCTGCCAATGCAGGTGAGATTGTAACTCCGCACCGCAACGTCATGCGTGTATATAGTCACTGCAGGTATGAGAAATTCGATGAGGCCTAAACAAAATTAACATTGTTGCGAGCAGAGTTATTTGAACTACTTACGAACAAATTTGGAGTTATCCCTCGCTCCCGGTATCATTTCAATTCGTTGGCGAAAGGTCTCGAGCTGTAGTTGCGAGATGCCTTCATTGAACGAGATAGGTGTGGTCTCATGATTCAGCTTGAAAACTCGAGAAACATCGTTCAATATTCCTTGGATACGTAGAAGACTAAGCATATGTCGATCGTTGTCAGTCGCATTCGGCCCCTCGATTAGCATTCTCTTCTGCCCCTCTAGAGTCGCAGTCGTCACCACGGGGAGTGGGTGGCCGAAAAGTGCAGCATTACTTGATGGTCAGCATGAAGGTAGTTCACAGCTATGTTGAGAAGCCTCACCAAGAAGCGATGTAATAACAGCCTAGCCAGGCTCGTTCCCATTCCAGTGCTTCAGCATAGTCCTTGATATGATCGCCGATACGCCCTTTATCTAGGCCAAGATATATGCAGATTGAAAGCGCGCAATGGATGTATTTTGTGAATGCTGAGGCTCTTGCATTGTCTGCAGGAAAGAAATTGTCCGCATACGCGACGATAGCTTGTACGAGCTCCAAAGATTTCTCGCCAACAACCAAGATACGTTCTGCTAGGTCTCGTGTTAATACTTTGACCAGCGGTGATTGCAAGCAGGGCTGGACTGATGCGCTTGCCACTGTGGCTATCGCGAGGAACAATAGAGGTTTGCGAGCTCGTATAGTATCTGCGTCGCTTGAGGTGGCAAGAACAACGGCTGGCGACAGTGAACTAATATTTGCCTTCCAGTGATTGAACAAGGTAGTTCCCGTAGACTTCGACACAATGTCAAGGCCAGTGACATGCTTCACAGAGGTGAACTCGGGACTTCCAATATTGAATGCAAATACTGGAGCGCTTGTTTGAGGTCCCTCACCAGGGAAAATTCTGTCAGAAGGAAAATATCGAGCGGAGTCGTAACTACCTGAGGGCTGCGAAGACGCCCTGCGCGGGGATCGGACATCACCTTCACTTCGGTCATCATCACCTGTCTCTGAATCTATCGAGCCGCGACGCTGCTGTTGTTGAGACAGCAGGGCGTTCGTCAGGCGTTCGATCTTTCTCTCAAGCTTACCCACCCGCTGTGCTGTGCCTACTCGCGGTTTTGTCGGGCCTGGCATAACACATTGTCGGAAAGCTTTCAAACAGGCGTGACAAGAATCCTCATTGCGGACCGCGATGCATCGTGACTTGTTCGCGCGACACGACAGGCAGGCTCTTGCTCGTTTCCGATGGCTGACGGATTCCTGTGTACTCGCGTTAGTTGGATCGGTGGAGGTCCCTCTCGGTACTGATTCGCGCCGGTTGCCCATGGTGTTACACTGTGTTGAAGGCCTAGCAGATAGTTGATACCGATAAGACGGAGAGAGGGTATTAAGTGGTGTAAAAAGCTCCTCGTTCTGATGTGGTGGGATTGAGGACTGAAGTACAGGACCAAGGTCTCCGGACCTTAATCATCCCGAAGATCCCGCAGGTTAAATATTTCGGCCCGCCTGTTGCACAGAATAAGTCCCACTATCTCAGGGATCCAGAGCCAATCGTCTAACGCCCGGCGGAATTGCTTCCCCAGGATGACCGTTTAAATAAGATAGGGTGTGTGGGAAATTGACTCTAGTTCGTGGGTTTATTCTACCGCGTGATCCAATATCAAAGATGATCTGGTATAGCTTACTGTTAGGGCTCGTCATTCTGGCACGATGGGTGCTAACATCGGGAAGGAGGCCCGAAGGATATCCCCCAGGACCTCCCACTTTACCAGTAATCGGTAACTTACATCAAGTGAATTACGATTGGAATTTGCTATCTAGGTTGTTCTGACGGAAAACAGATGCCTCAAAAAGACGCACACCTTCAATTTGAGAAATGGGCCCGCAAATATGGCCCCGTCTACAGTTTGATGCTGGGAACAAAGACCATGATTGTTCTCTCTGGTGATCAAGCTATCAAGGATTTATTAGACAAGAAAAGTGCAGTTTACTCGGATAGACCTGAGTTGTATATCGGCCAGACTTTGGCAAGTGGAGACCTGAGGTTTTTGATGATGGTAAGCCTGTTTGACGCATTTCCTGGTGTGCAGTTAGCTAATATGAGAGGACAGGGTTATGGAACCCAATGGCGCGCAGTGTGTTGAGATCTCCCTTCAGACCAGTAGCCATATCTAAAACTCTATGCAGATACGGAAAATGATGCACAAAATTTTGAATATCTCCACGGCCCGATCATATGTTCCATACCAGATGCTGGAGAATAAACAGATGCTATATCAATTCCTCCAAGAGCCAGATAACTTCTTGCATCACATACGCCGCTATTCGAATGCACTCACAACAACTATGGTGTTTGGTTGGAGATCACCGACCTATGAGGATGAAAAGATGAAACAACATTTTGCCGGCCTCTCTGAGTTTGCGGTTCTCAATCAACAAGGGACGGCGGCCATTTTGGACTACTTCCCCATTCTGAGGCGACTTCCAGAGTTCATGTTTCCCACGAAAAAGAAAGCGAAGGTCCTCCACCAACAAGAGAAAGCACTTTATCTCTCTCACTAGCTCAACGCCAAAAAGTCCATAGAAGCTGGCACCATTATGCCCTGCTTTTGCGTTGGAGTAGCGGAGGCACAAAAGAAAGACGGGTTTACCGACGACGAAGCATGCTATATCTCCGGAACCTTGCTCGAGGCTGGCTCAGATACGACTTCCAGTACTCTATATGCCTTCATTCAAGCTATGATTCTCTACCCTGATGTCCAGAAGCGGGCGCAGGAAGAAATCGAGCGGGTTGTTGGATCTCAACGACTTCCCACAATGGAGGATGTAGATGATTTACCTTTCACTCGTTGTTGTGTGAAAGAGACACTCCGTTGGATGCCAACGACGATTCTCGGTGCTGTACCCCACGCAGCCAATCAAGACGATATCTATATGGGCTATGTTATACCAAAGGGAGCTGCAGTGATGAACAATGTCTGGTCAATTAACATGGACCCATCTCGATATACAGATCCCCGTAAATATGATCCCCAGCGATTTGAAAGCAACACGAAGAGTCTTTATGACTCGGCGGTCGACCCGGATGTGTCGATGAGGGACCAATTCACATTTGGTGCTGGGCGACGTATATGCCCAGGTATTCATGTTGCCGAGCGGAGTCTGTTTCTAGGCATATCGCGCATCCTGTGGTCTTTTAGTATCACGCCAGCGCTAAATAACGTTGGGTCACCCGACATGCCTGACCCCGAGAAACTGACACAAGGTTTTGTTTGTATGCCAGAAAAGTTCCGGGCAAAGATCACTGTTAGATCACAAGAAAGAAGTGATCTCATAACCCAAGAATGGCATCAAGCAGAACACGAATTCCTCGATCGGCAAACGAAGCAATGGGCAAAAATTCCTAATGCGATCAGCGAGTGATCAGTCATGGCATTGGACACTTGCCTCCAAGAATATTTTCTATCCATAAAGACATTCCAAGATTTACCCTCACATAAAGTACTGTTTAACGCTACGAGACAATGAGAAAAATGCATTTTGCCAAGGCTTTTCGCTTGTCATTCAACTTTGTCGATGTGCCGAAGGTCCAAGCTAGACAAGGCTGCGAGACGAATGACAGCTCTATGAACCGGGGGAGTGTCGTCTAGTAAGCTGCTGATGACCACTTTCTAGAGCTGCAGTTAGGCAGCAGGATTGCTTGAGGACAGGGGTACATCAGAGCCACGGTTTTTCAATCCTGGAATCGACGAATCCCGGGAAAACTTCCAACTCTTGACAAAGACTGACGTCAAGAATTGCGTAGGGAGAGGGGAAACAGCATCTTGGAAATAGCACATAATGTTTTGGTTTCTCGTTTCATTCGACTCTTTTGCCTGAATCTATCCTGTTCAGTGACAAGACAGGCCCTCTGAAGTCTCTTCCACAACACTTATAATTACGTAAGTACAAGGACATCTTGAAGATAGGTTTACATGCTCATATTCGCTAGATTTGACCAACGCTTCATAATCAATACAAAACAATGTCTTCTGGTGTAGGTAGCGCTCCTGGCGAATTTGCCCATGGCAAAGTTGATCCAAGCGAGGCTGGCAGAAAGGGTGGAATTGCCAGTGGTGGAAGCGGGACTACCGAAGGCACGACCAGCACTGGCGATAGCAACACAGGGGATTTTGCTCATGGCAAGGTTGATCCCGTCGAGGCTGGTAGAAAAGGCGGACTGGCTAGTGGTGGAAGCGGTGATACTGGTGACGCAACCGCCAGTACTGGATTTGCTCATGGAAAAGCTGATCCTGTCGAGGCTGGCAGAAAAGGTGGAAGCTCTTGAGGCAAGGTGGCTACTCTAGAGTATCCAAAGGCATGACATTTGCTCGACATTGTTCAAAGCAAGACGTTAATCGAGTATGTAGTGCGATAGTCCTGAGAGTATCATCAGTTCCTGGAACGCCGGTTCAGCAACGAGTGTTCTTTGGAAGGGCCAGCAATCAGATTCCCAGGAGCCGGTTGCTGCAGAACAGGGTACAGATGCATTCTCGAGGAGTAATTATGATAGTATGCAGTGGTATCAGAAGTCTCGGGTTTTCGGCTTCTCCATATCTCAAATCCACTGTTTCAGCACCCCGAAGAAATGTCAAGAAAATAAAGTGACCATTTCAATGATATCTTTGAAGCTAAATCGTACAGCCCGTGACGAATGGCCTCAACTGGCCCATGGGGTGAGTGGCATCGCTGTTTTGTGCTGTAAACATAGAACTTGACGGACTGCCTTCTACGCAGAAAAAACAGGAATGTGCTCGTCTGATTTGGTGCCTCATATTGCGGATCCGTCATGGCTTTCCTTCATCGTTCTAATCCGCTCTTGGATATTGGTGTTGACTGCCTCGATGGCAGCTCTGGCGTTTTCCCATTTCTTCCTTTGACCACTTTCGAAGAGGCGATACATGTGTGGAGACCAAATCCCATCTGTAAGGATGGCACAGAACTTTTTGTCGTTCCACCAGAATCTCCAAGCTTGAAGGCTTGTATAGCTCAAATTCTCCTCAAGTCGAGTACCAGCAGCATGTTCAACCCATTTAAGCCAGGGACCATTCTTTACCATGAGGGGGACAAACTTCCTATGCGGGCTCAGGGAACGCAGATAGTCGGCCCAAACAAGGTGGCCTTCATACCATTGCTCCATGGCTCTCCGTGCTGGAAGGGCCGGGGTATGAGGGGCGGTTGACCATATTTGAGCTATTGCCATACTTGTCAGGTCACTAATCATAAATGCAGGGGAGAAGGCGATTGCAATGCCAACAAATGCAAGGCTCTCTGGATATGTCAGCGAAAAGACATTTTGATACAGTCTTGGTGTCGCCTTATTGCGAGCTTCAGAAACAGTGGGATTGGTCAGGGTTGGATCGTAACGGCCGAGTATGGAATAGTCCACTTCGTAACCTGTGCAGTAAATAATGGCATCCACGTAAACAATTTTGCCATCTTCTAGTTGGACCGCATTGGGACCCGTGATGTGCGAAGGAGCCGCGGTACTGATTATGCTACCATTCCTGAGCGCCGGTATTAGTGTGTCACTGACCGTTGGAGCTTGATGGAGAAGAGAGGGAGGGGTATTGAGGTTCCACTCAGGGTCGAACTGTCCAAAGTTCTCGCGGGAAATTCTACCAGTGATGCTGGCAATAAATTTAGCACCCAGCTTCGGTGCAATAACATCAAGCGTGTCTTTTATGTTAGACTGCCGGTATGATAAATTGTGGTCGAGTGAGGTGCCGTCTCTCAGATAACGAGGTAAGACCACGCTGCCGTGACGATGTGAGAGGAAGATCTCTTCCGCAATGCCGACTAGGGAGGTTGCCGTATCTGCAGCCGAGTTAGACATGCCTACAACCATGACACGTTTGCCTTGAAAGCTGGGAGGATGCTTGAATGCGATTGAATGGATGACAGTGCCCGAGAAATGTGATCTTCCGGCAAGGGTTGGCTGTACTGGGCTGACATGAGGTCCTGTGGCAAGGACAATCTTGTCAAATTCAAGGGTCTCTGAGGCCTGGCCACTGGCGGAAATGGACAGGCGCCATTTGTTGTGGACCTCGTCTCGCTCAATAGATTTCACCTCGGTTGACAGACGAATATGCTTGCGAAGGCCGAAATGGTTGCAATAGTCATTTAGATACTGATCGACTTCGCGAGCACTTGGGTATGAGCTTGTTTTCTCTGGAAATGCGAAGTCTGTGAAACATGCCCTCTCGCGCGAAACGTTGACTACAGTCGACTGTAGGGCGGATACGTGGTAATCCGTGGAATAGTGCCAGACGCCTCCGACGTAGCTGCGTTTGTCAAAGCCAGAAGCTACGAATCCTTCCTCGAGGAGGTTCTTGAGGGTGACTAAACCTTGAGAACCAAGACCGATAACTGCCACAGTTGGCTGCTGCTCTTCCATTTGTCTGGAGAGAGGGGCGAGCTTCTGACTTCTCCTCTGGACTCCACAGCTCAAGGACGCTTTTCGTTGCTGCTGAGCCAGATATTCTGGTGTTCCGGAGTACGACGTGTCTGACGAATGAGGTCATCGGTAGGGTAGCAAAGGGCAGCTCCTGGGGCAAATTGACATTTCGTGTGCAAAAGATCGGTGCCAAGACGGGTACCATTCCATATCAGGAGTAAATCTTACTAGGCAAGAACTATCAAGCTTGCCGCTCCTGAGTGCCTTCCACCATGCCTCTTGCGGATACACAAGGTACCCAGCAGTGCCGGCACGCGTACCTGGTTGTGACGTCAGAGGATCACGCGGGGTCCACGGGGCAATCCTGCGTTTGACAAAACTTAAGATCAATCAAGGCTCCCGCACTGGCGCTTGCACCATCATCTCTTCCTAGGTACTGCGTACATACACAATCCTGCCAACGCTGACCCAGAATCATTTCCACAAATACACGAAATCAAAGATGTCTCAAAATACCCTCTTTCTCATGTTGCAGCTGGCACTTGCCTCTCTGGCAACGGCCGCCCCAGTCAAGGCTCAGTCCAACAGCTGGCAGTATGGCACCGGTGGTGGAATCATTGGGCTGATTGTCTTCATCCTCGACATCATCGTCTTTGGTAAGGAACTCTCGTCAACTCATTCTCTTGGCGAACTTGTCTCATGATCCCAGTTGAGGTTGTTCAATCGACAAGACCTGTTTCCCACAAGCTCCTCTGGAGTCTGCTGGTCTTCCTATTTCCCATCGGCGGTATTATCATCTACGCGCTCTTCTCCAATCGTGCTGCACATAAGCCTAGTGGAGGCTACGAACCAATTAGCAGCTGAATCCCATCCCCACGCACACCGCTATAATAGTGATGTCAAAATGGGATTCGCAGGGTGTGGTCGAAGAGCCGAATGGAAGAGTGCGAAGGCATGTGGATGAGATCCAAGGATAGCTGGGAGGGCGATGGGATTACGAATCCCTCAGTCGACGATGTCGGTGTAGGCAGGTGGATGAATGGCGAGCAGTTTCATCAGCGGGCGTAACACATTGCACAAATTGGCTAAGTGGAGCGAATATACTATAGATCTGAGCTAAGCCTCAGTGGATATAGAATGTTATGGGGAGGGTACCGCAGCGGCAGTGGGTCGTGTTGAGGTGCCTTTCGTTAGAGCAATGGTCATAAGGATGGTACATAGGTAGTTAGCATAACGAAATATCAGTCAAAGAGATAAAGTCAGAGATTCGTTGGGTAGTTTTTCTTGCGGCCATAGCCATGTACACTGCGACACTGCTCATGTGATCTGTAGATAGCAGTGCAGCAGTGCAGCCTGGCAGGGTGGAAGGAAGTGCACGTGCACGTCGCTGCGAATAGCAGTCACGTGATTGCACCAAAAGCATGTGACTGGCGGCGCGTTAAAAGGGTGTACGTTGGTAAGTACCTACGAGTATGTATGAACCTCCTGGATGCCGCCTGTGCGCGCTTCGTATCAATAATGCCGTCAAACTGGCAACCACCTGAAGGCGCAAGGGCCATGGCAGTCCCTGACTCCCTGCCCGTGTCAACTCCTTGGGGGGTTGCGGGCCAGCAAGAAAAATGGTGAAAGCGGCAAGGGAAAATAGGGGCTCCCTTCTGACGAATCCAGCGCGCCTTTCTCCAATGTGCCATGAGATGGATGCTGAAACCAAAACAGGGGCTGCCTCAGCCTGCTTAAGTAAAAGAGACTCGCCGTTTTAAGCTCCTCCTTCTCCAAGAAAGTTGACACCTCTTCTCTTCTTGGGGACTTGATAAGTTGATATATCCGTACTCGGACCCGATTCTCAACACAGGCGCATCCAGCCCTTGATCGACAATCTTCTCTGACCATTCCACATTTACTACTTCCCTTTTCCAAGTCATTTCCTTTCCCTTTTCTCTCCGTCCAGCAGTTGGGTTGATCCTTCGCCGTCTTCAGAAATGCGATCTTTCAAATCGCTGGCCGCGGCCAGCATTGCCCTGGCTGGCTTCGCTGCCGCAAGCGACGTCCACGACCTCAAGACAGACAACTTCAAACAATTCATCTCGGAAAACGACCTAGTACTAGCAGAGTTCTTTGCTCCCTGGTGCGGGCATTGCAAAGCCCTGGCCCCCGAGTACGAGGAGGCTGCAACGACCCTCAAGGAGAAGAATATCGCTCTGGTCAAGGTTGACTGCACAGTTGAGGGTGATCTCTGCAAAGAGTATGGTGTGGAGGGCTACCCGACCGTCAAGGTCTTCCGTGGCCTTGATAACATCAAGCCCTACAGCGGAGCTCGGAAAGCTCCTGCGTAAGTTTGCTCCGACGACCTGACAAATCCCCAGAATACTGACCTTCCCCAGTATCGTCTCCTACATGACCAAGCAGGGATTGCCCGCGGTCTCTCTCCTCACTTCCGAAACTCTGGAAGAGTTCAAGACCACCGACAAAGTTGTCGTGGTGGCCTACATCGCAGCCGATGACAAAGCCTCCAACCAGACATACACTACCCTCGCAGACACACTAAGAGACGACTACATCTTTGGTGCCACGAATGATGCTGCCTTGGCCAAAACCGAGGGTGCCAAGCAGCCTTCAATTGTGCTCTACAAGGACTTCGATGAGGGCAAGAATGTCTTCGATTCAGCCTTCGACGATGAGGCTATCACCAAATTCATCAAGGCCGCAGCAACTCCTCTGATCGGCGAGGTCGGCCCCGAGACTTATGCTGGATACATTGGTGTACGTGCAGCTCTTCCTTTTCATTGCTTGTTCTCTCGCTGACAATCTCAAACTCGCAGGCCGGAATTCCCCTCGCCTACATTTTCTCCGAGACTGCTGAGGAACGTGCCTCGCTCGCCGAGACCCTCAAGTCCGTAGCTGAGAAGCACAAGGGCGTCATCAATTTCGCCGTTATCGACGCCAAGGCATTCGGTGCACATGCTGGTAACTTAAACCTTCCAACCGACAAGTTCCCTTCATTCGCCATCCAAGAGACGGTCAAGAACGAGAAGTACCCATTCGAGGGAGACGCCTTGACCGAGAAGACCATTGGAGCATTCGTCCAGAGCTTTGTTGATGGAAAGCTGGAGCCCAGCATCAAGTCTGAGCCGATCCCAGAGAAGCAGGAAGGCCCCGTCACCGTTGTAGTGGCCAACTCCTACAAGGATATTGTTCTTGATGATTCCAAGGACGTGCTCATCGAGTTTTACGCTCCTTGGTGTGGACACTGCAAATCGTAAGGATTTTCCCCTCGGATATACTCTATTTCAATCGTCACTAACAAAATACCCTAGGCTCGCCCCTATCTACGAAAAGCTCGCCGAACTCTACACCTCCTCCGACCTCTCCTCCAAGGTAACAGTCGCCAAGGTTGATGCCACCCTGAACGACGTGCCTGACGAGATCTCCGGCTTCCCAACCATCAAACTCTACCCTGCCGGCGCCAAAGACTCTCCAGTCGAATACTCCGGCTCCCGCACGTTGGAGGACCTCGCCGCTTTCATCAAGGACAACGGCAAGCACGCCGCTGACGGCCTCGCTGCTCAAGCCGACGCCGAGGATGTTGTGATGGAGGACGCGTCGGCTGCTGCTGATCAGGAGACTCTCGCCAAGGCTGCACCGGCAGCCACAACTGACGGTGAGGGCGTGGTTGATGCGGTCAAGAGCGCTGTCAGTGGTGCTGCGGATGCGGCGTCGACTTTTGTCGCCGATGACGATGCCGGTGTCCAGGAGCATGATGAGTTGTAAACTACCTTGAGCTGCAATGCCATCACTTTTACTGAATTTGTGTGTCTGCAATGTGTCCTATTCATGGAGTTCATGCGGTTCTCTAGTTTAACCGCTCGAATATGAGACGGCCCGCTTTGATGGGTCGCTACGCTACCTAAGTTAGTCGGGTACCTTTATGGGTGATCCGAGGCTGGCAGGAATGGCTGCGTGAGCAGTGCATCGGGGCAACAGTGGATGTTAAAAATGTATGTTGTCTGAAGGTCAATGCAGACGATACGAATGACAGGGGCAAGCTTAGCCAAACTGATGAGATGAAGCCAGATTCTGAAATGACAAAACTGTTTAGTTGAAGCCTACTACTATTTTGGGTTCTTTACCCTGTACTAATAAGAATAGGAGCAGGTGTACTCAACGGACCACAAGTGACTCACGTGCATGCAGAAGATGGAAGATGTACGAGTAGTGGCTGCTCGTGCACAGTATCATAATTGTCGTTAAAGCTGCTATGAAAGTTAAGAGTACTTGCACCATTCTCTGTTGGTCAGTAGAAGCGTTTGTGCAGCGTAGTGTTTATTGATCACAAACGGACCATACCAAGAGCCTGAAGCGTAGTCCAAACTCTCGTTTCTCCTATCATCCGTCTCATGCCCCACGCGATACTGATTACGATGTCCTGTCAACCCTCCTTGCTCTGCATCCATCGTTCGCACCTTGCATCAATCAACGCGGCGAACTAATACTCACGCCCGCCATTTAACCCCATATCAGGATATATCTGCCCGCCATCATCCACCAAGCCACCGGTCGAGAAGTCCATGTTCGCATTGACGAATGCCTCGCCGTCGAACAGCGGGTCCTGGAAGATAGTCGGCATGCTGAGGTCGAAGAAGCCGTCGAACAGGTTATCGAGGTCGTTGAAGTGATCGTACAGACCGACGCCGCCGATGTCCATGGACCCGCCGGCTTCAGTCGTGCCGAACAGGTGGTTCGGCGTCGGTGGGAGTGTCGCTGTCGTGGCTGTCACTGTTGGCGCGGTGTTCGTCGTCGCCGGAGTCTGAGTCTGAGTCTCACCGTTACGGGTGCTGCTGTCGGGCATCGAAAGCGTCATCGAGGCGGGTGTGATATGTTGTAGCGCATTACCGGGAACGGTATTTGAATGCGTCGCCGCCGCGTCCGACAAAAGCCGCAACGCATTCCCATTGACCTCCGACATCCTCGTCAGTGGCGGCGCGGCAGCGGGATTGGCTCTGGGCTCAAACGGACCGAACTTGCACACGGTGACCTCGGCCTCCATCTCGCCCGCGATGCCGGTCACAGCGAGCTTCTGTACACCAGGCTGCTGCAGGCTTTTCAACGCTTTGCGGCCTAGTCGAGCCATCGCATCCGCCGTCCACCAATACGTGCTGAGCTTCTCGAGGGTTTCACACCTCGTTGCAAGATCTGCGGTTGCCCGTTCCCCATCAAGATGCTTATCTCGCAGGCCGCGGTAAGCTACTGTCAAAGACAGGCCGACGGCGTATGGGACGAGTGGGAGTGGTGACATGTTTGCGTGTCGGCCGTTGGAGACGAGCTGCTGAATACGGTCGGAGGCTGATATCCGCCGAGCGTACGAGGCGGTCGTGGGGCCGCCGATACGACAGCTGAGGATGGCAATCACGTTGTAACATATTTCGAGAATGCCTGTCATGAAATCAGCTGGTTGTCTGCGGTAGAGGTGGAATTAGGGGGGGTTTACTTTGCTCCGAGTTCGAGAAATTCGAGAGCTCGATACCGTCTAACAGCGCTTTGTAGGATGGAAATTCTGTTTCCCAGCCTGTTGAGTTAAGATCCGCCGTCGGTCTATAGAACTCAATCACCTCATCGAGTAGGTCGCCAAGTCGTAGCCAGGCACAGATAATTTGGTTTTTGGGGTCGTCGCTGAGCGGCGGGCGTGCGATATCAATGTCTCGATTTGCGATCATGATCGGCCGCCCGCCGACGCATGCGTTTAGTTTGTCGAGCGTCCAGATGGTCCACCACAGCATGCTGGACGGATCTACCGTTGTTCGCCCTGGTGTGTGGATGTGTAGGCCGGCGGACCATGCGTCATGGATTGCTTGTGAGAGATGCAACGACGACTCTTCGATGCCACCCGGTCCGTCGTTGTGCAGATGCATCAAAGTCAGGATCTGGATTTTTGTGACCCGGTCTGGCTCCAAATCTGCCTTCATAGCAGCATCCAGGCCGGTGTGCAGACTTCTCGCGAAGGGTATTCGGTCGAGTAAAGGGCCATCCTCGTACAATCTGAGATACGGTGCTGCTTCCTCGGTCTTGCATGTCACCAAAGCAATGGCCTGAAGCAGGAATATGGAACATCTTCCTTCGGTATACTCTCGAAGAAGTTTACCCCCGTCAAACACCGGGAGGATGCCATCGAAACAGGCAATGTAGGTGGTAAAGAGTGCATCCTGAGTAGCTTTGGGCAGAACACGGAATGCGCCAACAGCCTGCAGGTAATTACGCTGATGACCAGTCAAGGTTCTCCGACCACCTTCAGTCTTGCCATATTTCTCGACATTGACTGGAGTTTTATCGCCGTGTTTCAAGACTGGGCCAAGGTCCTCCTGAGGGAGATGATCCTGCAAATGACGGGATTGTTCCACCCACGTGCCGACTCGACTGATACGCTTCCCGCCTTCAAGTCTGCTAGATAGATCTGTCAATATTGATTCCGGATTGAGATCACCGACGAAACGAATGGGCTCTTTGTGCGTCAGGTTGGGCAGCACCCTGTCCAGTCCATCCGTATCAGCTTGCTGATCTGGGTCCCTCTGGAACGTGTGGTGGCAGCGTTTCTTGGCGCTGCGACATTTTTGACAGGCACGGGCTGCTCTCTTTCGACTTGCAAAGGCCGCAGTATCTGCCTCCCAGACGACTTGCATCGATGTGAATGCGTAGAAGATGGGCCAAAATGATATATGTGGGGGGTGGTTCGGAAATGACTCAAAAGAGAGATCGAACCGCAGATGTGTCATGTCAGGTTCAACGTGGCGGCGGTGCGGCGGATGTGAGATTTTCCACTGCCAAGATGCCAAGCCTCAGCCTTGCCAGAGCACGTGAGCCAGACAAAGGCTGCCGGGGCGATTGTCTGGATTAATTACACTCATTACTCTTATTCGAGGGATTGATCTTTTACAAGGGCGCGTGCTTCATATCACATCGACCCTTCGCTCGACGCTCCAACGCCCCACTTGCCAACTTCTAACATGGCGGCCTCCCCTCCCTCTGCAAGCACGCCCCTACCTTCTCCCAGGAGTCCTTCAAGGCACAACCACGGATCTCTTCCACCTCCCCATCGTAACACTTCCTCTTTGAATCGCTCTCCTGCCGCTCTATCAACAGCGCCGGCATCCTCACCATCACGAAAAACCGCCCTCCAGACCTGCCGTGCAATTGCTCGGTCAAACAGATACGAGTAGTAGCTGGCTCCATAGCCATATAAATGACCAAAAAAACCTTGCCAGGCGGTTTGAGGGGGCTCTGGGACACTACCAAACCTATTCCACACATCGTGGTAGACGGCTGTAGAGTTGTATCGTCCACTTGAGATAGCTTGGACCGGTCCGTCAGAATGATAGACCTGATCAAGGAGCGCCATAAGGATTTGAGCCTCGTTATTCCAGCCACCGGTCTTAGCCGCTTGTCGGTATCTCTCCGCAGCAAGAGTTTCAAGCATCTCATCCGGTATCACCGCATCGGTCTTCCAATGGCGAGCAAACGACTTGAGCACAGTTGGATCTGTTGCAAAGTATTCCATAAGCACAGATGGAAGTTCTGCAAAATCTGTTGCACATCTTGTTCCAGATATGCCTTGTAGGGATGTTCGACCGAGAATACTATGGATGGCATGGCCCATCTCGTGGAACAAAGTGGTCACACTGTGTAATGATAATAGGGATGGGCCGGTAGAACCGCTAGGATCTGGGAATCCACATACCAACGCAATAATAGGGATCTGGTGGTGGGCTGTGTTGCCGGATATTGGGTTTGCACCGAGCAAGGTCGGCATACCATTGTTCAACGGTTGGTCTTGTTCTTGACATTCACGGATTTCCTCGTCGGAGATCTCCCTCGAGCACAACAATGTAAAATGGGCCGGATTAGGCAGTTTGGATGGTCGTGAGAATAGATCACAGTACATGGTTGCGATATGCTCCTCCTTGTCCGTATAAACGTCAAGCCGTCTCACTTCCGGATGCCACACTTCGCCCTGCGCAGTCTCCTTTGGGACCAATCGAACGCCATAGAGTGACTCGAAAAGCCCTGAAAGTCCTTGCATAACATGACCAAGTGCGAAGAATGATTTGGCACTGTCATGCAGGCGAGATCTCGAGGTTCGAGGGCCATTTTGGGCTTCTAGTTGCGTGAGTCTTTTTAACAGATATGGATGGTCCCAAGGATCAAATGTTTCCCCATTTGCTTGTGTTCCTCGTTTGAGGTCTAGTAGGGCCTTGAGCTCTGCCTGGACTTGAGGCTTGTTGCTCTTGTTCAAGGACTCCAAAAAGTTGATGACAGCTTCGGGAGATTTTGACATTTTATCACCAAGTGTCATCTGCGCATAGCTCGTATGACCAGTCACCTGAGCTAGCTGGGCTCGAAGAAGGAGAAGTTGCTCCAACCGTGCGACCGTCCGTTTTGAAGCGGTTCGTTCAGCCATGTACATCTCCTTTCTTGTGACAGGATCGCTAGCGGAGCTCATGATGACTTTGGACGGGTGGCTGTAGACGGGTATCGACAGCCTATCCCAAGACCTTAGGCCTTGGAGCATAGTCGGATCGACACCGGCCAATTGCTGGCCGGAAAACACCACATGTTGCTTTGCATGGTCCATCTGGTTGACGAAATCTGTGCCTACCTGGGCAATCTCGTTCGACAGAGAGACGAATTCTTTCCTCTGCTTGCCTGGAAGATCGATTCCTGATTTGGCAAAGTCTTTGAAGAGAAGCTGGGCCACCATTTTCTCTTCTGCGTTCCATTGTTCGCAGACCTCTGGTGTATCCATAGCAATCCTCAACTGCTGGTTGAGCCCAGTTGTAGTATTTAACTCATTCATGTATTGAAGCATTAGTGAATACGAAGCAGTGGCAGCCGCCACTACATCTTCATTGGGGTGAATCGTGCGTATGAAATCGGACAAGTCAATGACCCGGCAGAGCAAGTCGCTAAGTCTATCAAGGTCTCGTGGGATAGCTTTGTACTCGTCAAGTGTAGATGCAGCCAGCGTTCTTTCCACCAGCCTCTTGCATTGTGCCACCGACACCTCTGCGAATTTCTGGAAGCCCTTGGGACTTGTCAAGTGATAATTTCCAATCAAGCCCGAGGTGTTGCGTGCCAAAGGGGAGGTCACGGCCTTGTTGTTGAACAATTCTCGTAATAGAGTGTTATTGCTACTTCGCGACGGAGAGGTCTGGAGGTATGCGCTCTCGAAGCTGTTATCGTGAGTCGATGCTGTGGCAGACGCTGCGGATGTCAAACTGCGCCTTTTTGCGGCGCGCAGACATTTGGCACATGTCCATGGTGTCCTTCGTAGGACCTTGTGCATGATGCAAGGAAGGAATCAGACACAGCAACGACGCCGGGAACAAAGACCACGTCGAAAAGGGTGGTACTTGTACGAGGGCAACGATGTTCCCTGCGTGGAATTTGCACGAGTTTGCGTCTGCGCTTCTACATTGACCCTGGACAAGCAATGACGGAGATGTGCATACGCGAACACGTGAAAAAGCCTTTCCCAAATCCGGCAATTGCGGCAATGCAACTGACCGGATGCATCATTTACACTACATCAGGAGTACTCTATAGTACGACTAGTACAAGCAGTGCAGTATTGCACCCATTGCGTTACTCATGATTAAGCAAGGAGGACAAGGCGAAACGACAAGGAATGGAATGAGCCCAGCGAGAGCAACGAGCTTATTATATCGATCAAATCTGTTCACACGCATTCCAAATAAGAGGTCTAAATATTCATTTCTTCGCTCCTTGGAGCACCCTTGCTTTTTTTCCCTCTCCTTTTCTCTCAGCTCTTCTTGCCTAATTCCTTCTTGCTCCTCTACCCCCGTTTTCACGGCCTCGTGGTCGTTGCTCAGGACGACCCGCACGACGAGCAAACTAGGTAAGATAGCCACAACCGATAAAGCAGTATAGAAAATCCACATAATTCGGAAACTTTCAGTATAAGCAATGTTTACAGCTGCTCATTGGCTCGACAGCAGCTGTTGAATAAAATAGACATTGGTTCCGAACCCAGAGCCCAGTATTTGAGCCACGAGCTCAGGCTCAAGACTCTGCTCCAGTGTACTTCTCTTCTTAAGAAGCTCACTTTGTGAAATAGTCCCACCGATGACAATGGAAACCCTGTGGTCAGCGTCCGGATAAATCCATAGGTGGAAGTGGCGATGGCAACGTCGTGTCGCTTCGTATGATTTTGTAATGTAATAAGCGGGCTCTGGATGTTGAGGCCACTCCCGAAGCCGACTATCATCTGATATATGATAATCCTTGGCCAGCTTTTGGCCGAGCCAAGTTTAATCAACAGGCCATAACCCAAAGTCACTAATGTGACACTCAACCAGATTGGCTCTCTAAATCGCCCAATCTTTTTGATAAGTCCACCACCGATTATTGTAGCCAGTGAGAGGCTGAGGACGAACGGGAGTAAATAAACACCACTCATCAAAGAGGATGTACCTAGTACAGTCTGAAAATAGAGCGGGAGGTAATAACTGGCTGAGATAAACACGATTCCGTTAATGAGGATTACGCCGTATGCTCCAAGGTTCGATTGTATCTTAAATAGACCAAGAGAAATAGTCGGATATTTTGCTAGTTCAGCCTCATTCGGGAGGAAAAGCACGAAGGCAAGCACTCCGAAAGTGATCCAGCACAGCGTATAGGCGGAATTCCAAGGGTAGGAATTGCCTCCAGATTCAATCCCAAGGAGGAACATGATCACCGCACCAATGATTAGAGCCAGATCTAACCAATCGATGGCTTTCATGCCGTCCCAGAGCTTGGTTTTCGGAGTATCCAATTTGAGTAAACAGGCCAGCAGTATCAGGGACACGCCGTCCAGCGGGAGATTGACGTAGACTGAGGTTCAAGTCAGTATACCCTTTCCTGGTAACCGAAACTAGCCGCTGCTGAAGGGTTAAGAAGCGTAAAGGCTATCAGATACTTACAACACCATCTCCAGATCAGCTTTTCGGTGAACGCCCCTCTAATAATGGGCCCAACCCCTCCAGCAACAGCCCAAACCATGCCGAAGATTCCATAATTCTTAGGCCTGTCACGGAGACTGAACAAATCAGCGAAGCAGATGTTGACAAGGGCCAGAAGTCCGCCGCCGCCGATGCCCTGGATGATCCGCCCACCAATGAGCATTCTGGTGTTCTGATTTAAGGTAGCCACAAGACTTCCTGCGATGAAATGACATTGGCCAGTAATAAGAGTGGTTTGCGGCCCCAGATGTTGCTGAATGCGCCCCAAACAGGCGTGGCGGCTGCAGCAGCAATGAGATATGAGCTTCAACCCAAGCAGAATCTGCCGAAGACGCCTCGAAGTGGCTTGCTATGGTGGGCAAGGCAGTAGCTATGGTTGTAATATCAAGTGCTGAGAGAAATGGTCCAAGAGAGAGGGGGAGCATGAAAATAACGATACGGCCTTTGGATTGAGTCTTAGCAGGCATCCTTTGGTGCTGTCAACGTTGTTTCCGAACCATTGGCTAGCGGTAAATTCGCGGCAGAGGATTCATGTGTAGCCTGGTCAGGGCCCATCTTGATGCATCGAACAAGGACGAGTGTACACGACTGTGTTGCAATGCTTGGTATGAGTTGTGTCTCGCAGACGTTAAAGCCAACAATAGGGGATCAAGTATCCCAAAGCAAGAGTTGGCAGACAGAGCACGAGGAAGAGGTCAAACTCGATGTCCCAGACTGTCCAGACAAGATGGTGAATGGGAACAACAGCCAAGATTAATGCTGCGTATTTCATGCACCACTTGGTCAGGACTGTTGACACACTCAAGCTCGAACTAGACTAAGCATCGTGTTGTTGATATCAATCATAATAACAACAATAGTTCTTCGATATATGTCGATTCAAGGATCAAGAACTAGGGTTTGATGAACAATGTATCAGAAATGAACGACATGAAGAATAACTCAAGAGGGACAGCCATGAACGAGGGGGTTGATCAAACAGAAAGGTGTTGGTTGCACGCGTTCTCGGTACATGAAGTGCATGGCTTCGTTTACCCTGCGATTGAAATGAATCTCCGGGTGGTTTAATTGATACGAGTTGCAAGGGATGATCAAATAAGGGCTGAAGTGGACGGCCTCGAATCGCCCGATTCACCTCCTTGATAGCCGGCATATCATTGATTGGAATTATCACCCGCAGGAGTACTTCTCGTTCTTCAACGCCTCAGCATTGCCACGAGCATCCACGAGCACGTGCGAGCCCTCTCTCGGCACGTGACCATGATCATGTGATCATAGCGTCAGGCCCAAAGAATTAGAAATTGTGCCACCATTACATATATTGTACCCAGATGGTAACTAGACTACCAGAACTTACGTACCTAGTATATATCTCATTGAACTCTTAAGACCCAGTGAACATCAGTACCCAGAAGTGGCCCCCGTCTTCTGCGAGAGGGATGGACTAAAAGCGGCGACCCAACGGAATGACTAATGCCAAGCCCGAACCGCCGCGAACCTACATTGGGAATCTTTGAATGTTTTGCAGATGCTATAGCAGACCACGAGCTCGAGCTCGCCAGAGTTGCTATCCCACCTAACATGGCTCCAGCCCGCGCAATGCGCTTCGTAAGAACTGAGAATCCCTTTCTAGTTTCAGTATGAGTCTCTGACACCCCATACAGACCCCGCGAGTCGCTTTTCTGATGCTGGGAGGAGCTGCCGCCACCCAAAGCCCTCTCACTCGCACTGCTTTCGCTGAAGCTCCATTGAAAGATGAAGATGAAGTATGTCCGGCCAGATCCCTTGTAGATCGTGTTACGGTAAGACCGTCTAACATCATTGCCAGCTTCCCGACAAAAAGCCTATATACTCCTCTTATCCCATAGCGCCCACCACTCCGAAACCATCTTCAACCTCCCCAGTCTCTAAGCCCAACCCGACATCTCCTACACCCACCGACCGGTTAACAGCACAAGTAAAACGAGCTCGACTCTTTGCCTTCGACCAGTCTCTGGCCGTCGAGAATGCAACCAATAATTTCCTGACGTGGGCGTTCCGCAAGGAGACCAATTTCAGCAATACCATTGCATCCCTCGCTCCCGCACCGGAGACGGGAGAGCAGCTCCTGCCTGGCACCATATACGTCCTCGTCGCGACTCTTGCAGGTTCGATAGTCTCTAGAAATCGAGGGATTTTTCTAAGAGCGGCTACTCCACTGGCCGTGGGGATCACGGCTGGCTGGTTCTTAATCCCGGTTACGATGCGTAACACCTCGGATTTGATCTGGGAGTATGAGAAGAAGGTTCCGGTTGTGAGCGAGACTCATGCCCAGATCGCTGGCTTTGTGAAGGAGAGCTGGAGGCAAGCAAAGACGCACGCTCAATTCGCGGCGAATTGGGCCGACGACACGACAGCCGAAGCACGGCAAAAAGTGGAGGAGATGGTGTCCAAAGGAAAATAGAACATGTCCGGATTATAAACCTGGGAAAAGAGAGAAAAAGAACCTCTGTCATCAGTATTTGATTGGAGAAGTAGGCAGTTGCTCGCGAGGTCATAAAGGGCTCGATGTACAGAAATGCATTAGATTCTGGATCCGTACAACGGAAACACATTCACGTGCGCATTTGGCATCAGATCTGACGAAGCAGATCTGACAAACTTGATATTGACGCAGGCGGCATCATGTCCAATGGACCAAAAGCCAATATTTCACCCTTTGAAAGCTGTTCTAGCACAGGTCACGGTCGCACATTGCTGTTCGCTTTAAACTACAAATATTGCAGCACACTTGCGGGGCGCAAACTGGAGCAGAAAATGCCCCTATCGAAGCCGTCGAGATCTCGCTGCATGCATGCACCGTACATCACGATTACTGACCAAAAGGCCTCCGATAGCGTACAAGGCTCTGAAGCCTCTGATTCGCCACACTGATGGTTGATCTGCGAGACTGGTCAAGACTTCGTACATCGAACCAAAGTATACGCCCTCCATTACTAAAACCAGGCTGCCGACTCTCGTACTTGACGCCTTAATTCAATGCATGTTTTCGTGGCTTTAGACGATCTCTCACGACTCACTGAGTCACCGGGAAAAGTGTATATATGAATGAATGACCGTCTGGTAAGGTCTGAGTCTTCTCGGATTGTCCAAGTCAAATCACAACGACTGGTTGATTGCCTTTGAAAACAATACCAGTCAGAAACCCTGCAGACCCAGGCCCAGGCCCAGGCGCAGACGCAGACCCAGAATTCGCCATGACAGGAGCATCTTATACCAACAAACGCCTAAGCAGAGGCATCAATGCTCTCGTGGGCGGCAGCGGAGACACACCCATTGTCTGCCTCGCCGGCTGGCCAGAGACAGCTGAAGCGTTCGCCGAGGTACTTCCCTTACTGGCTGAATTCCACTGTGTCCTAGTCCTCGATCTGCCAGGTCTCGGCGACTCAGCACCCAGCAAAGATGGCTACGACACGCAAACCATCAGTAGGATTCTCGCGGAAGTGGTCGAGGCAGAGCTCGGCGTGTCGGTGAAATACCATCTCGTGGGCCACGATGTGGGCGCATGGGTCGGATATTCATGGGCAGCGCAGTATGGGTCTTCACTACTGAGCTTGACATTGATAGACTCCGTGATCCCCGGCCTCGCCGTACTCCCGGAATACCCTTTACCCGACGGGCCGAACATCAAGCTGTGGCAGTTCGCGTTCAATCGGCTCCCTGAGCTGCCAGAGGTGCTGACGGAAGGGCGCGAGCGCCAACTGTTAGACTGGCTGTTCGATCGCAAATCCGTCCACCCTGAACGCATCACACCTGCGAAGCGCAACAGATATGTGGCGTGCTACTCACGACCCGGAGCGATGAGTTGTGGATTTGCGTACTACCGCGCTATCCCGGAGAATGTAAGGCAGAATCGTGAGGTGTCGTCCATAAATAAATTACAGCTGCCCATGCTAGCTCTGGGTGGAGCGCAAGCAGCAGGGGATATAATGAAGACCACGCTGGGCCTTACAGCGAAGTCGGAGGAGTCGAGATTTGTCGCCATAGAGGACTGTGGCCATTACGTGGTGGAGGAACAGCCTGAAGTTTCTGCAAGAGAGATACTCGCCTTCGTTGCGGCGATCAAGGCACGTTGACTTACTACCTAGATTATAAAATGTTGTGTGATTGCTATATATATGTTGCAGTCATGTTTTTTGGCCAATAGCCGCTGTGCTAATACCTAGTCTTCAGACCGAGGACAATTGCGACTCAAAAGTCTCAACGTTCCAAGGGCACGGTTGACTCGAGCGTACGAACCCAATGATCTCTTCTCGGATAAAGCTCGTTACTGGCCCAAAGATTTGAGCCGAAGCAAGGAGTGCATTGTTCTTTGGCTCCTTGGCGAAAACTAGTTGGCACTCAGACCCTTCGCCTCTCTGTGTCCTCGACTTGCATCTCCTCAAGCTTATCACCCATGACGGCGGCTTCAGCGGCCACATCATCCTCTGTGAGTAGAACCACTTTATCACCAAACGCAGCTGCAATTTCCTCAAGGGTTTTTTGCTTCGTTTCACTATAGGCCCAAAGGCATGGTTAGTTGACATGTCATCATGCATGAACATGAACCTTTGAAAGAGCTTTGATTCATAGCTATAGGAAGGGAAACGTACGGGAAGTAGAAATATGCGATGACGAGGAAGAAGAATGAGCAAACTACGAAGACGTAGTAGTAATTCTCGTGGATATTGGCGAAGGCGCTGGGGCCGGCTTCCGTGACTGTAATTTTCGTTAGGCTTTTGCTTTCTTGAGGTTCGGGAGCAGAGAAGGCTAGACTCCAGAGCGAACTTACTCCCAACGTTGACTATAAAGTGCGAAGCCGCAGCGAGGCCCATGACTTTGGATCGAAGTGCGATAGGCAGCACTTCAGCACCATAGAGCCAAGTCGTACTGTTCAGCATTCCATCTGCGAGATTCAGTCAGCGATAAGGATTGAGGACCTTTGAACTTGCTCTTACAGTAGAAGACGACAAAGAGGTAAATGCCGAGGACCGCAAAGCCTTTACCAAGTTTATTATCCGTATTCTGAAATTCACGTTGCATAACGGCTGCATAGATCTCGATAACCACGATCGATGAAAGACCAGTCAGAATCATACTATGCACTTTGTCAGCGCATTGTTGCCAATGGAGGAAAACGTGACAAGTCTACTCACGGCCGCCGACCCCACCAGTCCAAGATATATCTTGTGGTGAGAACGTTTGATACAAATGCACAGGTGCCATAAATCGATGCAAGGGCGAGAATCATGTGGGAGTTGATGCCGAGCGACTTGTACAGAAGTGCTTCATGTGGGATCAGCAGGGGCGCTCACTATAGAGGACGCGGGTGTGCTTACTCTGATAATACTGGATGACATTGACACCAGTCAGACTAGTCATAGTTTGAACGGCAATGGAGCTGTTCTCATGGTTAGAATAAGTCCGCTTAACCAGTGAATGCGAAGAAACCCACACTAGAGCACGATGCCTGAACAACTTGAAGATTTCCGCCAGAGACTTGATCTCTCTCTTTTTCTCGAACTCAATCTGCGCATGCATGAGCGCAAACTCTGCTTGTGCCTCATGCGAATTGAGATCCCTGCGGATGTTGAGGAATTGTTTTCGTGCTTCCTCGATTTTGTCTTTACGGATCAATATACGCGGGCTGTCTGGCATGAACGTGGCGAGACCGATGAAAAGAATGATCCCCCACGGGATCTGGATCGCGAGTGGAAGACGCCACTGAACAGCTCCATATGGAGCATAGCTGCAAGCGAATCCAACCCAATTGGAAGCCATAGTGCCCAAACTAATGCCGCATCCTGAAATACCTCCGATCAAGCCACGGCTAGCTGGAGCAGAGATCTCGCTGAGATAGATGGGGACGGTCGCAACCATTCCGCTGGTCTGGAGTCAGAATAGTTGGGGAAAGAGTCAATGGGGCACACCGAAGGCAGGTGGAAACATACCCGACGGCAAAACCAGCAATGAAACGACCAGCCAGAAACATGCCGATGTTAACGGCGCCTGTCTGGATCGAGGTACCAATGGTGACGATAATGCACATCAGTTGCATGAATCGAATTCGTCCTAACTGATCTCCGACTGCGGTTTGCAAAAGGGCGCCAACAGCCTCGCCAGCGATATAAATGGCCACAACCTACATTCGGATCAGTGCCATGCTCAACTTGCATTAGGACCAGACTTACAGCTCCTGTCAGTCCTTTGGACGGATGGTCCATGTAATCTATCCATGATTGATGTGCGATTGCTAGAGCCTTGTCAGGATCAAATGAGATGGAATGCACGGACGGACTTACTTGTGGTAGCTATGCCGGTGTCAAAGCCCTAGAGCGAGAACGTCAGCATTGGTGACGTCTCTGCATCCCGGTATACTCACGAAAAGAAAAGTGCCAATGGCCGCAAATAGGGACACACCCAAAGTATACATTGTTGCACCACCCATGTTTGATGCTTATTGCTCCCTCAATCAGACGGTTCTTCTCAACGTGTGCATAGGAAGGAAAGTTGGTAAGAGACAGTAGGAGCATGAGTAAGAACGTCAGAAGACATGCAGACGGCGGCCATTAATTCTACTGATAACAGGCAATGATCATCACAAGGTCGTGGGATCTCCGTCGGTCTCATCGCCGGTGCTTGACAAGGGCTGGTTCGAGAGACCACATTGCTGAAAGGCTACAGAGAGCCAATCTTGCTTCATCCGGGTTAATGGGTAGCGAACCCGCCATCGAACTGGAGAGGCCATTTGGTAGAGTCGGCCGACTGGTGACATTCCTCTTACCTAGGTCTGTACTGGGTCCTGGCTTCTCGAAGAGCTAACGGCTATGACGGCACAAATTTGCAATCATACGGGCAGCCGGTTGAGATCCCGGGCCTACCAGGATCGGCGGCAAATGAACGCCTTCAAACCGTAATGTGCAAGAGCACAAGGGAATGGAAAGCCCACAGGTAGAAAATGACATATGAACTCTTTAACAACTCCAAATGCCGTGAGCAAGTCCGGGGCAATGCTAGGAGTAAATGGGGGTGGGGGTTGAAAGTGGGGTGTCAAAAATCATGGGGGTGTCTGACGCCATGAGGGGAAGTCCTATCAAGATCCTCTAAGCTCCACCGCCAAGGAGCTAGTGAGGCACTAGTGCGGCAAGGGCTTAGGGAAAAGTCGGGGGAATGGGGAGCGATGCTTGACACGCTTCACGGCTATCTCGTACTCGGCCTTGCTTGAGTCTCTTAGGCGGAGTTCCATGTCAAAGACCGTAGCAGGACTCTCAAGGAGACTTGGTTCTGGGAGGTAAATGCCTCCAAGCTTGCCTAGTTGACCACCTAACGGCAGTCCCAATATATATCTTGATTTATTTCCAATGTGGTACGTGCGTCCCGTGCTTTTGGGTATCCATGTTGAATCTGCAGCTCATCGGTCCTTTGGGCTACCAACGTGTTGAAGAATGTTGGTGAGTACTCGAGCATCCGTCTCATGCGGATCTTTATTCATGTTCCTGCCGAAACCCCTGCCGGGCACCTGCTGGCGGGTGTTTTCTATGCATCCTTTTCGCAACCACCTGGGCAATGCTTCCACTTATGGCTCGCCCCAGATCTCATCTGCGATCTGTCTAATCAACGCTAGCTTTGCGGACTGGTCTTGGTCACTGAGAGGATAGCCTGACTCGTGGGTGCTAAAACCACATTGTGGGCTGAGGCCGATTTGCTTCAGCGCCTCTTGCCGAGTCTGGCCAGATCCCTCTGCCAGGAAGTCGGCAGCCTTGCGGATCCTGTTCTTTACCTCTTCTTTGTTCTCCAGCTCCCTTAGCTTGGTGCTTATCGCCCCGATGATCACGTTCTTATTCTTGGGGAGATACTTGAGGGGCTCAAATCCTCCTGCACGTTCCGTATCGTATTCTAGGTAAAATGTGTCGACGTTGAGGTTCTGGAAGAGCTTGCTGGCGATAATATCGTATGCTCCTTCCGCGAAGTGTCTCCCACCAATGAAGTTGCCTCTGCAGAGGTGCACACCGGTGTGCAGATCCTTGGGGATATGGGCCAAGGAATCGTTGTACAGCTTAATGTATGCGTCAAGAAGCTCATCGACTGTCCCGATGTTGTCTTTGTCGGCAGCCCAGCCATCTCGGAACTGATTTGAACAGAAGTCTTGTTGGAATCACGTCAGAAGATATGTATGGAAGGGCAGTGTTGGTCGAGTTGACTCACAGGCAAGCCCTGGGTCGTCAAATTGAACGTTTCTTAGACCCGCTTCATATAGTACCTCCAACTCCTTAGCGTATGCTGCTGCCACATCCTTGAAATATTCGGCATCGCTGGAATAAGCCTCTGGAGTGTATGCCTTGCCCTGCTTGTATCTCATATGAAACCACTACGGCATAAAGTCAGTTCAGCACTAAGTTCACTGTGAAAACGATGGTGATTTCAGGGCGGCGGCGTCTCGCTTTTGCGAAGAAAATAGATGGACTCTCGGTTTTTCCCTCGCAGAAACTTACCGCCGGCGTGATCATTGTGAGCTTGATGTTTCCCCAGTCCTCCTTGGGCACGAAAGATTGGACCAAACGGAGCTCGTGCAAGTTGGATTCTGTGCCCTTGTGATGGATCTTTCCACCAGCAATGACAGAGTCACCAGGCATGACCTTTCGGTCCTTTTCGATAAGGCTCACTACATCAGGGTGGTAAAGGCGGAAAAGGCTAGCATCTGCGTCCTGAAGACGGATCGTGCCACCGAGTTCATCCCAGAACAGACCCCAGAAGCGTGTCCGGTTGTACTCTCCACTGGAGACACCCTTGTAGCCAAGGTCGAGTTGGGTTTTGACGATTTGACCGACGGCCTTCTTCTCGACCGCCGGTAGCCCCGCCTGTTCAGGTGAAACATTTTCATCTCGGATTTTAGCTCTCACATCAAGCAAGTCTTGTGGTCGAAGTAAAGAGCCCATATGCTCAGCCCGAAAGGGGGGCTGATGGTGTAAGGGACGACCAGCCATTCTCGGAAATGTGCGTTCTATACTGTATATTTTAGCTCTGGAACAAGATCTGAGATGAAATCAATCTCTTTGTTAATATTGTGCGACAGAGACTTCACTTGGAATGGGCCAAGTCGTCCTTGAGTGCCAGGGAGAGCACAAACCGGGAACAGCCCCGCCACATTTTGGCCTGGCCCCGCCGTGATGAAAATGCATTGCACTGCGCTATGAGACCTGGCATGGTATTGTGACTGTGGCACAGAAGCTGTTGCCAGAGAAAAGTCCATTGTGCTTCTATTGTGATACCTGGTATTGATAAGGAACTAGACTACCTCAGGGAAATCTATGTAGCTCCGCTTTAACTTGCTCGGTCCCTTTCTGTTCAATTTTCAGGGACCATCAGCCATCCAGATGCCTTGGTTTTGAGGGCATTCGTTGTTGCACTCTGCGACAACCAGACAGCCAGAGAAGCATGCCTCTTCAGGCGTACCATGGTCACCTCCAGTGCCCTTTGAAAAACGCCGTAGCTCCTGCTGCCCTGATGCCGATGGTGACGATGAAATAAATTATATTCCCACTCTGGCGGCTAATCATTCTGAGCTTACCATGCATTTGCAGGCTACAAATTGAGAAATAATGAATTATTCTGCCAACTCGGCACTGCCTTTGACAGAGGTTCAGGCATGAACGGCGATTAAATGCGGTGCTTTTCGCTCTCTGCATCAACGTTAGCGATTTTCAGGGGGAAGTTCGGAGGAGATTACTGACCTAGCCGGGAGTAGAGCATGTATAATGCCATCTGGTTGCATTCCTGAGTGCCTGTGATGGTGACCAATCGTTCATTGCTGTTGTCTTGGGGCTCATTAATTTTGATGACGCTGCCGCTGAGGTGTCGGATCTCGTTGATCTTGGCACCGCCCTTGCCAATAATCGCTCCCACCATATCATTTGGAATGTAAATTTGCTGAGTGATAGGTTGTCCTGGCATTGCCTGTGGAGGCTGGGCGGGCTGTCCATGTGGACCAGGCTGAGGAGGCATTTGCCCGTAAGCCGCTGCATGCTGGGGTGCACCGCCATAGCTTGGTGTACGTGGTGTGGGTACAGCAGCAGCATAAGGCTGAGCATGCTGAGGATATGCTGGATGAGCCGAGCCGGGCAGCTGTGGTGTGCCATAAGGCTGGGGAGGCATACGTTGAGGCGGGTGTGTGTTGTGTTTCTTGTATGATTCCGGATGACCGAATTGACCACCAGCCGGTTGTGGGACATACGGAACAACCTGCATACCACCAGGTACAACGCCAGCAGGACCTCCACTTCTTGTGGCATATGCAGAAGCTGCTGGACCGCCAAAGCGCTCGGTGAGCTGTTCAACAAGTGTGACGGCTACATAGTAAGTAGCAATATGCACCGCATCAGCGACCCCTAGAACAACCAGCGAACGCTCAGTCGAAAGAGGTAGACATGAATCAGAAGCATTTAAACGAGCACCAGAAGCTTCTTGGATCTCGCGGATCCGGACACCAGATTTGCCAATGATGGAGCCTATGAGGATGTGGGGAATGAGGAGTCGGAGTGGGTACGTCTTGGACTGCGCGGTAGATGGGGCCTCAAGAGGTTCATTGTTGAGCGTCCGAATAATCAAGCCAAAAGCCTGCAAGGGTTAGCAGTCAGCAAATGGATTGGAAAATGGAATTGAAGGGATTCTACCTTGGCCACAGCATCCTGCGCACCACTCACAGTCAGGATGCGTTCGACGGCACCACGTGAATAGTCGCTCACGGTGCATTTTGCTCCAGACAACTTCCGAATTTGAGTAACATTCTCTCCGCCCTTGCCGATACAAGTCGCAGCTTCAGCGCTGGAAATTACTGCTCGGATGTGAATCCAGTTCGTTTCGTCTTGTGTCGGGCCCCCTTGGGTTTCGGGCACAACGCGTTCACTCTGGGATGCTGTAGACAGGATGGGTTGGGCATCTGAGGGCGGTGCAGGCAAAGTGCCATTGGTTCCAGCCGGGGCAGGCGCATCAGTTTGGGCCTCTACCGTACCATTGGTAACAGGCATAGGCGGCAAGGCATGTTCTGGGACAGCCTTAGAGCCACCGATGGTTGTACTGGATGAGGTTTCTATTCCATCAGAGGGAGGCTCATCTTTGGCTAGCTTGTCCAGCGCGGGACGTTTGGCCTCTGGTAGGTCAGTCGGGGCTGAAGGGGAGGAAGGATCTTCCAACGGTCTTTTCGTGGAGGCCATTGCAGTAGTGGACGAGGGTGACGCAGACATGTCGCGTGACCTGAAAAAGGGGTGGAACACTTGCAAGTGTGGATTGGTTTCAAATGTGATATATTTCTCTTCTCGAGTATTATGTACACCAAGGGAAGACCCCAAAGAAAAGGTGTTGGTGCAGAGAGGGTTTCGGAGGTACCAAACGCGAGGGAGAATTGTGAGAGGATAGGTGGAAGGTAGGAGGATTGGAAGATGTCTGGAAAACTCGGATTCAGGGTCGACAGGTGTGGAGAACTGGATGTATGTGCTCTGAGGATGTCGGAGGAGTGCAGGAAAGGATGGATGAGGTGTAGGATGCTTGAGGTAGATGGAGGAGATGAGTCAGGTGAGGTTGAAAACAACAACGACTTTTGAAGCAGGTCGTGATGGTGATCCTGGCTCTGACTCCGACTCCCGTGCGCTTCAAGATGAAGAACGAGTCTCGTACTTAACTCAGAAGAATAATCAAGAGCAAGCTGCGATCCAGGCGCAAGCTCAGGCGCAGTTGGTAGAGGTAAAGGAGGAGGAGGGAGCAAGAGAAAGTAGTAGGTGTGTGAAGTTTGAGAGATCAACCGAGGTGGAATCAGAAGGAGAAGGAGAAGTGGACGTGGCCGTTGGAGGTTTTGCAGGGGAAATTGACAGATGCCAGAACGAGCGTGTGAAGTTGAACAGACTGCTAGCAGCTGTTTGACATGAAGCCACGGCCGCGACGGCACAACTGGATGTTGAAGTCGACGATGAGGATCTGATGGAGATGGAGATGAAGCGGTAGGCGACTTGATGCAAGGTGTGAGGGACGTGGTTGTGCCTCTTCTGGTCTATCCACGCTACTAATTACACTGCGATTCGATTCTGACAGGAGGAAGAGGAGGAGATTTCGCTTGGGAGCCTGCGCCAAGATGTGCTAGCGCTGCTTTAGGACAAGCGCAATGCCGCTTCTTGATCCTCAGGAGCTCGCATCACGTGACTTTACGAGGGTGGGATCCTCAGCCTTGGAGCCTTGACAGCCTCCCGAGAGTCCATTCAGTAAAAGACTTCCAGGTGTTCAACAACGCAGCTGGCGATTATTATTATCATCAATTCCGAGTCGGCCGCTTCGGGCCAAACAGTAAAATGGGCGCTTGTGGCTGTACCCCCCCAATAAAAGCCTGCCATCCAGACCCCAAAGGTCGACCAGAATCAACGTCATCGTGTCAACGAGATCAACGAATGTCACTTAACCACTAACTTTAGCCATCTCAGCTCCAGGCTTTGCTGCTAGAAGCCTACGGTACGAAGGACGCATAGCTGTGTCTATACTGGCACCAGGAATCCAAGGGTCTGTCTTTCAAGCTGTCCTCTCTGGTCACTTGCTTCCGCTCTCGTATTCCTCCTCCCTTAGTCATCTCCTTTCCCAGTCTTCGTGACACCTGTGAGTTCTCCTTTAGCACTCTACGTCTCACAAGACCAGACCGAAGTCGCACAGTCAAGTCCCTGCTTGAGCTGGGCGTCCGTGCACATCTCTCCCTGCCGCCCTTGTCAGACTATTTGGGCCATCGCTCTGCATCATTCAGATTTCGCAACGTGCTTCTAGCCTGACTCGCTACGCGTTGCTCGTTGCAATCATGGGTGAGGTCAACCTCCCTTCTCTGCCGCTCCAGATCGAGGACTATGGCCTGATTGGCGACATGAAAACGTGCGCCTTGGTTGGCAAGAATGGTCGCATTGATTACATGTGCTGGCCAAAATTTGTTTCTCCCTCGACTTTCTACAGAATCCTCGACACGAGTCAAGGCGGAGGCAGCCATTGGAGTATCAGTCCTCGAAATAGCACCCTCTGCAAGCAGAACTACCGCGCCTCTTCCAGACAAAATGGATAGACGAAGATGGAGTTGTCGACCTGACCGATTCTTTGCCCTGTCCCAACACAACAAGGTCCTGCGAGGGAGTGGCTCTACCCTTGTCAGGAAACTCGACTGTATCCGTGGCTCCATGTCCATAGATATCGAGCTTTGTCCCAAACCCGGTTACGCTCGATCTGATGGTTCCATGAACTTCTCCCAGGTCGATGCAGATGGGGACACTTACCGTCAATCCCTTTCATGGGTTCCAGTCAACCAGAACCAGTCCGATGATGTTCCAGAGTTCTTCATCAGCTACTACACCCACGATCGCCCATTGAAGGCTGCACCTCATATGTTTCGCATCGAAGGTTCTACCAACGACACTCTGCATGCTTACTTTGAGCTTCGAGAGGGTCAACGTAGTATCATGGTCATGTACAACAGAGCACTTGAGCCATATCTCAACGCTGATTTATTTAGTACCCTCGAAGATGATACTTACAAGTACTGGACGAATTGGATTCAAGCCTGTCACTCCCGCGGGCGATTTCACCAAGAAGTCGAACGCAGTATGCTCATTCTGATACTCCTCACCTATGATGCCACGGGTGCCATTGTCGCCGCACCAACCTTCTCTCTTCCTGAAGCTAATGGTGGCCCACGAAACTGGGATTACCGATATTCCTGGGTGCGTGATTCTAGCTTCACAATTTGTAAGGTGATCCCATGAGACTTTTGCTGTCCCCTATAATCGTATTTAGCTAACATCTCCCTCCGACGTGTTCCTCAAAATGGGGTTTCCGGCTGAAGCCGAAGCATATATCAACTTCATCTTCGCGCGGATCGCGGAATGGCGTAAAGTCGCCGAAACTTCGACAACAGTTCACCATTTGCCACTGATGTTCAGCATTGACGGCTCTACCGATTTACCAGAATTGACACTGAACCACTTATCCGGTTACCAGGACTCGCGTCCAGTACGCATTGGCAATGCAGCGACTGACCATGTGCAGCTAGACATCTATGGCGAACTGATGGATTCAATCTATTTGTACAACAAGCACGGTAAACCAGGATCTTACGCCCAATGGCTCAACGTCCGCTACATAACAGACTTTGTTTGCAAAGTCTGGGACCAGCCGGATATGTCAATATGTGAGGTCCGCGGTCACAAACAGCACTTTGTCTACTCCAAAATGATGCTTTGGGTGGCCGTGGACAGCCCAATTCGCCTGTCTGATAAACGCAATTTCCCCTGTCCCAATCGTCTCAAGTGGCTTGAGACCCGTGATACCATCTACGAACAGGTGATGCAGCGCGGCTTCAATTACGATTTGAACTGTTTTGTCCAGAGTTATGACGCCAAGACGAGTCTCGATTCCGCTGTCTTGGTGGCGCCTCTGGTTTCTTCATGTCTCCGAATGACCCCCAGTTCATCGGCACTCTGGCTCGAATTCTCAGGAGCCCAGAGAATGGTGGCCTTGCCTCAGCCGGGTTTGTTTTCCGGCATGACCATGAAAAGACCGATGACGGTTCGTAGTTCTCACTTTTGACTTCCTTCTGACCCGCTTCTGGCCCCATTTCTCCTCCCTGTCTTCTCCACCTTTCCCAAGCCTATCTAACTTTCTATCCCACATCACTGGTGTTGGTGGCCGTGAAGGCACATTCGTGATGTGCACGCTTTGGCTAATTGAGGCATTGGTCCGAGCGGGAAAATACAGCAAGTCATACCTGGCAACCGCGACCGCGATGTTCGAGACCGTCACCAACTTCCGTAACCACCTCGGGATGTTGTCCGAAGAAATCTCTCTCAGTGGTGCCCAGCTGGGAAACACGCCACATGTACTCAGCCATCTTGCTAATGTTTCTGCCGCATTGAATATTGAAAGGGTCGGAAGGGGTGACTGAGAACCAGAATTTGTTCTGGGAGGAGATGTGATCAGATGAAAAACGCGAAGGAAAAGCGATAGCTACTAGAACGGACCTATGTAATACAACGATGCTGGCAATTCTGATGGGACTTGTGGAAGGGTGGACGAATAAGACGTTACTTGAAACGATGTCGATTTCATCAAAACTTGATTGTTTTCGTCAAGCCTATTGCGTCTCTGGCACATTTCTCTAATTAGCGCCAATGGCTGGGTCCCAAGTCTGATCCACGCCACTTCATTCGATCATTCATAGTAATGGCCTCATTCAAGCACCAGTTCTCTTCGGTGGTTGGGTTCCAACAATTCATTTTCACACCTTTCCAGCGCTGCGTCTCGCTGCTCCTCGAGGATTTGAGTCTGCCTGGCATATTCCTGCAGTTGCATTGACATTGTTGCCATCCTCGAGTTCTCTTGGTTTGCCAGCGCAGCCTTTGCGTGAGGATTCACGGCAGGGGTGAGTGGCAGCTTTCGTGGACCGGAAGAGAACAACGAGGAGTCGACGGACTTGACGGAGGTAGGAGTAGAGCGGTTGATCACGCTGGTGGCTGGAGTTCGCAACGGTGTCTGAGGTACTCCGTTGGTGTTGTTCCCTTGCAATTGGGCTCGAAGCTGTCGTATCTCTTCGTCTTTCGCTGCTGAAACTTTCGCTGTTGCTTCTCGGACTGCTCTCTCCGCCATTTCTCGCAGCACTGTACACTGGCCATTAAGATCTTGATTGCTTCTTGTGAGGCTCTCAACTCTTCCGCTCAAATTATTCTTTTGGCGCTGTTCTGTCTGGAGGGAAGTCTCCATCTCTGCGAGATAGCTTTTGAGACGTTTATACTCTTCGCTCAGCCGCTGGTACTGCCCAGAACCGTGGTCAAATCGTGCTCGCAGATCGCCAAACGCTTGCTGAAGTTTCACCGAGTCAGGGCCGGATTGCGCTTGCAGTTGTATGATCTGAGATTTGGCGGCGTCGCGTTCATTCTGGACCTTTTGGCCCTCTGCTTTCAGATTCTCGCACTGCTGCTGCGCGTCTCGAAGAGTGTTGTCAGCGTGCTGCAAGCGTTGAAGTAGCTCGGCCTTCTCTGTCTCCACAGGATCAATCTGTTGGCGGTGCAAGGTCTCAGCAGTTGCCTTTGTGGCCTGAATCTCAGCCTCAAGACGATCGGCACGAGCGCAATTCTCTTGATTTTCAAGGGCGAAGGTTGCTTGAGCCTTCTCAGAGTCTCCTACACGCTTCTTCAAGCTCTTATTCTCCTGACGCAGGGCCTCGGCTTCTTGCTCGAGTCTCTCCCTCGTCTTCCCGCCGTCGAGCAACTCGTTTCTGAGTGCTTCGTTCGAGGCTTCTGCCCCCCTTTTCTCGCTCTCTGCTGAGCTGGTCTTCTCTGCGGCGCTTGCTTCAGCGGCATCCTTGGCTGAGATGGCATCATTCAATTGGCTTTCGAGAGATTGCTTGTACTCCCTCGATGCTTGCTCATTGATGCTGGCGGTCTGTTGATGATCGAGCAGTTGTGTCTGGCTTTCATTCAATCGGCTATTGAGATCGAGGATTTGGGCATCCTTTTCAGTCATGACTTTCTCCAGGAGGGCGGTATTCTCTTCCGAGGCCTTCTGAAAGGTAGCAAACTTCTCGTCAGACCCTTTCTTCATGGAAGCATTTTCATCCGAGACTTTCTTCAGGGAGATATCCGTTTCCAGAATCAGCCGTCTAAGAGTCTCCTCAATAGCCTGAGCATTTTGCTCGGCTTGCTCGCGTTTTTGGCGTTCAATAGCCAGTTTCTCATCGGAGAGCCTATCCTTTGGAAGGGGTTCTAGAGAGGATGCAGCTTGTGAAGCAGGCCGCTGTTGCTTGAGCGACCTGAGTTGTGTCTTGTACAGATTCACTTCTTGGATCAAGGCTGCAATCTCTTTATCCATCTCTGGAAAAGTCTTTCTCCGAGGGCCAGTCATGGCAGGCCTCGATTCTCGAGCTGTCTGCTCTCGAACAAATTGCACTCTTTCTTCGTGCGACTGTGTGGGTGGAGGTTGAGTATGAAGGGTTGAAAGGCGCGTTCGGATAAAGGCGGGGCGAGTTGCAATCGGCACCGGTCTGACGCTGCAGGGAGGTCTTCTAATCTGTGCTATCGGCTGGCTTCTCATGAACCAATCCGGCGGGAAATCAAGGTCAGGTTTAGGAAAATCATCACCGTCACCATCTGAAGGAGAAATTCCATTGTGAGGCTGAGAGGGGCCAGGGGTGGGTGGAGGTGGAGACGGTGCCGTAGGCGTAGTTGGAGGTGCAGGAACAGGTGCAGGTGCAGGTTTAGCGACTGGAGTAGGCGTTGGAGTAGTACCATGTATAGGTTCAGGGATGGGTGTGGGTGTAGGTGTGGGTGTGGGTGTAGGTGTAGGTATTGATATGGGTCCAGGACCAGGCGGAGGTGTTGGGGTTGGGGTTGGTGTTGGTTCAGGAAGCCGAGTCATCCATTCTCGCCAATGGACATTCCATCTCTCGTAGATGATCTGTGGGAGACGGGTAACAAGCCAGATGAGTACGACGACCGCCTTTACCGCGCAGTCGACGAGGAAAAGACCGAGGAGAGAAGCGGAGCGCCAAACGATATCGTACATTGCGAGTGCTGCCCTCGCAGGCAAACGCGTGCCGAAGAAGTAGAGAAAGGCCAAGGGAAATAAAAGGACGAGGAAGATGGCGAGGTCATAGAGCTGGCCTTGGTCGCATGGATGTGTTCCGAACTTCTTCCAGAGAATCTGTTCGAGGTACTTCTTGTGTAGGCGGGATTCGACCTCGTAGTCGCACCAGACCCGCTCTTGGTAGTAGTCTTCGAGATCCATGATGCCGGAAAAGAACCAAGAAACAAGAAGTTTTGTGGGCATGGGCATGAGAACGAGAATGAGCAGGAAAACGGGGTTGTGTGGTGGTTTGGGTTGTGGTGAGGAAGACAGAGGAAAGATCTCAAGGGAAAGCAATGTTTGTAGGAGAGGAAACAAATCCTCAGACGACTGCCTCACCTGCCTCACCTGCCCATTGTGTGTGGCATTCACTGGCCCGTTTGTTGATTGTTATTTTGTTGTTCATGAGGCAGTGAATCAATATCCACTTAGTGTATTGTGTATTCACCTTATGTATATTCATATACGCCCCCTTTTGGCTAGCGCAATTTTACGAGGCTGTGGGTGGAACCCCATTCCCATTGTCAATAAAGGTTGTCACATGAACAATGCCATTGTATTCACGTACTCAGTACGCTTCCTTGCTTCTTGCACCTTCGAAGTATCAGGTGCCGGATCTTCTGCCAAAACAGCTAGCGCAGTGCAGTGGTTAGCACGTTCCGTCGTGGTGTTCGCAGGATTGTTACACGATTGAAAGGCCGGCTCTCCGATCGATTGGGTAGCGCTTCTATTGATAGACGAAAGTTCTGAAGAGACCTTGGATCAAATCCGAGCGCTGACATTTTGTGAATTTTGTTTTGCTTTTCTTTTATATATTGTGCGCGCGGCCATCCTTGATGCTGTAATGGCAGGAATATGTTTGAGACAGGAAGGGAGGGATTGTCTGGCCTCCAGAGTGAATCACTCTATAGAGCGGATATCTAGATCGCTAGATCGCCCATAATCGATTTTGTCTGCGATAGCGGAAAACCTATAGCCTTTTGAAATTCTCCTCGAAGGTAACCTTCATCAGGAGATTACAGAAAAGGATTTTAAACAGCATTTTGTTCTGGGAGCTCATCTTGCAAACGCTAACCAAGAGAGTAAAGATAATGCCTAGGCACCCATATTAAGGCTCCTGAACAATGAGGACAAGGCTCATTGCACACTCTTTGTTAAGCCTTACGCTTTTGGACGCTTTACCAGAGCTGAAACCCTTTGACTAGAGCTGGGCTTTGTTCCTTTCCACTCCTAGTCCCATCTCCCAAGTATCCTGGGCGTCCTTTTTGCGACGACTAAGACCATACTTTAGCAGCACCTCATTTCAACATCTTACCAATAAATGTTAATGTGCGACATATGTCAGAGAGCAGTTGTTGTCAACTTCGTGTCCGAATATTCAGGACAAATGTGAAGCGGGAAGCGAAGAATGTGGAAAAGCGGGTTGTTGACGCTTTGCTTGGCAACGTTGGCACAGGAAAAACATGGATGCTGTATTATGTTTGTACGGAGTACTAATGCCATGTTTCTCTCATAGACGAGGGACCTGCAGTATACAGTTGGTCAGAGAATAAAGTCAAAGGCCTCGCGAATTTTGATTGATTGTAGGTTGAAGGAAAATCCATCTAATCTTCAGGATTATAGGTCTCCTCCCTGACTATTTTACTATTCCGTCCCCAACCCTTCTCATAAGTGCATACCACGATGATCCGAAAGAATTAATTCGGCAATCGGCTCCGTGAATCGTTCATCCACACTGAGACTCATCAACTTCCCCATCTTGATATTAATTGCGCCCTTGCGGTCGTCAACGATACTCCATATACGATCCTTGATATCGAATTCGGTCTGGTAGTCGAGCAGCAGCCGCTCAATGCGGGGTTTATGGTCGTGCACGCCCAGCTGCGGGTCAGGGCCCAGGGAGATGGTGATTGTTGGTTTCCTGTCTGATGCTTTGGAGGTTGTTGATGATGTGGGAATTTGCACCACCATAGACGGGGTATCGGGGAATGTCTCGATGTGGGTCTCTGCTTCTTTCGTGACGTCCTTGCCGTCGACTGCGACTTTGAAGTCCTTGGGGATTTTGCTGAGCGTGAGGAAGCGGAAGCTCCAAGTTCTACCCGTGACGTGAGCTGTGAGCGTGCCCTTCTTCTGGTCTAGTTGGATGAGGCTGCCTCTTTCGCCGCTCTCAGGTGCTTTCTTCTCTACCTCGGAGGTGTCGTCTGAAGGATCCTCGAGCACGCTACATTGGCCGTCTCGGCCTACAACGACGAGGACCTCGAATCGTTCGGGGTTCTTGCCACCGTTCTCCGGTGCTGAATCAGCATCTAGTGGAATAATGCTGCCTTCGGGAGCCATCACGGGAATCTCGTGGAGGCCCCGGTACATGTTCAGCTCCCTCTCGCCGTCGTAGACGACGCCTGTGAAGATGTCGACCCAACGACCGGACATGGGAGGTAGCCAGACCTTGACAGCGCCCAGATTCGTCCTCGTGTCCCTCGGCGTCACGATCGGAGCAACTAGAAGGTCCGCACCAAAGAAATACTGATTCGGAACCTGATACGCCTCGTCGATTTCAGGGTAGGACCAATACATAGGCTGGACGAGGGGCTCATCGCTTGTCGCCGACCGAACATTCGCGGAGTACAAGTACGGAATGAGGCGATGTCTCAGACGCAGGAAATTCCGAATCACGATCTCCGACTCTTTGCGGTACTTCCATGGTTCCTTGGAAGTCCACTGGGAGTTGGAAGAGTGTAGGCGCATGATAGGCGAGAAGACACCGAATTGCACCCATCGGGTCACCAGTTCGTCGTCCCTTGTGCCGCCCATGTGTCCACCAATATCGTGACTCCACCACCCGTAGCCAATATTACTAGCTGTAGCTGTGAACTCAGGCTGGAACGCCAGGCTCGCCCACGTCGTGATCGTATCTCCAGAAAATCCCACAGGATAGCGGTGCGAGCCCGGTCCCGCATATCGCGAGAAAATCAAGGGTCGTTGCCCGTTATGCGCGTTGTCGAGGAAATGGAAATGGTTGAGCAGCCACAGCGGGTCTACTCCAGGGACCTTAGTGTGCGCACCTTGCTGCCAGTCGATCCACCAGAAATCGCAGGCGACTTTCTCGATATTGCGGTGCAAGATGGACAAGTACGCTTCCATGAACTTGGGACTCGTCGGGTCAAATAGAATTGGGTTCTTGCGAGAGGTGTCGTGATCGAGAAATTTAGCCATCTTCTCATACGCGTCCTCGTGGTGATGCACGCCAGAATGAGGGTGGTCGTTCAGCGTGATCTTCAGCTTCCTGTCGTGCAGGTCCTTGCCGAACTTCTTCGGGTCAGGAAACATCTTGTCGTCCCAGGTATATCCCGTCCAGCCGGCATGTGGGACACGATCGTCATTGACGAGATGCCAGTCCATATCGATGACGGCGACGGAAAGTGGGATCTCCTTCTTCTTGAACTCGTCCATTAGGTCGATGTATTCCTGCTGCTCGTAGCGATAATATCGACTCCACCAGTTGCCCAGGGCCCATCTCGGGAGTAGGGGCTGGCTCCCGCTCAGGGAGTAGAGAGCCTTGATCGCCGCTTTGTAGTCATGACCGTGTGCGAAGAGATATCCATCGACGCGATCGCCGGGTAGTCGACCGGCCACAAATCCCTTGCCGTCGAACAACATCGACTTGCTGTCGTCGATCGTTGCATATCCGAATTTTGAAAGCACGCCGACACCAAGAGCACAACGGCCGTCGACTTCATCAAGAGTTCTTGCCGTGCCACCAAGGTTAGCAACGTTCCCGGCACCTTCGTCGTCCGAGTACCGCCACTGGGCTCCCCAGAGAGTGACTTTGGCAGAGAAACTGGCAAGGAGGCCTGATGGTGAGAACCGCTTCTTGTCATAGCTAATGTGGAAGTGGTCGGTGATAATCTCGAGCTCGTCATCGCGCTCGACCTTCTGGAACTTGGGTGTTGGCAGGTCCCGATTGATAGCGAAGGTGGATGCACGATCTTCGAACTTGCCGTCGTGCGCCCACTCGTACCGAATTAGGGCATCGCTCAGGACTACGAAGCGGTAGTTTGGTCCCAGAATGACAGATTCCGGATTCGCTACCGGGTTGGACTCGAAGTGGTAGCCCTTCATGCTGCTGGTAGTTGCAACTCTGGAAAGGTGATCGGTAGATAGTCACGTTGACGAGAGTCTAACAAAGAGTGAGTGTCCTGATAGCACGATGGCAAGGCAAAAGAATGAAACCGAGCTAGAGCTTGCACACAGACCAGTCTGCCCGTGCGGTTAATTCAACGTGAGAAAACTCCTCTTTATATTGAGATGAATACGTCACGGCGAAGCTGCAAGCTACGTCGTCGGCTCCAGCGTCGAAACAGGAAGAGCTGCCGGGCTTTTCGTCCTTTCAAGAAACCCTCGGAGATTCTTCCAAGCATCAAGCATTGGCAGGCACATGTAAGGCGTGGAAGTACAGAGACGGGCTAAGCAGCGAAGGGGGCAAAAGGGTTTTTCCTTGGGGAACAAGATCGAGCAGAAGCATTATCCCCAATAAGACTCAAGCGGCCCAAGGAGATAACATCACTACGATCATCGTGTACGGAGGACAGGACAAGCGCAGGACCCTGGAATTCAAAAACAGGAGCTGAGCTGGTCGGTCGAATACTCGGAGAAACGAAGCGCAGAACTGGATTGGCTGGCTAGATGAAGCACTTCTGGATTCAGCAATCCACGCGGCCGATCGCCGACCTGAGATGGCGAAACGGTAAACTGTGGGACGGGTGTGTGGCCCTTCTGATGGCAAGACGCTGGAATGTCGATTCCTATCGACCATGCCCAACGGTGACTCTGAAGATCCTTCGAGCCAAAATGATCTTCTTGGGTATACAAACGCGCTCGCGCAGGCGATATTCGCCGGGATAACCTCCAGCATCACGAAATGAAAAGATGTCAAGATGTCAAGAGGTCAAGAGGTCAAGAGGTCAAGAGGTCAAGAGGTCAAGAGGTCTCGCACGATACGAAACACTCCAGTTCGATGATGGATTGCCGAACTTCGATTGCGTTACTATACTACTACTGGCTGTACTGTGCTCTTGTCAGCGTTCATTGCTCCATCCAACACTGAACCCAGATTGACCGCCTAAACCATGCTGCCGCCTCCTATGAAGGGAAAAGATGGCGCAACCCGCTTGGCGGCAGTGCGATCTGATCATCCCGACCGCATCTTGTCATCCTGCCAGGCCAGGAGAATCCTATACTCTTGACCATGAAGGCAAATGTCCTCGTTCGTTTGTTGTCCCGTGCTTTGCCGATTCCACCAGCCACCCCGACCCATATTCGCAAGAAAATCGTCCTCGAAGACAACCGTGTCGTCCCTTTCGCTGAGAGACTGTGTCACGGGTGTCAAAAATATATGACTTGCTTCCCCAGCAAAATTGCTGTCTGTGTGAAAAGAGAAAAGGAACAACACCGTCAATTCTTCGTCAGTGCGTCCCAACCGCCTCCCAAAAATAGCGAAGCCCAAATAAACCGTAATAATAAAGCTGTTGTACTGTTTTCGCTTTCATGAAAACGCCAAGAGCCGCCGCAATGGCGCTACTTCATGCAGCTCCGAAAAGACAAGCCCAAAGAATATCGTATCCCAAGTCGTAAGAGTTCCTCCTTTCGTAAACAAAGTAATAATATCCAAATAAAAGCGTCAGTCCTGCTCTTACTGGCCCGAGAGCGTGCGGGCTTTTCCCTGGAGAGCCTGGTGATGCACGAAGTATCGTTGTCCTTCTGCTGAATTGTTCCTTTGCCTGCGGATGGGGGTGGGGGATCGTACGCCGAGCGCACCCTCTCTCCCAGGCGAAACTTATCTGGAGTAAGAACGTCAATCCGAGTCTGTGTCTTCCACTGCACTTTCAGCGTCATCATCGCTCTCATCCACGTCTTCGTCGACAATTTCATATTGGTCGATCTCTTCTACCTGGGCTGCTTGTCCTCCTACCTTCAATCTGTTGGCCTGTCTGAGCAGTTCAGAGATTTGGCTCAACAACCCTGCGATAGGAGCTGCTTGGTCAACAAGGGGAGTGCCTTTTTGGAACGGCTGTAACATGTGCCGTAGTTGCAGTGTAGTTACACATGACTGCAGTTCATGTCAGTCATCACAATCGCTAATGGTGAGTGAATTTACTTACTTCGACTCTGGTCACCTGGTGCTCCAACAAATTCATCATGAAGCTATCCGTTTGCACTCCGCCTCGTTCCTTCATCCGCGTTAGGAGGCTCAATTCCGGCTTTTGCAAGCCAGCTGCACGATCTGGTGTTTCGAGGCAGCTGCAGAGCATCTCCAATCTCAATGCGATATCCCAAAGTTTCCAAACCTCATCAAGCTCTAGATTCAATCTAGTGTTCTTACCCAGAGCCCCAGGTCCAGATTTCTCCTCGTTTGCATTGGGAGTGTCACCACCCAGTTGGACCTTGTTCTCAGCCCCTGGCGGAATGGTCAAACGCCCTGCAAGGGAGTGGGGATACATCAGATAGAGATACTCAGGATTCTCAAGACCCTTGAGCTTTTTCTCGCCGAGATCCTTAACCTCAAAACCCTGGCTGCTCAGTTGTCTAAGTTCACGTCGTATCTGATTTGCCAGAGGATCATCGTTGACTGTATCCTCTGAACCCACCGAGTCTCGCCGATCATCGTCGGCATATGCCTCCAAGGTCCGCTGGATTTCAGCAATAAAGTCAGTGCTGACGCTGATTTGTCCACCATCAGCAACCGCTGATACTCTGGCTGCCTTGTTGACCATAGGGCCAAAGTAATCCATTCTCCTCGTGATAGGATCTTGCTCACACACAGGTCGGCCCCAGTGGAGCCCCATCCTCACAGAGAGTCCACGATAAATCCGGTTCTGGTCCGCATCGAGCTTCTCTTGGCAGTGAACTGTCTCGAGAATCTCCGTTGGCCAGTTTTGTTCTAGGAGATGACTCTGACAGCTGAAACACCAGAGCAACGCAGAAGTCACAGTGGGAAAAGACACCATGAAAGCGTCGCCTTCAGTCTTCACCTCATAGCCACCGATAATTCGCAGTTGTCGTCTCATAAGTTCGTTGTGCATCATTATAGCCGATCTCATGGGCACGGGCAGAATTTCCCACAATGCCGTCGAGTTTTTGATATCGGTGAAGCAAATAGCCACTTCCCCAATGGGTGCTTCTGGCTCTTCAAGTCTAGCCAGGCGAGAATCGCCAACCAACGTTTGATCTCTTCTCTTTTTCCTGGTTGGAAAGATAGTTCCCTCGTCGAGACCAAGCTCTTTGGCCATGGAAAGACTAGTGCCACGGAAACGATGACTGCCTCTCTTCCTCAGATCTGAGATACCCAGCACCATCACCATAATCTTATCTCTTGCTCCATATGCCATTGCCAGATCTCGAAGCTTTTGTGCCGCGAGCATGAGATCAGTCTTCTCAGCTCGGGCGACATCCACGGCCAAGTCAACCGTGACGTAATCCCAAAATTCCTTCGTGGCAACTACAATTAGCTCGTCGGATTCAGTCAGGCCACAGTTGAATGTATGTGGCGCCGCAATCACGCACGGCATGTGGCTATAATAACCGAATGCTCGACTGACTTCAAGGGCATCATTGAGCTTGCCTTGTCTCGAGACATAGCCTCCCGCCTCTCGTATCCTTTCTCTTTCACGATGCTCCGCGGGATCATGTTTTCTTGTCAACTCACGATGCTGACCATTGGACTGAATGAGAATCGCCTCTGCATCGCCGACATTGGCGACGTGTAGCTCTGTCCCATTGAGATACATAACGGTGGCCACACCGCCCGAGGTAAGATCATCTGGACCCAGAATATTTGCCACTGTAGAACCTCTATGGCCGTTAGCCAATCGATGCTCCTTGGTATCGAAATTGCTGCTGGCAAAATTCGCCATGTCCTTATTGAGAGACAGGAAAGTCCGTCGAAGAGCATCTACCGGCGTGTCTTTAGTTGCCTCAGACCTTTTGAGCTCATCATAGAACATCGCAGGGAAGTTCTCATGCAAGTACTTCGCCACCCGGGAGCCACCACTGGACATGCTTTGACCGTCGAATAGCCCAATGAGGATTTCGGCATCATGACCCCTAAAGTTTGGCTTGAGGAGATCAAGGGTTGAAAGGTGCTCGTTTTTGCCCAACGTATCTGCCATGCCGTACATTAAAGCACCAACCAAAGATGCTGAGGTTCTGACTCGACGATCTTCGTTATCGTCAGGGATGGTGTTAGTCAGGAGGGTCACGTCCATCAACCCCAGCACTCTCAGATATTTCAAGGTATTGAAGCTGGTGAGATCAGTTGTTTGCTCGCCACTCATTGAATTGAATTGTGACTGATTCTGGTGAGCTGCCGGCTTGATCTCCAACCTTTTGTTGGCGGAGAAGTTCAAGTACTTAAGATTTGTATTGCGATTCCAATTCCAGTCATACGGCCAATTCGAGACGTTGTACTTCAGTGAATTGCTTCCCACATCTAGCGTCGCTAATTTGTGTACGTTGCAGAGTTCAGCTGGAAGTACTTGGAAACGGTTGACATTCAGGTGCAATACCCTTAAATTGCTGTTCTCCTCGAGATCATCCGACGGGAGTGATGTGAGCTCATTGCCTGAGAGATACAGTTCGCTTAATTGAGTCCATCGCCGCAGTACTCCCTGAGGGAAATCATCAAGCTCGTTGTATGACAAATTCAAGACACGCAGCTCCGGAAGTAGGACTAGCTCACGAAACACGTCATCTTCAAGTCGGTTGTCTGCCAAGTAGAGATATCGTAGCGATCCGCCAAAGGTGTTTTGAAGCCTGGCCTGGGAGATATTGGAATCTTTTCGCGTAGCTGGACTCATGGAATATTCGGTGTTGGTCCTTGATATCACGGAAGCCTTTCGATGACCCGGTATTGAAGCGACTGAATTCTTCCGTCCGCCACCAGGTGAACTGCCAATGCTCATCATCCCTGCAGACGCTTGGCTAGGCCTTCGGGCCTGGAAGTCTTCCAGCTTCCCGAGCTCTTCGAAGCTGGGTGAAGTCGAGAGACCTGGAGTCGTGGCTGGAGTCAAGTCTCTGGCATCATTGGGAGGTGGAGCAGCATTCTGCTTAGGGAACGTTTCCAACACGTTGGAAGAGACGTTCAACGTTTCTAATTTCCGACAGTACCAGATCTCTGGCGGCAGACTTTTGATGTTGCATTCCCTCAAGTTCAGGAATTTAAGCTCTACCAGATTGCCAATAGAAGGAGGGATCAGGTTCAGAGGATTTTTGGCCATGCTGAGGAATTCAAGTTTTGACAATCTTCCAATCTGCGAAGACATAGATGAAAGATGGTTTTTGTCCAGATTCAGCTTCTGTAGGTTGGGACAAAAATCAAACAGCGATTCCTTGAACTCGACCAATTTTGCTGAAGCAATATTAAGGCTCGTCAAGGTGGGAACGGACTGTTCAAGCTCAAAGGAAGTGATCGGGCAATGATCCAGAACTAGGACGCGGAGTTTCTGGAAGCAGCCTTTGAAAGTGGTGATATTATTGTGACCCACCAGTAACTGTTCTAGATTCGGAAGCTGAGCCACGCTATCGATATCGGTGATCCCATTGAAGCGAGCATCGATCTCTTTCAGATTGACCAAGCTTTTGAAGCTTTCATTGAATGGCCCTTTCAAATCATTGTTGGTCACCCAGAGTCGTTCCAGAGTGATAAGTTGAGAGATCTTCGGTAGGGAAGATAATTTGTTGAAACTGATATCGAGGTCGACTAGAGACTTGAGAGCACAAATATGCTCGGGAAAGGTGGTGAAATTGTTGGAGGATAAGTTCAGGCTACGTAGTTGGCGGAAATGGGCAAAGTTCGCCGGAAGCGCCGTCAGTTTGTTGTTTGCGAGCTTCAAGCTCCCAAGTCCCATCAAGCGATGTAGCTCTGCATGTTCTAATTGTTCTAGGCGATTGTTGGAGACATCAAGCACGGTCAACCGGGTTGCCCAAGCCAAGCTAGGCGGTAAGCGCCAGACCTCGTTGCCAGTGAACTTGATTTCACGGAGATTGATGCAAGCAGTAACGAAGTCTTTCGGCACCCTCAAGGCTATGTTCCGAGACAGATTAATGGAGATGATTTCCGAGGCTTTGGTGTATAGGATGATGGGAATGGTAACCAAAGATTTCCCTTGGAGATCCACATGACTGAACTTTTGCATCTTGTTGAACGCAGGATCATTGTCGAGGCCACTACCATAGCCAGTCTGTTTTTCATGGGAGAAAGTGAAGCGTATCAGATAACTGTTGTCTTCGCGACCAATATCTTCAATTCGATCTCGGTCCGTATACCCTGCGAGTTGTAGTAATTTCTTCTGCATCGCCACAGGCCTCTCTGAGCCTCCAAGCTGCCGCGATAGCTGGTGCTTGCGCATGAGTAACTGGTAGTTGTCGATTGAATCGTGAAGAACAGACTTCTTGGCCAAGGATTGTAAGACCTCGCCCACCGTTGCATTGATGGACATGGACAGGGTTGCAAAAGTGCCATCACTTCTAAAGACTCGCATGAAATATGAGATGCCGTCCTCCTCCTGAATTGCAGGTAGGCCATCTTCATTAGCTTCAGGTAAAGCATCCAGCACCTCGTCTTCTTGGCCTTTGACAGCCCAACTGTCGGGGGCATCCCATGCAGGCGCAGAGATCTCAGATGCTGGAGTCTGGGCAATCTTGCTGCCGGTAAATATTCCAGGGTCGACAGGGGTCTTGGGAACCTGAGGCTGGGCAATGATATCCGACATATCGTCAAAATTGGTGTCGAGATTGAAAACACCAGCTTGCATTGGTGCCTGTGTGGCCGTGGTTTTCCTCTCGAGCGGCTCTTGCTGGAAACTTGGACCACGGTGTCTTCCATGCCGTCCAAACCGACTAGACTTGGTTGATTGTGCTGTATAGGTGCGATCGACCTTTGGGGAACTGTCTGAGGCTTTGATAGTAGAGGCACTGTCAACAGAGGCCACACTAGTTTCCCTGTCTCGTTTGTTGTCCTGACTATCAGATGTATTTGCGCGATTTGAGTGCGATCTGGGCTTCTTAAGTTCTTCCGGTGGGCTTACAGGCTCGATGGCGGTGCGTAAAGGTTCGGGTTGTGGAGGTTGTTTCTCCTTGTGATGGCGGTGCTTGAGTTTGGAAAAGATTGAGCGCTTCTCCGTGGGGGCAGAGGCTTCTTTGCGAGATCCAGGACCAGGACTCGTGTTGCGAGGAAGAGCGGTGGAGGAGCTCATCGGAGTGCTGGTCTGGGGGGTTCCTCGGAAATGACCAAGGTTACTTGTTGAAGATTCTCGACTCGTAGATGGACGTTTGGGAATGGCACTCGTGGCCTGTTGGCCCTTGGGAGGATCCTCCTTACTTCTAGTATGGCGGTGTAAGAGACCCCGGCGGTGCAAGGGGGCACTTGAACTGTTGTTTGGTGCAACTGATTCATTCTGAGGGGGCTGCCGTATAGGAGCAGACCCAAAATTTGAGACGTCCTCGAAGTTCTGATATGCCCAGGGGGTGACTTCACTTGATGGAGGGGGAGCAGGGGTCTTTGGCCGCTCCTCTGCAGTATTCTGTGTCTGAACGGAGCCACTCCTCTGGGGCGGCTTCTCTGCGAAAAGATTTGGTTGAACCTGGTCGGGCAGATTTGCGGTTGAGCCCTTGCGTGAGTCGGTGGGATCTTCGCCAAAGAAACCCTTAAGACTCTTGTGGAAACGTCCGTTGACGGCACTCCCTCTTGAACCAGTACTGCTGATGGTAGTGGCGCTGGCTATTGAAGGGCGGCGAGCGTCGGCGTCAAAGTCCGGGGAGTCTGAGATGTTTGTTTTGGCAGTATCCGGTCGCACGGAAGGTTGAGCCTCACGAGGGGTTGCATCGTTGAAGTAGGACTGGTTGAAGGGGCGTATGCCTGTGATCTGGGCTTGAGGACCTCGTTCCCAAGGAGCGATTTCGTCGTCATTTGGGGGTCTGAGATCCCATGGGGCGATGTCAGCGGCAGCATTTCGTTGCTGAGCCTGCTGGCGAGCAGGGGGGTTTGCTGGGGAGCCGAAGATGGCCATGGTTCTCAGAGGCCTCGAGAAGCGTTGGTCGGCGAAGAAGAGGTTGTGATGAGGACTACGAGGACGAGGACGAGGCGGCGACAGGGACAGGATAGAGACCGAAGGGAGAAGAAACAGTCCTATTCATGATCATGTTAATGGATAAATGGATAAATGGATTGTAGGTCGGGTCCGCCACACAGGTCAGTCAAGGGAATCTAAGATGGCGATAACCTGGTGGAGATAGCGAGAGCAGGACAACGAGTGGTACCTACTCTACTCAATAAACGCGGTTCGGTACTTCTGTATGCCTTTTCAGACCATGTTCAAGGGTGGTGCGGATATGAATCGCGTCTGACGCAGGACGATTCAATCAGCATGCTCAATCGCGTAGCTGGAGCAGCTGGGAGCGAAATGAGTGCCGCAGCTCAGGCGTGGGTACCAGTTGGAGATCAGGATTAAATCAGATGAGGCTCGGTATGCAAGCACACGGCTCGTGAGACATGTCGATGGTAGTAAACGGTAGGTTGCAGTCGCTGGCCCGATCCGGTGGAGGTGAGGCAGACGCAGAGACACCAGGCAAAAAGGCTGAGCAAGAGAAACAGGCGCAGGCACAGGCACAGGCGTAGCGCAGGCACTCGGCAACTGATATTGGCGTAGAGGGGTGGTGAGTGGTGACGCCAGGATTGAAGGCGGTCAGGAACTGGACAGCAGATTCGAATACACTAAGTCAATGGCATTCATAGGACCAGAGCCGGGGTGTTGACAACGAGGTATAGAGTATAGTGATTAACACTGTTGGTGAGGTAGGTCAGCAGGTGTGTGGACCAAGTTGTGTAGACTGCAATCTGTACCAGGAGTTGTAGGCGTGTGAAGATGCTGATCGAGATGGACATACAAGCCGATGGGGGCTGGACTGGACTGGCGGAAAGCGAAGTAAGGCGAGGCGAGGCGTTGTTGGTGGACCGAGGGGGACGAGGGGGACGAGGGGGCCGACTTGCAGGGCAATAGGCACCTAAACTATGGGGCGGTGGTCCTTGGTAGCCTCCTCGGCCAGTCGACTTAGGTGGCTCTCTCCCTGCTCGGGTAACTGGTTAGTGTGTTTGTGGAGGGTGACCTGTTCGGATTGGGGGGATGTGGCGGCACTTAGCAGTACGGATGTTGGAATATGGGATAAGGAACCCACGCCGACAGTGCCTCATACGGGCATACCTCTCCCGAGAATGGGGTGCTTGGGGGGAGCATTACGAGTAAGAACCACACAATGGATTTGATTAGGTAGCGAAGAGGGAGCGAACAAGCAAATGGGTGGTGGCTTGGTGTTGGAGATCTACTGTAGCTGCACCAATTGATGCCTATTATTGTATTCCAGGTACCTCCTACTCCCTACAACTGGCTGCGACTCCTAGGTACTCGGGACGGAGGACCTCGTACCTCGTGCCGTGTGACCAAGGGCTGTAGTTACCAGTTACCTCCTTAGGCATGTCAGTTCGGCGGCGTTTAGGCCCTTCGTTTTCCGCCCCCACCTAGCAATCCCTTAACTCGAAGACCTAGACCTCCCCTGGCAACTTCACTCGTACATGTCCTTAAGCTGATCCCCGCTCTGAGCCACGTCATTCTCTCATGCACCGTTGCTGCAATGTATATCTTAACAGACTTTTCACAGGATCTCATACTGTGACTGCCTCGCGGCCAGCTAACCTGTCATTCAACCATGGTTGCAACCGTCGGTGAGTCATGGATGATGATACAGACAGTGCCACTCCCGCTCTCACTCCCACTCCATGAACACCACCCCGGTGCATCAGCACCGAGCACCTCGTACTTGCCACGGCTGCTTCCGTCTGGGGAGATCCATCCTCCCCCTGCTCTACATATTTCGGGACGGTCCCAATCGGCCAAAGCCTGCGTCTCGTGGGCCTCACGCCGCCCACACTGGACTATCCCCAACAGCTCCGCACTTGACCCTTTACACAGGACCGCACGGACATCGGACACAATGACTCAAGACTCGGGCAAGGCGACCTGCAAGCCTGTCCACTCAGGCTTGTCACTAGTGATTTGCGACTACTAGATCAGGTTTGCATCGCACAACCAAGTTCGTTCGTGCATCGTAAAGAGACGGGGAACCCCTCCTTCCTCCGACATGTATATAGCCTGCCTGACTTAGCTGGGTGAGGAATCTATATCTGACAGTCATCAAATAAATAAAGGTATAAAAACAAAACGTCCGCTTATGAGGACCATCATATCCGTGACGATCGGGGAATGCTAGGAGGATCTCCTTCTGTTCTCCTCCTCCGGCTGCTCCTCAAGGTTCGGATGGTATATCAAGCAGAGGACACCCCAAGCGCCTTCTTCGACTCTCCTTTAAACCACAACACATCCTTGCCCGACCCCGTCAACATCTCTGCAGCTGGCACCGCCTCTGAACTTGGTCTCGTCGTGCTTGTCGTCCTCTCTGATTTCGTCGCCAGCGAAGCCCCTGAACTTGAACTGGCATTTGTGCTGCTGCCATTGTTGAGGAACAAGTTCTTCCATTTCTCCTTGTTCATGTTGACGAATCCACTGCTCTTCTTCTTCTGCTTCATCTTTCGCTCCCCCTCGAATTGTCCCGCTGCTGCAAAGTCCGGGTTGACCATTTGCCGACCCCCTGGCCCAGGAGGTGCCGGTGCTTGGTCTGGTGGGCCCAAAGATCGAGTCGAACGGTGAGACCATCTTTGTGCCGAATTGGACGATGCTCCAGATGATCGATTGTCATGTACCGGTGATCCTGGAGGTGTGTTGGACATAGTTTCAATGATGTCGGCTACAACATCCATCCTCAACTTGGACGGCCCTGGACTTTCCCTCTGCCTGCCGCTGATTGGAGTTGCTGGGCTCGATATCGGTACTGGCACCACCTTCCCGTCCTTTTTGGCCAATTTTAATTTCAACGGACGGATGGGTTCTGGAGCCATCGATTTCCCAAAATCGTTCGGCTTCATTCCCGGCTTGATCGATTGCTCGGTCGGCAGCTTGAAAAAGTCGTCCAATTGACGGATGCTCGCCCGAGGTACCTCCTTGTCTGGATTTTGGGATGCCGCAATTGGCCGTGGAGGCAGTTTGAATGTTTGAACCGGTGCTTCTAATTCCACCGGCCCAAAATCTTGGGGTATCTGCATCTTCACAGGTGCGGTTGCCTCCAGTTCGGCGCAGAACGGCTCCTTGGACACATCGCTTTCGTTAATGTGGATTATAATCTCTACTTCCTCATCTTTGGCATCCACCGTTCTTGTGGTCTCAGGGACAGGCGGAGGCCGCGGCGACTGGGTAGGTATTTTTGGAATTTGCTCTAATGGTCGTGGAGATTCTTCTTGCTTGGGCGACGAAGACAGCTGTTTGTCCTGATTCGGGTTCTGATCCTGGGCCCCTGACACACTGACTGCATCGTTCTGCACTTGGTCGGTCCTGATTGTTGCTGCTGCAAATGTCTCTCCTTCTGCAGAAGCAGGGACCACAGACACGGCAAAGCCCGAATCCTCCACCCTAACTCCTGGTTCTGACGCTGATACTGGCCTCGTGGTTTCGGTATCGGCCATCTCTGGCCCAGGTTCCCCTATGCTCGAAGGCGCTGACACCTTGCCTGTATCTGATACGTCTTCTGGCATCAACGATGCCGAGGATGCCGGCAATTCTGCCGGTGGTATCGCCATGGCCATCACGGCAGGGTGTGATGTGAATGCAGGACTGCGGATCGACGAACTTCGCGTCCGAGTTCTACTTGCTGGCTCGACAATCGACGCTCGCACAGAACCGCGCGCAGCTGCCTCGAAGATTGGACTTGTAATCAATCCGTGCTTGTTCTCTGATTGAGCTTTGCCAAAGGTTGGTGTGTTCTCGCTGTCGGCGAAATAGTCTGCCTGGGCTTCCAGCATATAAGTAGGCGAGGTGATGACAGCACTCAAAGGAGTCGCTGCGTTAGCAGTGGCCTTTGGCGACCCAAGTAGTTGTGATGCTGCAGGCGTTTTCAATAGGTCACCTAGGGCTCTGGGATAGTAGACACTAGAAATCCGATGCTCCGATTTATCCTTCACCGCCAGGCCGAGTGTCAAACTCATGCGATTCTTCACAGACACTGGCGCTTGCCGTAATACTTCTTCTGGCACATCAGCGGGCAACTCGATAGGGTGTTCGCTGTTTGTTTGAATTAGTAGCCCCCCAATCATTGGATTGGAATCTGTGGGAAGATGGCCTCGGGATTGATCTAACGCTTCCGCTTGGTACGTGATTGATCGATGTGTCATGTCTGTGCTGGCATTTCGCCTTGACTCTGGAGACTGACCGCCAGATAACCCTTGACTCGGTCTGTTCCCACTACCTGGTCTGCTGGAGAACCCGGTCATGTTTGTGCTGCGAGACGATGTTCTGCTCGATTTTATTTGCCCAGGCTCGGTGGGTAAGGGCTTGTGCTCAGGGACTGGCCCTGACTGTGACAGCATGGCCGATCTGTGAGATGTCGGATGCTTGGGACGTTGCTGCTTTGCCTACCGAATATTAGTGCCTTGAACCAATCATCGTCAATGCTACTACTCACCACAATGTTGCGGCTGACCGCAGCAGCTCTCCGCTGCATCTCAGCCACCACTTCACCCAGCTTCTTCAGAGATCCTGCAAGCTTATTCCCTTCCAGATGTAGTTCCAGAAACGCGCGGCGCCAACCCTCGGCGTTTCCCAACATTGCAACGAGAACCGCCTCGTGTTCCGGCGACTCTCTTTGCCACGAGTTCTGTAGCTTGGCTAGATACTTCTCCAGTGTGTTTGTGGCGTCAAACCCTTTCTGGACGTCTTTCAAAGCGTCTTTGGCCGCTCTCTTCGTTCGGCTGATGACATGGTCAATCTTCTCATTGCCATCGAGGATGGAGGCTCGAAAGGCACGATCCTCCAGCATACGGTCGAAAACTTCACCGTGGGCCAAGGGTAGTTTGAGGCAACGTAGTCGTTCGTGAATGTCGCTTTGTGCAAGTTCAAGGTCTTCGGTGGTACGCTCGAGGAAGCCGTCAATATCATCCACATGGCTTTGAAGGATGCGCATAACCTCCTCTTCTGACAATGCCATATTTTCTGCCAGTAGATGCATTCCAAACGACATTTGAGCGATCAACTTCCAGAGGGGATGGTATTTTTCTCCCGGTTTTTGCTTCCATCTCCCTGCAATCACGCGGTTGTAGGTCGGTGCTTCAAGAAGCATGGTGCGTCTTGTCAGGGCATCGAGGGGTACATCCTGGTCCAGCAGATCGTTTAGTGACTCCAGCATCGACTCCTCAAACGGCTTCTGTAATTGTGCCACAGGATGGATGGGTGCGCGGACAAGTGCCTGTCCTCCATTGCTTCCTTTACTACCGTCGGTCGACATGGCTGTCGTCCTGCCGGAGTGTGAACTCATGGCGCTCTTCTGTGGGGGTACAGTAACCGGATCACTGAATGGCTTGTCCCCAATGTACAGCGGCACTAGGTGTCTTCATGTTCTATCTTGCCCGGCCCTATTCTCATCTTCATCCAATATCTCAGGCCCGTCGTTATTTGCAACGGACGTCACTGCTTGTCCTTCAGTTGCCAGGAGCTCGACAGTGGAAGACGTGGGGAGCGATAAGCTGTGCACGACGTGAAACAATATGTGTGCGATCTTATCAGCCGTGAGGTCTCAGACCCCGCGTTACCTGGCGTGCAGCACGGACGGTCAGTGACAGATGGCACGGTAAACAAGGTCCAAGCTCAGCATCGGGACGGATATTTCGTAGAGAGGCGTGGTCTTAGCAGGGGAATGGGTCAGTGGTTCAGGAGTATTTGTAAGAGCGAGTGTTCAGAGGAAGGGCATACCGAGTATACCGGGTCGTCAAAGAGTGCTGCAGGGGATGGAGTGCAAAGTGAGAAGGATGAGAATTGCGATATGTTGGCCAGAGGCAGAAGTGAGAGGTCAAATGTCTTGGATAACGACGATAGCCTGCTCCCTCTCTGATGGAGATGGCCCCAGTGGGCTTTGGTCAGTCATTTCACGACTTGGTGTGGGAGGAAGCACGAGCAAGCCCATGCTCAGAGGAAACCTGGTCAGCACAGGCCCTGGACGTCGTAGATCCGTCAAGCCACGAGCAGATTGACCAGGATGGCCGCCCCGGGATATTACAAGCCATGGGAGAGCTGGGTGGCATATCCAGGTTGCCCTGTTTCAACTTTCAACATTCCCTGCGGGTTGGCGGAACTTGCAGTTAGCATGCAGTCTGTAGTACAGAAGATCCATACGAGAGTCCGCAAAGGGGGGAGCTTAAAATGAAGCCCTCGATTTTTAATTGGGGCAGTGTGTTGTGGTGAAACTCTGGCTGCATGCGGTATGGTGGACGAGGTGCAGGTATTTCCCCGATGAAGCGACCCAGTGGCAGACCTTTGTACCTGATCCTAAAGAACCTAGAGAGCACGAACGGCTCGAGCCTGATCCGCTTGCTTCATGCATCAATTGTCAATTATGTACTCGTACGATACAGAGTCCCACCAAATAGGATGGGGGCAATACCCGGTGCTCGTGGTCAGAGGGCGTGAGACGAGACGATGCAACCTAGAGGTTACGCTCTGTAGACGCCCTTTCGTTAGTCGGACAAGATACCGTTGAGAGACAGAGGGTCGTAGGCAGATAATGAAGATAAATTGATGAGCTGTATAAATCCATGAGTTGTTCTCATCACATTCGGTGCAGACTTCAAGTTGTAGAGAACTTCAACGGACGCTTCCTTGGTACCGTACGAGTACAGGTAAGTTTACTCCGTCCTCCCGCGTACGCGTACAGGACGCAATTAACGCAGTGGTCGCCTAACCCCAACTAACGTGGGCATCAAGCCACTTGGACGCTCTCTACGAGGAGGGAGGACGAAGTACCACTTCAACCATCCACTCAACCACCCCTGACCTCGCACACTCTCGAACAAAATCTCCGGGCAGATGAGCCGAAAACCGATCACTCAATTTCGCTGATCCACTAAAATAGAAACCATCCTTAACCAGGTCTTCGATTCTCAACAACAGACTGCTTCCTGTCTGTCGCAAGGACTTGCCGTACCAACCCCGTACGGTACGGATACAGCACGTGCAGGAAATACTCGTACTCTGTACTCTGTACAGGTATTGCCAAGCCCCGAAGAGTCCTTTTCACGCCACACATATTCAGCCACCATCTCTATTGTGTCGACATTCCACAGCCTCGGACAGCAAGACGTCGAAATCATGTCCTCGGACGCTTTCCCCCTATCAGCACGCGATGGGCTCCTGAAGGCATATCGCAATCGCTTGCTTCAAGATCTACCCGTGCCCTCGGCGATCATTGATGTTGCAAAGGTAAAGGAAAACTGCACGGCCATGCTCAATGCCGTCAAAGAACTTGATGTCAGCTTCAGAGCTCATATCAAAACTCACAAGACCGCCGAGATGACCAAGCTCCAAGTTGGCGAAAACTGCAAAGATGTACGCTTGGTCGTTTCTACCGTCATCGAGGCGGAACACGTAGTACCTCTGCTCCTGGAATATAAGCAAGCTGGCGCCAAGGTGAATGTCTTATATGCGTTGCCGCTTGCTCCTTCTCAGGTCAGTCGCTTAGCATCAGTCGCCAAAAGCCTGGGCGAAGGCGCCGTCAGTGTGATGATCGATGATCTTGAGCAATTCAAGTCACTAAAAGAGTTCCATTCACAGGCTGGTTTCCCCGCATCGGTCTTTCTGAAGACCGACTGTGGTTACCACAGGGCTGGACTTGGTCCAGGCTCTCAAGAAATGATTAACCTCGTCCAGGCTGCTAGTGAAGGGGAAGAACAAGGACTTCTGAAGTTACTGGGATTCTACTCACATAATAGTCTATCATATGGAGGCTCCTCACCCGATGATGCAATGGATATGCTCAAAGTCGAAATTGATGTATGTCATCAAGCATCAAAGCACTTCAAGGTAGACCGCAAAGTCCCATTGGTGGTCTCTGTGGGAGCATCTCCAACAGCGCTCTCGCTACAGAATATTCTTCCCGCAAACCCTGCTACAACCTCGTCGGCAACATCTCTTAAGGAGAGTCTAGAGCTGGCCAAGACTAATTTGGAGCTGGAGATCCACGCAGGAGTCTACCCGACTTTCGATATCCAACAAGTCGCAACGAGCAGCCGATATATGAGCAAAGATCCTCATGACACCATTGCTGTTTCCATTCTTACCGAGGTCTGTTCTCTTTATCCTTCTCGAACCGAGCAACCTGAAGCCCTGATATCCGCCGGAGTTCTTGCCTTGGCTCGAGAGGCTTGTAAGGACTATCCCGGCTGGGGGGTAGTGACTCCTTGGAACATGCCCAAGGGCTACAGCATCGAACCAGAGAACCGTATCATTGTGAATCGCACTTCCCAAGAACACGGGATTCTAGCTTGGGAGAAGGATGGTACTAAAAAACCACAGTTGCCTCTGAAATATGGCCAGAAGCTGCGCATTTGGCCAAATCACACATGTATTACCTTGGCAAATTTTGGCTGGTATCTGATTGTGGATTCCAGCACTGACAACCCAGACACAGTGATTGATGTATGGGTGAGATGGCGTGGGTGGTAGGCCACTGCATACTATCAGAAAATGCAAGATTAGTATGCCAATGGAAAACTCTGGCAAATCATTGGCAGTTACACACCCACTCCGTAACGGTCAGCTCCCTGCCACGATCGAGGGCCATTCAATCCGCAATGTATCGCAGCGGAACTTACATCCACCTCACGTCGGGTCACGAAACTTGAAAGAATTGCCTTCCCAGGCAGTCCAATTTCCCCTTTGGTCTTTCTTCACTCGTCGATATCATCGAGCATGGAATGCCGGCCAGCGAAGGTCAGGAGGTGCGGGGTTTCGATGAGGCGTGACAGCTGATTGAACTACTCGTATGTGGGACGGGAGGAAGGGGATGAGGAGGTAGTCAAGATTGCGGTTCTTCGGTCCCTGGATCTGCACCAGTCGCCTGTGTTGAACTCCACTAGGTCGAGAACTTCGTAGGCAATGTGAAAACCTTCTTAGCTTTCCGATTTCTACTATTGGTCGATCTCAAGGCGCTGTCACGCACTCTGCATAATCTCTTACTCGTATATATTCAATGCTAGTCAGTCTCGATGGGCACACAGCGCTCTGAAGACTGAAAGAACGAAGGCAGTGAATTTGCAGCAGTTGTTTCTGTGTTCTTTATTCTTTGGTTCTCATTCTAACTCATACACACCTCCAAGGGTCACAGGGCCGTGCGATCGATTTTAACAGACTCGCATACGGATTGCATACCTCCCATATACCTCCCACACTCTGCCGCCATCCATGGTACTGCGCTCCCTGCTGAGGCGCTAGTGAGAGGCTGGTTCAACCAGCATATTGATAAAGAACCAAGTGACTTCACGGTCGTGAGAACACAACCTCAGGAAGGACCTTCCCTACCAATCAGAACCAGCATCGACATGATCCAGGGGGGCAAGATGATGGGAGGAGAAGTCAAAGTCTTCACTGAGCAATAGGCGACACAGTATGATGAAATCGTGGGGATCACTGGCAGCCAAGACGAAGTATATATGAACACAAAAAGCAGACCCAGGAGATCATGCACTGTGTAAATCTCCTCTTGCTCTGACTTTCCCTTTATTTCCCTATGTACGTTGGTAGCGAACAAGAGACCCTTTCCCTCTCCATTATGTCATCAGACACGTCATCAGATGCCGTCAACACGTGATAATGACATATAATTTGCCGAATTCCCGCATGCGCCACGTTTGCCAAGGCTGCGCCACGGCGGCGGCGTTACTCAGCCTCATTGCGCGCCGGCAGCATTCTTTTTGAACCCCGCGATTGGCATTCCTGCATCATCCAAGGTGGGTTGAACAGAGGCTGTGAAGGGCTTTCGTTGACTGCTTGTAGTCATGATCCGTTCCCTATCTGGTACTAACAATTGCACTATCTCCTCCATACTGTTTCCAAGCTGTAGCCACATTTTCGGCAACCCTCAGCTATTAGACTCTAGGCCCCTCCCTCCATTCCTTTAACTTGCGCTCATTATACTATCATACCACGCCTGCACTTGCCTTCCTCCAAACTCTCACCTCGTCGTCGATTCTTCTCTCTATCACTCCTTACTTCTACCAAAGAACTACAAGACAAGGAATGTCATACGGCGGGCCCCCTCAACCCCCATACGGAGGTGGTTATCCGCCACAAAATCCTGGCTACGGCCAGCAGCAGGGCAACTGGGGCCCTCCACCCCCTCAGCAGCAGGGCAACTGGGGTCCTCCACCAGGTGGTCCGCCGCCTCAACAAGGAGGATGGGGCCCTCCGCCTGGAGGTCCTCCACCACAGCAGGGAGGATGGGGTCCGCCTCCAGGTCCGCCGCCTCAATGGCAGCAGGGACCACCTCCGCCGCAGCAAGGTGGATGGGGTCCTCCGCCTGGAGGTCCTCCGCCACAGCAAGCTGGCTATCCTCCTCCTCAGGGTGGCTACGCCCCCCCAGCACAACCGTCGCCGGGCTATGACCCACGCGCCTCGGCGCAGGGTGATGCTTCAAGAGACGCAGATGCCCTCCGTGGTGCAATGAAAGGCTTCGGTACCGACGAGAACACCTTGATCCGCATCCTGTCCAAACCCGATCCGCTACAAATCGCCCTCCTTCGAAATACCTACAACACACGCTTGCGCCGGAATCTGGAAGCAGACATCAAGTCCGAGACTTCGAAATATTTCCGCGACGGCCTTGTCGCAATTGTTCAGGGGCCCTTGGGGCATGATGTCCATGAAATCAATCGGTCAATCAAAGGCCTGGGGACGAAAGAGTCGGTCCTTAACGATGTCCTACTTGGCCGCTCCAACGCCGACATGCGCGCCATCAAACAGGCATATCAAGAGACTTTCCGTAAGTCGCTCGAGTCCGAAGTCAAGGGCGACTTGTCTATGAAGACTGAGCAACTCTTCGGCCTGGTTATGGCCGCCACTCGAGCTGAGGAATCGGCACCAATTGATCCGGCTCAAGTCGATCGTGACGTTACGGAGCTTCATCGTGCCATGGACGGCCGGATCGGCACCGACCAAATTACCGTCTGCAGCATCCTGTCCCAGCGCAGTGACGGCCAAATCCGTGCAATCAACCACCTGTGGAAGCAGAAATACCACAGCGATATGGAGAAGGTCATCGATTCTGAGTTCTCCGGTCATATGGAAGAAGCACTCTTGCTGATGGTTCGTAGAGCCACCGACCGTACCATGTCGGACGCGGTGCAGCTCGAAGAAGCCATGGCAGGACTCGGCACCAAGGACAATCTATTGGTTGCGAGAATCGTGAGATTGCACTGGAACAGGCAGCATATGGAGCAGGTCAAGAGAGCATACCAGCACAGGTACAAGAAAGACCTTATCCAGAGAGTCAAGGGTGAAATTTCCGGCGACTATGAAAAGCTGATGGTTGCTTGCTTGACTTGATCCGGCCTGTCGTCAGGAGAACTTGTCCTGGTGAACGAATGAACAGTGGAAACGGCGGGATATATGGATATGTGGATCAATTCCCCTTGGCGATGCGAAAGTGGTGCAGGTTTCTATCAACTGGTGGCTTTTCGTGCGTTGTTTTTTCTTTCAACCCTTGTAATGAATGCCAGGGGACTTTGGCTCAAATCGCAAACAAACCACACTATCCTTAGTTGCCCTATGTACCGTTACCTGACTCCTAGACTTTGCCATGCCTCACGGCAGCAGGTTCTAGGAGACTCGAGAACCCAGCAGTCGCCATGTTGGAATACGTTACTTTTTCACCATGGCTCCTACATGCTCCTTTGAAATACCATGCTTTTTCCCCTCCAGAATCAATTCTCCTTCATCACCCTTTTCTCGTGTGCTGCGTAGTACGCTCGGCCAGATGTGACCGTATGCTAGATGGGCAAGAACCAAGGGTGAAAAACGGCCACAGGAGAAGGTTGTATAGATCCAGCTACGTATCTCTATGATGACTTAGCCAGATATCGATCCTCAGAACTCCTTGATGAAGACACCAATACCTCTTGTTCTCTTCCTTCTCGGCGCTTATTCCTATTGTCATCGCCCTTATACAGTAGCCGCGCATCCAGCGGAGCAAGCCATCGTGTTAACCCTCAGACAAAGCTGTACGCTTTAGAAGACGAAACAAAACGTAGTAGTCGTTTCATCATGTAATAGGAGGTTCTACATGGCGCACAGCATACAACCACTAAACTGATCCACATGCCCTAGCATCAAACCCTGGGCCCACCCTCCTCGGCAGGCTGGTCCTCATGGAACACAAGCGTCCGAACCTCAATACTCTCCCTTGAGTAGTCGTCGACATGCGCGGGATTACTGAATGCAGTGTGCGGAATCCTTCTCGCGCGGCCATCAAGCTTCGAGTCAAAACATTTAATCAGCGTAACCTCGTTGGGCTCCTGGCCGTAGAGGAAGTACCACTTTTGATCAGGATTAGGGCGCACGGTCAGCGTCTCGCCCTTACGGTTCGGGTAGATCAAGCCGACGGGGATGAGGTCGGACTCGGGCACGCTGTGCGCGTCCGCAACGGCGAGAGGGTCCTTCAGGATTTTCTTGATCGGGCGCCACACATTGATGATCTGGTAGCGTGTCTGCAGGAGCCGGTCTGCTTCCTCGCGCAGGTGGTGTGGCACCCGCGACTTTGATGCGCTGTAGCTCTGGTCGATGTGCACGCAGTTAACGGGGCCGCGAAGGTTGATCGCGGCCTTGCGATCGGTGGTGCGCTGGTCTGCAGGTGCGCGGCGGATGGTATGGTCGAAAATGAAGACGCGAGATGCGCCGGTCCTAGATGGCAAGTGAGTTGGCGTTTGATCAAAGGGTTTAGCTGCGGGACTGTTGGAGAGGTACTTACGCGTCCTTGAGCAATTGTTCAACCTCCGGGTAGTACTGGGCTTTGATCTTCTCGTCATCAAGAAAGTCCTTCTCGACGCTGGAGTGTTTGTGGATCTGAAAGCCTTGTTCGTCAAGTGTATACTTGTCCTCCTCGCCTCGAATGTCATAGATGGTTACCTCGAGAGGCTCAGAGGGCCTTTCGTAGGTCTCTGGTTTTCCGACGTAGGTTGGCGGTGGTGGGCTTCCGTCCCCAGGGTCCTTGTAATAGTTCAACGAAGTACGGACACGGTGCTTCTCCGCTTGTATGGTCTTCGTGTCGTGTACTTGGTTAGTCAGAGGCTCAAACGACGTGGAGTGGCCTCCAGGCTGCTGAACTGCTGTTGATGCCGTAGTGTAAGTGTGTATTGTCGTAATGTCGATGACGCTTGCGTTGTTTGTCGCCCCGGGATAATGACGATGGGTAAAGGGCTATCCTTCTATTTATGACATACGGACACCCCGATTCTGATTTGTCAGATAGCACGCCATCCGTAAGACCATCTGCGCCATGTTCGTATGCTGTGTGGGGAAGCTTTGAGGACGTATGTATGAGGCACTACCGAGGCCAATAAGAGATCGCTCATTCGAATTGCGTGCGCTGTTCGGAGTATGTCTGGCTCAGCGTAAATGAAGCGTATCATGCCATCCTCTTCCCTCTCTTAACTGATTTATGTTGCGCTTATCAACCCTGAAAGCAGCGCAGTGTTGTTTAGATTTCCTTGCGGCCCAGTTTAGTGATTGTTGTCCCATCACCGAGGATGACGGCTTCTTCTTCCAGCCTATATCCTTTATAGCGAGGTAAGGCTTTTGTCCAAACCCACCAGTAGAAAAGTGAGAATAACAATCTGACACGTTGAGTAAAGCTCGGCTGTCCGGAGGGAGTGGAAGGCTTACATTTATAATCCAACAATGGCGTACATGGCGTAGAAAAAGTTGACATCGGACGTACCCTTTTTCGGTGGGATTATTGGTGCGACGATCAAGCCAACACATAGAACGATTCTAATCCATACTGCGGGTAACCAGGCTCGAAATAGGCGGAAGATGTCAGGCTTCCGCACACGCAGTAGTACGAGGCCAAGGCTGATGGCAATCGCAAAAAATTGACCAGCATATCCTTCAACATCTGCGATGAATGAGTAGACCGTAGACGATGGGGGTGCGGCGATCACTATGAATGAGGGTATGTAGTGAACGATGACGCCGCCCATGGGGGATCCGAAGGCCTTGTTAAAGGCTAAAGTTGAAGAGAAGGGGAGGAAGCCTTGTCGAGCGACTTCTTGATTTACTCGAGACTGTTATGTTTTTAGTTGAGCAACCCACAAACAAGCTTGACCAGCGTACAGCACTGAAAGTTACCACCATGACGTTTCCAATTGCATTTAGCGCGATGGTTAAGGGAAGTAATTTGTCCCCAAAGCCTTGGCCAAACAACTTCTCGAAAACCAAAGCAGCAATGAGTTCTCTCGTTTGCTTGATCTCCTCCATTGGCACTACCGCCAGATATGCAATGTTGACCAGCAGATACATGACACTGGCGGTCGCAAGAGCAATGGGCCCCACGAACTTGAGGGTCTTGACAGGATTTTTAACCTCGTTCAGAACACTGTTGGCATTGTTGAGTCCAGCATAAGAGTACAGGACCTTGAAAAAGGATGTAGACAAGTTGCTAAGGCCCCAATTTGAGCCGCCCCATAGGTCGTCGGAGGCATAGACAAGAGATCTTGAAGCCTCACCTGTTCCTGTAGACGCGCCAGACGATAGATGAGGTCGGAACAAAACCACAAACAACCCAGCCAGAATCATAAAGATGACAAGCCCAATCTTGAGCCAGCCGAGGATATGTTGGATCCAAATACCAGTGCGATAGAAGCAGCTATGCACAATTGTGATCCAAGTGAGAAGTCCAAGGGCCAGTACTTTAGTGTTCAAGTCTCCAGGTTGCTGGCCAGCAGCAAACAAAGCGTATTTGGCGAAGACAATGCAGTTGGTTGCCGAAAATCCAAGAAGAACAGCCTGTACTGCAACAAAAGTTGAGGCAAGAAAATGAGGCCTTCTGTAAGTATATTCAAGATAGACCTTCGAGCCTCCTGAGCGAGGCAACATACAACCGTACTCCATGTCAATAACAAGTCCAGCCCAGCCGACCAAGGATCCAACAACCCAAAGCACAAGCGCTAGACCTGGGCTCCCAACGGTCTGCACGATAGTGCCAGTCCCTATCACCCTGGACATAACAAGGACATAAGCACTGCCCCAACCAAGTGTACGGCCTGTTGTTGATGCCTCTGGGAAAACGCCATTATCAATTTTGCGGTCTTGAGTAAGGCAATGCGATCTGATCGCGATGCGGCTTCCAACGCCTCGTGTGAGACTCGAGGTGACCCCAATAAGGAAGAAGTCGAGAGGTCTTCATGCACCTTGGATTTGTACCCTGGTAGGATTGGATCGCACGAATTGATCTCAACGAGGTCTTTGCTGAGATAACCTGGATATGTATTCCAACGAGACGAACGGGGATTTATGCAGATGCAGGTGACAAAGTAGACATTGATTAGAAAGACAACGCAAACAACAGATATAACGAATATCGAAACCTCGAAGATTATTTCAAGGAGGCACGCACACCCTTGCTGACAAAAAGGACAATCTTGCTCAGCCTGGGATCGGGATTCTAGCAACGCGCTGATGGACGGAGGCCATGCTCCCGGTCATTTTAGTGTGTATTGCAACATAGGCACATTAGATACATATCGGAATTTCAGTACAACATACGGTTGTTCAGCGTGACGAGGGAAGCATCCACAGACACCAAGAGGTCGAGAACTGGAGGGGTGGATTGCTCATCTCGTACTCTCAGCACGCCATCCAAGGGCGCGTAGCTGCAAGATACGAACCCTGTTTCATGATCAATGGGTGCGTGTTGATCAAATTTCCGCAGTGACTGGATCGGCGAGGCATATAGCGTGGAGGTACATCACATCAAGGGCTGGCGCGAAGTGAGGCCTTCCAAAATTGCTGGTAATGGTGATTTAATTAGTTGAGAGGGCCTGAGACCAGGGAAGTGAGAACGAGAAGGATGGAAAGCAGGAGGTTTGGAATGAGGAAGGAACACTGCTCTGTACCGGATCGGATAAACCCATATCCCGGGACATATCCTAATTCTGGCTAGCTCCATGCCTAATTACCGGATATTCCCCGGTCAAAACAGCTTTCCCCGCAGAATGAAAACGAATCCAGGGTCTGTCAGCCTTTCGTGGTCCTACTCATGCATAATAATACCTCGGCCCACGCCCAATTGGACTCTAACAAGCGACAGTCCGACGGTACTCCCAGAAATCAGACCTTTGATATGCTCTGAAGACAACTTGAATGCTGTAGCAGCCATACGTAACGGCACGAGCAGGCGCAGCCTCTGCTTACTTGGCCGTCGAGATACCCGATCAGGCATATACCGAGGCGCAAACCTTCATTGAGCCGTCGATCATCATTGGACACATCTCCACGGTACGCAGTCAATTGTCAGAAGATAGTAATCATCAAATCTCTATAACAACGAGCTTGAGTCCGGTCAGCTACGTCGAGATATCACGAGCCTAACGGTATCTTGCTGAGGGGATACAAATCACTCAATTGAATATGCCTGTCGACAAGCTCAAACCTTACAACGACCCTCGGGTCTCGCTGCGGTCAGCCAATCTCAATGGTCACAACTATGGCTACCTGTACAGTCCAGCATCAACCAAAGTCCCGCACAGAGGAACTGTCTTCCTCATTCATGGTTTCCCAGACATCTCGTTTGGATGGCGCTATCAGATCCCATTTTTGGCAAGTCTCGGCCTTGATGTGATTGCTCCTGACTGCATGGGCTATGGGCGGACTGATTCACCATTATTCACGCTCAAGGACTACACCTACAAGCGAGTCAGCGATGACATCGCTGAGCTCTGCCGCCAGCTTGGTCTCAAGCATATCATTCTCGGTGGACACGATTGGGGCGGTGCGATTGTCTACCGAGTTGCACACTACTACCCCGGCTTGATCACCTCGGTATTTAGCATCTGCACGCCCTACGCCCCGCCCACGACTAAGTATGAACCTCTAGCCGTGATGGTGAAGAACCAACTACCGAACTTCGCATATCAGATGCACTTTGCTTCCGGGGAGCTCGAGCAACAGATCCGGTCCAAAGATGAAATCCGCCAATTTCTAAACAATATGTACGGTGCCAGAACCCCTGAAGGTGAAGTGGCTTTTGATGCAAATGGGCGCGTAGACTTCGAGAAACAACGACGTCTCGGCAGGAACAAGCTCCTTGACGATGACGAGCTAAAATATTATGTTGACGAGTACGCTCGGCACGGCTTGAACGGTCCCCTGAATTGGTACCGTGTCCGTGAGGAGAACTACATGGACGAGTGGACGTACTTTTTCGACGAGGGCCGCAAATCCCGCGAGGACGCTGTAAGAGATCTCACCTTGAACCAAGAGCTTCTTTTCGTCCTAGCCACGAAAGACCAAGCTTTGAAACCCTTCATGGCCGCCAAGATGGGAGACAGGATCCCAAACTTGACCAGGCGGGAGGTGGTTGCCGGCCATTGGGCACTCTGGCAGAAACCCGAGGAATGCAACAAGATCATTGGTGACTGGTTGCACGAGAAGGTGTTCAGTAAATCGGACGGTGGCAAGAGCAAGCTCTGAACTAGTAAGGGGCTTGGATATTGACAGACATAATTGAGACGAATATTAAAGGCAATTTTCTCGGTTTGAGCCATCACGAGTCAAAGTACTCAATATTCACCTGATGTTCCCTTGCTAGCCATGCCCGCCTTCGTTCAGTGAAAGTGCCAGAACGCCAAGGCCTCGTTCATCCAAAGTGAAGGTAAGTTTGGCCGTGGCACAGGGCGTTGAAGCAAACATGGGAATTCTACTCCCGGTGAGAACACAGCCTTGCTTGTTCAGACCTGCCGCCACGGGTTATGCTAGCCTTGGACTTTGAGTTTCTGTTGACGTTCCACCGAGCTCTAACCTATGTCTAGAACAGGGTGTTGGGAGAGATCTGGCGCGTTGAGGATGCTCACCAACGCCATTCCTCTCATTGTCGACATAGATGCTGCTGAAGCTTGGTCTGGTCGCCGTACTCATCTGATTGAGGTTCAGACAGCTATCCGAGGTCAGTGCGTCAATTGGGATTTGCACAATCACTGGCAAACATTCGCTATCCATTGGTCTCCGACAAGTGTTTCTATAGTACCGTCCCAAGGTGAGAGCAGGGAGGCACATGTCCGGAAAATGTTGAGCCGCGGTTTGATATATCCGCGTCCGCGAAGAGAAGGTATAAAGATACTAAATAATTGTATCAGCGATCAAGGCGGCAGACACGTAGCTGCGTGTGCACTGATTCAGATTGCGCAGCGAACCTGATGCCAGGAAGTAGAGGAGAGGCGTCTTGAGGCCTTCACATCCAGGGCACGCAGCCTGACCCTGAGAGGTGGATGGGGACAAACGCCTCCTTGGGCACAATTCGGATCTGACCGGCCTTAGCTGCATTCTTATATTTCGCTCAACAGTCTCGGTATATCAAAATGATCAGACATCCGAGCCATTGGAATCCGGAGATTCGCGGTGGGAATACATCACGGTGCGAAGAAGGAAGGAAGCAGAGAAATCAAGCATCTCTTCCTGGTAAATAAGGGTCTCTCAATCCGCCCAAAGGATCGCTGCGGAACAGTTTAGTCAGTATTATTGATGTCTCGGCTTTGGACTATTCTCTAGACAGCAAAGACCTCTTGAAATAGGTCAATTCTGTGCTGTAACGAATGCAAGCCAAGTCTGGTTCATCCTGAACACCAAAGCACAGTTGCTGTGTAGTATTGTTTACTCAACACGACAAATCAATTACGTTTTGTACTATCGCTTACAGCCAGGAAAACAAAGCACTCAAACCTGAAACAACAAAATGCATTTTCTCCTCTGTTGATTCCAAGCCTACCTAATTAATTATATCTCGAACTTCCGAACCAGGTTCTACAACGAACCAATCTCGGCAATGGCTAGGCATCAGCTTGACTCAGCCATGTGCATGCATATATGCACTGTATCGTAGGAACCTCATTGGAGGGACAGAGCGTCACCTACGCAATGAACATGAGACTTAGTTCAGGACGCTCCAGTTAGCCCATGCGGCCAACAAATTGGTCGCAATAAGAAATACGCAGCCAGTTGCGGAACCAAAAAGGCCCAACCTGCCCATCCTCCCGGTGGGATTCCTTTGACCCCGCGCAAAAGGCATGGGCGATTTCCAAGAGCCATGGACGGGTTTTGAAAACTTGAAAAGGGAATTGAGGCTCAGGAAACGTCCGATTGAAAGTGGTCGATCATGACCTGGCTCTTTGTTTCCCTTCTTCCGACTAATCCTGCCCAGCCGGCCAGTACCAGGACAATGTGGCCGTCACAGTGACAATGCGTTCCACCCAAGCGTCACTGCAAGCCCCGCCAAAATGCAATGTTCGATGAGATGAACGCGAAAAACAAAACCGTTGGCCTTTTATTCGTGAATAAGACGGTGTCCTCCAAATCTCTGTCTAATAGTAAAGCTGACTCCCAGAACCTCCGAGAAATCAACCAGCATGTCCAGAAATCCCGCGACCTGGGCAAGGAGAGACAGAACAGGAGGCTGGTCAAGAGATCTGGCACTCTTCCTCTAGGCTGGACTTCACTTGCACCATGCTCGCATTCGCATTCGCATTCGCACTTAACTTTGCCTTTAGCCACCATCGATCCAGACTTGCAGGCCACTGACAAGGCTCAATCTCGCTCGGCCGTCGAACAGGAGGCTCTTAAAGGACCCATACCTGATAGAAATGCCGCAAAAAGTACCAGAACGCACAGCCATGGCCATGACCCGTCCAGCCGATTGCTACAGGTCCTCAGGCCGAGTCGATCATCGGTTGAACCTTTTGGCCAATTCAGAGTGTCCATTGATGCAGAGAAACATCGAATTCTGCAGTACTTCGTCTTCAAGTTCTTCCCTGCCGTCACGAGGCTGGACATCGTCTCGTTCATTGGATTCAACCAGAAGAGCCCCACCAGCCCAGCCATTCAAATCCTCCGTAATTCATTGTCGGAGGAGCTGCACTTTCTGGCTCTGCTGACAGCCGCCAGCGCTCGCATGAAGTATGTGGAGCAATACCACTTTGCGCGGGCCGATCTTCCAGAACAGTTGGCAGATGTGACGCTGAGACTGCTTAGGCGGTACCTGGCGCAGAGCAAGCCGGTAACGCAGGAGTTGCTCCAAAGTATCCTGTATTTGTGGGCGGTGGAGAGCTACCGCAGGAACTGGGATGCGGTTTTGATGCATGGAAGGATGATTATGCATTTGTGCAATACCCATTTTGGCGGGTTCCAGAACCTGAACCCTTACTTGCGGCGTATGCTTTGGGTTGCCGATCGGTTCCAAGCTGCTGCTACGGCCAGGCCGCCGCTCGTGGAGGAGAGATGGGAGACCGAAGAGTTGACTTTTGAGCAATCCGCCAGTGCCATGCGTTCCCTGAGAGAAGATGGACGGGAACCTAATGGACGAGGCTTTTCACAAGCCAGTGTGCATTTCAGTCCAAAGTTTGGCACCGTTGTCGCCGCGGTCGTCAACCTTGCTCATGTGATACAATGTCACTGGGCGGGCTTATGTGGCATGTCTCGTCTTCCTGACCGGGACTGGGCGGTCGCTCGCAGCTATACGCTCTCTGACGAGCTGCTCAGCTTCAAGGACGAGGTTGGGACTACAGCCCATAACCACCGAGACTCAAGAATCCAGGATTGTGTTCGACTGGCACTTATCGTGTGGCTCGCATTCGTTCCTGCGAGTGCTCCGTACTCACCAGCTGATCACGATACAGGCGTCCTGACCATCCGAGCAGCCATCGACGCAAGACCATTAAGGAATCGCCTGGCTAGCTTGACCGCCCATTTTGAAAGCTCTACGCCAAGTCCAGAGAAGGAGCTCTTGCTCTTCTGGGTGGCAGGCCTTGGAACAGTGGCAAGCGAGCTGGTCGAAAATCAAGAATGGTTCGCCTTTCAGTTCCAGCGGTATGCAAGAAAGTTGACCGTGTACTCGTGGGACGACTTTGGTGAGATCAACGATGCATACTTACTTCTGGATCGACTTCAGCAATCCAATCATACGAAGTTGAGCTGGCTGCTACAGAGAGCCATCTATGCTGAAAGCTCCGAAGAAGACACTCCTGAGTGAATGGTAATGGTCGGCATGGATTTTATTCGACCTTGACGTACGAGGAAATGCTTGCTTCGGTTCCGGTGGAAGTCGAGACAAATGATTGTTTGCCACAGGTATAGTATGGCAGTGAGCTGGCGGTTCGGCGTAAAGACCGAACGGATCCAGGCCACACTCACTTCAACTTCAATTATGAGTCAAAATGAGAATGGGAGCAGTTACCTCGGATGGCTGGCACACTTTTGCCATGGTAAAGTTGAAGCAGAAGGCCATTGAATTATTTCCGATATCGCATCCGGGACATGTCGGGTTAATGGGTGAAGAGGTTCGGCCAAGTTCGGATGTATTTCGGAAGAGAAATCAGAAAGGAAACAAGGGAAGGATGTAATGGCAACGGCAATGGCAATGGCATGGGTATATGGACTTGGGAATGGGTTGGAAATTGGCTTCGTGATATTTCATGATGACTAGCACATGGGGTTGTTGGTTTTGTGATATTGATGATCGAGTTGTATAGGTGGATGGGAGGAAATAGAACAGTTGGGGAGAGTTCGAGGCTGTTGGGGGCGAGTTAGGGGTGCACAGGAAGAGTTAGGCACACCTGGACGGACAGAATAGGCGCTGGCTTAACTAACTTAACTAACTTCTAGGCCTCTTCTAGGCCTCTTCTGAGCCGAGGCATTCTCATCACATGCCCTCCCCGCCCCACGTGTTGACTCCCTTCCTACTGTACAATCCTGACTTCAATTCCGCCACCTCCACCATCTTCATCCCTGGCATCTTCCTGGCTCTACAACTGGTCGCCCATCAGAGCTTCTTCATTGTGGGTCTCCCCTCTGGACCACGGACCACTGACCTCTCAGCTATGCTTTCCACTCGCCCATGTGCCTGGATCGGCCTCACTACTTGCTGGGCGCGATGATGAAATACCCTTCCGTTCTTGGTCTCACTGTGCCTCGGCGGAAAGGCAGAACTGTGTTTTCTGGCTCTGGCTCTGGCTCTGGATCGAGTTCCTGGAGCATGTTTGGATCGATCCTTTGGATTTTCCAACGTCAAACAGGCATTGGCACGCGTGTCTCTCCTCAGGTTTGCCATTTCGGATCAGAACGGTCTTCCTCGGCCGTCTTCTTTTCTACTCCAGACAGAAACATCCTCTCCCATGCATACTTAACTACCTAGTCCTCGCTTGTGCCTTAACAGAAAAAAGTGACCTCACTCTCCCCTCCTCCACCTGGGCACTCTTTTTGGATCGCTGTTAAGGATCGTCTCTCCTCTCTGGCTGATCTTGTATTGGCGTTGGCTTGGAACGGCATCATTTATTGCCGAAACCTATTCTGTCGTCACATTGAGTCACTCGTACTGCTTCCCTCCGGAGATATTTGCTCCCAACAAAGTCCTTTTCCGCACAAGAAAACTGAATGCTGAGTCGACGCGACAATCTAGGCGCACGCGACCAACACTATCTGGACTGAGATCTTGACATCTTCCATTGACTGCGCCGAGATTGCTTGGATCGAGTGCTCAACTCAACCGCGACCATGTCGGCCAAGAGTGTTAAGAGTGCAGGTGGGAAGAAACCCGCCAGTGCAGCCACCAACTTGATCGCCGGTGGTGGTGCTGGAATGATGGAAGCCCTCGTGTGTCATCCTCTCGATACCATCAAAGTGCGGATGCAGCTGTCGAGACGTGGCCGAGCCCCCGGTACCAAAAAGAGAGGCTTCTACCAGACGGGAAAGGACATCGTCAAACGGGAAACTGCTTTTGGCTTGTACAAAGGTCTGGGAGCAGTGCTGAGTGGCATCGTTCCTAAGATGGCTATTCGATTTACATCGTACGAGTGGTATAAACAAGCACTGGCAAATGAAGATGGCATTGTTACGTCAAGAGCGACATTCCTCGGTAAGTGAAGCAAAGAGTGCTTGTGAGGTGCGGCTCTGGATGATAAGCTGACTTTGACTTGACGACAGCTGGATTGGGTGCTGGTGTTACCGAAGCCGTGGCTGTAGTGACGCCGATGGAGGTGGTCAAGATTCGAATGCAGGCTCAATACCACAGTCTATCCGACCCCCTCGACATCCCCAAGTACCGAAGCGCACCACATGCGGCCCTGACCGTCATAAGAGAAGAAGGATTAGGTGCCTTGTACCGCGGAGTGTCTCTGACGGCTCTGAGACAGGGAACAAACCAAGCAGTCAACTTCACTGCGTATACAGAGTTCAAAGAGATTCTACAGAGATGGCAGCCTCAATATGAGGGCAAGAACCTCCCTGCATATCAAACCACCTTGATCGGCCTCATTTCGGGTGCAATGGGCCCATTTTCCAATGCTCCCATTGATACTATCAAGACCCGACTACAGAAGACACCGGCGGAACCAGGCCAATCAGCCATACAGCGCATTACCGCGATATCAAGCGACATGTTCAAACAAGAAGGACCTCGCGCCTTTTACAAGGGTATCACACCCAGAGTGATGCGAGTGGCACCGGGCCAGGCTGTCACGTTTACCGTTTATGAATTCCTCAAGAAGAGGTTGGAGGACAGCAGTCTACCGTTCACGGGAGGGAAGTATGAGGAATAGAGAGCTTCAACCTCCCAGATGTTGGATTGCATTGGACGGGATTGTCTGGATTGCATTTTCTGGAGCACACAACAACTTAAAAGAACGTCGTTGGATACCATATACCACTGCGCTTGTTATTGTTGTATATAATCGAGCATTGGATTATCATTATCATTACTTGCTTGACTGTTGAGGAAAGTCAAACAGACCGAACAAAACAAGAACAAGAACAAGAACATCAATATCAGCATACCAGTGACTTATCATTAATTTCATAAATATGGATATATATGATATGTATTTACACATACTATTACGGCGGGGTAATTCTGTAGGCGCGGGGCTGCGCGTGACGAGGCTGCGTCGATTCGGGCCTCCGTTGGTGTTGTTGTTGTTGTCAGCAAATGAACAACCAGTCAACCTTCTTCCACTCATTACCATTGAACAGTGCTCGCAACCTGAGGCATTGCATGGTGCTAGCACCTCGACTCTACCATCCTTTGTCTGAAGACACCGCCATCGACTCCATTCTCTGTCCGATATCCCCCATCCTCCGAAAGCTCCGAAAGCACCGAAAGCACAGCCTCGTCTTCGCCGAGTTTCTCAGTTAAAACCCACCGCCTGCACCGACTGCACTTTTGATTGTGAACACTTCCAGACCCGTCCTACAATTGCATACAACGTTACCCTACCCTATCCATTCATTCATCTATTTTCAATATGCAGTCTGGGATATCAGGTATGTATCAAGCCCTCCCCATCCACCACCCAAATCCCGCTATACCAAGGCTCTAACCACCCTCGTCTTCCTTCCGAACAGCTTCCGCCGACCTGCACGACGCATTCGCCTCCTTCGCCGCTGACAGCACCCTCTTCGCCTTCCCCGTGACCATCTCCAGCGAATCGTTGAGCTCCTTACCCGCCATTCCATTCCCCAATTCCTCACCATCGACAACACTCACCTCGTCGCTTTCCTCCCTCGAACCCATCCTCTCGCCCACTGTTCCACTCTACCTATTGCTACGCACCTCCCCCACGCCGACCGCGCAGCTCATCGCAGCAACATACATCCCGTCACGCGCCCCCGTCCGCCAGAAAACCCTCTTCGCCTCGACCCGCGCCACGCTCGTGCGGGAACTCGGGTCCGAGAAATTCGCCGACACGGTCTTTCTGACCGAGAAGGAGGAGGTGCTTGATCCCAAGACCTGGGCGGACTCGGGATACACAAGTGGAGGTCCCTCAGGTGGGAGCGGCGGCGGTCGTGACACCGCGCTCCTGAGCGTCGAGGAGCGCGAGCTGCAGGCCGTCAAGCGTGCCGAGGAGGAGGCCCGCCATGGCACGGCGGGTCGGGATTTGATGAACGAGGGGGGCTCGGGCGCGGCGTTTGGCGGTGGTTCGAGGGATGGGACGCCTTCTGCCGGCGCGGGAGGCCGCAGCGGTGTGAGCATGAAGATCTCAGAGGACGCGCGCCAGGGCCTCGCGGCCGCCAAAGCCGCTCAGGACCCAAGCGGCGACAGCGGCAGCGGTGTGCTCGTGCAGTTCGGAATCGACATCGCAAACGAGACGATCACTCAAGTGGGCAGCCCGCAAAGCAATATTGCGGCCAGGGTCGTCCACGCCCGCATCCCCGGAGATCGGCCTAGTTACAGCCTCTACGTTCCCGGCGGTGTCCAAGGCGCGCTGTTCATCTACGTGTGTCCCGGCACCAGCAAGGTCAAGGAACGCATGCTGTACGCGAGCAGCGGGCGGTTCTTTGTGCATTATGCCAAGACAGAGTTTGGGGTTGATGTCGTTAAGAGGCTGGAGGCGAGTGAGCCGGCGGATCTGGATGGGGAGAGGGTTCCGGAGGAGGTTGCGGCGTTGAGCGGTGGTGGTGCTGGCGGGAATGGTGGTGGTGTAGATAGTGCTCCAGGCAGTGGCACGGCGACACCTAGGGGTGAAGGGTTTGCCAGGCCGAAGAGGCCTGGGAAGCGGTAGGGACGAGGAAGTTTGCTGCTGAGTATAAGGTTGGGAAGAGGCGGATCTATTCACACTCCGCATGTTGTTGAGTAGAACTACTGGCCTGGCACGAGAGGCAAAGCATAGCGCGAGAGAGATGAAAAAGAAACAAAATCGTTATGAGAAATCAAGTCTAGAGAATTGAATCGATTGTGCTGTCTGAAGTACGAATCCCAATCTGTCATGGCTCCTGGATCTAGGTTGCTACGAAGTCACCCTTTTCGGAATGAGAAAACTTCTTCCAGAAAGATGGTGCCACTCACATATCGTACAGCCTTCTGTGGTGCCGCTCCTGCGGCCACCTATATGTATCCTAGATCAACCAAGGGTGGTTCTATGAGGTTAGACGGGAATCAGACTAGAGGGGGCGCCCTGTTTGATTACTGAGGCATTGGTCGCATGGTCTTCTGGCAGGAATCCTGGACTTATTGATAATTTTAAGCGCGCGCGTTGGCAACGCCACATAGGGAAACAGTGTCAGATGGCTGGTTTGTAGTTGTTAGCCCTGCTAGTCTTTGTACCCGGCTCCTCTCGAGTACTGCATGATGCGCTTCGTATGAGCGCTTTTCTGCCAGCTTTGGCTGTTCGCATAGGAGTCTCTTCCCAAGGGATTATTCGTCAAATCGACTGTACGTCAAGTTTGAGACTCTCATTGCGGTGGTACTCAGCAAATGTTGTCCAGGAAATTGCATCAATAAGATGGTGTCCGGGCTTTCGAAGAACCAACTCTTGCCGCTTCTACCAGCTAGTTCAGCGCGTATTTCTCCTCGACTGGGATGGCGATTCATGATCCAACATGCGATTTTGCACATACGACCACAGATCAAGATCCATTTCAATACTGATTCCTGAAATTCTTCTTCTGGTAGAATAGATCCGTCCTGGACGATCCCAGATTGATGATTTTAGGACATCCGTCACGATCTTTCTCTAGTCTGGTACATTCAAAGCAGTAGAAGGCGTCACTGATCCCCTCACCACCACAGACGATGCATTTGTTCTGGTAGTTGCCGAAGGAACACTCGTCGCAGATTCGTGCGAGGGTGGTGGGTCGGACGTAGGAGTCGCAGACAGGGCATTTGCCGTCGCATTTGTCGCACAGTCGCCCGAGCGAGATGCCCGGTGCTTTGCGGCACATGACGAGATCGGGGTGATGACGAGACATGTTGTAGCGCAGTGAGGTGGGAGAATGTGCTTTTTGCTGAGGTGGCTAGATTTGGTTGTTGAGTGGAAGGAGGAGGAGAGCGATGGGCCGTGAGATATAGAGCTGTTGCGTCAGTACCGGTGTTGAGAGATATCGAAGACGATGGAAGAGGGTGGCACTGGTAACTGCAAGTGGGAGCAGCCTTGTTGGAAATCCAAAATCTGCGTACCAGCGGAATTTCAGTTTCTCCGCAGGCTAGCCTCCACACTGACTCGGCTATCACGTGCCGGGGTGGCCCAGGATCAGGCTGGGATCATATCAATCCAATCTTTCACACTGTCAGTTCACCAATTTAATGATGCAACACTAGGTCTAATATCTGCAGGGCAAGGATACCATGATCATGCATAATCCTCATTGAAAAAGAAATCACCAGCAACCAGCAACTTCCATCCAGACGATTCTCCATAACGATGATATCCTCGGCAGTGGTGATCCCCGATGAGCCTGAACCCTCATTGCCGACCACGTCTCTCAAGAGGCGCCAGTCAGAACGATCAAAGTCGCCGGACTCGAGCAAACGGCCTCGCCTCGACAGCCATTCCTGGACCATCTCAAGCAATCACAATGGCGCGAGATCGCCTTCCTCTCCTCGCGCCGCGCGCAACGCATCTTCGCCAACCTCGACCACCTCGGCAGTTGCAGTAGGAGGACAAGCAATGTCACCTCCGCGCCGACGTGCCACGGCCAACAACAGCGATGAGAAGTCGCGCAATCGACGCCTTTTCGGCGCACTACTAGGAAACCTTGCGCAGCCGGCGGCATCATCGCGCACAAAGTCCTCTCCCGCAATAACAGCAACGGCTGCCAGACGGCGCGAGGACATAGAGTCTCGGCAACGGCAACGCCTGCAGCGGGAGAACGAAGAGATCTCGGAGCACGCGCGCCGGAAAAGGGAAGAGCTGAACAGGACGCGGAAGGTTGAGCAGCGCCGCTGGGACGAGGAGGCGATCAGGACCAGACATACCAACATGAGTGCCATGGCGGAATTTTTGAGGACGGACACTGAGCCGATGTTGTATTATAAGCCTTGGGAGATGCGAGCGCAAGAGGAAGAGACTGTGAGGCGACAGAAGGATGAAGTGGAGGAGACGATTAATCGGGAGTGGGAGGCGTGGGAGAGGAAAAAGCGGCAGCAACAGCAGCAGGAGAAGACCGCTGTTGTGGCAGGTACTCCGGGCGACCGACAGCGGGATGATGGTGCTGTGGTGCAAAGTGGCAGCACAAATGGCACCATGGAGAGCAGACGGGGACTGAGATCGGAAGATGTCCCCATGAATGGAGGTGTCGATGGCCCTGCCAATGCATTGCCACAGGCTCAAAACCGAGCACCGTCTCCCGCATCGACTCGAGAGGATGCGAAAGATTCTTCGCACTCTCCCGCGCGGTCCAGGACTGAGGCTAAAGGAGCCGGCGGGCCGGGTAGTGACCGGCCGCAGTCCAGCAAGGATGACGATCATGGCGGCGAAGAACTCGAGCTCGGACAGGAGGACGATGTTATTTACTAATTGTTCGCCAGGGTCTGCTGTACCGCTGTGCTGTGTCTTAATATAGCACCTGTTCTCAGGGATGAGGAACCAAAAAGAAAAAGCTTGCAACTACCTCATCAGTCCCCATCATCGATATTGTTGGATATCTAGACGAGTGAACTTGAGAATCTTTCATATGGATAGTTTGCCTACACGAATCCAATAATTGATTTTACTCTCCACACTACTATCTGCGGTCTTCTATATCCCAGGCGTATTTTCGGTGACCTAGAAGTCACCGCACATGACTGATCGTCCTGGCCATCCTCCGAAGGACCAACTCACCCTCCCCGGCTACCTTAATCTGTTAGCGCATCTCTGCTTGGAGCAGAATAAATCCTCGACACCTTTCAATGAAGTATGCTGACCAAGCCCATGAACGGTCTTGCCATAACGTTTCGGCTGCATTTGCCTTTGCCTCTTGCTTGGTTGCAGCGAGGCGTTCCTCCTTCAACAGAAGATACTCCTCTAGACTCACTCCCACCGGCCAGTCGATTTTATGCGACATGAAGTCTTCAAGTTGAGTGCGACAACCCAGCTGCTTGCCTTCAGTAGCCTCCCAAGCTTCGTCCACCATGTTGGTGAACAAGCCCTTGAGTTTGACTTTCTCCAAGAAAGTCACCTGGCGAATTTTCCAGAACAGAGACAGCACTGATTCCCTTTCCCTAGCGTTCCTAGGGAGGCCGACTCCTATCGAGCTAAGCTGCAGGAAGCGCAGGCTCTTTGAGTGGTTCTGGAGCAGTTTTGTCATGGATTTCTCAGTAGTAAAGACGTTCGCCAAGGCTAGATACCATAATTGAGGCAGGTGTAGTCTCGTCAATGCAGCGGAAATCTTCAACAGAATCTCGGCATAGTTGTACAGGAAGTGGGTTGCCCCGAAGCTCAAAGTAAGCATTCCGAGGTTAGTGTAACGCGAAATGTAATTCGTCAACCGTGCGAGATACGTGTCCTGCATGCGAGAACTGGTGAGGTAACCTTTATTATCAAGGCTCAGAACGAGGGTGCGATGGTCGTCATACGTTCTGGGCTCTGCCTGCTGTTCACTGCTAGGTATATCTTCTTCGTCGCTCACAGGGAGATGACGCCAGAGGACAGGCTCCAGGATCAGATGATGGAGTCTAGAGCTCATACACGCGCAATAGAAAGGGTCAAGAACCGGCGTAGTTGTCAAGTCAGCACGTGTGGTGAGATCGACAGACCTGGCCAACGATGGTCCAGGCAGAAAGTCGATATTACTGTCAAAAATATTGTACCTGCGCTCGTCGCAGACAATGGCCTTCAAGTTTGAAAAGCCGCAGATCACACGGCGGATTGCTGTCACATCAAGCTTCTCGAAGAGTCTTTGGGCCCCCACGTACAATCTATACTTCGCAAATAGGGTATTAGCTTCTTGGTCGCTCAGAGGGTCAGTAGAAACGCTAGAGTCGTGGCAAGCAGGAGTATTCTGCCGGTGAATGCGTTGCATCATGCGTATGAAGTCTTCCCGACCGCTTTTTGATTCCAGGTAGCTCGTATTGAGCACGATGGTATGCAATCTTAAAGTGTCAACATAATCGTGGACGAACGGGCTTTGGCTCATGGCTTCCAAGCGAGTCCAGCTCCATATCAGAGGCCATAGCTTGATTTCTTTGAACAAATGCTTGGATGTCGCGGCGATGCAGCCTCTTTCAACCTGCCTGAATGATTTCAGCGATGTCAGGTCGAGATGCTGTGAAATCTCAAGCTGGACCTCGACGGGCAGATCTGAAAATGACGTGAACCGATGTGGTTTTAGCTGCGCAGCCGACATGATTCAAAGCCAAGGTAGTAAGGTGATGTTAATGGTTGTCGAAAATGATATGCTGATGGATTCGAGAGAGGTGCTCATGGTCGCGTTAAGCAAGTGTTGCCAAGGCTCTACAACATACGCCTACCAGCCAGTCGTTTATCCGTATCCGAACTCGGTTGTGCTTCTAGATACGAGTAGATACAAACGAGAATGCGCACCAGGAGCTTCCGATTGAAGACTGACCATCAAGGATGTTTGCACCTACCGTGGAAAGGTGTTCAAACAGCTGAACCAGGTCATTTGAGAGCTCTGGAAGATTTAGGAGCTGCCGAGTGATGGAGGAGACGATACGAACAGAGTCAACTCGAAAGGCAGGTAAGAGGCTCTTCTCTAAAAGTCGCCAAGGGTCTCACGTATGTATGTCCCCTATTTTAGCGCGATTCATCGTATGGCTCGCCCTAGGATGTCATTCTAGCGTATATGCTCCTTCGTAGATCACGTGATTGTCAAGATGTCGGGACACGCGTTGATGGAGGTGTTTGCGCATGTCCAAAGCTGCCTTCTGGAGCAATTAGTCCGCAGCCAACGAGTTGTATCTCACAACTTCACCATACAACACAGATCTCTGTTGCTTCATCTGCACTCATTAGTACCTCCTCCTCTTTCTCTTCAGAGTTTTTCGCCACTAGAACCGTTCCTCAAATCCTGGACTCTATCTCGTAACCGCTCCCAGAACCATCTGGCGCTTTGCCTTTGCCGCAACCATGCCCGGCTTCGATTTCACCAACTATAACCGTAACGCTGCGCTACATGCACGAGGGGTTCCTTTGCCAAAGGCCACAAGCACTGGAACCACCATTGTAGGTTGTATATACGACAATGGTGTCGTGGTAAGTTCTCTGTTCCGGGTGCCTTGAAATGCTGCACGTACTGACTCCCACTTTGTACAGATTGCAGCGGATACTCGAGCCACGAGCGGTCCCATAGTTGCTGACAAGGTTTGTCTCCATCTTGGATTTCAATCAACATCTCTAATATGGTATAGAACTGCGAAAAACTACATTACATCTCCCCGAATATCTGGTGTGCAGGCGCTGGTACTGCGGCCGACACCGAATTCACGACCGCTCTGATCTCGTCGAACCTTGAACTCCATGCTCTCTCCACTGGTCGCACACCTCGTGTTGTCACTGTCATGACTATGTTGAAGCAACATCTATTCCGGTATCAAGGGCACATCGGGGCATACTTGGTTGTTGCTGGGGTGGATCCTACAGGAGTTGGATTGTTCACTGTCCACGCTCACGGTTCAACAGATAAATTGCCTTATGTCACCATGGGCTCTGGATCTCTTGCTGCAATGGCAGTATTTGAATCGAATTGGAAGAAGACCCTCTCCAGAGAAGGGGCGATCAAACTGTGTTCCGATGCCATTCTGGCCGGTATCTTCAATGACTTGGGATCTGGGAGTAATGTCGACGTCTGTGTCATTGAGAAGGATAAGCCATCGCAATTACTGAGAAACTACATCACCCCCAACCAACGTGTCAAGAAGGAGCGCAATTACAAGTTCGCCCGTGGTACGACGGCAGTTTTGAACCAGAAAATCATCACCAAGGAGGAGATTGGCCGATATATCACGGTACAAGAACTCGGCACTGGCAGTGACTCCGACAGTCTAGTTGTTGTGGAGAAAATGGATGTGGACGAGGTCTGAAGAGGTGGCTCTGATTTCGACAGCCTCTCCCACTTGTAACCCTAGGTCCAGATGCAGATGCCATCATAGCAGGTGCATGTCCGTGAGATAGCATTGTGCAGTTATGCATTTAGAAAGGCGCATGGAGTTTGCTGGGCATCGAAGCAAGCTCAGCTATGGCACCGTACCATTAGGACCAGATATTCCCCAAAATGATGTATGCTTTGCACCCGAACGAGCATATTGATATGAACATTATCAGTCCCTACAGTGGTGAGTTTTCCAAGTAGAGAGCCGTCATTCCCCTTGTATTATTGTGATAATTGCGTTGGGAATCGATTGCTTTTAAGACAGATAATCCAGAGAACCACCTAGAAAACGATCGTTGAAATGCGCCACGGTCACCATTCTGTTGCGGGTCTATATATCTACACATGCACTGATTGAGAGTCGAGAAATAATTGATACGCTGATATCGGACACGTGGCTGATTCACCATCCACTTTTCATGAGCCAAATTGGAATACTAGGAAAGGTCATTTCCAGATTCCATAGCCTGACCGTCGTTTATACCGACTATTTGTCATAGGAAGTGCATCTGGGATTGACTGACCACTCTTTCGGTTGCAGAGATAAGGTAACACCACGTTGGTCTCAGACCCCGAAAACCAACTGAATCTCCAGGCAAGATTGAATACTGTGTCTAGTAGTTCCTTTATGAAGGCGATGATCTACTGATCCATCTCAACTACCGCAACGGCTTCAAGGGCCATGGCCACACCAGACACCTCAGTTTGGCCTGGAAGCGGCACATTACTCCTGATATTCATCCAAGTGGCTTCTCGAGCGCTGACATTCATCGGCAACCAATTTCTCCTGCGCTTCCTTTCGCCAACGTTGCTGGGCATTTCCATTCAACTAGACCTTGTGTCGACGACAAGCTTATACTTCGCCCGCGATAGTCTGCGAGTTGCACTGCAGCGGCAGGTCCCGGTCGCCCCATCTCCGACTTCACCAGCGTCAGGTGATGAGGATGACAGCAATAAGGGCGAGTCTACAGCTGTGCGGAAGAACCAGAGGGGACAGAATCAGCAGCGCTCCCAAGCATCTCTCCAGGGCCAAATGGTCGTGAATCTCTCGTACCTGACGATCTTGCTCGGCCTGCTAATATCCATGGTCTTTGGCTACTCGTATCTGGCATCGGCACCGACGGAAGCACTCTCGAGTTCGCATTTTACTCTCTCCTTCCGAATCTACGCTTTCGCGACGCTCGTGGAGTTACTAGCCGAACCAGCCTTTCTTTTCATCCAGCAGAACGCGCTCTACAAGGAGCGCGCAGGGGCTGAAACAGCGGCGGCAATGGCACGATGTCTTACGGCGTGCGCGGTCGCAGCATTGGGCCACAGAAAGCGCTGGGACCCTAGTATTTTACCCTTTGCAGCAGGCCAGGCAGCGTACTCAATCGTTCTACTGGCCCTATATCTCCTTCCCACGCTGAAATCAGCACGCAGAGATAACTTCAGCCTTGTGCCCGCAAGGCTGGGCACATCAGCGTTGGCCAGCAACGATCCGAACCATCTAGATATGTTTCCAAAATACCTCCTCTTCCTCAGTGGGACGATGTACATGCAATCGATATTCAAGCTGTTGCTGACGCAAGGCGACGCCTTGATTCTCTCATTCCTGTCCACCCTGGCGGACCAGGGCGGTTTCGCGCTGGCGTCGAATTACGGCGGACTGCTCGCTAGACTGGTGTTCCAGCCAGTTGAGGAAAGCAGTCGGAATGCATTTGGCCGGCTCCTTTCACCAGACAGCAACAGGCCGAAGAAGGCAGAGGTGGAAAATCCCGATGTCAGCCAGTACCGAGCAGCGTTGGAATACCTGACGAACATACTGCACTTCTACTTGATCCTCGCACTGCCACTGGTCACGCTGGCGCCATACATTCTTCCGCTCGGCGTCAGGCACATCCTGAGCGCGACCTGGTACACCCCGTCCACTGCCATTCTACTATCTACATATTGTTATTACATCCCATTCATGGCGGTCAATGGCATTCTGGACGCGTTCGTGACATCTGTCGCGACGCCAGCGGAACTGCGCCGGCAATCATTGTGGATGGTGGCTTGTACAGCGGTGTATGGTGGCGCGGCGTGGCTCTTGCTGACGAAGAGCGGACTGGGCGCCAGCGGTTTGATTTGGGCGAACATGGTGAATATGGCTTTGCGGATCATGTGGAGCTTGTGGTTTATTGCCGGCTGGACTGGGGAGAATGGAGGCGCGATGTATGACCAATTTCTCCGCGAGGCTCTCCCGTCAACCACGTCCATTGCCATGTCAGGTGCTATTGTCCTCGGTTTGAGAATGTCTGTTACGACGACTGAGAGCTTCACCCGTGAGGTATTTGGTATTCTGTCAGCAGGAACAGCGCTATTGGGTTCAACCATGTAAGTTGCCGACTGTACTTTTTACCCACTTCTATCCTGTCTATGTATAAGCCCAGCGATCCATTTAAGGCTACAAGTCTAACACTTTACTCTAGCCTCTTCACCGAGCGTGATTTTCTAGTCCAGATGCTGCAAATCATCATTCCCCAACGCCTCGCTTCCAGGATACCTTTTCTCAAAGCAAAGTCAACATGGAAGCTAGATGCTCCGCTACATGCAAGATGAGCCTCCGCTATGCTCTATCAATTTAATCATCAAACGTGATTTTTGTGGCCGTCTTGCCATCTTCTACGTCACGGTAGAAGGCACCATACGAGTCATGCTGCTTCTTCTTGACCGTGGTACCAAACTTCAGTAGGGACTCCGGGACATCTTGCTTGGCGGCTCTTAGAACATTGACCAGGCCTCCGGCAAGTGCTTTGTCTTGCTCTGTAAATAATGTGATTGCAAGTCCGCTTTTGCCTGCTCGACCAGTTCGCCCGATACGGTGGACATAATCTTCGGCGGTCAAAGGGAATGTCACGTTAATGACGACCTTGACTTCAGGAATATCGAGGCCACGAGCTGCTACGTCTGTTGCGACCAGAAGATTGACTGAACCGGACTTGAAGCCCTCGAGACTAGCAATGCGAGCCGACTGGGAGAGGTCTCCGTGGATTCCGGCGACTTTCATGCCGCGGCCGTGGATGAAGTTCTCAATGCGCTGGGCCTCCTTTTTATACAGACAGAAAATTAGGATGCGGTCGTTGCGCTTGTTACCGGCGGTGTGCTCCTTCAGGAGTTGGAGAAGTCGTTGTTGTTTCACGGCACCATCCAGAACCTCGACCTTTTGCACAATACGAGCATTCGCTCGAAGTTCGCCTGAGTCGTCTGTGTCGTTACGGCCGATGGTGATTTTGACCGGTTCTCTCATAAATGTAGCGGCTAGGTCCCGAATCGATTTGGGCCAGGTAGCGGTGAACATAGCAGTCTGTCGCTTTTTCGGAGAAGGCATTTGGGAGATGATATGTTTGATATCGTCTTCAAACCCTTTGTCAAGCATACGATCGGCCTCGTCGAGAACGAGATACCTTGTCTTGGAGACATCGATTGTGCCATCAGACATGAAATCCTTCAGCCGTCCGGGTGTGGCAACAATGATATTGACACCGGTCAGACTCCGCCGTTGCTCATCTTTGTTGGTGCCACCGTAGATACAGGTTGCCTTCAGCTTCTTTGCGGTCTGACATAGCTTGTCTACTTGCTCGAAGACCTGGATGGCTAATTCTCGTGTAGGAGCCACGATCATGGCCCGAATGCCCTTCTTCTTCTTCAATGCGGCTAGTCTGGTGACCAAGGGCAGACCGAAGGCAATTGTTTTGCCACTTCCTGTCTCGGCCACACCCACAACGTCCCGGCCTGAGAGGAGGAAGGGCCATGCAGCGGACTGAATCGAGGAGGGCTTTTCAAACGAGGAGAAAATCGAAGAGAATTGGGCGGCCAGGACAGCGGGGAGGTGAGAAAAGGCAAGGATCGGTCGCACTTTGGAGGTCTGTGGGTCACTTATCTGCACTGACTGAGTGCTGAAGAAATTGTCCACATCGCTTTGCGGGAGGGCATCGAGAGAAGGGTGAGGCTTGTATTCTGCGACCTCATCTTGTTCTTCTGGTGCTGGAGTCGAGTTGGCAGTGGCATCGGTCGAGCTGGGAGTGATGTCCTCATGGCGGAGAGCTTCTTTCCGATCCCTTTTTCTTCTCTTCTTGTCTTGCTTGGCCAGTTGTTGCCCTTCATCGAGGCTGTGTTTGCTCATGATTGCAGAAAATCGGTCGGTTCGACCTTTGCTCAGAATCGCAGCGAATGTCTACTAATGATCGTTCCGCCCGCCGAAGGTCTGCAAGAAAATTTGGGTACGAAAAAGTTGTGGAGACGGGAAGGTATTCTGCCACCGCCCATCCGCCGCCATATGCAAGCCAAGACAATACGGCGAAGCATATCTCCGGTGTGGCACAGGGATTCTGGCGGAGCATATCTTCCAAGTGCCTCAACCAGTTCAGTTCTCATTTTACTTGAACTCTGAGGTATCAAGCGAGGTAACTGGTGATTGTTCAGCTGCTTATGCCCGATGCATCCTTACTCACACAAGTTGGCCGGTTGAACTTGACACTCGGTCTTTCGGAATTACGGGCTCGGCTCAGAAACATGCCCTCTTGGAGATCAGGAGGGCCACCCCAAGGCCATCCCCGCATCAACACGGCTGTCAAGAGTACAAATACAAACAGTATCCTGAATATCACCTCGGCATGTCACGGCCCGCATGGTTTGCTTGCATCCATTGTGACCTTGAGACTAGGTTTCGGTTGTCGAGTCATACTCATATTATACCAAGAACAACCATGGACGTACCAGGCTTTGCATTGATAACAGGAGCTGCCTCTGGCATAGGTAGAGCATCCGCGATCACATTCGCCAGGGATGGCGCAGCAGGAGTAGCATTATTGGATCTCAACCAGGGAGCTCTGGAGCAAGTTAAAGCCGAAGTCGAGAAAGCAGCCGCCGAACGGGGGGCAAAATCCTTGCAAGTCGAAGTATACACTGTGAACGTGACACATGAAGACCAAGTTATTCAAGCCGTCAACAGCGCCGCTCAGAAATTTGGCCGCCTCGACTATGTCATTAATGCCGCTGGACTTGCTATGAAGCATCCTGGTGGCGCGATATTCGCAGAAACTAGCGACTGGCAACGCATCATCGACGTCAATCTTACAGGAACATTTCTGGTCCTTAAAGCGGCGGCGCGGATTATGCTGAAACAAGACCGTATCCTCTCCAGTATCGATGGACGCCCATTGCAACGTGGTTCCATTGTCAATTTTGCCTCAATATTGGGGGCTGTGGGAGTGCCAATGTCGACTGCGTATACTGCCTCGAAACATGGAGTGATTGGCCTGACTAAGACCGCATCGGAAGACTATGCCAAGGATGGGCTTCGCATCAATGCGATATGCCCAGGATATACGGAGACACCTATGACTACTCAATCGGAGATAGTCCTGCAAGTAATGAAGGAGCGAGTAGAGAATGCTGTACCCATGAACAGAATGGGCACTGCCCAGGAGATAGCCGATGGCGTAGTCTACCTATCCGGTGGAAGAAGTTCCTTTGTCACTGGAACTGCACTATTTGTGGATGGCGGATATACTCAAAGATGAGCCAGAACTAATCTGCATTGTAAATTTTTAGATCAATATTCATGTGGGATTCCAACTCGATGACATGACATTGCTATGATATGCGGTTTTCGAGCAATACAACGCTCATTCATGGAAATATTTGAACAAGGAAGCAGTAGCTTAAAACCCTTGCCTAGATTCAACATTCGAGAGGATATCAATATGGTTGGTGTTCTTCAGTTCAGATTAGGTGGCAGGGCTACCTTTGTGGTGTTGATGATAGGCAAGGCCGTTTAGCAAGGCTTGATTTTCAGGGGCTTGGCTTTTCCCAACGTAACCAAGCAAACACACTTAGAACATGAACCCAACTCTGCTTGCATGGAGCCTGTCAAATTCTTTCACCTCTCACTAGGTCAGACCATAATACACTTGAGATAGTGGACTTTACTGCTTCCTCTCGAGACTTGTCGAAACACGTGCTGAGAAGCAATGATAATTTCCTTGGTAAAATCAATACGGTGGTGATGGTCCCATAACAGTATTGCTTCACTCCTTGCGCACATAAAAGTCATGTACTATGTATGCCCTTGCAAGCATATAGAAAAAGCACTCTCCACTTTAGTATCAAACCATCGCACCTCACATACAGCAAGCACTACGATACGAATGACTCTGAGTGATATCATCACCGTCGAAATTAGATGGGTACTGTATATTTTGCCTAGAGACGTCCCCTTTCTCCTAATCCTCGACGTTGTCCACGCCGAGGGACCTCATCAGCTTCCTGCGCGGCTTGCAACACTTCCACCGCGTCAACTAACTCAATTGCATCCACCCCCTCAGTCGCGTCCACAACCTTGATCGGACCCAATGCGCCGTAACCTCCTTGTTGGAATTCCTGGGCTCAATTTGGATCTCCCACGGGGCGTAAAAAGATGCCTGTGTCTCATTCCACAGAGGTTGGGATGGCCGGTATAGTTCCGTTCATTGAAAAGCCCAACAAAAAATAGAGAAGAAGCGACCCAGTGAGGGAGAAGGAAAGTTCTAGTAGCTGGTGTCGTGGTGGAGTGGTAGACCGATTACTCTCTTCTTGTAAGTATGATAACTGCCCCGTATGGTTTGGTCCAGGAGGGTGGTCGACGGTTATTTTGATCTGAGATTTAGCAGAAGTTTTTAGTGCGCCTCATCAAGCACAAGCTGAGCCACTCCCAAACCGAGCTGGTTGAGGTATGAAGGAGGTCGAATTTGGCTTCCTAGCTATGGACTACGTATTCCTCTCAGCCAGATATTGCCAGATCAGCCTCTGCTGGTTGGCGCCATCTCCCATTCCAGAACGGCACCCGAAAGAGCCTCAGATGCGTAGGAGCACCTGAGCAGATGGTACCTAGAAAATGCTGCGCTGTAAGGCTGAGGCTGAGCGCTTGTCCACAGCCTCACTGGTCACAGCAGTTTTCTGCTCAGATTTTGTACGTCTGGCAAAATGAATGTCAGCCGCCACCTTCGTAGGCTATGACTTAGAAATGGAAGAAACAAATTGATGCCCACCAGTTCAGGTGGCTCGGAGGTTATCAACGGTCTACAATCGAGCGAATTCTGATCCGCGTATAGGAGCCCAATACGGACCTCGAATGTCAATGTCTACAGCGCAAATGGCAAGTCTGGACTCCGGCTTGGTCACCCAATCCTTTTCTACCATGAAATTACAGGAACTCATGCTGGTGCGGATGGCTATGGTGTCAGAGGGGAGGACCCGTTCATCTCAGCCGCGGCCAACATTTGAAAGGCCTTACGAATCGAAAAGCTCAATGGCATTCGAAAACCGGCAGCCTCCCCGTACCAAGCTCGCAATTTGCGCTAAGATGTGTCTCCCTCAAGGATTACAGACATTCACAGCCTTGAGGAGGACGTTGGCGGTTCGAGTAGTACAATTGCGTGAGTGGTGGGCGGTGCAGGTAGGAGACGTTCTCTCCGCCCAGCCTTGGCGAGTCTTGGTAAGGCTGTGTCGTGCCCTGATAAGCATTCTCCTCGCTGGCGCTATTACTTTTTCTTTGCAGTTGGCATTGGTGGCCTGAAGATGGCAGCAGGCACTTGTTTTGAATATACGTCATCTCCAAGGCGAGGCTGAGGGGAGCTGAAATCGTTTCCAGTGAGAGATTACAATTGTTAAGTCTGCACAATTTCTGTGAAAACCGTGTCTGATAAATTTCTGTCCAAACGCGCTCCGGTACAAAAGTGATCAAGATCATGCAGAGGGCACGGAACATCTTGTCTTGCGCTTCGTGCCGACAAAGGAAGTAAGTCACTCGTTGATACTACTGGGCGACTGGCTCACAGTATTGTGGTTAGATTAAGGTGCGATCGAGAAGAACCCTGCAGCAATTGTGCCGTGAGAAAATGCGAGTGTAAATACGGCTCGTTACCAAGCGGCCGCAACTCGTCTCAGACGCGACCTAGCAGACAGAATCTCAATGCTCGACTTGTTCACTTGGAAAGACTTGTCAGCACGATAGCTCCCCAGCGGAGTCACCTTGATGAGTCAGTTCTTGCCGCGAGTAAGGAGTCATCTGTCCTTGAAAGCTCTCACCACAGCGGCCTGCCAACCGGCCACGATCTTACACTCAGCGGTAATATTACTTCTGAGGACAAGCCCGAGACTGTGGCTGGACGATTGGTAGCAAACCAGAGTCAAACAGTCTATGTCTCTGCAGCACATTGGACGGCAATTTGCGATGAAGTAGGTTGATGTTGGAGATTGCTTCTCTTGCTCAAGCCCTAATCTTGGATTTACCTCATTTATTTTCCCAGGTGGCAAATGTCAGAGATTTGGTCGAGGAAGAGGACTTGTTTGAACAACCAGACTTGCCAAAGAAACAGCATACTTTAGGGCCCTTGCTTCTTCAAGGCAAAACCATATATCCCAGCCAGGATGAGATATTACTCGACGTCCCGCCTCGGGCAATCTGTGACCGGTTCTTATCCCGATTTTTTACTTCTACAGTACCCATGACCGGTGAGTATTTCCTACCGAGAATGAGCAAGAAACACTAACCAAGTGAAAGTTCTGGTTCACGCACCTACTTTTCAACGAGAGGCAAGTCTCACTCAAGCTCAAGCTACCATCACCAACTAAGTTCGCCTTTTAGTATAGCCATTTCTTACTCAATCCGTCTGCTGCTAGCCTCCCGTGGTTGGGTGTACTGTTTGGTATCTTGTACATGGGTGCCTTCCTGTACTTTCAATCACGGGAGGATCTTCCTGGAGGGCTGGGAGACCCTCTGGATGTTATGCGTACATTTCATCAACGCTCTACAGATTGCATGTTGACCTCGAACTATGCCTACGAGCCAAATCACCACACATTGCAGGCACTTCTAATCAACATCCGGGCGGAGTTTATGCGAATGCCAGAGAATTACTTCGGAATCTGGGTTCTATCCGGTGTCGTTGGCCGACTGGCAATACGAATGGGCTACCACCGCGAGCCGGCGAACTTCGCACAGATCTCTCCATTTCAGGGCGAGATGCGACGTCGTACTTGGGCGCTCATCTGCCAGCTCGAATCTCTTACCTGTTGCCACCTGGGACTTCCCTCCTTTATACAAGAAAATCATTGCGACACACAACTCCCAAATAATTATTTGGACGAAGATATCGACCCAGACAACGTCGAACTGCCACAACCGCGGCCGGGGACTGAACAGACTCCAGTGCTATATACCATCACTAAAGGCCGCATAGTCTCGGTGTTCCGAACTATCTGTGATCAAACCTTGTCTGTCCAGGTCACCCCTTACGACCAAATCATTGCGCTAGATGAACGTCTGCGTGGCGCGATACAGGCCATACCTCCGTGCTTTCGTTTAGATAACCTGCAAGACTGTCTCACTGTACCGCCATATTTACTAGTTCGACGATACAACATGGAACTTCTCTCACAGAAGGCGCGCTGCATACTTCACCGGCACTATATGACGGTCGGCTATCGAGACCCAAAATACGCCTACTCAAGGTCATCTTGTGTTGCAGGAGCGCTCAGCCTTCTCAGGAACCAGGCGGAGATCTTTGAGGAGGTTCAGACGGGTGGTCGCCTGGTTCGCGAAAAGTGGTTCATCTCTTCTCTTGATATCCATGACTATTTGCTTGCCTCCATGATTGCCTGTCTTGAGCTCAGTTTTCGGTCACACCCACCAGGAGGTCTGAATGCCTCTGAGCCGCTGCAAGGCAGCCAAAAAGACCTAATTGATGCACTTCTGCGGTCTTGTCAGTTCTGGGAAGGGTTTCATACTACTTCCCCTGAGATTCGTAGGGCTTCAGCCGTCATGAGTGCCATGATAGCAAAGGTTCTGGGGTCATCAGCGAAGTCGAGCCACAAGCCCTCTGCAATGCCTATGGGAATCCCCATCCATAGCGATCTGGACCAGCAGGTCCATCCTCAGAGCACAAGCAAGTCTCCAATTCCCAGGACGAAGTACCAGCCCGAGTCTTCGACTCGTTCTAATATGATATTTGCAGACAGTTTCGCTGGATCTACAGCAGAAGACAATAGCCCTTCAGCGTCTTCCAGAGAACAATCCTCCGTCATGCAAACAAATTCGGACAATGACCTCGGCAACATTGAAGAGATGTTGACAGATCCAAATATGGTTGACTGGGTACGTAGTAATGGTCCCCGACATTCTCTCAAACTTATTATATCAGCTCGCTAACATAGGCCTCCGTACCTACAAGGATCTGTGGGATATGTACATGCAGCCTTTTCGCGTGGCCGACACCTGAGTTCTTCATTCGCGATTGGAAATGGGTGCAGTTGAGAACTTTAGGTCTGTGAATTCTGAGCATCCAAATACCGGGAAGGTTGATCGGACAAGACTGGCAGGCAGTCTAGTTGCTAAATTACCAAGCTTTCTTTCGGAGCAACGTGAAGGGATACCCAACCAACGGGCCTTAATTCGCTGTCGAACCCTATCCGTTATGCAGACAAAAGAGTGAGTTGGGAGAACTTGGGACGAATAGGAGGATGATATGAGACGCTCTCTTGTGATATCAGGTGCCCTTTAGTAGCGATCTGTAATCTGAAATAGGCATTATCCATAGTGAAGCTGATATGCCATTGTAAAAATGCCCAAAGTTCGAACTGGGCGTATTTGAAGTATAAAATCCTGCTTTCATCCATCGTGCCTATACACTGTCCTCGCCAGTCGTTTGAAGCAGCCATGACCTATACGACCCGCCTAAGAACAACGGGGATTCGTCAGAGGTGCAATTCTTTATCCACCCCCAGTCGCCAGGTCTGCACAATAGAGCGGAAGATTGCATGGCAAACTAGTCCCGATCTCTGCATCTGTGACATTTCTCGCCGCCCTCATGATCTCCTCGAAGGTACTGTGCCTTTGCTCTTCCGTGCCCATTGGCTCAGGGTTTCCTGGCACCCGTTCGCCCAAGGGGTAGTACGCAGTAAAGTTGTTAGTGTCATTTCTGTATTCACGCCCCAATGAGGACGATTCTGGCGGGTAGAAAGGTATCTCGTTCTCGACAGACTGATAGCTCAAACAGCCTTGAAAGCCGACGGACGGCAGTGAGGCAAAGAAGGAGTCGTATTGGGAATCCATCGCTTCTTCAAGATTGGTGAAGTCGCCTTCAGCGTCTGTTGCAAGGAGTTTCCACGGATTCCGGCATGTGTCTTTGCTGCAAGATTTAGTGATGAGAAGGACACCGTTGAGACGAGAAATGATTCTGGAGTTCTCTTCGGTGGGTGATATAGCCAGGTTGTTAAGTTCGTATGGGTCGTCCTAATCATGATGTCAACATTTGTTCCCTCTTTGATACAGGCGAGAGAGCGTGGAGGTCTGACTTACGATCGTATTGTAGAGCTCCGTGTCGTTAGAAGTGCACCAGCGGGAAAAAAGCCACGCCGAGGTGTCCCCAACTATTCGAACGGTCTTGTAGGAATTATTTTGGGGGTAGATTTCGAAAACTGAATCGGCACCTTCCTGAGTCATGCCCCAGTACTCGACATTGAGGACCTCTCTTGCGATGTTTTCCCTTGGTTTGTTGCCAATGCCGCCATTCTTCCACTCCTGAAGCAGCGATCTCCCATCTAGGAAAGGAGGAAGATCCGCGGGACGAACGCCAGCGATTTCAAGGTATGTCGGCGCCATGTCAATGTGCGTACTAGGAACTTTAGACCTAGCCCCAACTGGAACTCCAGGGCCACGGATGATCATGGGGACATTGGTGTCTTCGACGTATGGGAGGCATTTTCCACCAATCCTTCGATGCTGGCCTTCATGCCAACCATTATCAGAGGTGTAGATGACTAATCCAATCAGTATCAAGACCCCGACCTTTGCCTAGACAACTTACTGTATGTATTATCCAGCACGCCTTTTTCTTCAAGCTTCGCTATGATGTCTTCCACCATTTCATCGACCCCCAGGAGAGACTCAAGGCGAGCGCGGTAGTTTTGATCGAGATATTCAATTTCAGTAGAATTTAACAGAGGAGCATCTTTGAGATAGGAAGGCTTCAGACTTTGAAATTCATCTGGAGGGTTGAAGTTTGGGGTTCTAGGGGCAGACATGTTTGCATATCGACCAACGTGTCGAGCACAAGGCTCTGGAGGACCACTGGTGCCACTGTGAGGCGCTGTTGGTGCAATTTGAATGTAAAACGGCTTGTCCTGGCTAGTCAAATAGTCCAATCTATTGAGACTGCTGCATGTCAGTGCCATTCCTGCAACAGCAAATTTATGATTTCTCTAACACAGAGGCACTTACGATATGGCTCTGAGTATATCGCTCTGGTGGTATCCGTCATAGACGGTTGGGCGCAACCCATTTCTTGATATCACAACATTGTTAAGATCATAGGTGTACGGATTGACCTAATCTAGTGAGCATCCACTCTTTGAGTGGTCAAACTTTGACAAGGCCTACCAAGATATCCGTGTGAGTCCATCCCTTCGGTGTAATGTTATATGTTGCCGTGGAATACCCATTCATGAATTTCCCGTAATCTGAAACAATGAGTGTCTGTTTTGCACCAGCTCACAATTCTTGAGTTTTCATGCTTGACCTACATTCGGCGTTGTAGTTTGCGGCCGTGAGCCAGTGGGGGAGGTAATCCTGGTCCTGTCCGGACGTTACGAACTTCTCAAACGCACCTCTTGAAGCGAGTTCATTAGCAAATTTCTAGCTGCACTCAGGGAATGTACTCACCCAGGAGGGAAGACGTGGGTCAAATTTGTGTTATGCGCTGCCTGTCCACGAAGATATGCTGTCCGGCTGGGACAACACTGCGCCACGGTAACGAAATGGTTTTCCAATGTAAGACCCTTCCCGACTAATTCACGCTGAACGGCAGGTTGAGCCATGAGGGAGTTCTGATGAAGATCTTGGTCGTCCGTCATGATGACCACAATGTTTGGCCTCATGATTTGGTCTTCCCATCCATCTCGTCTAACACTTCCATCCCGGGGATAGAGTTGGTCAGATCCCCAGACCGTGCCTGCTGATCCACCAAGGATAAAAAGGCCTGTAGCTTGAAGGAAGTGCATCGGTACCATCTCATGAACGAGCGGTATGTAGTTTTGAAACTAGATGATTGCTCTGAGCTAAAACAGAAGGGCTTCGTGATGATAGATAGCCTACACTGACACCGCTGGCTGTCGTAGAACCCATCGCCACGGAAATTCGAATTATATACTTCAGTTTCAATAGACTCATCGGTCTCGTAAGGCCACCACTGAGCTCCTGAATTTGCATCTCAGCTATATCAAGGATGATTCAGCACTCAGCCGCACTATTGAACAGTCCATGTAGCGTTCGCAACATTCAAGGCAGCTGTGGCGACAGGCAGTTAAGTCCGCGGATATACATGTCCGTCTATTTTTAGTCTGGAGATTCAAGGTACAGAGTGCCCAAGTTGATCCACATTCTTCTGTGACGTTATGTCGTAGCTGCCCTTTGTATTGTTGCACTTTGGGGGCTGACTGTCCTCAGCATCCTTTATGGAGAAGGAAGGTCACCTTCTCCAGTCACGGCACCGCTCTCTAGGCCGCAAAATCTTTATTTCTACCCGCATTTTAGTTGCTGACATCAATTTCCCTCGTGTCCAGGAGGCTTTTCCACATCCTAAAACGTTCTTGCATTCCTTGCCTTCGATCGGTTGCGTCCAGTGCGGCATAGGGAGAGTGAGATGCCTCCTCCTGATTGGCTTAAAGTTGCTACACAGTTTTCTGCTTGGGAGAAATAAGCGCATGCATAGTCTCAGGATAGGAATTTTGATCATGGGACGGATTTGCGACTAAGTCTCTAAAGTTGAAGAAGCTGGTGTACTTACTTTGAGATCGTCCCTACACAAAGGGAGGAATTGTAAAAGCCATCAGATTGAGGGGGATCTTCTGAGACACCGGGCTAGCTCGGAGCCTTGCATGGCTGATCTTGGGATTTCTTCGAGAAGGAAACAAGACTCTACTGTTCTACAAGCTGTGTCTATGACTTTGCTGAAACATTTCGAGATTGTGTACGTAAGAGTGGGATGTGGCTGATCTCGCAGAGAATATGACAAGGCTGTGTAGAAAATCATTGCGCTAAGGTTCTCTTGCAGATCGCTGGTGATTTAATTAAGCTTCTTACATGTTACGAGCACAAATGCTACTACAGCTACGTGGTGGATCAACGTCCTGAAGTGACTCAGCCTATCTTTGCATATTGGATCCAAATCCGCGGGTGAAGTGCCCTCCGCGGATGCATTTTCATTGGTGGGTCGAAGTGATCCATTTCTTGGGAGTCCCCTCACTGTGAGTACTAATACTCTTGGTTGATTTAATTCTGGGTTCCACAAGACACCATGGGACCGAACTTATCGGACTGAATATGATGGATCAAAGAGCCTTAAAGGACACCCATGGTAGTAGCAGCATCTCCAATATCATGGTGGCCCGCTACGCCTGTTAGACACTTGCCCATTCGTTCCAACAAAGACGACTTGAACGGCAGCAAATCTGAAATTGCCAGTTTTAAACTGGACTCCAGAAGAGTAGGGACTCACGCAGCCGTTGCGGCGAAGATATCGACAGTTCTGGCCTTCGTCAAACCTGCCAGAGTTACCGAGAAAATGGCGGTGAACACAGCGATGAGTCCTAGTCGCTTTGCCGTATCCTCAAACGATGTGTATACAGAACGACAATAAAAAAAAGTTGGCAGAAGAGACGCGAAGAGCGTACTGATGATGTGAGTTGGTATCTGGAGATGGCCGTCATCATAATGGGTTTAGATCTGCGTCCACATTGACGCTCTGCTTCATCCGACTTCCAATCAGTCGGCGATACAGACTCAGGCACAGCTTGATCAGCCATGTCGTTACAGTGTCAAATTCAGGAACGCGGTTCACGGACCCGAAGTCTTGTGCGGACCGCTCGTCTGTCCACGCGGTATGATCAAGTCCCAGAAGGTAGTCCGGCAATCTGGGGTTGTCCATGTTGCTTGCCAAAATGTCCAGAGCTTGCTTTGGTGGCATGCTAAACGTTGATGACAACTTGCTATGGCGTAAAAGTGCCATCTCTGGCGAGCATGTCAGTACCTAAGCCGTTGCAACGGAAAACAAGCTACAGACCATATACCTCGAGCTTCTCTCTAATTTCTAGTGCTGTTTTCCACTGCTCACTGTGCTGACCGTTGCCGTTCAGGGAACTGAGAGTAAGGCAGTCTCGCGAGTAACTCCTCTCAGTCGGCTCTTGGCTATGGCTATCTCTGCTAGCCTGGTCTCGAAATCAGGTCTCCAGCTCTATCAGCTCAGCCTGCATGTACAGCAAGTTCTGTGCGCGTAGTGCTTGGAATTGTCGAAAGATTGCCAGGATTGGTAACGTGGCCGTCCGTTCGGCGAGCTTATCATAGCCTTCCATGTTCACGTGTGTGACTGGGAAGAGATGGAAATTTGGCGATGACAGCTGGGCTGAAGCCTAGCATCAGGCTGAGATATTCTGGCGACTTCAGTTCTAACTTCTTTGCTCGGTGCTGCGCCAGGCTGGACAAATAATGCTTCGCCAGCGCATTCCGCTTCCCTGCCTGCCAAGAGCGCATGCCTTTCTCAAAACTAAGATATCAGAAAGGTTGCCGAGATCGTTCAGCCTCACGACGACCTATCATCACTCTTCTCCAAATTCTGTTTAGACTGTTGTTCATTTCCCCGACCTCACCATAGTATTTCCTTTCCGTGAGAGACTGATCTTCCCTGGAATATCCATCCACATCATGGACACACTGAATATGCGTAATTTGATGTTAGCTGAAGTCGGAGGATGGATTCGAAGGCCTAGCCAGAACTATGACTATGAACAATCGAAAAAGCTTCGCAAAGAGTCCAGGAATCTAATGATATCGCCGGATACCATAATGATCCACCTCCATATACCTTTCATATTCAAATTCTCCAAATAAAGGCCGCTTGCAGGGATCAGGCTACGATACAACTGGCGCTCGACCGGCTCCCTGGAATTCTCAGAGTTCTGACGCCACGCTTCCGATACAAAAGCAAGCGTACGCTCCCGCAGATATTTCTCCAAGGGAGCACCCTATCCACAGTGCACTGGCATGCTTGATACATGCGGTTACGCTGGAAGCCGTGTATCAAAGCGCATTCTTTGAGACCTTGATATTGCTGTGCCATTGAGCGGTGTCATTAATCTCAGGACGGTAGCTACAGAGGACGGACTGGCTGGAAAAGCCCTGGAATTCTATGTGGCCTTTACTATATGGGATAAACCCGGGGCAGTACTACTTCTTGGGTGGAAATGGATCGAAGACCGCTGGGAAGATGGTACTTTTTACGACCATCCAGGATCGAGAAAAGAGGGAAAGTAAAGAATTCTAGGGGACAGTGAAGTTCCAATTAATGAATCCCTGCAGCAGCTGAATCACCTGCGGGCCGTGCAGAGCGAGAGAGGAGAGAAGCGGAACAGCGAAGGCTAGCATTTGAGAAGCAACAACGCGAGGAGGAAACGCGACGAAAATGTGAGGAGGAAAAGCGACGGCGACGTGAGTGAGACCTCTCATATGGTCGCACAGCTTGCTGCCGCCGCTCAAACATGATTCATTACGCCTAGTGGGGCCCATGAAGCGCGACCAAGAGATGCCTTCTTAGAGTCATTCAGGCTAAGGAGCATACGCAGGAGTAAGAATGGCTAGGCCTCTTTCGATGTCAGGCAGGTCGCAGGTTGCGGTGTTGTGGTATTTAGAATTCGAATCTCTTTCTTCATCTTGACCCTTGAATATCAGAATGCATGGTAGTATAACCTTGTTGAAATCTGGAATCGGTAATGCCTAAGTGGTGTTCTTCAAGGGTGACCAAAGTTGGTGTTTGAATGAATCGTTAAATCGTATCATCAAGGCTCAGAGGCTCGTGGTGCAACCAAGCAGATGAGGGTTGAGCAAATCCGACACAGCGTCCACCTAGGTACCTCCTATATCGCCTTCACCCGAGCTTATAGCTCCATTTCACACACAGGTAACAAAGGTCGACAAAACACGAGTGGGGAAACTTCCTTGCTGCACGGGAAGTGACAGTTTCTAAGAGAGCGAGCATCCCTATTTCGTTGCCCTATCCTAAGTCAAAAGCATCCTAGAGAGTTCCAGCTCTTCCGAGTCTTTCCCAATCGTTTCTGAAGCTCAAACTGTTGAAACCTAAAACGTCGAACCCCGAAACGGCTCTCTATATCCATGAAAAAAAGGAAGAAAAGAGGGATTTCTGGAAGGTGACAAAACTTGTTAAAGAGATTCCAAAGCCAGGTCCCCCGCACCATGTGAAAGACTATTGCCATTGCTGCCCCAGTGGCCTCACTTGAAGTATTGAACAGTGTCCCTTAGATCCTGCTACCATTGATTGCCTCATCTTCACAGAGAGTCTTCCTTGTACATTGTGTCGAACCAGAGAGCGTAACTAGCGCAGGCTGCAGCACCTCTGGGATATCGAAACATACAGAGCATTAACCGCTGGCGGCCTCTGATGATGTTGAGGACGCGAGGTAGCTAGAGCAACGCTATCTGACGGATCATGGGGAGCTGCCAGCAGCGTCCTAAGCTCTCTGCATTAAGGCGCAACTGGGCGATGGCAGGCTTAAATTTTAGCTGTTCTCACATCCCTGGCAAAGTGGGTCATTATCTATGAGCGAGCGAAGGTTAGTTAGAACTGGCACATTGGCAACTCCGTATAGTTGTGGGACTCTACTCGCCTTTCCACCATAGTGGTCGTCGGAAATACTGAATTGCGGCTCCGTTATCTTGACTTTGTGGCCCTTTTCATTGGTAACACTGGTGTAGGTTGATTGTTCCTGGTTTGCGGATAAAGTGCCGATGTTTCTTTGGAACATTTCCTGATCTTAGCATGCGTCAGTGTCGAGGTATATAATTACAAGATAGCCGTTCCCAAGCTAGAAAGCTCTTGAGACAGGCCAGAAATGGAGGGGTGTACCGAGACTTCCTTGCAATAACCCTGAACGTGTCGAACGCGTTGAACACGGTGCCTGCGACATTTGGTCACGAAGTTTAAGAAACTGTTCGTTGACAATGACAACAAGAGAGAGTCTTGAAGACGCGTTTTATACCAGTCGATAATGCGAACCTCCCATGAAGACATGTGATCTCGTTTCCGGAGCGCGTGTTCGACTCAAGGGTTCCTGTTTCAATATCTGCCTTCAGGTATATGTGGTACACGCTGGGAGAATGAATACTAACGAGTCAAGGAAGGGTTTCCTACCCGTGGAGCCGCCGAGCCAACCAATAATCACCATTTGGCCTCCTTACTCGTGGAATGCCTTGGTAGTCTTGGAGCAAGCAGCGTCAACAATCGTTCTGAGAGGAGGGGTTGGTTGAAGCCGGTACCTTAAGCAGCACTGCAGCGGCATCCAGCGGAGGCGTCAAACCCGCAGGGCTGTCATGGGCGACATCTGTATGAATGATTCACACCAATTAATCTTTCATTCAACAGCGATATCTCCGACGAGTACATGAGCTCTAAAGAAATCTATGCGTTTCACGGAGTCATATTTGGGACCTGATGTGTTGTTCAAGGAGCATTGGCTCGATCGTGTGCCAAGGTACATGAGATATGGGCGATTGCCGGTCGGAACGAATACTTGCTCGCCTCTGCCAATACTCCAACTTGAAGGAGGCTGCGGTGTTGTTTTAAGACTCGTTCGTTTGGGAAAGGAGAGCTTCGAAATGTCTTCCTTATGATAATACGTGTTTCTCTTGCTCTTTTGAGAAAGGCGCTGGGACGTCCTCGGGATAACACTCATCTTAGGCTGAAACTCAACAGATATGCAACGGCTATGAGAAGACCAGACCTTTCCAACCGGATGCCCTGCACTCCTCGCAGCGCCTACGAAACTCAATGGCACTGCCCGCATATCTGGCCACACTGCGCGTGGTTTTTCCGGCAACATTCTTGTTCACTCCAGTCATCCAGCTATCGACCTCATTGGACAGTGCACCTTTGGCGCACTCGTGGACATGCTCGGTCCATTCGTCCACCGCTTCCTGTGTCGGCTCGACATGTCTGTAGTGGTTGTCTTTACAATACTGCAGTAGCTCGCAGATGACGAGCACTGCATGTTCGATACTGCGCGTGGCATTGCCGAATGGTTGGTGGGGGCCTAACACCATGAACATATTTGGCATCGCTGGTGCAGTAATACCAAGGAAAGTTTTCGGTTTGTGGTCGATCCATATAGCATCTTGACCTTTCTCCGTATCGCTACTCCCTACAAGGGGTCGACCGTCCTTGGCATGCCAGTCGATTGCGTTGAACGCTCCTGTTATTGCATCAAATCCAGTTGCGAACACCATGACATCTAACTCGTAGTCTGTGCCGTCTGAGGTCGAGATTCCTGAGGGAGTGATCTTATCAATAGGGGTCTCCTGAAGGTCGACCAGGTGAATGTTTGGCTTATTATAGGCTTCAAAATATCCACTCTCTAGTGGCACTCTTCGGGTTCCGAAACCGTGACTTTTAGGGATCAACTTCTCTGCCACCGTAGGATCGTGGACTCTTTGACGGATCTTGTTCTCCATGAAATCCGAGTAAAGCTTGTTCGCTTCACGGTCCACATAGGTATCCCTGAATGCCCCCAACCACTTGCCAAACCCAGGTTGGCCATAGATCGACTCCCATAGTTGCATTCGTTCTTCATCCGTGACATCAGAGGACTTCCTAGGATCGGCTTCGTGGATGAAACACATTGGAGTCTGAGCGCAGCGTTGAAATATACTGTCATACTCAGACCTGTAGTATGCCATCTGTTCTGAAGTGATTTCTGTATTCCGCAGGGGTGCGGACCAGTTTGCCGTCCGCTGAAAGACATGAAGGGATCTGATAGTTGGCTCCTTTGCTATTTCCGTGATAGCTTGAATCCCAGTCGCACCTGTACCGACGACTCCTATTTGCTTGCCAGCAAAGTCACGGCTCATTATGAAATCGTGAGGCCATCGAGAAGTGTGAAATTTCTCTCCATGGAATTTGTCAATGCCGGGAATTCTCGGTAGCGTGGGCGCAGATAAAAACCCCAGGCAACTGATGAAGAAAGTCGTTTTGTGCGAGTTTCCTGACTCATCCAGGAACACCCACGTATTGTCTGCTTCATTCCAGGTGGCAGATTTCACGCGCACACCAAATTTAATGTCTTTACGGAGGTTGTGTTTGTCAGCCACAAGTTGAATGTACTTGAGAGTCTCTGGCTGAGGAGAGAAGGCTTCCTTCCAATGCCAGTCTTGTAGAAGCTCCTTGTCCCATGAGAAAGCGTACGAGATGGACTCTGAATCAAAACGTGCACCAGGATAGCGATTCCAGTACCAGGTACCACCAACGTCAGTGCCTGCTTCTAGAAGACCTACGTTCCAGGATGGGAAACGCTCTCTGACATGGTAAAGGGCGCAGACCCCAGAGAGACCGGCACCAATGATGAGAACATCGTGAGTTTCTTGTCGTGGGGTTTCAATCGATCCCATCGTCTCGAGAAGTCGTTTTGGGATTCGAACACGGAGACTCTGATGTGATGAAGCAGTAGACCTATCGACAACTAGGTCACTTCGGAGGGTTACCCACTCATAAAGGACAATCGATAATCACAATGAAGCACTGCCAAGCGCCAGTCTTGTCGAGATGAGAGAGGCAAGTCAACCCTACCAGTTTGGTGGCATACTTCGACTATTGGCACTTACTTCGGGGCAAATGGTGTTAATTTTGGAGTCGAGGTCGTCATTGGCAAGTGAACGAGACCAGATGTCGGGGAAACTTTCCAGATTGATTGTCGATAAGAAACCTCGGCTGCGGAGATCACCAACGAATCTTAACTCAGAGAAATGCATGAGAAGAAGAGCTACTCCCTTGCGATTCACGGTCCCTGGATAGGTACCAAGGCACCCTCACCTCAATCGTCATTGGAGTCATGATGCAGTTGAACTTAGAGACCCAGGTTGACGATGATGGAGTCCGTGGAAAGATTCTACGGTGCAATTCTTCTGTTGGAAATGCAGGCTCTATGCTCTGCAGCACCATATCACGTGACGACCGGGCTTCTCCAACGAAATTTGAATCGCACTCAACGCTGTTTGCAATCTCGAGCTGTTGATTACCTCCGTCTCACCCAGTAGCAGTCCCCTTGCATCATCTTTGCAAGCCATCCCCTTCATTCATGATGGCCTCTTCCAAGACGCCCCTGGAAAGCGTTCGAGCTTGTTGGCACCGCGTCTCGCAGAATTCCCCAGTCTACAATTTCTTCTTTTCTGAAATTGTTCTTGTCTCTGCGACCAACGGGTCTATGGTGGCTACCTTGAGGGTCACACCGAACCATTTGAACTCCAAGGGCACGCTACATGGATCCATGTCAGCCACGATTGTAGATTGGGCGGGGGGCATGGCCATCGCAAGCACGGGGCTTGAAAAGACAGGATTAAGTACCGACATCCACGTCTCATATGTCTCAACCGCGAAGCTGGACGATATCCTGACCATTGAAGGCAGTGTCAGCAAGGTTGGTCGCAACATGGGCTTTACAACCGTGACTATCTACAAGGGAGAAGGAGACAACCAGTCTACGGTGGCCCATGGTACACATACAAAATACATCCTACGTGATCGGGACGGATCCTAGGACTAAACACCCGGCGTCTTCTTTGCATCAGGCATGACACTCCCCCATGATGCCCCTGATTCACTCGGATACCGGAGAAAGACCATCGCTCCTATGCTTTAGATCTCTGTCGATTCGAATATCCTTCTTGGTCGAACAGAGAATTATGGCGCGGTACAAACCCAGGTTTATGAATTTGGATTGAGCCGCCCCTCATTCAACCATTCAACCCATAGTCCCCCAACCTCTTTGGCCACATCCGCGGGTGTTCTGTCTGAGCTATCTTTGAGACTTCGGATATCTGATTGAGAATTTCTGTCTTCTTTCTGCAGACCCAATTCTTGCATTGCTTGGATGACGGCGTCAGGAAATTTGGACCATTCCAACTGTGAGCCGAGGGCGAGGAGGAGCCAGGCCACTTCCTGCTGTTGATGCCTAATTGCGACATGAAGGCCCGACCCGTGGATTCCTTCGAATGTCCCAGAGTATTCCAGTACATCGGAGTACTCGTCCTCTTCGTCATTTTCTTGTTCGTCCACATCCTTGATCATGTGAATGATGGCGTCGATGTCGCCTTCTCTGCAAAATTGGAGGTAAGCATGACCTTTGCGTTCTTCTGGGTATGCCCGCAGGTATGCTTCCTCAGTGGCCGTGGGAAGGATATCGTAGCCAGTCTGCACACCTCCTTCATTTCTCAGGGTGACAAGGACCTGCTGATCACCGGTGGCGGAGAGTGAGGAGATGTTCTTGTCGCAGTTAGGGCATTGAGTAATGTTGTAGGCGTCGAGGAAACACTCCCTAGACCGAGTTAGAGCGTATTAGAATACAGAGCGAACATATAGATATACCAATGATAATGGCATCCACAGCTTAATTCAAGGTCGTCCGGTATGGTGTGCACCTTCGCAGCAGCCTTTGAGTTCTCGACATCGCTGTCCGCTTCAACCTCAATGAGAAGCGGCTCGTCGCAGGTTGAACACAATTGTTCTGGCATGGTTTTGTTCACGTGACAATCGACCAAGTGCAATACGAAGTACCACTGCAGGATGGACTACAGCCGTGTGAGGAAGATTGATCGGTGTAATAGTTGCAATAAACAATTGTTTCACTGCTTAGCTCACATGAAATTCGGCTCCAAAAAGTTTCGATAAGTGAGTGTCCATCCCACCTTTTTTTCGGCAGGGATCAGACAGTTGGCCCACCACCAGGCCCACACCCACCATCTCTGACCCGGTCACCTCGCCTCGACTGGCCCTGTGGCGCGTGCGTCAGATCTGCGGCAGCTGGAGACAAAGAAGCCGCCCCAGGCACCCAGGGGTTTCTCAGTTCCAATTCATCCGCAGCCACACAAAGCCCGCGGCCACCGGCGGCTGACGCGGGATAGAACACCTATACAATTCAGCAAGACCGTCTGCTTCCTTCCAGCACAGCAATTTTATACAACTTGAGGCATTCAGAAGAAGCATGAATGGTGAGCAGCATGGAGGAACACTCTGATCCTGATCCTGTCAACCCCCGTCAGAACCAGACAGACTCCGCGATCCTTTCTCAGCCGTCCACTTCCGCATCCCTTGTCCAGACTGTTCCTACGACTGCCACTTCCACTAAGGGCGTCAATACTTCCGCCGCCATTGACGCTACTCTGCGATTCTTTGCCAGCGCCAGCAATGAGACCCTCGGTGCCTGCGTCGTGGGCCTATGTGCATCAACATACTTGGTCTTGGGCCGGTTTGGCCTGGTACTAATTGGCGCAGTTGGTGGTGTAGTCCTTCATGCCACTTGGGACGCCCAACAATCAGGCGGGACCGAGAATGGTGGTGGTGGTGATGCTGCCCGTCGGAGAAAAGAGTTGGGCATAGAAGTCACGCACCGACTGCTCGACTGGCGAGACAAGCGCCGAGCGGAGGAAGAGAAGAACGACGAGAGCCTTGAACCAGACTCCAAAATCTCCGTGGACTTTTCAGATTTCCAGCCAGAAACAAGACAGGCTCTGGTCAACCTCACCGACGCCGTCATCAGAGACTATGTCAGGTGGTGGTACAGCCCATTACTTCCAAAAGAACAGTCGTTCCCGGCAGCGTGCCGACGAACACTGACCAGCTTCATCCTCTCCTTCTCCAACCATCTGTCACGCAAGCGGCCAGCTGATCCTTTTCTGGATTTCCTCGCAAACTCGACTTCGATTATCATTGTCTTCTTGAACGAGCTCTCAACGGCTTTAAAGGCTTCTTCAAACCATGATGCAGAACGCGCCATTCAAACATACTTGCATTTCCAGCCCGACAGCAACCTGGCAAATGTTCTCAGTCGGGACCAGCAAGATCGTAAATTGAATCTGGTCGCAGATGATATATTACAAAACTTCCTAGACTCAAAGTCATATGCATGTCCCCCTGTCAAGGTCTTCCTGCGCGAGGTTCTTGCTGGTCTTGTATTGGAGTCCACCGTCGCTACGTGTTCAAAACCTGAATGGATCAATGGGTGGATCGTGTACCTTCTTGAAGACGGTGAGCCTGAGATAATGAATGTGATTGATTCTGGCGTGGAAGATATGGCCAATGCCGCATCTCTCGCCTCCGCAAACGCCTCATCCAGCAAAGGCCATACGAGACGTGTCAGTAAAGCTGAGGAAGCCATGGAGGAAGCCATGCGAGAAGCTCAGAGATTAAATGAGATGATCGCCGAGGACGAAGCGAGACGGAAGAAAGGCCTCCCTACTATCGAAGCTGAGGACACAAGTTCTGTTACGACCACCGATGCCGGTTTAGCCACGCCCACGTCATCTGACAGTGATCGGAACCGTCGCGAGGAACACTCCTTGGACTCTTCAATGGTCTTGGATATTGATGGCAATGCTATCCCTTCTCCGAACCCAAGCCCGAGCAAAGAACACCCGCCCTTTACCAGCTTTGATCAACTTCCAGATGTTCTACCAGCTCCTCCTCAACCTATATCAAATGCGCCAGCTCCAACAGAAGTCATGCTAGCAGTGCCCCTGACCCTTCACAATGCCTCTATCACCATCATGGATTTATCTGATATCAGTGCCAAGACAACGTTCAAACAACGACCGAACAGCGAATATCTGCTCCAGATTGAACCAGCTTCACAGCGCTTCCCTGGATGGATGGTCACGCGCAAGTATATCGACTTCGAGCCATTGCATGAGACACTCAAGAAAATTGCACCCATCACCGGACAGCATGAGTTTACCCAACACTATCCCGCTCTTCCCAGTTGGAGAGGCCAGACTAGTGAGGGCCTCATCCACAACCTCGAAGCGTATCTCCGATTCGCCTTGAAATTTGAGCCGCTTGCTGAGACTGGAGTCATGAAGACATTCTTAGACAAAGAAACAGGTCTACAAAAGGCTCCTGCTCAGAGCAAGAATGTCTTGGTGCAAGGTGGTGCAGCGCTAGAAAATGTGGGAAAGAACTTCATCAATGTTCTTGGTCAAGGCGGCAAGAACATTGCTGGAGGCGGTAAGGCTGTGCTCGGTGGCGTGCAGGGTGTCTTCGGCGCTGTGGCGACGGGTGTGCAGGGCAATCAGAAGAAATCCATCTCAAATCCCAGATCATCACAGCAACTCTCTAGGATGGATACCTCTAGCAGTCAGAATTGCAGATCTAGTTCTGATGTCGCGAGGCAGAGCACCGATAGTATCGAGGTCAGACCCCCTCTTCCTGGTAGACCTGGCACTGCAGCTTCAAGTCAAAACCAGCGGTCACGATCGTCATCGATCATGCTTGACTCCGCTAGGCAGTCACAGGAGATTTTGTCCATTCCCCCACCACCAAGCGAGATATCAGATGACTATCAGCCAGTACCACGGGCTGTGACTGAGATCCCGCCTCAGACACCACCACGACCACGACAAGACACCATCATCGCCAACCCAGCGACTCCGGCTCTTAGTCAAAAGCCAGAAGAATCCAGCACACCAGCTTCAGTCAATCTCCCAAAAACACCAGCCAGAAGAAGTCCCAGAAAGGATCGACCCATCTCCGAAGAAGAAACCCGCGCATCCATTGAACTCATATTCGCAATCCTCACCGAACTATACTCCCTGGCCGGTACCTGGACAATTCGCCTTTCCCTCCTGTCTGCCGCGAAGACATTCCTCCTACGGCCGAACAATCCGCAACTCGAGTCGATCCGCGTGCTTTTACAAGAGAGCGTCGTGGAAGCGAATTTCTGCGACAAAGGTCTTGCGACACACCTGACGAAACTGCGTGAGAACTCGCTGCCGACAGAAGAAGAGCAAGCGAAGTGGCCGAAAGAGCCGAGTGCCGAGGAAAAGGAGAAACTCCGGATCAAAGCTCGGAAATTGCTGGTCGAGCGCGGCATGCCGCAGGCCCTTACGAGCGTGATGGGTGCAGCTGCCAGTGGCGAGGCGTTGGGCAGAGTCTTCGATTGTCTGCAAGTTGAGCTTGTTGCCAGGGGTCTCATCTTTGCGTTATTGCTGCAGGCGGTCAGGGCAGCGACGCAATGACCTTAGTGAGTTACTGGACAGGCATGCTGCAACGAGTAATGACGATGCCGAGAAGCCCAGTGTACGATATGATAGAGTAACTCGTTAAGAGGTGCAACGAGCGGCCCCGGGGGTTGGTGTTGGTGGCAATCAATAACATGCTATTCTGTAATATCACCGACGCTGTTTTGTTCAGCCGGCATTGGAATTCAATCACTTTGAGGCACCGGTGGCCTCTAACGTCTGATCAAGGCGGTGGGCTTAGATGAACGCGATGGATGTAGTGATGAAGATATGCAAGCACCGAGACAAAAGTTTCGCTCACTCAGCAAGCTCCAAGCGATATGTCATTCTTTTTGAAGTCAAAAGCTACAAGGATCGATTGCAGTATTAACTATCTGAGACTTGCCCTTCTCGCACCTAGGTAGTACTTCTCATTGCTTGTCAACAAGGCGTGCTCTCTTCCGCCCCCTTTCTCGCTCAGCCTTCCCTCCGCTCCACTCATCCCATTTAGAGCCAGGGTCTTAGATGGTGAACAAGAGAATGAATCAACAAGATTTGCAAGACTATTCGTCGGATTCCCTGTTCATGCTCCGAAATCATCTCCTCAGTTAGACATAGCACGGAACGACTTTGATTGCCTTGGCTGGGTCTTCATCCGGCCGGATTTTAGGATACTCCGATGTGTAAATATTCGCGTGCCTGTGATTGGCTCTTGACAAACGACCAAAAAAATAATTCGTATGATTCATATGATATATATATATAGATGCGACCTGGGCTTCATATCTTCTCGCATTTTGCCTTGGGCAAAAATAGATCACGCACTTTATTAATCTCTGGTTTTGGGTTTCAAGAGATCTATTTGCGGCATGGAAAGGTAGAAGGAAAGTAAAAATTGCGCGTAACCCGCTCAGATCTCGAAACATTTCCTCTCATCTCATTTATCCACATTTTCCCTACGCCGTTGACCGCTCCAGCACCCACGCCTGTCATCGCCATGGCCAAACCCACAGTGCATCTACTCGACTACGTGGCGGGGAACATCCGATCACTGGTCAACGCCATTGAGAAGTGTGGCTACGAGGTCGAATGGGTCAAACGCCCTGAGGATGTAAAGAGTGCCGATGTATGTCAAGTTATCTTCCCTTCCCTCCCTCACCCTAAGCCCGGACTCATCTCATGAGATGATATATTTTTTGCCAACTGCTCTGTCTAGAAAATCATCCTCCCCGGCGTCGGCCACTTTGGCCACTGCCTGTCTAGTCTCGCGTCAGCGGGCTATCTGCCAGCCATCCACGCGCATATCCAAGCGGGCAAACCGTTCTTCGGGATTTGCGTTGGACTGCAAGCGCTGTTTTCAGGCAGTGAGGAGGCGCCCAATGTGCCCGGTCTGGGTCTCATCCCGGAGACGCTGAAGAAGTTCACGCCGAAGAACCTGGGTGGGTCGAGGAAATCGGTCCCGTGTATCGGGTGGAATGACGCTTCTACGTCCCATCACCACACCAACTCTACTTCTAATTCGAACTCGCCAACTCGGAGTTTCTACGGCTTGAGCCCCAAGAGTAAATACTACTACGTCCATTCTTACTTTGCACCATACCTACCAAATGTACTGGAAGAAGCTGGCTGGACGGTCGCGACAGCGATGTATGGGGATGAGAGCTATGTCGGAGCGATCGGCCGGGGCAATGTGTTCGCTACGCAGTTCCACCCCGAGAAGTCAGGAGCAGCGGGACTGAGGGTTATCAAGGCTTTTCTCGACGGCTGCGAGTGGTCTGATGCACCCACACCCCTGACCACAACGCAGCCCATGTCAGCCAAATACGCGACAACGAATAACCTGACGCACCGGATCATCGCGTGCCTCGACGTGCGCACCAACGACTCAGGCGATCTCGTCGTGACCAAAGGCGACCAGTACGACGTGCGCGAGAAAACAGACAGCAAAGGGGTGCGCAACCTGGGCAAGCCCGTCGACATGGCGCGGAAGTACTACGAGCAGGGGGCGGACGAAGTCACGTTCCTGAACATCACGTCGTTCCGCGACTGCCCGGTGGCCGATCTCCCGATGCTCGAGATCCTACGGCGGACCAGCGAGACGGTGTTCGTGCCCCTCACCATCGGGGGCGGGATTCGCGACACGGTCGACCCCGGCACAGGCAAGGAAGTCAGCGCCCTGGACGTTGCGAAGCTGTACTTCGCGTCTGGCGCCGACAAGGTCAGCATCGGCAGTGACGCCGTCACGGCTGCCGAGGAGTACTGGGCGGCTGGGGGCAAGCTGTGCGGCAGGACGGGCATCGAGACCATCAGCGCCGCGTACGGGCGCCAGGCCGTCGTGGTCAGCGTCGACCCGAAACGCATCTTCGTCAAGTCCCCCAGCGACACGACCCACACGACGGTGAAAACCTCTCTGCCCAACGCCGATGGGAATGAATACGTGTGGTACGCGTGCACGGTGCGCGGGGGCCGCGAGACGCGCGACCTGGACGTTGTACAGCTCGTCACCGCGTGCGAGGCCATGGGCGCGGGCGAAATTCTGTTGAATGCGATCGATCGCGACGGGCAGAATAGCGGGTATGACCTCGAGTTGATCCGAATGGTCAAGCAGGCGGTGGAAATCCCCGTCATTGCGAGCTCGGGGGCCGGAAGGCCAGTGCATTTCGAGGAGGTGTTCAATGCGACAGGCGTGGATGCGGCGCTGGGCGCTGGGATGGTGAGTTTTCCTTTCCCCTTTCGTTTTCGTTTTCGTTTTCGTTTTCGTGTCGTTGATATCTCGCTGCATTCCACTCCACTTCACTTCTCTAACACCATGTTTGCGTGCGATAGTTCCATCGTGGAGAATACACAGTCACACAGGTCAAGGAGTATCTTGGCGGGGCTGGAATGCTGGTTCGTCCTTATGAGGAGTTCTGATCGTCGGCGCACCGACGCGGAGACCCAGATAAGAAGACCAGCGAGCTGACCAGCTTGAATTCATGTCCAAATCTAGATGGGCATACAAATCGTGAATAGACTTACAACAGACAACGGTAGAAATTCTAGCTAGACAGCGCCAAGGGAAGGATGGTACAGTTCGGTGGTGAGACCGCTGGGCTTCCAACCAACAAATAATAGGGATGATTCTAGTCACTTCTGCCGTCGCAACCATCGAGAAGAGATACCTAGAAATATGTACTTGAGTTGCCTTTCACATATGACCCGTGCAGCTCCCTGCCAACGCCAGGCTATCGAATGTAAGTAACCTTTCTCGGCTCATATCGACATGATGATAATGCTAGTGTTTGATGCTCTGAACAAGCAAAAGCAGCCAGATCGACAACTCAACCCAAAATTGCAAAGACCATAAAAAGATCGAATCAAAACGAAAACTCCAGGGTATCGTGCTTTCATCAAAGCGTGATTCACAGGTGGCAGATTGGTCTTTGGCGTAACCTTTCATTATTTCCACATGCAGAACACCGCCAACATTTCATTCGCATAGTTTGTCCTGCAGTATTGATCTGGCCAGCCCCAAACTTCACAACTCTTTCTTTGAAGTCGCTGATCGAGACTCGGAGTCTTTGCCTAGTTGTGTGAGGGTGTTGAGCATCTTTTCCCTAGTGTCATGTGTTAACGAATCGACGTCGGCGGCGGTAAGGTCTTTGGTTGGGATGGGGTTGAGAACTATTGTTGATGAGTTAGATTGATATCAAGCAGCGTAGGGGGAAATCAAGGCCTCCTCACCTTTGACTCTGATTGTTCCAGCATTGAACCTCTTGGCCTTCACGTTCAACACGCGGCTGTAATTCTCAGCGACCACGGGGACGATTGGTACCCCAGCCTGAACCGCAAGATGGAAAGCACCTTTCTTGAACGGTAACAGCATTGGCTCAGCAGAGTAACTTCTTGTTCCCTCGGGGAAGATCACCACGCTCTGCTGTTTCTCACGCATGTCTCGAGCGGCACTTTCGAAGGCCTTCATGGCCTGAGTACGGTCAACGCGGTCGATGAAGACAGAGCCGGAAAGTGTCATGAACCATCCAAGGAAAGGAATGTTGCGGAGGGATTTCTTAGCGGTGACGGAGCAGTGGAGAGGCCAGATAGAGCCGAGGAGAAGGACATCGAGTTCGGTCTGGTGGTTGACGATGAAGACGGCAGGTCGATTGGAGTCGAGGATTTGTCGGCCATTTTCTAGAATGTCGAATTTAACGCCCATAGTGAGGGCACCGAGCCATTTGAAACATCGAGCAGTGGTCCACTGAGCGTACTTGTAATGCAATCCCAGAGGTTTAAGAACGGCAGAGGCAATAGTACCGTATGCCGCGCTGACGATGAGAGTCATATAGGCAGACAGAACGCGGGCAATGAAGCCCAGGAGAGGGGGAGGATTGGGAAGGTATGCGTATAAGGCAAACAGGGCCATGGTGATGAAGGTGTAGAAGGAGAGGAAGTAGATGATGTAGCGGAAGAGGAAGAACATCGTGGAGGGTGATTGTCCGTCTCCTAGATCGAGGGTACCTAGCTAGTGAAGAGAGGGTGGGATCGATACAAACGAAAGTGCGTGATTGTGCACGGAGAGATTCCAGCGAGATGGAGTTCTAGTGTCTTCAGAGTGGTGATAGCTGGTTGGAGAACCTGGAGAATGATGGAGAACGATGGATGGCGGTGGTGAGCGTGCGTCTGAGCCTATGCGTGGTTCTTCTACATGTAGCGGCCACAAGTTCTCTAGTTCGGCTGTGTGTTCCCAGGGACCTGTGCATATGAATATAGTGATGTTGGCGGTATAGATGTAGGTGTAGATGTAGGCGTAGGTGTGGGCTGCTTCGTTGTGGAATCCAATATTGTTGAATCTCCCAATTTTACCCCACGACAATTTTCATCCCGCCTGCCATGTTGTGCCCAGCGGCAGGTGACATCATAGCTGCTATGAGCACGTGACCGTGTCCAAGCCGAGGTCCCTGAGCACGTGGTACTACGGAGCAATATAGAACCCATACTCGTACTACAGTACCATATCTGTATTCTGTAAAACAACTCAGGAGCTTGTCCTTCAGCTCTTGTCATGGACAAGATCTCGCTTGTCATGTGAATGCTCGTCCATCTATGTATGTCCCCCCTCCCATCTTCCCTGATACCGTCTCAATGCGTATGTTCGTTTCTTCATTTTCTCATCCCATTCCGTCCAGGTATGCAATCGGCCCATCTCCATGAGACCGACCTATCTCACCCTTAACTCCGCGAAAAGAAGTAGATATATGCAAACTTCTTCATTTCATCCACATCGACCGCCTTGACCACCTTTTCATCATTGAACAGAACCCATTGCCGATCTTTTTCTGCCCCAGGAATCGCTTTCCGAATAAATGCAACATAATGCCCAGCATGAATGCTCGCTCCCTTATGACATACAATGCTTTCCAGTTCAAAATTGGCCGGTACCTCCTCACTTCCTGGAAGTATTTTGGCTGCTGGTGGCCCCGCCGCTTCTGTGCTCGCTTCATCCCCAAAATCGCCTTGGTCATCCGGATGGCTAAATACCCAATCCAATGCTCGATTGACATCTCCGCCGCACTCTCGCAGCGCCTTACGTGCTTGTGGCACACTGATGCCCATATCTCCGAGCTGGGCGATTTTGTCCGCATCGTCATTTGTTGAGGCTGCTGCTCCACCGAGATTCAGAGGCTCGTCAATATCCGCGTCATCCATATGAGAGAATAGCCAATTCATGGCCGCCTCTGCATCTGCATTCCCTGTGGCATGGAGAGCTCTTTCGCAGCGATTTCGGGGGAAACCCATTGATTCAAGCTGACCAAGCGCCTCTCCGTTCGGTACAAAGGCAGCCGTATTTGTCGATCCACCGCCCACATCTGCGTCCTCTGGCAATTCATCTTCATCAACCTGCAGTCCATCTGACTTGTATTGGCTCAGGTTAAATGACTCGTCAGTAACTTGAACAGGGATGTCAAGCTTGGTGGGGACCCAGTTGATGACTTCGAATCGAAGAGGGTTGATAGCAAGGTTTTTAGGAAAGGTCTTGAACTTGGATGATTTGGAAAATCCAGCCTTGGATCCACACGATGGACACGTCAATTCGACTGTGCTTGACGAGGTAAAAATATCCAGGCATTCCTTGAGCGACACCGGCTCGAATTCCGATCCTTTGGCACCGTCTCCATTGCTTGCTGCTTTCCGCCGGACGGGCACGGGAATCGAGATGTTGTCCTGCTCATCTATTCGATACCGCACCCGCCGACAACTTAGACACTGTAAGCGCTGTTCAAGGGCAAAGCGGAAGGACTGCACGGGATCTGCTGTGGGGTCTGCGTGATTGGACATATTGATGAGTTTGAACAGATGGAGCAATAGCTCAAAGGCGTCCTGTTGCCTCATGGTCGAAAACTCTTCGTGTCCCCGTCCAATCAAATGTTTGAACATCGCCGGTGAGAGGCCTTTCTGATGAGGGACTTCTACGTTATCTGGAGATGCCTGGATCGAAGTCTCAGGGCGTGAGTAGCGGCCAGACAAGACGCCATCTGCCAGCTTGCGCAACTGCGTTTCCAAATCCTCGGCTGGAAGGTTTGCACCAGGTGGGGGCTGATCGGGGTGGTAGTACCTCTGCCGGAAGTCGGGGATAGAGAACAGACACTGGACCGTGCTAGCCAAGTAGCAACTGTTGCCAATATTCTTCAGACCAGTAAACCCTGGTCCAAATAATGGTTTAAGCTCTTGCCCGTCCTCGGCAGTCATCGAGAAATCCCATTTCAAGTTGTGTTCCACTTGCATTTCCATCAAACTCTTCTCTGTCTTCTCGCGTTCAGTAATGTTGATGCCCCAATGCGCGAGGTGCTTGGCCAGGTCGGTATCGATCCGCTCTTCATTACAATGGTAGCAGTAGACATCCGCATTGCCTTCTGGGGTGATAGAGCCTAGTTTGACTGCCACAGCATGCTGTGTTTCTGTAGCATGGGTCAATCCATGAGAGTTGCCACTCGCACCACCAACCTGCGCTCGGCCGCACCCAAGATTTCCACATTCGAGACAGAGCCACAGGTTTTCTTTGAGATCGCACTGAGAGCATCCGCCCAAGTCTTGCGATTCAATCTGTCTGCTAGGCTGTTGCGCTAGGCAGAGAGTATGTTCACACTGAGTAAAATCTTGTTCCCAGGCTTTGACTTCCTCTTGTTTAGCAAAAGTCATAGCCTTCATGACACCATCTACCACCGCAGGCAGGTTTCCTGTAGAACTACCCACATCCTCGATTTGGCATGCATGGCATTTGACCTGCGTCACTGTGTCATATTTATCCTCTTCTGTCTCAGCAGCAATGGCAAGTTTGGTCAACTTCGGTGGGGGTTCATCCCGTAGAATTTGTCTCCGTGTGCGTTTGATGTTGAGTACAAGAGGGTGGTTGGTGAGAGAGTGATGGAGAAGAGAGTGGTTACGGTCGCCTGCACATCCTCCGTTGAAGCAGTGCAAGCAGACATCTAAACCTGCCTCGTCATCCTGGGAGTCGAAGCATTGTGTGCAATCTTCGCGATATACGCTCTGGTTGGCTCGTGGGGGGCGGAGATCTGTGGAATTGATGTGCGGGCAGGACATTTTGGTGACTGAGGAAGAGTTGAGAAGTGAGGAATAGCTGGTCTGAAGGGTGCAGCGACGGTGTCAAGACAGGCAGGAGGGAAGAATGAAATAGCAGCATATTTTGGTGCCTCCAAGGCTGACTTGGCCTTGCTGGATGTGGTGAGGGGATTAATGATTCGTCTGACTGAATGCCAAGGACATATTACATCACCCGGGGTTTACGCCTCACCGATCAGACTCGACGTCTATTCTTCGGTATTCACCGTACTTCCTATGGAAACCCCACATGGGATCATTCGACTCCATCTCGACAAGAATACCTAGGGACTGAATAGAGGCAGAAGTAGCTTCGGTCCATTTCTAAGCATGCTCATGGCATATCTCCGCCACGCCGGCAGTGACTTATTTTGCCCACGCCGTTTTGGGAAGGATGCCTCGTCAGACAGGAGATATTCCACCGGACCGGAGACCACGACTTTGATTGGCTCCTGTGCCACGTCCTGCTTCCCCTTCGCCTCAGCCACGCCGACTGCTGCCCCTTCAGCAGCCCTTTCCTATGTTACCGGTGACTCAAAAACTCCTAGTATATGGATGAAGTGAAACTCAAGAAACAATCTCGTCGTCTCATTAGTCTATGACACAGGCAAAGTCGACTCCACCAGCTGGAGAGTCTGTCGGGTCTGGTCGTGATATCTGGGCTGAACCAACGACAAATCCGACACAGGCCTCACACGGCATGAACTGATACAGCTGGCTCTTATCTCAACTAACTGATTGCCGAATATGGCGCTCTTGCAAAACGAAGAGTGAGTGCACCGACTCGCAAATAATCTTCTGGTTACCATGACTCGGTCGTCCTTCCCGCCTGGTTCAGCAACCGCTAATTTCATGGAATAGTTTTGCCATCTGGTACCTCCGTACCTCTTATCTTGCCAGTGTGAAAGATGGAATCGCGGAACGCTTGATCAATGTCAACTCCTCGATACTTAATACTCCAGGATTTCGGGCTGCCGGCTGGACGGCGGATCCCGTTCAACGCACGTATTCCCCTCCCATCCCAACAGCAATCAATTCAGAGTATTTTCAGACTAGTGCTGAGCTCCAATTGACAAACTTGAATGCCGATGAGGATGACGACGCTGGCCTTGTTACTGGCCGGACCAGCAATGACACCATCGGCCCTGGCTTCAATGCGCGTCGAAGAAGGAAGAAGGAGCACGCCGAGGACGATGACAGCAGTGATCTCACCGACGAGTCTGAAGAAGAAGCCGAGGGTGCTCAACGGGCCGCTCAACAGATTCGTTTCGCTAAAATGCCTTCCCGAAGTCGGGCAGATTCATCACCGATTCGTAGCACAAATGCCCCCGATATCACAACCACCTCCCCCTCGAAACCCACTACAAACAACAGAACACGGACAGGCTCATTAGGTGCGGTTGAGGCGGTCAAGGCTCGGGAAAGGCGAGACACCACAACCAGCAGTGACATGTCCTCAGAAAATGAGGTTGATCCGTCATATTTTCAACGAAGGCAACTCAAGCGCGGGCAGAACTCAAAATCTGTCAGAATAGCAGGAACCTCAACTGATGATCGTGTTCATGGCTCCTCCGACCTGGGACACCGTAATCTTCTACAGGACGACTCTGATGGAGATTCAGATGGCTCAGCGTTATCCTCAGACCTGGGTGAGACGGTAGACTCTGCATCACTCATAAACCCTCTGACAGGGTCCAACCTTACGTCGTCTCCACCAATCTTGCACAGCTTTGGGGGTTCAGCATCTCGTCTGCAACAGGCAGAATCCCCTCGCAGACAACGTACGCTATCGATACTACACGAATTACCACCTCCAAGACCTATTAGCATGATTCAGCCACAGAGTCTACTGTCGGCGGCATTGAATGCACAACGCAAAGCACCTAGCAATCCAGTGCAGGGGTTTGCGACCCTCTCGGGAAAAGGCACGCCAAATCCACTTTGGATCAAGATCTATGCTCCATTTTCGAACAACGCAGACGAGCCATTCGAAATGCCTTTGGCGAGGACTTCGAAGGACGGACTCGCGGTGATGGTTGCAGAAGTGATCGGCTTGAGCTTGTGGCAGTACGGGGAGGAAGAATTAGAGCCACCTTTGACACAAGAACAACTCAATGTCAACAAGTGGACATTACGAATAGTTGAAGATGGCGAAGTTGATGATGATTTCCCGCCATTGGCCCGCATACGACCGGTTACAGACTTTACCTACAACAACAATCGTGGCGGTCGAGCTCGATCTCGGGAGAAACCATTCGATGAATTTGCGTTGGTTGAGGCATCGGCGAAACAAGTCGAGGCCAACAATAAAGAAACGCCGCAGTTCATTCCAGCTGCTCAGGAAGATACTACGATGACTCTGACACCGACGCCAGGCCCGACACCATTTCCAAACTTGGGCGCCACTCCAGCTCCGCCAGCGGCCAAAGTCACCGGCACCAGAACCAATCTGCTCTTGGGTGGACAGCCTTTTACATCGGCACTCTCGAATTCGGCCTTGACGCCGGCAGATCGTCCGGCGCCGGCAGCACCCCAAGCTACTCCTCGTATGGGGACGACGAAGACGATTAGGATACGGTACTTCGACATCGATGTAGCCAATCAGACCATGACGATGGAGCTTTCAACGGATAGCTATATTGCCGAGATCCTGGATCACGTTTGCAAGAGATGGAACTTTGACAAAGCGGGGTTCTTACTCAGGGTTGCAGGGACCAACACAGTGGCACCTCTAGATCGAACAATAGAGGCACTGGGCACCAGAACGGACTTGGATCTCGTGCGAAAGCGGTTCGGACCCGGAGTCAGCGCGTTGACAGGATCGCCAGCCAGTTCATCTCCGAATGCGCCTCTTCTACTTGACATTCAGGGACCGAAGAAAGGCAAGAAAGGGCAGATGCTACACCCATTGGCGCAGAACCAGGACGTGGTTTCACGCAGCAGTAACAATTTCAAGAAATATTATGTGACGAGGAAGCAACTGGCGCCTTTCGCGCAAGGGAGTCAACGAGTTCTCGTGTTTGATGGCGACACGATCCATGTGATGCCGGCGGATTCAGCGTCGAGCGCCAAGTTCAGCTCGATTGCATTCAATGATATTCTTCGGTGCAAGGTCAGTTCCAAGCACTCGAAGCTGGTCCGAGTACTTGTGCGGCGGGTCAACGAGTCCAAACGATACGATTTCGAGGCGAGAACAGCCGGAGAGGCGCAGGAGATCGTTGACGAGGTGGTTCGAGAAATGAGATTGGCGCGAGCATGAGAATCTGGAGCACCTACGCTAGACCGAACGATCGCAGTCTGATCTCGTAAATTTGTGTACGAGTATATCAGTACTCCGTCTGGGAATCTCCCAAGGATTTTCGTTTTTGCGGGAGGACGACAATGGCCAGGTTTGGATGGGGTTGCCCGCCTTGTTGATGGGGTCTAGAAAGCCGCGATGACCATGACGAAGTGGCTGGAAAAGTGGACATGTGAGGGGAGAGGAAACGAGTGAGAGGCTCGTGGGTGAGATGATGGGGATTGTCCTTGGGAGTGTGATGCCACTCATACGAGTGCTAGTTTGGAGTTGAGATACTTAGTCCAAGTACTCGTACGGGTTTTGTTTTTGGGACTCCATCCCTAGATAGAAAGGCAGCAAACTCTACGAACCCCTCAGTCCTCGTAGGTGCTCAGTGGTGCAGCTGTATCAGGTACTCGTCGCTGTAGTCGATGCCCCAAGAAGGTCCCCGATACCGACAGCTTCCCCGAATCCTCGTGTCTGAAGCTGAAGCTCAAGCTCATTCCGCAAGATCACGGATTATTCGATCCCTCGTTACCACTTACCACTTACCACTTACCACTTGCCAGCCGGTACTGACTCCCCCTCTTTTGTCGCCAATAATCATCAGGAAGCAACGAAGGCAGTTGTCAAAGCTGCAAATGACTCAACTCTAAAGACTGGCTACCACCACCTGCCAGCCTCATTGATGTGAAATACTCCGTGCTCTGTGTTGTAACAGTAGTATCCTAGTCCGTGGTCTGGAGTCTGTAGCTTCATTCTTGACCTGCACGTCCCGTGTCCCCAACAAGCCATCCAGGAAGCAAGCTCGACTGGTCCTGTCCCTGTTCCTGCCTTATTTCCCCCTTCCCCCTTCCCCCTTCCTCCTCTTCTAACCAATTCGAATCTCACTTTCGAGTTCTGGTGGGAGCTCGAACTCTTCGAATTCTGAATCTATCTCTATCCATCTACAGCTACATCCTCAAGCTTCATTCCTGCTCTTGAGTCCTCCTCTCTATCCTCCGCCCTCTCCCACGCTGCCCGTGGGCCCATCGCTAGTCCGCATTCGCAGGCGTAGTCGCAGCCCAAACCCCAGTATCCGTCGACCCTCCCTCTGATTGCCAGGGCTTATCGGGCTCGATTGCGGCGTCCCAGACTACCGAGCCACTCACCTCTCGCCAATCCTGGCCTGGCTACCCCTCTTCAAGACATCCTGATTCAGGTTGCTGCACATCCCCATCTCTATCCCCATCCTCGTTGTTCCATCCCACGCAACGATTACGCCTTCGTTGACCCCGGTGCGATTCCATTGACGAGTCTCAGAGCTCAAAGCACCACCTGTTCTGCCTGTCCTTCTCTTGCGTTATTGCACATTCCACACTCCACTCTTCGGGAACGTGCGCCTTCCCACCAGCGCCTAAATGCCGACCTTTGGAGGTCTTCTCAAAAGGAAGAAGACCAAAGAGTCTTCTGAAGACAAGTCTGCCGCGGCGGGCGGAGCTGCAGGCTATCAGCCTATTCAATACAAGTCTTCACACAAGACCGAAACGCCAACCTCGCCCGTCTCTTCCAAAGCTGCCGCATCGAATGCCACCTCTCAAACCTCTCAAGCAACCACCACCACCATAACTTCTGCCCCCGATCCAAATGCCAAGGCTTCCGAAACCAACGGCGACATGAATACCGCCGGTCTCGCCAGCCCAGCCGCTGGCACTGTCGACGGTAAAGGTGCTGCGCGACAAACAAAGGGCAAATACACCCTCACAGACTTCACCATGCAACGAACCTTGGGTACGGGTTCATTCGGTCGAGTCCACCTGGTCCAGTCTAAGCACAACCAGCGTTTCTATGCCGTCAAGGTCTTGAAGAAGCAACAGGTCGTCAAAATGAAGCAGATCGAACACACCAACGATGAGAGGAAAATGCTACAAAGAGTCAAGCACCCTTTCCTGATCACCTTGTGGGGCACATTCCAAGATTCTAGAAACCTCTACATGGTCATGGACTTTATTGAGGGTGGTGAGCTGTTTAGCTTACTTCGCAAGTCTCAGGTATTCACCTTGAGTCCATCCCTCGCGCCGAAGTGAAGTGAAGCTAATCATCCAAATTACAGCGTTTCCCCAATCCCGTGGCCAAATTCTATGCAGCCGAAGTCACCCTTGCACTGGAATACCTCCATTCACAGAACATCATCTACCGAGATCTCAAGCCCGAGAACTTACTTCTGGACCGACATGGCCATGTAAAGATTACTGATTTCGGCTTTGCCAAAGAGGTACCAGACATTACCTGGACGCTTTGCGGAACTCCAGATTACCTGGCGCCGGAAGTTGTGGCTTCGAAGGGTTACAACAAGTCCGTAGATTGGTGAGTTTGACACTTTGAACAGCAGTTCTAACACATGGTGAGCTCACATCAGCCTAGGTGGTCTCTCGGGATCTTGATCTTTGAAATGCTTTGTGGTTTCACCCCATTCTGGGATGGTGGTTCTCCCGTCAAGATTTATGAAAATATCTTGAAGGGTCGAGTCAAGTACCCGCCCTACATCCATCATGATGCTCAAGATCTTCTGGTGCAGTTGATTACCTCCGATTTGACCAAGAGGTTGGGAAATCTGCACGAAGGTCCAGCCGCTATCAAGAACCACCCATGGTTTGCCGAAGTGACCTGGGAGCGGTTGGTCAAGAAAGATATTGACGCACCCTATGTGCCTCCCGTCAAGGGAGGAGCAGGTGATGCCAGTCAATTTGACAAGTATCCCGAGGAGACAGAGGAGTATGGCAAGAAGAGTGATGATCCGTAAGTGTGCCTGGGTCGACGATTGTCCATAACTAAGCTGATTGATCAATAAAAGATACGGTCATTATTTTACGGACTTTTAATGAGCAGAAATATCACATCATGAGCCAAGGATTTGAAGAGGCGAGAAACCATGTGTACGTGTCTAGAGATTGGGAGTTGACGACGGACCGATGGTTGTTGGCAGCACTGGAACGTTTTCTGCTAATTCGACGATGGACCGAGGAGCACATTTCCGGGTTTTTGGAAGCATATCGAAATCTTTGACTTTACGAACCGGACGCAACACTGCATTTGTGCTTCAGATTTGAGATGAAAAAATACCAAAGAGTGAAGCCAGTGTGTCCAAAGCGGGCTCACCGTTGGTGAAATCCTCAAGCGAGGTCATCTGCCACGGGTAGATTCAGATCAGTCAGAGTAAATGAGGGACGAGAGTACATGAGGAAAGGGGTGGGGGATCAATGCACGAACGAAATCATTGCCTTTGGAGCCGGGCTGTATGCAATATGAAACCGAGTTGGGTAGGCAGCTCAACGTCAAAAATTCCCGATCCCTCCAGGGTCAGCTATCATCTAGTCGCCTCCGACCATTGTTATTATTACCAGTAATACGTATTCTCACCCACTGCGTGCTTCGCTTTGATAATGAGTCACACTCTCGTAGAATGTGAAAGTTCATTGTGTTTGTACAAAATAGGGACACCAACTAGAGCATGGCGTCCAGTTGCTCATTTCTCTATTCCTTTAACGTATATCACTGTCGTAGCCAGACCCAGGTAGGCAGTAAGTAGGGGATTTTTCATACAGTACTCTCCTTCTCCTTCCACCGAGCACTCGCAGTATTGATCAACACTGACACACGCTCACGCCGACGGCTCTGTCCCGTCGAGAGACGGCCTAGAACAATTCCTTCGAGCCGCCCGCCGCACCAGCAAGTCCCGGTCCACCCGCGGCCAACGAATCGCGATGCAAGCGGTTGTTGTACGTCCGGCTCGTCAAATTCCAGGCCTCGATGTACTTCTCCATACAGGAGCTCAAGCAGCCCTGCTCCTTGGAGCTCAGACTCGAGCCCGGCGCCGGGATGCAGTGCTCGAAGCAGTTCTCGTTGACCTTCTGGATCAGGAACTTGGCGTTCTCGACCGACGACTGCATGGCGATCGCATTTTGGATCTTCTGCCGAATCTCGGACGGCGGCTGTGCGGAGGATGAGGAGGCATTGGAGAATGGTGATGATATTGTAGTGGTGCTGGAAGATGATGTGTCGGTAGGGGAAGAGGATGAGGAAGATGAGGAAGATGAGTCGTTCGAGCCGCCGCCGCCGAAGAAGCCGCCGAATGCCATCGTGATGAGTGGTGAGGCGTTCAGCTGGTTTTCTGGATGGTGATAGAGATGGTGTGAGAGTCGTTGTGGCAAGATGGTGGAATTGATCGGTTGTGAAGAGTATTTGCTGGATAAGTCGAGCTGGCCTGCAGTTTGATGGCTTTTTTGGCCGCGATGTCTTCTACACCCCAGAAGGAGCCCACTAAGGCAAGTCTGCCGCAGGCTAGGAACCCTAGCAATTTAGCATATGAGCAACGAGCCATTTCTTTAGGCGGCCGCGGGTAGTTCAGGGCAGAGGGGGCACCGTTTTAAGCACGACGAATAGAGGGCCCAGGCGCTCATCAGGCTTGGAGTTACAGGGGTTGGAAAGCACCGAAGCACCTGCATGTTGCAGTATGTTCTCTCCACACTCCGCCCCGTTTACATGGAGTAGTAGCACTCGTCGTGGGGACTTGCTGCGTCTCTTGAAACTGGCCACCTATTGGTAAAGGGTGCGAGTCATTCTACCCAGTTCAGTCCAAGTCGTCCAGAAAGTTGTCGCCAGCACGACCTGATCTTTTCTCAGGAGGTGGTTTTCTCCTCGATTTAATTGCATTCAGTTCCTCGACTGGTCCGTGTCATGTGGTGCTTCACAAAATTGTCATTTTGATCCTCTCTGTTCTTTGCTCGAGCGTTTCTTGTCGCACTCTTCATCCTCACGCCACAAAACATGTGGTACTCCAACACCTGGTCTACATTAACCCTCCTGGCAGCATGCGCTGTTGGGACGAGGGCAGCCATCGAGGCTGACCCTGAAATGAAAAGCATTCCTGTCAGTTCAACTTCTATCTCACCCACCAGATGTTGGGCAACCGTGCTGACTCTGCGCCCACCAGCTGCGAACACACAGCCTCGCACCTCCATATCTCGACTCTGACATGTCCAGTCGATGGTTCGACTTTGGAGGAGACACCATCATTCGCGCCGACCAGTACATACGACTAGTCTCGGATATCCCCTCGCAGTCTGGCTGGATCTTCTCCCGAATACCTATCACCGCAACCAACTGGGAAATCGAGTTTGAGTTCTCGATAGCAGGCAAGGGCCACCTACATGGCGATGGCTTTGCACTGTGGATTACCAAAGAGAGGGCACAGCCAGGGCCGGTCTTTGGCCACGCAGATCGATTCGAAGGACTGGGCATTTTCTTCGACACGTACAAGAACAACCGTCCTGGGGTGGTATTCCCGTATGTCATGGCGATGATGGGAGACGGAAAGACTACTTATGATTCGGCGAATGATGGCAAGGCGAATGAGCTCGGAGGGTGCTCGGTAAGTGAAACTGCTCCGCACTGCAATACGTGGAATTGCTCCTGACAAGGCTACAGGCACGGGGTCTACGTGCGTCCTCGGTACCGTCTAAAGCGAAGTTGACATACTTCCAAGACAAATCGCTTTCACTACAACTACAGTATAAGTCCGCAGACTCATGGATCGAGTGCTTCACCGTCGAGGCCACCGACCAACAGCCGCTGAAGATGCCCAACACAGCTTATCTTGGTTTCAGTGCGCACACAGGGGAGTTGACGGACAATTTTGATATTGTTAGCGTGGAAACCCGAAATCTGTACAACCCTGTAGCGGCCAATTCAGGAAGAGCGGCAGCCGCAGCAGCAAGAGCCAGTGGACGAGGTAGACCACCCAAGAAGACCGGCGGCGGCTGGGGCTGGTTCTTTGTCAAGGTGCTATTCTTCGCGGGCCTGGTTGGTGGCGGTTATATCGGGTATACCAAATACACCGAGAAGCAGAGATATTCCAGGTTCTAGGTGTAGGCAGACATGCGTGACGTTCTAGCAGCGTGTATGTACTGCCTAGATAAGTGATGATGCCGTAGTGAATCATGACTCATGTGTACACTTTCTATCAGTGCCTCGAATGTGCCTGTTTGCCAGTCCTCCGTCCTCTGGCGATGATGATCATGATGTTGCCAAGACATTGGTTGGCTCGGAGAGTTAAGCTATGGCACGTGACGTGATCCTACATACTTGCAGCAGCTGGACAGTGTTGTATGGAAATGTTCACAGCCAATCAACACGCCACCACAGCAGGACCTTACGCCGTTCTGATTCCAGCACTTTTGTTTGTGATCCCAGGCTGGCTTTTCTGGCTGAGCTTTTGCCGTAGGATCATTCATCCCGCCAAGCTATTATTGATCTCTGTTGTCACTGCCTTGTGCCCTGCCAGTGGTCGCCCCTTCCCTCCCGTGATTCCCATTTTCCCTTGGGCTTATATTGCTCTTTCCCCTCTGTCCCTCCTTTCCGTTTTCTCCCTTTCTTCTCTTCTTTTCCCACCTATTACATCTTCACCACCAGTCCTCATCCATCAACAACTTGCATCTACCAACCATCAATTCACTCTTCAAACAACTACTGTCTATTCCTTCTCAACTTCTACAAACATGACCGGACGTAAGCACTTCCTCTGATGAACTGTCGATGTGTTTGTTCGCAGCTCCTCGTCATCATTCTCGATGCATCTCGTCGGCGTTGCCTGGGCTGCGCCCCGACCCCTGCTACCTCAAGTCAACCACACTTGATCATGAACTCGATGTGCAACACATACAATATCTATCAGACATAGCATATACTGATTCTCTTCTCTCCTACAGGTGGTAAAGGCGGCAAGGGCCTCGGAAAGGGAGGTGCCAAGCGTCATCGCAAGATCTTACGAGACAACATCCAAGGTATCACCAAGCCTGCCATTCGACGTCTCGCTCGCCGTGGTGGTGTCAAGCGTATTTCTGCCATGATCTACGAAGAGACCCGTGGTGTCCTCAAGTCCTTCCTCGAATCCGTCATCCGTGATGCTGTCACCTACACTGAGCACGCAAAGAGAAAGACTGTCACTTCCCTTGGTAAGTTTACAACGCTAGGTGCCTGATCTGGTGCGAATCTAATGATACCTCAGATGTCGTCTATGCTCTCAAGCGACAGGGCCGAACTCTCTACGGTTTCGGCGGTTAGATTTGTCAAACAGGCTGGTCATGCCTTCTAGAGTTGTCACTACAATGGCTATGGATTATGGAGCTTTATGGTTGATGAATGGCGCAATGGGTTTTTGTATCACAATTCACACCAGACTTGAACTTGGGCTTTTATGAGTTCAGCCATGATGTTTTGCTATTGACTTGATGAAGGGATGCTATGCTGCGGTCATGCTTGAGACTATCTCAGGCTCAGCATCTCCAACCAAAGCAAGATAGTCAGTTGCACTAAATACCAATCAATGAAATAAATTTGCGGATGAAACTGTTCTACCTTTGCATGTAGCCCCGGTAGAATAAGCCGCCACTACTCCGTACTATGGGTGCTATTTCCTCTAGGAGAACTCGCGGCGGCTCTTCACCATGGCAAAAAGAACACTGTTATCCTCAGCGAAGAACCTCAATGAATCATTCGTCTCAGTGTAGACTTGCGCAAGGCCTTTTTAGCCCCTGTATTCAGTTCTGATCGTGAACCGAGTACTCTGTACTCAGGCACATACCGATTGAATATCACTCGTGGAACAGGCACCCCAGGCCCGGCTAGATTCGGCGATTAAGCGTGATCGCTGAGCTCGCTCACGTCAGGCCATCTACTCCGTACCGGACTCGCACAGCAGTCTCTCGTGCGGAAGGCCGAGTGCCTAGGCACACACCTATGTACCTGTGTACCGCCACAGCGGATTCACATAAATCCGAGATGCGGTCTGTCGCTACGAGTAAGCCAAGGCAGCCACGTTTACAGCAGGAGTAGGAGTAGGCTCGTAACACAGGATGATTGAACAAAGCCTCCTCGCACGAAACAGCACCAAATTGGATCAGCAATTGATACAGGGCCGTGCCAGTCAGGAGGATGGGATCGGGTGGCGCCTAGAACCCCCATCCACTTCCATGGCGACTGCTACTAGCAAGACTTAGTCGCAAGGAAAGAGCCGCATATGGTCTAGCGCGAGTGTGGCGAAGAGGTAGTCGCTCGGATGTCCATTTAGGACTAGTTACTGTACGATTTACGAATGAAACTGCAGGCAGCAGGATTTCGCCCGCCCACGATATACGTGCCTCTACCCCGCCCTTCTCTGGCTGAGTCTGAGCCCAACACCACCACCACACGCTCAGAGACTCTACGCCTACACACCCGTCGCCCATCAGCCAACATCAAGCACGTACGAGGGAATAACTCACTCAGCACTCAGTATCAGCCGGGTCAAGATGAACACGCCCTTATGAAGCACCAACTACTACTCGGTCACATCGTGGAGCCACGCAACCAACCTAAACCGAGAACCGAGTAACAAGAAGCGCTCGTCAACATGTTTCAAAGGCGTGGCACCTATCTGCAACGCCTCTCGAAGCTGTACTCCGACACCAAGCAATCCTATGAAAGTGCAAAGGTTGCCACCAACACCACTGACTCACCCGATGTCAGAGACCTAAGGCGCGATTTCCAGATTCAGCAGGACAGATTATTAGCATGGGGCATGCACTGGACCGACGTAGGACCCCAGACCCCAGGTCAGATCGATGTTGATATCGACAAGAAAATCGACCAAGCCGGGTTGGGAGAAGTCGTCGCTAGTGTCATGTCGGAGATCAAGCGACTGCTAGAAGAAAGTGGCAGACTCGAGCATCCGGAGCGATATGAGATGAAGCAGACAGGAAAGTCCATGAGGGGGCCCGGCTCCAGTCCCGTGGCTCAACGTAAGGACTGGACCAGTCACGAGGTCCAAACTGGAAGGACTTTACTCGACCAGCTGACCAACTGCATCGATGTCCTCTACAGTCTATCTGAGTCTCGGATGAAAGGTGATGAGGAGAAAGGCGATGCTAAGCGCATGAAGCACTCCCATCAGGCCTCGGATGGAACCGACTATGCACATCTATTCGATCACCCCCTACACATCGACTTTGCGAGCCTCGAGTTCAATGCCTATTTCTCTGAGACAGCTGACCCACCTCCATATGACCCCAAGGAAGGATCAGCCGCCTCACGAGAAAGGTCCATCGCATTTTATCATCCCACCAACCAACCCGTCCTTGTTGATTATCTCACTGCTGACTGTCCTCCCTATGTCGTCGGAAGCGCAGATGATGTTTTCGAGCTTCACGAACTTGGGGGAAACCTATGCAAGGATCGGAGTCTGTCATGGTGTGGACATCTTAGACTACTCGGTTTCACGGTCGACCCTAACGGCCCTCGTTGCGGTATGGTATACGGTCTACCTGAAGGACACGATTCCAAGAACCTTCAACACCAGCGCACACTAGCATCTTTGATCTCCAACTCCAATACTCAAGACTCTGCCCAACCAGCACTCGAAGATCGCTTCCGACTGGCCTATAACCTGGCTCTCTCTGTCATGGGATATTTCTCTCAAGGCGAGACTCATCAATATATCAACAGCAGCAATATCATCTTGATTGGTTCCAACGACCAAATGCATCGATCCAACTCCCCAAGGGAAATGCGGTCGCCGTATCTGCTGCAGTCATGTCAAGACTTTGTGTCGAGACTACAAGAAGAAGAGCCTTTTGCGGCTTCCATATATCGGCATCCACAACACGATATTCATGCGGCCGAAACCGTCCCAGCCTACGATATCTACAGCCTTGGCTTGCTATTACTCGAGATTGGCCTCTGGATTCCCTTAGCCAAACTGTGGAAGCCAAAGTACAATCGCGGTATATTCATGGAACGAGTCCAACGAATTTATTCTCAAAAGCTATCACCAAAGTGTGGTAGCAAGTATATGCGGGTGGTACAAAAATGCTTGCAAGCCCCAGCAGAGCTTCAGTACAGAAACAATTATGAGGACGCTGGAGCCTTTCTCCTACAAATAGCAAAAGATCTTCAACAATGTTGTGTACTTGATGAAGAAGGGCCACCGCCTGTCTCTGACATTGAAGTCTTCGAGCTTCTCATCATCGAGCAAATGTGCAGGGCTGAAGAATTGGCTGCCGCCGAGGACAAAAAGACAGCTTTTGTTTCAGACAAGGCCGAAGACAGACCTGAACTTCCTAAGCGCGCAAACTCGAAGCGCAAGGCAGACGCAATCCAGCAGAAGACCGTTCCGCCGCAGGTGCCACTCAAGAAATGGCCAGACGTGGATATTCCCCAAGCCGATCTCGACGATTGGAATACCGTTGTCATGCCGAAGTTAGGCAAGATGCTTAACACAGCATTGAAAGATACCCCTGAGTCATGCAGTCTTAGTCTGATGATGTTTGGCAGCAGCCCAGAGAGTGCAAAGACCACAATTTGTGTGCAGTGCGCACACATCAATAAAGTTCGCGACGTCCTTCGAAAAAGATTTCGACCTAAGAAAGGTTGGGGTGTGGTCATCCTTAACGGTGAGGTAAGGAGAAGTGGGAAAAGGAGACGCCCCAGAAGATCCGCCTATCAATCCAAAACTCAGAGTCGCCGCACCATTGCTCGCAAGCCGAGAGAACAAAAGTACCAAGTACGTCCATCAAGTGGAGCAAGCATCGGAGCGTTCAAAGACCATGAGCACCTTCCTCCAGTATCTTTTGGTGGCACTATCCTCGTCGACGGTGACCCGTTCGGTTTAACGGTTCATCATATGCTCGATGTTCCTAGCGATGACGAAGACGAAGAAGACGAGCTCCCGGCTCAAGATCAACCGAGAAGAGCAGCAGCTCCTGCGCGGACCATACCAGGGCAATTTGATCCATCAGCCGATGTACGTTTTATGCAATCTGAGGAAGATCTCTCACGCTTTTCGGACTTTGAAATTTCTGACGACGAGTACGAAGGCAGTGACGATGACAGCGACACTAGCACCATCCGTCCCGACTATGCCATCATGGACGCCGACGGAAACGAGTTCTGGTTCTTAGAAGACTCCCCTCCCGAGCTCGACGAAGACAACTCCGATGACGATGATGCATCTTCCTCGTCATCTGATGATGTTGATGACGCTGCATCGATTGGCGACAAAGTCGGCATCGCACCATACACTGATGATGACTACTGTGTTACTCAACCTGCTATTGATGATGTAGACGACGACTTCTTTCCCAGTGAGGAAGATAGAGACGACGACCATCTGGCCAGCCATTCCTTTGGGTACGTCTTTGCGACCAGTGGTATTCGTCGCGTTAGGAGGGGCGAGATCAAACACGAAGTGGATTGGGCTCTCATTCGTGTCCACGAAGAAAGATTGAAAGTCGAAAATTCGATGCGCGAACAATCTACCCCTTCTGGCGCAACACCTCAACAAGCCCAATCGACTACCCGCGAGTCCTCCTCAAGGCCCACTGATCCCAACGCTCTCCCAGTTCTCACTTCGGTGACTCCCCTAACAAAACTCTCTGGTCTGCATGTTCATTGTCGTGGGCGCTCCTCGGGCTTCAAAAAGGGGCGCATTTCGCAGGCCATGGCACTGGTCAAGCTACATGGCCGACAATCCTTTAGTACAAGCTGGTGCGTGGAAGGCGGCTTCGGGATCCCCGGTGACAGCGGCGCATGGGTCTACGACCCTGTATCTGGCGGACTCTGCGGTCACGTCCTTGCTTGGGGCGACAAGAGCAAGACTGCATACATCGCCCCGATGGAGGTACTATTTGACGACATCAGGACCCGTCTTGGTGCAAGCACTGTTGAACTGCCTGTGCCATGTAGAGCTAGGGTCGGGGCCAGCAAGCTACCATCCGGGGTAGGACAGGACGAGTGCATGGCCATGCGTAACAGTGCCTCAGCGGAGTTGGCCTTGAAACTGCGGAATCTGAAGATCGAAGGTGCCAGCAACGGCAGTAGCAATACCTCTGGAGGAGCTTCGAGTAAGGTAGGGCCCGCTCAGGGAGCACTCTCGGGACCGGGTGGCAATGGCCCAAGGAAGAAACAGGAGGTCGTCGGCGTAAGACCGCTGTTCATGGCTGGTACTGTTTCTTGATTGCATTTATAATTATATATTTTTATGACGACTGTCGTGACTGGGCTAGTTATGGTCTGTCTACCTGGCCGTGTCCTTCCTGAGCGACTAGACAAGCAAGCAAGCGAGTGATTGCTCTCTTTTTTTTGTAATTATCGTTGCACACATTAAGTCAGATAGCATGCATGCCCTATGTCCTTGAAGGAAGGAATGAATGAATGAAAATCCGGATATCAAAGGAGGGTTCAGATAAGAGCATAAGATTAAGCATAAGTATACTGATTTTTCTACCTCTTCCTTTTCAAGAAACTCTTGCATATCCAAATAACAAGTATACATACAACTTCTAAATACGTAACATACCGAAGACCTTCCTTCTTCCATCTAACTCTTTTTTTACCTCTGCTTGGTACAATGTGTCGGCCGCTTAAGTGAAAGGACTAGGCTGGTTCTGATTCCTCACTCATGACCGTGACAACAACCGTGATTCCGACCCTGGCTTGTATAAACAGCGGAACCCCATGCGTGCAGAAATGGGGTTCGATATAGTACTGCAGTGGTATAGTCCTTGGGACTCCATCCGCAGGGTACAGCAAAGCGGAAGCCACGGGGCGTTGGGAGCTTCGGGACGGGGGTGGAAGTGGGAGAGGCGGGAGAGACTGGAATTCCTGCCCTCAGGCACCCCCGTCGACACTACTCGTAGCAGCGCTCCTGCCTTTATCGACGGACGGACGAAATCGATGTCATCGCCGGCGACCATTTCAGATCCCCGAACAGAGGCTCTGATCTCTCATCTGTCTCGCATGGATCTCAGACCAGCAGGTGGCTTTTCACGTCGAGGCCTCCGGTCTGTTGGAGGAAGTCGACGCCAACGATGAGCTCAGGAAGGAGGACGACGATGTTGATGGACATGGGGTCAACGACGTAAAAGACCTCGTGCAGACCGTAGTCCGGCAGCAGCAGTGCCACGGTCCCGATGACTTTGCATGCTTGGCCGTGGATGGTGACCGATTGCTCATGGGATGATGGTGGGTGGATCTCATGTGCAAAGCCGAGATTCTTTATGGCAGAGGAAGAAGCGAAGCTCGCGTACAATGCTAGGTCGACGGCCGCGGATATTGTTGTGGATGAGCCGTCTGAGAGTGCGATTGAGAGTGCTAGTTGGCGTGCTCCTGCTGCGGCGGCGTTGAGGCTTTGGGTGCCTGGCAATGGCATGCTGGCGTTCTGGTGTTGGTGTTGGTCGCTTGAGCGTTCATTGTCAACTGATGGGTCAGATGCCGCTTTTGTTGACGGGCCATCCCTTGAAGAATCATTCCCGTGATTGCCGCATATGTTTGGACATCCGGAACACGCATGATCTGAACCCGATCGAGGCGGTCGAGGTTTGTGGTCACTGGGATGAGAAGGCCCAGTTACATTGTCCTGTCCCCCAGTGGTTCCGTTGTCCCTTCTGCCGCCATGGTTGGAGCAGATGTTCACGCAGTTAGGCGTGGGATTATTGCAGTTGCATCCTTTCCTATGAGGGGCCCCCGTGCTGAGGAGAGTTTGGTCCGATGAGGCAGCCAGTCTTTCGGAATTCGGTGGATGCCAAACAGTTCCACCGTGATTGGCGCAAAGCACCTTACAGCTGACCAAGATCGGAGGCGTACAGGTACATGAAAACCTCAAAGGGAGGAGGCCGGCTGGAGGAAGACTTTGGGCGATCCCGTTTCCGTTGACATTGGAGTCCGTAAGTATGGCTGCTTGATCAGCAGGTGGGATCGGGCTATCTTCGTGATTGCCACACATGATTCGGCATGCTGGGGCGAGAGGAGAACTCTGGCAACTACAGGCCAAGGGAACTGCTGAAGTGTCCGTCGGCGGAATTGGGCCATCTTCGTGATTGCCACACATAATTCGACATTCTGGAGCGAGAGGAGAACTCTGGCAATTACAGGCCAAGGGAGCGGCTGAAGCGTTCGTCGGTAGGACTTGTAGCAGTGTTTTCCCGGTGCTCCTCTCCTTGAAGTTATCCAAAAGCGCAGATAACTCTGTGATATGTTGAGACAATAGAGTTTGTATGTGGACCAAGCCAGCACCTGAGGTGGAATCTGGGAGACCATTTGATGCAACATCAACTTGGCCTGGGCTGGATTCTGATATCACCACTTGCACCTGGGCAAGGCTGACAATAAGCGAGAACAAGAGGTTTTTGGACACCATTCTGAACGGAGGAGGATGGCTTGATTGGAACTGCTCATCTAGCGCCTTGAGGGAGCAGAAGAGATACTTATGTATAAAACCTGATCCAAGAGACGAGAAGAGATTCACATGCTAAATATCTAGTGAGAGGACAAACCATCAGGGATCGGGGGTCCCTTCGTACGAGTAGTCGAGTCAAGATCGTTGTCTCGTCCAAGCCATAGCGAGGTAGACCGGTGTCCACTGGTCCAAAGCTATCGAGTACGAGGTGAAGCCGGTGTTGATACACAACCTCATGCCCTTTTCTGATGCTAAGCCGCTACGACAGGAAAAAAAAATTGATTAGTGTCAGCGACAGGGACAAGGCCATGTAGTAAGGTGGAATGATGAGGCTAGTTAAAGTGCGATGTAGTTTAGATCGAAATAGATAGCCATGTTTACCGAGCCACGATGCTGGAAGATGCCAAACCTTTATTCTGGAGCATGAATTTGGAGCTCATAATTGGAGGAAATGATACCCAGATATTCAGAAGTAGCGGTGGAACCTTTGTCGACCGGGTCGATCATGCTGAGAAACGTGCGTTTGTGAAGCAGCAAGACGAGAGAAATTGTATGGGATGGGTGAGCAGAAGATGAAAATAGAAGAGTCGGTGTCGGAGAAGGCGACTGGCTTAATCAGACAGGCCAGGGAGAAGTGACAGGGTTCGTTATTAGGGGCAGTCTTGGGGGGAAGGGGGGATCTGACCAGTTAACTATTCAGCATGCAGTTACCTAATACACCTCTCGCCTAAAGGCGCACCCAGGGTGGCTACTAGGCGGTCTAGTTAAACACGACGGGGCTGAGGCTGGGCCACGGCGGGCTTCAGCTTCCCACGCTAACCAATATCTTTGAAAAGGCACCTAACAGGCTTAATTACGAGGTGCGCAGCTCGGGGATCACAACTCCAGCTGAAGAACGTCGTTTGACCACCAGTCTACCCTAGCCTATATAGGGACTAGTCTATTGCGGCCTCTTAACCCGTTTCAGCTTAGCTTCATCTCACCACCTGTGGCTGGTATCAAAAGCTCGCTCGCGCTGTCGACATCTCTTTTCAGCCTACTGCACGACTTACTGCACGGCATATGGACGGCAAGGAGTAGTGGTACACTGGCAGCCGAGACTTGCAGATGCAGTACACGGTAGGTTACCTCTCACAAAATGTACTCACCCCTTGCTCCTTGTCCCCAAAAATCCATGTCTTGTAGAGTCATGTCTCCTCTGCCATCTCTTCGTGTGAATGTCGAAAACTCGCCTGACCATGGACGGCTTTTCCTTCTCGAATACCATATCCAGGCCAGGCACCGCCAGCACGTTCGGAAAGACATACGCTCAACGCGCTGGAGACTATCGGCCGCAGCACCAACATGATGATTCCCAGTCTACACTACGAGGCGACGACGCACATCTCACTTTCTCAAGGAAGATCCCCCAAGATGACATCGACTCCAGCTACCATTCACCCGAGATCGTCGTGGACGAGAAGACGATCGCCCGTCTCTCCATGCAGCCACCGGGAAGTGTAGATCACAGTGGTCGACACGCTGGCATCGTACGCAGACCGACTTCACCCTCGTCGATATGGCTTCCACTGCTTATTGTGCTAATTCCCAATATCGCTTGTCCAGCTGTATTGCTCGCGTTGGTCTTTTTGAACCAGTTTCAGCCACAGGCCGATATTTTTGCTCAATACCGAGATGCGACTCAGCAGTTTCCAGGCTATATTCTTGTTGCCCTCTCCGCAACCCGACTGGCCATCGTTTCTTCCGTCGCTTCTACACTGGCGCCCTTCCTGACCTCCTTTATCATGGGTGTCTGGAAATTCCATGTAGTTGGGAAGATTCGACACCGCTCGAGAGCCATATGGGGCAGTGAATCTCCCATCTCAGATGTCCCACAGCTCAGCCTCCTGATCAGTCTCCTAGCTGCATCAATGGACGGCCTCTTCACCTATCTAAGGCAGTGCCTTCCATCACTCTTTGGCAGGCGGCCGAATCAAAGGAGACCTGTAATGGCAAAACAAGTGCATTCTTCCGCCTTGATCTTCTTGCTGAGCATGTTTCTTGTTGTGAGTATGTTCATCGCCGACACCATCTTCCATACCTACACCGATGCCGTCAATATCCAGGAGGTCAGAGCCTCGCCAACAACTACTTCACTTGGTCATCGAGTGATGGATAAATGTGAGAATTTCGATCGATCCCAGAATCTTTGTCTGCCGTGTACCTGGGACGTCTATGGCTCTACAACTGACTTCCAACAACTGACCAACTCGGTATATGAGGTGAGGACGAATATCTCGCACACGTCACAAATCCAAAGCCTGGACTCCGGGCTGTCCATTCTCTTGCCGAACTCAGCTCGAGTCCCGAATGTCACTGAATACAGGGCTCGCACCCTAGGTGTATCCACGCAGTGCCAGCCAATCACGAATTCTTGCAACCCCCTCGCGACGAACGGATCCAACACTCAATTCAACTGCTCAGGAGCCTTCCGTGGAATCATCAACAAGGCACCGGTCAAGCCCGCCGATCAATACTTCACCATCGCCGACCCTGACACGCCCCCCCTCAACCTAAAACCCACGGCATACCTGCAGCTCGGCCTCTTCGCCAATGCCAACTTGTCCACCCCGTACAACCCCGTCAACTACAACACTAGCTCGTCCGGCTGGGCACTCGAATTCGGCGACTCCTCCACGACTCCATGCCCTTCAGATTCCTCTCTCCTCAACAAAGTCCACGTCGGCGTAGCCGGGCGCTTCGACTTGTTCTCAACGCGTGTGGACGTAAACCTGCTCAACGACAGTGGCCTGTTCTCCACAGGCGGCGATGCGGCGTACTACATGGACTTCATGTTCGGGTGCACCGTGGAAGCATTCGAGGTCGAGTACGTGTGGGCCGATGGCGGCGTGCGCAGCCACACAACGAGCCCCGTCAATGGGTCGATCCTCAACATGTACGTCGGCCAGCTGCAGTACTACACTAATTCGCCGGGAAACGACTGGACCAACGACGTCCTGCAAATGGCCCTGCAGGCGAACAGCCGGGATATGGCGGGCACATGGGCCACCTTGTTTGGAAATCGCGTTCTCAGTGTCATTGGGGGTTACTCGACGGCGAGTGACAATCTCGCCGAGCAGAGCCGTCGCGGTGCGCTTGTAGCGAAAGTCCCCATTGGCGCACTGGCGTTCTTGGTCGTGTGCAGCAGTGTTTACAGCGCGCTGGTGCTCATCCTCGCGCTCAATGGCTGGCGCATTGCGCGCAGGGATCCGAGTGTCTATGGTGTGGCCAAGGAATTGAGCTTCACTACGCAGTTGGGCAGGTCGTTGAGTGAACTTGGTGGTGGAGGTGCACATGGCTCGGACACCATGGCCAGTGGTAATGATGTGTACGGCCATGAGAGGAGTGCGAGCCGAGAGTCACTCCAACCGAACCTGATATCGATGGATGACGATGCAGCGAGGCTACGCGGTCTTGACGAGGCTAGGATGCTGAGACATGCGTCAGCGAGGAATAATGGCTCAATGCCTGCGTGGATCTAATTATCATTATAGTTTGTTGAACAATGACAAGACTGTGGTTCGAATGTCTATAGTCTACGTGCTTCGTGTGGCAGAACAGCCCCGAAGAGCTGGTCTTGCTTCGGTGTTATGTTCCCTTCAAAAGTCGAATACCGCGCCCTGCTGCTGTTCGGCCCCTGTAGTAGCTCACTCCCGCAATCCATGTGTGCTCGACTAGGACTATTAGTAGCTGAGCACACGTTTTGGTGCATTCAGCCGGGGACGCGCCAAATGTTCGGTATCACTCAGACTGGCCTTGCTCGTACACGAGAAGCTTCACTATAGCTCAACGAAATTCGCATATTCTTGGAGCAGGTCCACTTGAGACCGGTTTGGATTTGGTTAGGAGGTCGTCTCTGGAGGCTTCATAGGCATACAAAGCGCCGAGCATCGAACGACCACGACGTGGATGCCGAATTCGATCTGTCTCGAGACACTATCCGATCCAATTATACATGTCTCACATGGTGAACTCATGATATCCAAGGATTTCTTCCTCATTTGCATCGACATGCTGGAAGGGTGAGAAAATCGGGGGTGTGGTTCATTTTCCTCTGCGCCAACCCTCACCTGCAAGGGAAGATCGACCAGAACCATGGTACCCGCTCCATCGATCTGAGATTGAATGATGTTCGATACGAAGTCCGGAGCGGCGGTCAAGCCCAAGATGTTACTACGGTAGTCATAAGGAACACTTGTCGTCAAGCTGTAAACCCCTGGAAAATTGTCCAGTATGCTGAATCTCAGGGTGGTGCTGGTGTCGGAGGGGGGTTTGTTAGTTGAGAGCTTTTCTTGGGTTTGACCAGTAATAAGACAAACATGCCGATGACAAGCAGCAAAAGGAGTAACAAAATCTTCCGTTTCGTGCTACGTTTCTGGTAGTTCGTTGCGGTGGTAAGTTCCTTCTCAGCGCCCTTTACGTCGGTGACGGTCTGCTCAACGTTATAGTCGATGCGATCGAGCATGGTTCCTTGATCGATAACCATGCCTTGGAGGTCGCGAAAGATATCTGCCAGTTCGATAATACCTCGGGCAATATCGTTGATCTCCTGTTCTCGTTGGGCAATGACAGTGTCATTGTTATGTCGCTTCTGAGCTGTCTGCTGCAAAGTAGATTGACTGAATCTTTTGTCGGCGTCGGATTCCATCAATGCTGGATCGGTATATGGATTCTGTGGGACTGGGGTTGAGGACCGGCCAATTGGTGACTCGAAACCACCCAGGGCTCGGAGTTCTGTGGAAGTGTCAGACACAATGGCTGTATGGTCATCGATGGTATGACTTACTGTTCAAGTAGGTGCTCTGCTTCTTTCTAAACGTCGCACTGACTTCCTGAACACTAGAAGCCAAAGCAACTTGAATATTCTTCGCCATTGTCTCGTCGCCTTTCTGGACATTGCCAGATTGGCGGGCATCTTTCACCATTGTTTCGATGCGTTTGATCGCCCTCTGGCAATCTTGGAAGGCTCTGGTGATCTCTGTTGTTAGTCGCTCTATTTCTCGCTCCTCCTGCTGTTTGACCGAATCATCATCGAACCCTGGGAGGACATGTTTAGCGTGCAGTTTGTCCAGTCTGGCGGCCTTTAATGTGATGTCCTTGAGGACGTCACCAACTTCTTCTTGGACATCGATCCAGCGCGGTGGTAATAGGTCCATCTCTATCACAGCATCGCCGTCGTTGTCGTAGGGGTCTGCAGACATAAGACCCCTAGTCTCCTCGGAGCCATGGCCTGCAAAGCCGTTGGATCCACCTCCATACTTTGGTTTCTTCGCGGGGTGACGGGAGTAAGATTGGCGATAAGAGATGTAGCTGGAAGGTGTGAGTATTGGATTAAATAGAGCAATTAAGGGACGAGATATTACAGGTTGGTTCGATCTCTCCACATCTTCAAATCGAGGCAGACTGCAAGTTTATGCACATGTGATGCCTGCTAGATGGAGTTGGGTGGTAGCAGTGACTATCATGCTGGTCGCTTGTGTTCGTAGATGGGTTTTGGAGGGTTGCAAGATTCCCATCGAGGAACGAGGCTCAATAAGTGGTCATTATCTAAAGAGTAACAGTGCAGTGCGTTGTGACAGCGAGGATCATTGAACGAGGTGGCCTCCAACGTTATGGATGGCGCAAAGGAGTCGGATGTCAGGTTGTATACGCGGGCAGGGGACGCGGAGGAATAGATAATCCGAGGCTGGGGAAGAAGGATAATCCGGAACCGAGGGGACCATTCCCTCCTCCGTTCACTGCCCACTAATACCATTGGATGCTTGTTTGTCGTTTGTTGGTCGTCGTTCGCTCTTTCGAACTAAAACAAGTCCAGATCATCCTGCAACTGCCACTACTACTAACCAACATCTCCATCTCCTGCTGCTGTACCCTCCCTCAGCTGCTCCCTGACTTGTTCTCCTTCAACCCACCGAAGCCCTTCTACTCTCAAATACCCCTGCGCATAACCTTCACCCATCTATTTCCCAGGAGCGCTCAGTCGCACATCTTGAACAGCCCCTCAATATGGTATGCCTGTTCCATGAACACCTTATTACCCACGCCTATGCCTGCAAAACAATTCCCAAGTGCGCACAGACTGATCTCATGGATTTTTAGGCCGACTCATTGACCGAAGAACAAGTCTCTGAGTTCAAGGAGGCATTCTCTCTCTTCGTAAGTCCCTTGTTGTCCACGAACGCGGAGCTCAGTGCTGACATATTATATCAGGATAAAGATGGCGATGGTATGTCCATTCTGACTTCTTCAACCTCATGACCCCGTCATTGCCCCTACAATACTGATTTCACCCAAGGACAAATTACCACAAAAGAGCTGGGCACTGTCATGCGATCACTGGGTCAAAATCCTTCTGAATCCGAACTACAGGACATGATCAACGAGGTTGACGCAGACAACAACGGCACGATTGATTTCCCAGGTATGCTTGGACAGAATTTCTCTCATACCCCCCACATGCTCATCTGAGCACAGAGTTTCTTACCATGATGGCTCGCAAAATGAAAGATACCGACTCGGAGGAGGAAATCCGAGAGGCTTTCAAGGTCTTTGATCGCGACAACAACGGTTTCATCTCAGCTGCTGAGCTGCGTCATGTAATGACTTCAATTGGTGAGAAACTCACGGATGATGAAGTGGATGAGATGATCAGGGAAGCTGATCAAGATGGGGACGGCCGTATTGACTGTGAGTTCTACTGCCCTTTCAACTATCCACCCTGTCACATGATATGTGGTCGCTCGAGTGGTACTAACAATCTTTTACAGACAACGAGTTCGTACAGTTGATGATGCAGAAATGAGTATGTAACCCAGTCATTGGGCGTATACCTAGCGCAAAATGCTTCCTGATGTTTTAGAGCGGAGCGAGGGGATCAAAGGAACAGCCCCCCAATACAGGCGGTGTCAAATTTGAATGGGATCATCTTTCTCTTTCATAGAAATCAGCTTCAACCGACGCCGGGTGCCTTGAACAGCTAGCATGCCCATCCAGTGAGCAAATCAAAAGTGTTCACCAGTGCCTTATAGGGCTTTTTTAAAACTCATGCGAACCTTGCAACGTCATCCTCTGATTCCATTTCCCCGATTTTTCAGCCATAAGGAATTCTCGGGGCCCGTGTGGGTATCATAATCTCACTCGCATCATGCTGCTACTTTATTTCACCGGTTTCATACCAATATCGTCCTCAATCAAAATATCAGCCAATCAGATGTGGGGTCCCCTGAACATATGATTCCCCTCAAAGCAGCACATCATGCTCATACACCCTTTTTCAATGTGACTGGATCCAGCTCAATATCTGTTGGAAGGCTGACTGCTGTGATTCCTTAATCGTCGGCGAATCGTAGTCACCATAGACCGCAAAGCCTGAAAAGACGGTCACTAAAGCAGCGACATATGGATGGGCTGGAGGGGAACATACCATGAGGGACACCAGGATAGGTCTTGATCTCGTGTACTAGATTACTTGCAGCAAATTGCTTCTTGCCTTCCTCCAGGATCTCGTCAGGAAACAAAGGGTCGTTCTCTGTTTGGTATCATTGGTTAGCTTTTGCCCGTAATTAAGTGTTCTATCGAACTGTACGGTGCCAACATACCAACGCAGACGAACGACAGGGGTACCTTGACACCTTTCAAGTCTTCTCTCGTCACTAATGTCGCATGTGCCACCGCGCCCGCCTTGATCAGAGGCTCCTTCACCACACCGGCCTCCTCGTCCTTTGCGGCCTGGCCCCCATTCAGCAGCGATCCAGGATCCTCACCGGCCAGGAGCACGGTATACTTCCCTCCAAAACAATACCCGACGCTATAAATGCCTCCGCCGTGGGCCAACGCATCAGCGTACTCGTCCCTTGCCGTCTCAATCACCTTGAGGAGGATTGGCAGGACCTTCTCCGGCGTCTGCCTGGCTAACCACATGTCAACGAGGAATGACTTTGCCGTCTCCGCGGCGCGTAGCTTGAACTGTTCTAGGATATTCGGGCTGGGCGGTTCTTCCTCTGACGAGATGGCTTTAGTGTTGGGCGCGGGATCCCCACCGAATTGGTCGGGCATGATAACCACGAAGCCCTCCGTGGCGAGTAGGTCTGCCTGTATTTGGTTGTTGGTCGAGTGTACCCCGGTCCCTGCTGTCAAAAGCAGGAGTAGTTTTGCCGGCGAGTTCGGATAGTCTCCTGGTTTGGAAACGTAGACCTCGATGTCGCCGAACTTGGTCATCTCGCCGGATGGCTGGCGATTGGAGGTCGGTGTCGGACGGTCCGTAACGCAATGCTCTCCCATGGTAGGCCCAGTCTGTGCGGGTGAATCGGTGGATGAGATCAGGGATGGTTCCAATGCATCTGACTCTGGTGCCTTGGTGGCTAGCTCTGGCTCGGACATGGTGGGTTGTGAAGTTGGCATCGAATAGTCAATGGAGAGCTAGACTTCAAGCGGGGAAGTGGTCGTAACGACCAGAGCACAAAGCTGGCCTATTAACCTCAAGTTCCGTCTGCTTCGTGTCTACAAGTCCGATGCAGAGAAAACAGACATTAAATTCTAATGATGGTGGTGTCTATTGAGCAGATGGGGGTGAGGTGAGGTGAGAGGGATCATCGCTTTGGGCATCATATGACGCCGCTTTGACCCATAAAAGCCAAGCACTAACCAACTCAAGTCTCCTGTACCTCCAACCCCTTTTTCCCTAACTGCGAGTGCCTGTCCCGGTTCCCATCTCAATATAAAAAGACAATGACTAGTCAATCCAACCTCTCAGTTTCTGTTCTGCTGTCCAAACTTCCCAAGTCGAGAGAGAGAGGTGTAAAACTTGGAGTTAAACGGCCGAAAGGGGAAGCCAGCACCCTAAAAATCCAAAGCTACAAGAGGTTGACATTTATTTGGTCGCATCGAATATGACTTTCTGTGTTTTCATCTGGTTGAAGTCGTCGTAACTAATTTGCAGTCAGATATTTTTATCTAGTCAATTCAACCATGAAAACTTACGCTGTAACTGCCTGGGAAAGTGGTCTAATGTCGGTAGTCATGAAACTACGATTGTTAGCACCGCTGAGTCACTGGCACTTTCACAGAATTCCTTACTCCAGAGTGTGCTGTTTCTCAGCAAGAAGTTTAAGGGCATCCCCAAAAATGCCTATTGATGGTCAGCAAATCTGCCCTTTCTCTGTGTGCGGACTCAGAGAGATAGGGCTTCCTACTCCTGACGGGGCATCGACCCATCTGAATTCTCAGATTCTTGCCGTAAGCTTGGTTCCCGCTCCATGGTATGGGGCCGTTATGAACGCCGACGCTCGAGATTGTCCCCCATGGCCTCAAGAGTTCGAAGCCCATCTCCAACGCAGAGCTATGTCCAACAACTTCGATGACAACATCGGCACCCCTACCTTCAGTCAACTCCTTGACTCTTGTGAATAGCTCGTCCTTCTGAGTCTGGAAGTTCCAGGGCTCGGCTCCTAATCGTCCAGCAAGATCTAGTCTGTCTTGAACGCTGTCGACTGCGATTAAATGTTTCGGCTCGTAAGTTAAAGCACTGACTAAAGCACAGATGCCCACGGGACCAAGCCCGAAGAGTACAACCACACTTTCGCTTGCCACTTGCTTGGAGATGCCGCTAAAGGCGTTTGCCGCGGCGAAATAGCCGGTAGGGAATATATCGGCCATAAGAACCAGCTTCTTCTCGTCAATCTCTTTCGGAGCCTTGACAACTGTCGAGTCGGCCAGTGGGATGCGCACATATTCTGCCTGAGCACCATCCAGAGCTGCTGTGCCGAAGAGCTTACCCTTAGAGCAACGGGAGGAAAATCCGTGTTGACAAAAGAAGCATTTACCGCAAGTGACGGTGAAAGGCGCGACGATGTGATCACCAACGGCTACAGTGATGATCTCAGAGCCTATTTCGATTACCTCGCCGGTAAACTCGTGTCCCATAACGAAGCCATCGGGGGACTCCTGATGTCCTCGAAACACGTGAAGTTCACTAAAGATCAGTCTTGATTCTGGCTAGAGGAGAGCCAAGGGACAAACCTCCCACATAATGCTGAATAGCGGACCTTCACGATGACATCTGTTGGTTCTTGAATTTGAGGTACAGGTCGCTGTTCGACTTCAACTTTGAGTTTTCCTTTGAATACGACTGCATTCATCGTGCTTGGTGCCATTGTTGGAACAGATTGAAAGATGCTTCACTTTCAGAAGTGCTATATGAATTTGGTTGACCTAGAGAGCCTTGACGGTTCTGAAAGCATTGCGAACAAGCTTGGGTCTCTTCCTTTACTTATACATCCGATAACACTGGACGACCTCATCTAGATCCATATTCGGAATGTCTCCTACACAGATTCTACATGGCGTATGGCATTGTGCCGCGTTAAAGCCAGCTAGTGAATACCGTCGTTCGCAAGATCCCGGATACAGTCGACCAACGACCAAAGCTTCACGGCCCGATTCGGATGTAATTTTCGCGTTCGTCGTTGGCTGGCTGCCAGCATCGATGCTTAATTGCAGCTCAAACGCAGGTTGCAGAGAAATTTCTCGCCAAATCTGGCGGCCAGTGCCGCCGCTTTTGGAGGTGCTCTTCCCTCAATGCTAACAACGCGGTTTCTATTAAGTGAAGTCGCGTCCCACTTTTAGCAGTTTCTCCCCCTCGCCATTTCGTGAACAAAAACAAACACCGTCACCACCACCACCACCACCACCACCACCACCACCACCACCACCACCACCGCGACGATGGCAGACGGAAACCCTCTCGGTCCGCAGCCAGACTTCAATCTCATTAGTGATGAGCTCAAGAAAGCACAAAATCTACCTGCAATCACCAACGGTCAACAAATTTTAGCCGAGCTCCGAGCTATTCGTCAAGACATCGCAAGTACGCGTCAAGACACTCGTCAAGACATCGCAAGTACGCATCAAGACACTCGTCAAGACATCGCAAATACTCGTCGAGATCTTATTACTATGATGACTACATCGTATGTATAACCCTCAATCATTCTAATATTACTATACTAATTCTATAGCAATCATAATAATACAGCTCGAGTTCAGAATGCCTACGTTGCAAGCCGATCGGAACCTCTTTGGCCATTCCTCAACCCCTCTAACGGTGCCACCATTCACGAATTCCCTGCTACATCTATAGAACTTGGGCAAATGACCGGACGGCAAACGGATGCTACCTTACAACAACTGGGTCTTCAACCTGTTCATGGTGTAAGTTTGGCAGCGAAGAAGAAAATGTTAAGAGCTCACATCGGCTTGAGGGAGGTCGCTGCCCAACCACCTCCATGAAGAGGATAAGTCCAGTAACGAACAGGAGACGCTTGAGATGATAAGTCGCAAAAACAAGTGCATGAAGGGCACGAATCAAAACTGTATTAATAGATTACAATCAATGAGTACCAATATCATGGGCTAAAGCAGCAGCTGATTTCCCTGGGACGACTTTACGGGAACAGTGCCCAGGTGCGGAGAGATCCGGGACCTAGCAGCGGGTCAAGCGATCGAGGCGATGCTAACTGTCTCTTACCGCTGCGCGATTGCTCAAGGAAACTACACACACTTCGAGGACTTCTCACCTACTAGACTGGGGGAGATCCCCAGGCAATTCCGATTATCCCCATACTCGGCGTTCAGCGGAGAACTCGCCGTGTGCTTATTTTGTAAGCGCTACCAGTCTCAGCGAGCATCCACAATAATACACCCGCAAATCGTGCAACTCAGCTGAGCCATAGGCGAAATGGAGGGATGACGTACTCGTAAGGCGCGATAGGTCCTAGTCACGTGCTGAAGATAGTTCCAAGGAATGACTCAGCCATGTAATGCTGTGCCAAGGAATTCACTTTACGCGTTGCAACGCGTGCAGGCAACAAGAGCCCCTCGTTGCCACGAAGTTGTTGGAGTGCCTCTTACTGTAAATTCTTCTTGAACAACCACGCTTGATTGCTAACACCCTTTTCCTCTCAACAATTGAGCAAAAATGGGTTCCAGTGTTGCTTCAGCCTTGGCCCGCGTCGATGCGGGCTCCCTCGCCGACATTTTTGACGATCGCCCAAACCGAGTTCAACATCCTGTAATGCAATGCGTTCAGATTAAGCCCATTGCTCCCCAGCCTGGTGGACAAGAACGTCACAGAGTCATCTTCAGTGATACCAAGAATTATATTCAGACGATGCTGGCAGTCGCTCAGAATCACCTTGTGGAGGAGAAAATTCTTCGCCGTGGAGTTTTGGTCCAGTTGCTGGGGTACAATGCAAACAACTACAAGGCCAAGCGGTGAGCCCAGTACCCATAAGATTGTGTCATCTCTAACTTCCATTGCAGAATTCTTATCGTTACCGAGATCAAAGTACTTGAAGAGTACGGCGAACATGAGAAACTCGGCGAACCGAAACCTTTCGAGACCAAACCTGAGGAGGAGGACCAGAAGCCGAATCCCAGTGCAGCCACGAGCCAAGGCTTTTATGGTAATAAGCAAGAGCAACCCAAAAGCAGAGCCATGCCGACGCACGCGAAACAATCATCCTCCGCACATGCCAATATCTATCCCATCGAAGCCATTTCCCCTTACTCCAACAAATGGACCATTAAAGCGCGATGCACGAGCAAGTCAGACATCAAGACGTGGCATAATCGCAACGGCGAAGGCAAACTGTTCAGTGTGAACCTGCTCGATGAAAGTAGTGAAATCCGTGCGACGGGTTTCAACGAACAATGTGATCTACTATATGACTTGTTCCAGGAAAACAGTGTTTACTACATTACAAGCCCTTGCCGAGTTACATTCGCAAAGAAACAATTCTCCAATCTCCCCAACGACTACGAATTGCACTTCGAGAAAGACACAAAGGTTGAAAAGGCTGAAGAACAAGATGGTGTGCCTCAGGTGCGGTACAACTTCACCACCATCGCTGATCTACAGTCTGTAGAGAAAGATACAACGATCGACATCATCGGAGTCCTAAAAGACATTGGCGAGACTTCTCAAATCATCTCTAAGACCACGAGTAAGCCATATGATAAGCGGGAGCTTACCCTGGTCGACAATACTGGCTATTCCGTACGGCTCACAATATGGGGAAAGACTGCGGCTTCTTTTGATGTTCCCCCCGAGTCTGTGGTTGCTTTCAAAGGCGTAAAGGTTTCGGATTTCGGGGGCCGTAGCTTGAGTCTTCTCAGCTCCGGGTCCGTCAGTGCAAATCCAGACATGACCGAGGCTCACAAATTGAAAGGTTGGTATGAGGACCAAGGAAAATCAAACAATTTCGCCACACATGCCAATGTTCAGGGGACTGTCTCTGCAGGTGGTTCTCGACGTGACCCATTCAAGACCATTTCTCAAATCAAAGAGGAGCAACTTGGCATGTCCGAGACTCCAGACTTCTTCTCCGTCAAGGCATCCATACAATACATCAAGCAAGACAACTTTTGCTACCCAGCATGTCTTTCAGAAGGATGCAACAAGAAAGTCGTCGAGATCGACCCTGGACAGTGGCGCTGTGAGAAATGTGACAAGACTCATCCTAAGCCCGAATATCGATACATCATGTCGGTCAATATTAGCGATCATACTGGTCAGCTATGGGTCAGTTGCTTTGACGAGACAGGTAGACAGATCATCGGCATGACAGCGGATGAGTTGATGGAAATCAAGGAAGTTGACGAGAAGAAACTGGCTGAGATCATCTCTGATTCAATCTGCAAGACCTGGAATTGGAAGTGCAAGGCCAAACTTGATAATTTCCAGGAGCAACAGCGGTAAGTTTTCGTCCAATCCATGTCATGATCGCATCTAATCTTTGAAACCAGAGTACGGTACCAAATCACCTCGGCATCACCTATGAATTATGTAGCAGAGTCACAGAAGCTGATCGACCTCATCAAGCAATATAACATTGATTGAGGTTGAAGCAGGGACAACATCGGAATATACTGCGGCGCCAAAGGGCAGGGTACCAGGAGTGCGAGGACGAAGTACTGTTAGTATTCAAGCGCGGATATGAGGCTATTGTCAAAGTATATGAGGGCGTCGTCGTGCCCATTGCAGCCACGGGGGCTGGAACATTTACGCAGCCGACATTGAAAGCCATTCTCATGCGACCTCAGGATGGTCAAGGGATAGGAAATTGTGCTTTGTCACTGTACTATATCATATCGACGAGTATGGAGAATGGGTCTGTCTGTAGATTGCGTCATCGCGGGCAGTTGCCGATATCCGATGGGCAATTGGGGAAGACATGATGTGTGAACCATTGGACGAGCAGAGGTAATCCGAGTGCATAAGATTATTTAAACGTTTGCCAGTGACTCTTTGCCGTAGATGTGTTACAAGCTTATTCATCTTTCTTTCCCCGGCACGGCCCCCTCTGAACAGATAAAGCGTCGAAGGAGCAGCCTGGTTCGCACGAAAAGAAGGCAAGAATAATACATGCACAAGGCCTCCCTACTATTACCAATCGTTCACATCTCACGGCTAACGCCCGGCTACTCAATATTTCTGCGAGGCCAGGGTGGGATATTCATCTAAGAATATATTTATCAGAACGGCAGCACGGCTCAAGCCGGCTCAGGGAAGAATCTTCAAAGCAGGCTACTCAACCATGGCTACTATGCGTGCAGTCGACATCAAGGGTGGGAAAGGGCCCATCTCGGCGCTTTTCATCAACTCGGAAACGCCCAAGCCGACGCCCAAAGGAAGCCAGGCACTGGTGAAGATAAAGGCATTTGGACTGAACCGCATGGATCTCTTGCAGCGGGAAGGACACTATCCACTTCCGCCACAGGCGCCGTCGACCCTCGGAGTGGAATTCTCGGGCACGATCGAGTCGTTCGGAAACGAGCCTGAGCGGGGCTTCAAGGTTGGCGACGAAGTCTTCGGTCTGGCGTATGGAGGCGCCTATGCCGAGTACATCGCGGTCAGCACGCACATGCTTGTCCACAAGCCCAAGGAACTCAGCTGGGAGGAGGCGGCGGGGATTCCAGAGACGTGGATCACCGCAACACAGGCGCTCTACCTCATCGGTGACTACAAGCCTGGCAGGAGTGTGCTGTGGCATGCGGGCGCGAGCAGTGTGTCGATCTCTGGCATCCAGCTCGCGAGAGCAGACGGCGCAAGTGCCGTGTACGTGACTGCGAGCAGCCAGGAGAAAATCGACTTCTGTAAGTCTCTCGGCGCGACCGAGGGGTTCAACTACAAGACAGGGGACTGGGCGCAGGAGCTACTCAAGTACACCGACGGCAAAGGCGTTGATTTGATCGTCGACTTCATCGGTGCAGCGTACTTTGATCAGAACCTCGAGGCTGCGGCCAAGGACGGACACATTGTCAGTCTGGGGAACATGGGCGGGAGCGTCGTTCAGAAACCCGTGGATATCAGTCGCTTCCTGAGGAAAAGACTGCGTTATGAGGGCAGTAGTCTCAGGAGTCGCGATGAAGGCTACCAAGGGAAACTGAGGGACCAATTGGTGGAGCACGCGCTGCCCAAGTTCATCGATGGCTCGTTCAAGGTCATTGTTGAGAAGGTGTTTAAAATGGAAGATATTCAGGCGGCCCATGAGCTGCTGGAGTCGAACCAGACCAAAGGGAAGCTGATTGCGACGGTTTACTGAGAGCACACACAGCTTGGAAGAGAGATCCTCGTTCTGAAGTGACGCTTTGTAGGCAATTATTCTCTCAAATGAGACAGGAATTCTCTCTCTAACATCAGTCGGTGTCTTTCCGCCCGCTCCCTCCACTCAGCCACGGCGGATCACCTAAAGTTGCATGCATATGTAGCATAAATAATCCATGCAGACCCTATTTTCTGCAGTGCTAACCATGATCTTGAGCTACTGCTCAGCACCAAACAGGGAACAGCTTGTATGCACCAAGCTGCCCCCATCCTGGATACTTTGTACATACATGGGCTTCAACATCCGGAGGCGGCCGAGGCGCCTGGTTTGCCATAGCCCTGCAAGGACTACGTAAGGCTGGCGACCCCTCGATCTGCAGGCACGCCGAGAGGCTATATTGGAAGACAAGAAAACGCCATGGCTGGACCAGAATGAATCCAGAAGGAGGATAGCAACCTGGTTGCTGTGCCTGGCGTCATCGGTCGAGAATATCACAACCTTTCACCAGGTCAGAGACCTCCAGAAGGGCTTCTCCAGGGCTTCTGCTCCGCCCACTGCTTGTCTACATTGTTGTCTGCCTGTCACTGGCTGTGCGTCCTAACTTGGGTCCTTTACTCGGCTTCCTACAGGTATACGATTCAATGATAGGCCCTACTTCCCGTATTCAAGTGGGCTTGTACACGCACATCGGCAGGTGATCTTCCAGTGCTACCTTCTGAATCTATTGCATAACACTGTGGCCGATCAGTCGGAGGCAGGTCAGTGAAATCACCCTGCCAGCAAAGCCAGCCATAGGCACAGGCACAGAAACGTCCGGGGTGCCCACGTTTAGTGGTTATATATATTCGATACCGTCACGGCCAACGTCGGGCACTCCTGAGTGCCTCTGATTTTGACCTCGGCAACACAAGACATTATGAAGATACTCACATTGACATGGTTATTTATCTCTCTCACGCACAGCCTCGCAGTCACAAACACAGCATTCGTCGACTATGAAGGCTACCAGGTTCTCCGCATCAAGACCGGGAGACATCTGAAGGCTGTGCAGGAGAAACTATCATCTCTCTCGTTCGAGCAGTGGAACCACGATGTCGCTAGCCACATCGATATCGTCTTGCCCCCTGATCAGCTCTCCGCCTTTGAGGCCCTGGGTCTCGACTCGCACTGCATGCACTCCAATCTCGGCGAGTCGATTCGAGCCGAATCCGCTGTACCAACGACATGGAAACGCGACATCGGTGTCGGTGATCTCTCATGGTACGACAGCTACCATGCCTACGACGAGCACGTGCAGTATTTCAAGGACCTGCATGCCGCATTCCCGGACAACTCGGAGCTGATCTCCAGCGGAACGAGCTACGAGGGTCGAGACATCTTCGGCCTCCATTTCTGGGGCCGCAACGGGCCTGGAAAGCCCGCGGTGCTCTGGCACGGCACGGTGCATGCTAGAGAGTGGATCACGGCGCCCGTCATCGAGTTCCTCACGCTGAACCTCATCCAGGGTTACAACGGAGGTGACAACGTCACGCAGTATTTCGTCGACAACTATGATTTCTGGGTCATTCCGTTTGTCAACCCCGATGGTATGTGGCACCCTTATTTTATATCTCCGATATCTCTGATATGTATATACATATCTATATATGTATATGTATATATATTGCTCCTCGCGGTGCAGAACGAGGCTGACACCCCACGACAAGCAGGCTTCATCTATACCCAAACGACGCAACGCTTATGGCGCAAGAGCCGGCAACCGCCGCCTCCACCACCAGCCAATCAATCCTGTTTCGGGCGGGACATCAACCGCAACTGGGCGTACGAGTGGGACAGCAACCCGCAGGGCGCCAGCACGAACCCGTGCTCGGAGGTGTACAAGGGCGAGGCGCCGAGCGACACGCCGGAGAACCGCGGGCTGACGAAGCTCGTGGACACGCTGCGCGACACGAGCGGCATCAAGCTGTACATCGACTGGCACAGCTACGGGCAGTATATCCTGGCGCCGTGGGGGTTCAACTGCACCCTGTACGCTGACGACCTGGGCCAGCATATCAACCTGGCGGCGCTAGTGTCGTACACGATTCGAGAGGTGAACAATGTGACTTTTACCTTTGGGCCTAGCTGTGGCACGCTGTACGCTACAACGGGGAGTAGTGTGGATTACATCTACGGCGCTGGCAAGGCGGATTGGAGCTATACGATCGAGCTGCGCGATACGGGCGACTTTGGCTTCGTGCTGCCCCCGGACCAGATTCGTGCCACCGCGGAGGAGCAGTGGCAGGGCATGCAAGTCATGTTGAGTTTGTTGGATGAGGTCTTCTTTGATGGAGAGGGCCCAGCTGTCCATGTCTAATGAGCTGCTTTTGGGATAAATAGTGTTAGCTTTGGGGGGGGGGGGGGGGAGGGGGGGGATCGTGCGGATGTCCACAACATGAAGGCCACAGATGTTCGGCATAAGAAGATGATATCCCTTTGGCCCAAGAGGGCAATGATGAGATGATATTCAAATCGCTCATAATGCATTATCTATTAATTTATATAACATTGTCAGCGGTAGAATAGCCAGAGACAATGCAATGATGAACAACCCCGAATTTCCACGAGATGTCCCTAGTGGCGAGACAGATGGAGCAATATTGGCGGTAGAAGTCGCACCGGTAGCATCACTGGCAGATGTGATAGTCGCACTAGTCGTCGAGGAAACAGTAGTTGAGCTCGATGTACGAGGAGCCGAGGTTCTGGACGTTGTTGCAGATGAAGTTGTCGTGGTTGGTTTCGGAGGAGCATCTGGATCCCCGTCTCTGGTGATCTTCAAGGTAAGATTCCGCGCTTCGAAAGTGGTTTCCTGTCCAGCGTGCATGACCTCAGTCCCGAACTCCAGCTGTCCCATGTACAGCGCACCGGAAAGGAGACCTTGTTCCCATATGTATCTCAACAGAGGAGAATAGTCGGTGTCGAGACTTGTCAGGTTCTGGTGGGGCAGCCAGGAGAATACGTGTTGGCCCTGTTGATTCCAGCCGTGGTAGAGGCTGTAATTCGTGCCTGCAATCTCGACTGTGTCCTTCTCTGGGGTGGACTCGGCATGCCCCAACGGCAGGACGGTAGGGGTGAACCACTGCCAGATCATTATCTCAATCGGAGGTCCTAGACCCGTGGAGTTTTCTGCATTGTCTGAGAGGAACATATCGACGGCAACGTTCACTCGTAGACCTGTATTGTCCATGGCGATCGCCTGCTCTTCCTCTGACCAGTTCTCGGATCCTTTCACATATGTACGCCACTGCGCAGCGAATTCGAGGGAGGAAACATTCCATAGCTGGACCGGTAGGCGTGAGGGGTCTGCTTTCATGTATGGAAATCCTTTGACCGTGGAGGCGTCTCCTGACCACTGATACGTGACAGAAAAGGCGGTATCATCGTCGTAAATGCGCAGGCACGAGTAGCCTTGACCGTTGTCTCCCCAGGCATTGTTGTTAACTGCAGGATTGAGTCAGCGCAACTTTCACCAGGACTTTGCCCTTGGTTGCAGAGGGGTACGCACAGGAGTAGGGGACGAGAGTCGAGTTATAGAAGTCGCTCTGGCCGCAGAGAGTGGTATTTTGATATTGCGCAGCGACCCATTGAGCCAGCGACAAGGCCAACACCCATTTCAGCACGTTGGACATGCGGACGACAACCAGACAGAAAGTTGAGGCCACGAAACTGTGCGTGGCCGCGTGGCCAACTCAAAGTACTTATTGGTTCATGGAACATGGAGTCTTTTCGCTAGGGACGGTCAGCCCCAAGAACAGTGAAGAGAGAGCGACGGATCACACCAATGCCAACGCCATTCTTGACTAGGCCGAGGAATTTGGCCTGAAACATACACGAGTTCAGGCCCACAATGGCGAGATGGGGGTGGAGCAGCCCTCCACAGGGGCCTTGTAGGTGGGTTGCTCATAGTGAAAGTTGCTGTCATACTTTTTCACGCTGGGGTTTCGGAGAATTTGGAAAAAGTCCAAGGGTTCAAGATGTATTGATGTATATAGATATGTATGATGTATGATGTTGTTGAGTAGATGTTTGTACTCCGTATTTATTCCCACTCTTATCCGTCATATCCCTGTTGGTGTCAGTGCTGCCAAGAATCAGGTACATGGCCGCAAATTGCAGGAATCAGGCCTCAGGTGCATCGACTTTGAACCTACGAGGACCCAAATGTTCATGTAACAACACTTGGGGACAATCCTTGTGGGCTAGATATCTCAGCCCGGCAAGGCCATGCTGCTTTATTTTAATGCGATACTACAGAAATATACTTTGCTTCTAATGGCTGTGAGAATTCTGCAATGCTCTAAAAGGGTGGGACACAGCAAAGATTAAACATCTTTTGGCAGTAGCCGTGGTTGAATAGACATCTTTGGCCATGCAGTCGTCGTAGCAATTGACTAGCGCGGAGCTATACTACATACAGCAGTGTAAATAAAAGACGAGTCTTGGCGACCGTTGTGCCTGTACGTCACTGCATGTAAATTCACAGCTCAAGTCTCATTCCTCCAGCCACCAGCAATGGTGATCATCTTGCCAGCCACCCTACAATTCCATTGATCACCCCATTCAAGAGTGAGTTCCCTCAAACGTCTTCTAGCTCTTCTCCATCTAACCATCTTCAAACATTATACAAGCTACAAGTCCCTCCACTTTCAGACGGCCCGGGCTTGACACATTTCCCACAAGAAGATCATCTGCTGAACAAAGCTCCTCTCCGTGAGCCTCGGGGCTCTTCCATCAATAATGGCACCTACATCGATCACTAAGATCGATATTCCCGACCTCATCTTCTCCTCTCTCGAACTCGATTCTCGGTCCTCCAAGCCCAGTGAGCTGTTAGACTCGCCTATGGTTAAGCGAAGTGCATCTGATTTTGGACTGGACAATCCCCTCCTCCCACGCAATGATGATGCATCTCCAATACTCTCGCCTATGGACACTTTCAGAGTTCTCACTGCAAGAGACACTCAGCCAACAAAGGAGACGAACCCAGGTGCGGGCTCTGTTGATCCTAACGACATCAATATGAAAGGCATCCAAGCCGTTTTCGCCTTAATTGGTGTTGCTTTCGTCGTTGGAATCATCTGGTTCTTTTTCTGGGCGAAGAACGGTGGATTCAAGTTTCAAAAGGGAGACTGGGATGAGTACAAATCCACTGTCTTGCGTCGAAAAGGGCCCAATGGTACCACTCTCAGTAACGCAACCAAGAGCACGGCACTTGGTGGTGGCAGTGTGGTCGGAGATGGATATTCCGACAAAGACGACCTCGCCACGGTGGATGGTACCGTGATCGACGGCATGACCGAAACAATGACAGATCTTTCCTCCGAAGCTCCTATCATTCAAGAGAAGCGGTCAAGAAAGCTCAAGAAAGAAACTGCCAAAGAGCGAAAGGTACGAGAAGCTAACGAAGCCACCTGGGAGGGAGGTCATGATGACGATGTCCGTGCCTACCGACATGAGAGGCCAGCCCGTGTCGGCGGTCTCAATAAGGATTCTGATGGTCAATATTATGGCACTGATTACACAGAGTCCGATCGTACAGGCAGCGAAACCAACAGCAACAGCTATGCTCCCCCACCTCCACGCCATTCTTCGCCCGAGAAACGCCAAAATCGCCGTGATTTCTCTTTTGGCGAAGAGACTTTCGGTGTGCGATCACCGCCTACTGCCGCCGCCGCCGAAACCACAACCTCAGCCCGCCCACCTCGCTATCATTCCCCCAATAAGAACACCAGCCCTCAGCGACCAATTAGAACTGTGCCCGGTGCCTTCAACGAGCCATTGGACTTTGACGTTCAGAGTCAGAACACAAAGAGCTATCACCACCCTCTTCCTGGACTGAGCGGTCAGAATAAGAACGGCGGTGGCTATCGACGTGATAGGCGCGACAGTCTCGATGACTGAGAAACGACGTGCAAATGAATGATTCTTGTTTTATTCTCCTCGAAATTGCAAACCGACTTGGATGGGGGGCACGAGCATATTATACCACCAGCTGGCTTCAAAAGCAGCCCTTGGGAAAGGCATGGAAGTGGAAATGACACGATGGATGATCAGCGAAAATTGTACTGTACACATCAACTCATGACGGGAGTCGGCGTATGGGGAACGGCAAAATAGCCACGTGTGGAACGTGACAACCTTTGAAGGAACCTGGGAAAGGGCCCCATCAGCCTTGGTGTGAATCGAATCGGAACGCATATTTGGAGACCTGAGATGAGACCACGAAGTGCTCGATCTATATAGAACCACGAATGACAAACAAATTCAACCCTCCAAACCCGCTTCCTCTGCCTATATCCTCGGAAGAGAATCTCTCTCTCTCGTGACCAGACCAGGGTGAATCGCTGTAGTGGCATTTGGACTCGTGCCACGAGACCACAACGGTCACTCCCAGGCCAGGCATACATAATCTTGACAGCACAAACAAACCAGGCAGGTCAACCCTCGAGTAGATCCAATTTCCCTCAGTTAGTATAGGCAACCGGTACGGAGTACTCGGGATAGCCATACAATATTCCGGTCTCGTTTCCTTTCCCTCCCTTCCAAGATGCCCGTAGATACCTAAAGATAAGGCGTTGTGCAAGGGAGATCAAGAAAAATCAAGTCAAGTGGGCAAAACCCAACACGAGTGGATGGGGTTAGAGAAGAAAGCGTACGTTTGTTCATTGTCCAGAAATCCATGCAAAAGACAAGTAGACTTTGCAACGATTGTCATAAACTGATAGAGTAGTAATTGGAAGTGCAATAGCGGAAACTGTACCAAAACCGTCAATGGCAAATACCCAAGTACGTGTTCGTTCCCCAAGACTCGTTCCGCCGCCGTCCCTACCCTAGTCCTAGTCGTAGCCATCGATCCATTCATGGCTGTCCATAACCTCGTCCGTCTTCCAAGCCTGTTTAGACCCGCCCGTATGTGTTGTTGTGCGCGTGCCAGGCAGAGTTCGTAATAAGTCAACACAAATGCACGCCCAGCCCAAAGAACATGAACACATCCGTCGCGTCATTGTCCCCAAACAGAAACCTCGTCGCTTTAAATCTTCTTAACCTTTGCTGACTTGCTATTCTTGCCATCGGTGCCTGTCATCTTCTTGGTGCCGGCTGCTTTCTTGCCAGGCTTGTGCTCAGCAGAGCCAACGACTTTCTCAACGACACCCACAACCTTGTCCTTGAGCGATGGCGTTCTCTTGTGATGAGTAGCCGGCGCGCGCTTCTTGGTAACGCCTGTGGCTTTGGTCTTCTTGACGCCGGTGGTGGTACGGGGCTTGCGCACAGGCTCGGTGGAGATGGTTGGGAAGACGCGTGGCTTGGAGTTGCCGGTTGCGCCACGTGTTTGGGCCATTGTGCTTTGGATGTGTATGATAGAGACTGGTGTCTGGAATGTAGAGAGGGAAGTTAAAGAGCTCTGTGGGTGGCTATAGATTCGATATGTCAGCTAGTTTGTTCGGTGAAGTAAGCTGTTGACGTGGAAAAGGCGGGGCAGGTTGAGGATAGGCGATGGCGGTGAGATAATGAACACAACTCAATGGGCAGCGCTTGAACATTTATATGATAAAAGAGAGTGGCAGATAACTCTCTTGCGACAAGAGATGATTCATTTGAATGATAACAACATGTTGTTGTGAAAGGCTGGGTAGGCAACCAAGATGGGGAGCTACCGGGCCAGCAAAGCAGCTCGATGCGATGCGCGGAGGGAACATATGTGTACATACCTGGTGAACAAGTTGTCGCAAGCTTCTCAAAGAATATCAAAGGGTCAATAACCACTAGGCGACCAAGTGACGACGAGTTTGAAAGGAAGATGACTTGTGGTGGTGAAGTTGAAGGTGGAAAGGTTGACGCGATCGAGGAGGGTGGGAGGTGCCTACCTTTTGACTCGAGCCCTGTTTCGCTCCTTCTGTTTCGAGTGGTGATCCCAACGCCTGCCTTGCAGCGCCTCAGCTGAGAACAACACAACATGAACACCACCAAAACAACCACCACCGTAATTATTATTCAATTTCTCCCCTTGACTGTGCATCTTGTTTAAACTTCCCCTGAGGCTGACTTGATGCTTCCAATGTATCTGAAGGCCATATCTGGGCCTTTCCATAGGCCCACAGCCCACGACGTCCAGCGCAATGACTGATTTAAGCGCCTCATCACCTGGGCGCTTGTTGACGAAACCAACTCTACATCTTCGGCTTGTCTTCACATCTCGACGGCCCGCGATGACAATCTCATTTATCGTACCAGTCCTGAAGTGCTTGATCTTCCTGCACTGGACCACCGGTGAGTTGGAGAGCGTTCCGCACCTCCCATTCAAACTCGGCAAGGGCCCGCAACTCAGATCCAACAAACAGGCCGCCGATCAACCCATCCACTGTGCCAGCCATAAGTCCTAGACTGCTCACAAGAATGAGAATGAACGACACAAAGTTTATGGGCGACCACCATACGGCAATGAAACTTCCAATCGAAAACAATGCCGATCCAATGAAGTGCACTAGTCGATATCGTCGTTGCTTTCTTTCCCGTAGTGCGTACTTATCAATCATGGCTAGAATATCGTTATAGAAGTCCTTTCCGAGTTGGAATTGTGTTGGCACCTTCGACACAGCCGTAATAAAATCCTTGTCCTCAAAGCTCGCCACCTCAGAAAGGGGATCCTCACTTCTTGAATTATTGAGTGCCCCATGGACTTCAATCCTTACTGGGGTCGACGAAGAGGACTGGCCTTTCAGCAAAGTAGCTTGCACGGCGAAATGATCAGTCAGCGAACATCGTAGGGTAGAATGCCGTTCAGTGAGGACAACTTGCACATCTTTGACGTTCCAGCCTTTACCGATTCCGCTGAAGAAGATATAATCCAAGCGCTTAGCTTTGGGATCAGGGTCGGTTCCTGGAATCTTTCGATCACGGCCCTTTTCGAGTGCCTCCTGGTCTGCTTTGTTCCATCGCCAGGTATTCAGTACTGAGTCGCACGTATGCCCATGCTCTTGGAGACTTGTGTTGACGGTTGGAGTTTCGTCCTCTCCAACTCGTTTTCTTCTCTCCTTTTCGGGAGGGTCGATACTTGCACCAACGCTACTTTCGGGCTTGAGGACTCGCCAGACATCTTGAACGCGGCCTTGATTTTCGATGAGGACATGCGCAAAGCTCAGAGGGACCATATTGAAGTCCCCTAATCCAACCACTAGGCTTCCCCGTTCGGATGCAGCTCGCATCAGCTTGGCAATTTCCCATGCCTGGGCCGTGCGATGACAGATGTAGCTATCGTTCGGCTCTTTCTCATATGGTGCATGAAGATGAGTATTGAACACCTCAATATTCACTCCATCAGGTAGCGCTATCTTGGCACAGGCAACACCCTTTCCAACAAACCAGTCGCCTCTGAAAAAGGCAGTTGGCCGACCATTGAGAGGATAGCGATACATAGATGACTCTCTGATTGGCCAGCGACTGAGGATCGCCAGTCCTGCGCCAAATATCCCCGAGTGGTAAAATTTACCATATGGAAGTATAGACCGAGTGCGGTTTCTGATTGTGAGATAGTCGGAAAAGGCCCAACATTCTTGTAGACCAACAATATCGAGCTGTGGTGAAATGGTTGCAATCCGATTTCCTATTTCGGACAGTCGCTCAGATCGAAATTTGGAAATGTACTTGAGACCCCAGCAATTCAAAGTCAAAATGCGAATCGATGAGACCGAGAGATCCAGCTTCGTTTCTGTAGTCGCAGGCTCCATTTTCAAGATTGTGAGAAGTGGTTACGTTCTGGGTGAACGATACACAATTCTGGGAGGTAGCATCAAACCGACAGTGCCAAGGCGGTTGCGAAGCATAACGATGATCATCAATGACAGAGATGCAAATATTGCCTAAATATGACCAATAGCATCATCAAACCCCTATAATCGAACGAGCTGTCATGATTGTCGTAGGATCGGGATCTGCTGATGGATTCGGTTGTGCCATTCAAAGTCCCAGAGACTCGTGGTAGGTAGGAGAGGAAGAGGAGGAAGGAAAAATTACAAGCCAGATGGTTGGATCACTGACCCTCCACCAGTGGCACGTGACATTGAGGCTAAAACAGGGGCAGTCTGGGCACGTGAGATGAGCACTAGAGAGTTCATGGAGCACTACGAGATTCATATGTAATCGGTCCTCTGGCCTCAGCTTTCCACCCACTGATCCAGAAAGACAAACCGGGCATCACACGCGCCATCGCCATGTTTTCTCCAGACAGTCTTCAAATCCTCAGAGTCGTGGCTCAACAGCAGATTGTCGTCTTCGTTTGTCCATACCCCGGGTAAGTTCGGCGGGATGCTGACCTCCAGGCCTAGTGTGAATTTGTCTCGCCGCCTGTACTTTGGAGGTATTTGGTTGACAACAATGCCTACAACTTCGCTCGCGAGATCAAAGTCAAAGCTTGTCGCTTCCAAGGCTTTGAACAGTATGGGTTTTAATGTGAGACGGTGGATGCTCGTGTGGATCGCCTCTTGTTCAGCGAACCAGCGCGAGGTTTGAGGTCCACCAGATTCTTGTGTTGATGTTGGCACAGGTTTAGGCCTCCTCTGAATGGGAGAAGAGGGCAGGCGGAGGTCCGCCAATGCCGAATCGTGTTGAGGTTCTTCTTTGGATTTTGTTTTTCCTTTCACCTTGTTTCGTGATATCTCCCGGTGGCGAGGTTCTTGGTTATGCAGCTCATGAAGGTCGAGCTGATCGGGATCATAGCCAAGAACCTCTCGCCAACCCCCCTCTGGTTCTGGAAGTTCAAAATCAAGATATGCCTCGTCCAGGCTGTCACCGATCTCGTTGAAAAGAGCTTGTGTCGAGGCCCGCCGCTCCTTGCACTTCGCCAGACTTGCACTCGGACCAGGTTGTTGTTCTTCCACCGCACTATCGAAACCGTCGGGGGTTTCCGGAGCGGTCTCAAACCTGTCAAACCTGGTGCTTGTCTGAGGATCTTCACTATAAGCTGTGGTGGAGCGAGCTGGAGGTTCGGGCGACGCTGACAATCCTCTTGAGGCCCTTCTGGAACTGTTGTCGCTCATTAGATGAACACTGAGCGGACTCGTCTGAGCTTCATGCCGATCTTTTGTTAGACTTAATGCCTGTGATGCCCCTCGGCGCGCTGGGTGAGTGACAAACCCATCCACCTCATCGTCTTTTGATAGAGACTCTGATAGCAATATTTCCTGGTTGTCTTGCTGCGGCGCTGCCTCAAGCAGTGGTGGAACAGCGGGTTCATCTTTCTCGATAAAACCCATCATTCTAGTATTGGCAGGGTGCTGTGAAGGAAGCTGATCTGATCTCGTCAAGGATTGGATTGGGATGTCGAGATTTCCTGGCTCATCAGGTAGCCTACGTTTATCTCTCGTTCTATTTTTTGAAGGCAAAACTTGAGGTTCAGTTGAGGCTTCTGATAATTCTGGCTGCGCATGTAACTTTGTGCCTTGTCCTTGTGCACCGCTCTTAGTAGACTCTTGCGATGTTGATTGTGACTGGCTCCCGTTCCCAGTGCTTCGCTTTCTGGCCTCGTTAGGCTCCGGGACACGAGCGAGCGAGGAAGAGTCAGGTCGAAATACAGGCGACTTCGGCTTGCCAAATTCAGGAGATCCTTTTTCAGATACATCTAGATCCTGATTCGATGTGATTGGTGAAGTCCCACGGTGCACGTAGTCGGATGCTGGTGCAGTCATAGGGCGCATGGTTGTATTTGTCTGAGGAGTGCGGATACTTCTTGAGAGATCCCCATCCTCCAAATCATCAACTACCTCGACCTGGGAAGTCGACGGTCTGGGAACTCCTGCTACTCTCAAGAAGATGGCACACTTAGTACAGACGCGATTTCCTTTATGATCAAGGTGCCATCTGGCTGACTTTACTTCGTGGCAGAAGCCACACTCTTTCATGTCGCCATGTACTTGGTCAGCATCCGTTCTAGGATTCTTTACTGCTCTTGGCTTGGGAGTGCTTGTGCTCAGTTGCCGTTCTCGGATCAGATATGGAGCAGCCTCTGTGATAGGTAGCTTGTTGTTCCGGCAGTACTCAGGCAGCACGAAGTTTTCGAAGTAAAATCTCCATTCCTGAGGAGTATGTCCTGCCCAGTCTTGGGAAGCAGCCACGGCGTCCCAGGCTTCGTCGAAATTCTCAGCACTCAAGTTGGTGAGCTGGGGAACAAGGTCATATAGCTGCTTCGCTTCATCTAGGGTAAAAGACTGTTGATCCGCTCCAAGTGCGATGATAGGGGGAATTTCCCATCCAGTCACGATACCAGTTCGATCTGACATGTCTTTCATCCTGGAGGTTTCCTTAGGGGTTGGATGTTCCACAGGCATCTCTCGTCTTATCTTGCTCGCTGGACGTTCTAACCTGTCTTTCCTCTTGAGATCTTTCTCTTTGGAGAGTGAGGATACAGTATGTAATGGGTCACTGGGACTTTGATGGGACCTTCTCACACGTCGATCATCTCCGATACTGGTTGGGTCGAGAGTATCATGAGCCAGAGATTCATCCCCACCTCCCTCGGGATCGTCTAGGTCTTGTCTTGCTCGCTTCCGCTGCTGCGCACAACGACCGATCTGAGAGGTTGATGGCTCTGGAGTTGGGTGAGTCTCCTCGGCGGCGACTGGATTTGTCGTTCTCTTTTGGAATCGGGTAATTTTGATATACCTGTCGCGCCAGCTCTGAAAGGTATGTCTGGGATTGACACTTTCCAGTTGTTTATAGATTTCATTGCCTTTCCACTGATATCCTCTCTCCTCAAGAGGCCTGACCCAATCCCATAATTGCTGGTCGTCTTCATTCGTGAAGGGAGTCCTCCCATGTTTTGGGGCCGTGGTAGTGCTACCCACAGGCCTGGAGACACGTGTGGCAAGACCCACCGCGTGGTCGGCCAGATTGTCTCGGGCACCCATTCGAATGGAATTTTCAATATATCTGTAAGAGTGCGTACCCGGGGCATTGTTCTTTTTCGCGTGATCAACGAGCCTCACATCGGCGTCCTTGTCCATGGCGACAATGACAGCACCATTGTTCTGGGCATTTTCGATCAGCCATTTTCGTTGGGGAACTGTGTGAGCAAACCATAGCTTCTGGCCACCAAATAGCGTGTTGGCTACTTCCTGTTCATGGCCCGCACGTTGAACCCCATCGTAGACGATATTTGAAGTCATCGTTGCGGGGTGTGGACAAGCCAACACGTGTTGACGGCGGCCAGTACATACTTGGTATGATCGCGCGGTCAAACTTGTCAAGTGGTGACAAGAAGCGGGGTAGTGGCACGAAAACACGTGACCAGAACCAAAAAGAGGAAAGTGCGAAGTGTGGCCGAGCACAGGACGGAATAAGAAGGGAGAATGGAGAATGGAGAATGGAAGGAGCAGATCCGAGGACGGGGCAATGGGGTGATCAGAGAGCGAGACGGATGAACAAAGCGGAATAATTCAGCGGACAGCGGCAACAGCAAGAGGAACAAGCAGCAAAGAATAGCAGATTCAAGAGAATCAGTCATTGTCAAGCCGGAAGCCGGGGAGAATTGGCGATTTGGGGCATTGATTCCCGTTGCCGTGGCCAGAGTCCTTTGAATTAGGGCTGCTCCGATTCGTGCTGCCGAAAGCGCCCAGCACTGCGACACCCACACCCACACCCACACCTACACCCACAGCAACAAGACCACCCACATCTACCCGTGACCCTGGGCCGTAGCCCGAGGGACCACTATCTTCTGCCTGTGTCGTGCCTGCGCCTGCACCTGCCATCTGCCTCCTGCCTCCTGCCACCTGCCACCTGCGCCAAAAGCCCCAAGATTTCCCGAACCGAACAATTTTGTCAGTCTCAGAATTGTGTAAGAAACCACTGCTACCACCAGCAACACCACTATTCGTTCGCATTCACCTGCGATTCACCTTTCTATCTCATTCCATTTCCCTCCCACGTCCCCTCCTCATTCTTTTGTCCGATCAACTTTACCAACATCACCGTCTCCTTCTGACAACTGAAGACTTCTTCCACACCACACCGTCAACGCTCTCCCAAACCAATTACCCCAACTCTTCGCACACATTCTCATCAATTCCAACATGTCGCAGCAATTGACCTATGCCGAGGTGCAAAAGCACTCAACTAAGAAAGATCTCTACCTGGTCATCCATGATAAGGTCTACAATACCTCATCGTTTGTTGATGAGCATCCGTACGTCTACATCTGATGCCCCCTCATTTCATCCATCTCACACCACCGCTATCAAAACACCTGTCTCTACCGTCCCACCAGTCACCTGCCCCACATTCAATCCCTCAATCAGTACCGTTGCCCTCCACAGGTCACTTCCTACTAACTATTTGTCCCAGTGGTGGTGAAGAAGTTCTACTAGACGTTGGCGGTCAAGACGCAACCGAGGCCTTTGAAGATGTTGGTCACTCCGATGAAGCTCGCGAGATCCTCGACGGTCTATTGGTCGGAACACTGAAGCGTGTCGCTGGTGACCCTGCTCCCAAGGCTGCTGGCACTGACAAGATCGCTGCTGGTCCTGGAAAGAGTGGCGCTGACACTAGCTCTGGAATTCTCCTCTACGCCGTCCTCGTCGTTGGAGCCGCCGTTGCATACCTCGCTTACGGTTACGTCCAAGGTCAAAGTGAAGGTGCAAAATAGATGTGGGGAAAGCCTTCAAACAGGATTTCATGCTTGGGTATTCATTTTGGAGTTTGTTGTCCTCTTGCAAGGGCACGGAGCAATATCAGTGTCTCGGTGTTACAATGTACACCTCGAGACCAGCCGCCAATCGTCATCTTGCGCAGAGCCTCGCAACCAATCCACATTTTCCTTGCCCAGCGCAGATCGTCTGATTTTTCACAGATCCAACACTATAGACATCTGTTACTACCCAGAACAAACACACGCAACCCTGATTTATCGAACTTGGCATCATGTTTCCCCCACCAAGGAAGGAAAGGGCTCTTGTCTATATATCCTACAGAGTGTGAGTTATCGTCGGTTTGGGTGGAGTGGCCTCAGTTTTGCTGCCACAATATACAAAGTTAGACCGAGATCAATGAAAAGATCAAGTTTCTCTGCTACACAGTGTACATACGGTACGGCGTATCTACTGACCAACCATGCCTCGTGACGTTTGCCTCGCTACTAGGCATGAACTGAGCTGACCTACGCGGAATCGTTCTTCGGCCTCCTCGTACCTCGTACCAACGGATGAATGTATACGAAGAACCCGACCATGTCGTGTCGACTCAGTAGCCCTGACTGCTGCCACCCGCGAGTTCTGTAGTCTTCGGGCCTCCCTTCCTAGCTCCAAGCTTACCACTGATTGGCTCCTGAAATGCAAGCTGGGCACCGAACTACTTACATACGTACGAGTACTAACATCTTCCGGACCGTGCCCAGGACTAGTAGATGGGATAGCAAGAGAGAGAACAACGCCTTGTGGCCCTGGGCTGCGAATGGGGGGGAGAGAATATGTAGCAGGTGCTCGGCGCCGTGGAATTTAATGCTACGAGGGGCGGCGGATTCGAAACAATGAATGATCGACGGGGGCAGACTCTCTTCACATCATCAGTCGTTGGATATCACAACTCGATAGTAAGAGACGGTGCCGCGAGCCGACCTAGTTAAATCGACCTAGTCAATTAAACCTAGGTACGTAGCTAGCTCGTACATACAGACACATTTATCGCGCATTCAAACGGCGGGCGGGCGTCTTCGCTAGCAGAGAGTATACGGCGTTGGTTGTGAAATGCAGAGAAAATCACGCTGCTAATAACACGCCATGCATCTACAACTAGGGCCGTTGCTTTACATGGCAGTAGCACTAGGATATCTATAGCTGATTGGCAGCCCGGCGGACGCCCGTGAGGTCCTCTATACTTAGGAACTAGAAGTGAATTGGATCGATTTTCGACTTTCATGCTAACTAGGCATCAAGTGGCTCATTGCCACGGGGCGTACTCTGGCCGAATAGCAGGGAAGAAGATGGAACGAAGAAGGAGAAGGAGAGACACCACAGTACTGACGATTCCATCCGGCCATCCATCCATCCATCCAGGGCATCCACCGATTACACTCACACCTATGCATATCCACCATGGAAATTCACTCAGAATCATCTGCGCTGGGGTCCAGGTCGTTCCAGGCAAGAGCATAACCAGTGACAGTGCGGTCATCTTCAAATTCACTGCCGAAGATAGCCTAGAACATGAGGGTCTCGCCCTCTTTGATCAAAGCCGGAAAATTCGCCCACGATGCTTCCATGAGGCCACTCTTCAGACCACCAGACGCCACGCAAGTTTCCAGTGCTGGTGTCGCCGTATTTGAGGAGCTTGGATTTCAGGTCGATGGAGCGCCATGTGAAGTTGATGCTCTCCCGTCCTCGATTCCCGCGATGTCTAATGCTCGAAGCACCCCATTGAGGCTGCCCTGGACGAAGCTGCCCCAGAGGCGACGAGGGGGGGTTGTGTCGTCGATGCAAAGATAGAGTTCGCCGCAGTCACTCTGAGATTTGATGAGCGTTCCGTAACCTCCATCTACGTCCCAGGGATCTGGCCCTCCTGGTTTGTTGTCATCGCCGTCAGAGTCATAATAAACAGCAGCAGCAGCCTTAGCAGCGGTGGGAGAGGCAGTGGCATCGGCAGCAGGAGAAGTCGGGGGAGCCGAGAAGTCAAGAGGACCGCTTGGAGTGGCAGAAGGAACACCTCTGTGAGTACTCGCAGCTCCAGCCTGCTGAGCAACCTCTTGAATAGACTCGCGGGCATTGTTTGGATTCATCATTGTAGGTGCGTCAACTGGTCATCACTGGAAGGAATAGCAGAGCTTGCCATCGTGTTGAAGGTGCGTTATTATGTTGAATCGTGACTTGGACCAACACGTGATGACAAGGCTGTCAGGTGCGAAAGGGTCTCAATACTTCCGAATGAAGTTGGTATGTTTGTTCACCGTAGAGATCCGCTAGAATGACATAAGACCGGCTCAGTTTTCGAACTGTTTCCCGCTCGCTCCGGTTGTGAACTGATGAAGGACAAGACTTCACTGTCGATTATTGTCTAGAGGGCGCGTGAAGATGTCTTCCACTTGTTGAAGCACGAAACTGAACGCCTTGGACATCAACCAAGAAGCCGTTGCCTAGAGACCCAAGGTACCGTCTTGTTGCTATGACAGAAAAAGTGTGAATTTGAATCAATGAGAAGGAGGGAGGAGAGGTAGGGAGATGATACAGGTTAAATGAAGGGCTTTGCAGTATCATTGTATTTGGGGTGTTGGGCACGAGATATCGCGGCCGCACCCCCTTTCAACCTCCAACTGCCAACGGAGAGTTGTTGTCTTCTGATTGGTGTCCTAGATGAGTTTGCTCATGTTTGCTAGCAATTTAATATATCGAGCACATGTCAGCAAGTCCAGGCTTCCCAGTGGCTAGTTGCGAGTGTGTGCTGGAGGCAGACAAAGAATGATCTGCATACAGGGTATACTATCCGCCTGGTAGGTCCGTAATGCGGCTGTTGGAGACTTGCATCTCTCGGAATCTACCAATTGTTATTACCGATATACTCGCTAGAACAGGATCTCGGCCTTGCCACATGGAGATGGCGCGGCGGTGTGACTGAGCGACAGTTTTTCACCATCTGGTCTCCATCTGTAAAGCTTTGATTATGTTTGTTATCTGCGCTATCTGTAATAACCCGCACCTGGGCCACCAGTGACGCTCGCAGGTCTTGCATTATAAGCCTGGTACTGAGGACTGGTGGATGCGGCCGAGAATACCGGATAAGCCGAGCTCTGAGGAAGTGGCGTAATTGGCCGGTCTCCCTGAGTTGTGGGTGGGCCAGCCGTCGGGACTGGTGGAGGGCCGTGAGATGGAGGTGCTTGATAATCATACGGTGCTCCTCCTGGGCCACCAGGCGCGGACGGTGGTGGATATGCTGGTGTATTTGGTTGGTGGGGTGGAGCTCCCGCAAATGGCGGAGGAATTCCTGGCTGTGATTGTAGAGGTGCTTGCTGTTGGTGAAGGGCAGGAAGATCCTCAGTCGAATAGTTGGAGGGCGAATAATCCTTGACATCGTCTTGCTGTAGCTGTTGGACGTTTGGAGGTTGAACACTTGGATAAGGTTGATGGCCTGGGCGAGAGCCATCTTGTTGTGTTGGAGGTGGACCGTAGGATGTATTCATCTCTGGCGGAGGGTAAGGGGCATATGAATCTGGCTGTGACTGCCGACGGGCAGCATGGAGGTTAGGAGGAGGATACTGGTTGGATGGAGTATGGCTTTGAGGGGGGGGCGAGGCTATTGGATATGGTGGTTGAAATCCTGGCTGGTGCTGAGGTTGATTATATGGTACAGCATTGTTCGGTGGTTGTCCATCTAAAACTTGTTGTTCAGAGTAATGTTGACAGATCAAGGCGGTTCCATATTTACCTGGAGTGTAGTATCTCTGGGGCGGATAGCCTGACCCAGCTGCACTTGCGCCATATCCATATGCTGCAGGACTAGGTCTGGCATATGCATGTGCTGATTGTGCCATAGATGTCTCCAAAAGTGCCTCGTAGTCCCGTCGAGCTTTGATGAATTTCTCGTTGAGTTGCTGGAAATCATCTGTAGTACGTGTCAGCATGCAGCATATCTATTTGACAGAGCGGGACGTTCAAACCTTTCTTCTGCGTATATTTGCCGATCAGCTCAATAAGTTTAGGGCGAATAGCCAAGGTACTGTGGTAGAGCTCGGTAATCTCCTCGTTGTCCCGGACATTTGTGTCACCAGTGCTGGTGGACAGTAAAGCCAGTAATTTTTCGACATTCTTGATTTGACCAAAGACCTCGGCTTCTGTTTGTGCCTCTCTTTGTAGTTCGTCTGGGGTTGGGTCTTGTAGTTTTTCAACATAATTGAGGGGAAAGATGCCTGTTTGGCCACGAAGAGACCCCTTCCACCAATCCTTGTACACCGACTCCAGCACTGCGATCACATCGCCTTTCCGGAACTGTAGCTCACCAGGTTCAGAAGGCTGGAAATCAAAGAGTGCTCGGACTCTGGAAACTGTAGCGGCTGTCGTACCCGACGATATCGGATGTGAGCCACCCGAAGGGGTGCCTGAGGTCGATTGGGCTGAGAGCTCTGCAGCACCAGGTTGTTGACTACTCGAGGGGGCGGCTTTGTCTTGGATGGACAGTCGCAGGGCCATTTGCAGCTCTTCCTCTTCTTTCTGCCTGTCATAGTCCGTGATTTGTTTCTTTACGGGAGCCTGGGGAGGCTGCAGGTTGGGATCTAAAGCTGCGTCAGTTTCTTGTCGACAAGTGGTGCACAGTTGGTGGGCGCACTCTGTGCTTTCAATCTTTGATATGCTTGCTCCATTATGCCGAGTTCGGTGTTAGACGCGAACATCTTTGTCCATTCTTCCATCCGCTCCAAGATCTTCGACTTGACTTGCTGATGAGTATTCTGTAAAGTGTCAGTGAGTTGGTGCGAGTGCTCTCTGAATGTGCCTACTCTGTCGTTTGCTAGTCGTAGAAGAGCGTCCGTGAAACTTCTGGAAGCCAATTCTCTGTGCATGGCAACGCCGCAGTTCTGTGACAGGGCGTTTCCCAGCTCGAGAGTGTAAAGCTGAACGTTGGCATTGCGATGTGCGAGCCGTTTGATCATGGCAGCGACGACATCCTTGCTCCCGGTGTCGCTGGAGCTGACTTTGTCACACACGTCAAGGATGTATTCCCAGTTCTCGGACGTGAGGTTCTCGTCAGTCGCTTTGGCTAGGAGGATGGTCAATACAGGGCACAGTCAGGCTCTTATCCAATCTGCTTACCGACGGCATCGTCAAAGATGTTCTGTTGGGCCCGAAACATGACCGGTATGTTGTTGAAGAGTAGATCGATTACAGCAGAACAGGATGATATAGGAATGGCTATCAAAGCATTCGGACAAGACCTCGATGATGTGTATGGTTATGCGAACAGCACCAAAGGCACCAAACCTCGTCTGAATCTTGGAGACTGGGACAGCCGCAATGAAGCGCAGCCTAATAACGGGCGCTGGTGACGAAAGAGAGTGGCGGGCCTTCCTCAGGCTCCACCATGCGCCACTTTGAGCTCACGGCACAGCCACATCAGGCACGTGACAGCCGTGAGGACTACGATTCACGAATAGGTGGTTCGAAGAACCAGAAGTACTACGAGTACAAGGGGTAGCATTGTCACTGGTGACGACTGCCAGGCATTGGGGAATCTTTGGGTTTTAGCAACTTTGTTGTATTGCGTAATAGGCCTGGAAACAGCACCATTTGGTATTCGAAAGCTCGGTGGTAAAGGTGTGCTTTGCTCTTGCTCAGCCTCTACACATGGAGGCTCATAATTTCTGGCCCTTCAGGACATGGAAAACCTATCTCGGAACTCCTGTGCTTCCTTGCACTAGATGTAACTTTGAGACTCTCGTCGCTCATATCGAACCGAATTCCCCTTGCGCCTGTTCGTGTCATCATCATCGCATTGCAGAAGGTCATGAAAATTGTTGTTAAGCGCGTACCACATATCTCTTCCCAGGGCATCAGATGAAAAATAGATCCGTCCCTTCAGAGATCTATTGTAACGGTTGGAAGGCAATGTCGACGCTGTGTCCTTGTATGGCCTAGAGCAATCTAGTTGTGTATTGCCGTGCTCATATCGATGACCGAGAAGTCGACTAGTAAACAATGGCTTTGATCGTACCAGCTCTCTGAGTCTGGCCAAAAGTGATCTGTCAAAGCAAAATTATTGTTACAGATTAATGGTCGAAAGAGGGCAGGGGTTAGTTGCCTCTAGTGGCCTTTTCTGCAGCCCTGCTCTCTCTTGCAGATTGCACAAGAGGTGCGAGACTGGGAAGTGGTGCGCAACACCTCATAAAATCGTGCTAGGTACGTGATCAGCGCATGGCAGCTATTGCAACGATGAAAGACTTACATGAAGAAGATCATGAGCACTTGCTCGTTTCTCCGGTTCCACTTTCAGAGCGAAATGCAAGAAGTCCCGGAAGACGCCAGACAAGGCCGCTTCGTCCTTTATACGCGGGGTTCCGTATTTGGCAATCAAGTATAGAGCTCGCAACGGTGACTCTGTCAAGTATGGCGGCTCTCCTTCTATCATCTCAATCGCCATGATACCCAAACTCCAGATATCAACTTTGCGGCCGTATTCTTTGCGTGTCACCACTTCTGGTGCCATCCAATACGGTGTGCCCACCATAGTAGTACGCTTGTTTTGCGAGTCATTGATTTGTGCGCAGAAGCCAAAATCGGTCAACTTGATGTCGCCTCGTTCCGATAAGAGGATGTTGTCGGATTTGATATCGCGATGGATGACGTTCTTGGAATGGAGATGCTGTAAACCGTACAATGTCTAAGACACCAAGTCAGTACTCATCTCACCGCAATCGGCTGAGATACTCACTTCTCTGCACACTGCAGCAATTTGACCTTCGCTCATGACGTTGAAAGTGACCACATCAGTAAGGCTGCCACCTTGCATATATTCCATCACGACCCAAAGATCTCCATCATGCAAATAACTGTCTATGAAATTGACAATGTTCTTGTGCTTGCTATCCTTCATCACAATGATCTCATTGATGATCAGATCCTTCTTTGGCTGCTGTTCCAGATTCATCTGTTTGATCGCCACGCATCTCTTGCTGCCACTCTCAAATGCAGTGAAAACGCCACCAGATGCACCTTGGCCAATCTTGCTGAGGTTTGAATATTTTAGCGTTGGATCTCCTGGACTGCAAATTGCCTTTAGCCGAGCGGTTACATCAATAATGTTGCTCTGTTGACGCTTGGCACGAGGTCGTGGTCCTGGGACCGGTCCTACTTTGGTCAATTGCTGCTGGGCCTGGATAATTGCCGGATCTGTTGCACCTCCATATTGAAGTGGTGGCACATGAGGCGTAACCTGCATCATCTCAGGCACAACTTTGGGAGGGACTTCGGGTGCGCCCTGTTCGATCTGTCGTTGACTTCGGCTGCGGTCAAGTTGCTTGCTTTGGATGGCTTGCTGGGCCAGTGCCATGGCATGTTCCTGTTGTTGCTGATACTGACCGGGTGACTGAATGGCTGGTTGTGTACGAGGGGGCGCGGGTGCTGAAGCTGTTGCAGGGCTTTTTGAATTTGAGCGGCTTCGTGATTCATCCTGAGTCGGAATAGGAGAGACTGCTGCTGGTTGTGGAGGGACGGTGGTGAGTTGTGGTGTTGACTGCTCTAAACTAGGGCGCAGTGGTAGGTCTCGCGAGAGAGGAGGGGGTGGTGCGGGCCGGTTGGGGGCCATATCGCGAACATTCTGTACAGGAGGTTTGGGTGCAGGGCGTTGTGGCATCATGAGGACCGTCTGGGTCTGCGCGGGCCTGATCATGGCACTAGCAGGAGGTTTGTTTGGGATGGGAGGTGGCGCTCTCGGATTCTCAAAGCTCCCTTCGTGGTTCTGAGGGAATCGTGGACTGGCGGGAGGAGATATAACACCAGTAATGGGGGAATGTGCGTTTGAACTGCTTCCGTTGTTAGGCGTGCCGGGGCTCTGATAACTTCCATTGCTACTCTGAGGTGAATCAGAAAGCTTTGCATGGTCGAACTTTTGCCAGATACCATCGTCTTGGCCACCGAAATTGCTCTTGTAGGTTTCGACGATGTTGACCATCATCTGGGGATTCTGTTCCTGCTCATTTTTGGAGATGCCGCTGTCTGATAGAATTCTCTGCCAGTCCGCGGGGAGTCCCTGAAGGAAGGTTAGGAAAGCGAAGTGAAGACGCAACGGCGAAGGAAGACTTACCGTAAACTGCCCGGTCTGATTGTCATAGCCTACATGGATCATATGCATGGGGTTCTCTGGGGCGGAGATTTTGATGGTTCGAGGAGAGCCGAGCATGTTGTTGACGAAGCTTGAAAAGCCACTCTTCTTCCTCAAGGGGCCAGGAGGCTTTGAGGGCTGAGTCTCACCAGAGAAACGCTTGGGGCTGAGGATGCCATTTTCCGACTTGGGAGGGGTGACTTCCATCATGGTGATGCCTCCAGGACCAATGGTCTGCGAGTTGCGCAGTGGATGGTATCGTAAATCAGAAATGATGTTGTTCTGAGTTAATGGTGCCGGTAGTTGTCGCTGCTCATCCTGTGATACAGCGGTCTGGAAGGACAGAAGAAGACCTGAAGCGTCAAATGGCGCACCGATCAAGTCCTTGTGAGGATCATCTGAGGTTTGTAGAGTGATGGGCAGAGGTTGTGGGCTGCGGTAGCCGTGAAAGGTGGATGGAAAGTAGTCAGCGGAGGGGATGACGGGAGAATGTGCTGCACTGATGTGCTCGAGAGAAGAAGAGGACGAAGCGAACGCGCTGGAGTGAGTTCTCTGGTGAGGGTCGCGGGCAGGGTGGGCGGCGACGTCGTTGTTTCGAGGGTATGGTGACGGAGCTGACGGGGCTCGTTGGAGGGTGCTTTGAGACTGGGGTTTGCGAAGAACACTGTGGGAGGATGAAGGATATGCAGAGGGAGGAGGATTCTTGGTTAAAGTGGCTCGACGACGTTTGGTTCCTGTTGCTGTAGTATGGATATCTGAGTCCATAATCATCAAGCTGGCAGGTGTCGGGGGGGATGATGGTGGTAGATCGATCGGTGCCAGTGTATCTGGAGTTGGCAGGCAGGGAGGGCAGCAGGGCAGCAGGGCAGGCACGGGAGGGCGGTGCCAGTCACTGTTAGTGGGAGTGGGTTGGGCTTAGTTAGTAGCAGTCGCTGCACGGTCCAAGTGCAAAGTGCAGGTGCGAGTGTGCCGGTGCCAGGTGGAGGTTGTGTGAGGGTGGTACTGGTAGCACTCCGTAAAAGCGCAAGGCCAAGGGCCGAGGGGCTCTTGCCTTCCCACTGCCAGCCAGAAACAAGCTTGCACGGTGGCGCTTAATTAAAGTCTCCCCGAGTTCCAAAGTAAGCGCGAGCCTGTGACAGCCGCACCTTCGCTCAATTCCCAGGCAGTTTTATGACAGGAGGGTGAGGGTGGTGTAAGGCGCACGAAATTAACGGTCCGTCATTGCACTGCAAAGGAATCAGGACGTGAGAATTACGAGCAGGTGTGGACAAGGAGACACGGTGCCAGAGACGTGGCAGTTGGTTCAAGTAAGAACAGTCAAGACCAGCATCCGAGTCCAAGCCAGGAAAGCCACGAATGGGCAGGGAAAGCCACAGGCCAACCATCCGGTCGCCCAACCGGCCTGCCTGAGATCGACAAGCCCACTCAATCACTTGCCGGGACTTTTTAGACCACAACTTCAGTTTGGTTGATTTTACCACGGAGAGTGGTTTTCTTTAGCTTGGTGTTTCTTATACTCCCTACTCCGTATGTAGCCCTGGAAGGCCACCAAGTGCAAGGAAGAGCACTGTGGAGTTCTAACCACACCACCAAAGACATCGGATGCTCCTACCGGGCAGATAGTCCCATGTACGGAGTCCAGTTGGCTTTGCATGTTATAGAATACTAGAACACAAGATAAAACCTGAATAACGAACAACAAGCAATGGCCGGCGGCGCCCAAGATGGTTGGTTTGTGAGTATGACTGGTACGAGGACGCTTGTCAAACGGTTGACCTGCAGGAGGCTTGGGTGACTTTTCAGACAATGAGTAGCAGAGTGCCAGTCCAGAGCCAGAGAAGGTGGCCCACCAGTGGGTGGCCAGGACGAGCCAGCAACACCCAGCCGCCGTAGTTCATCACCTGCTGGGTCGGGTCTTGTCACTACATACTACGAGTCTACGACTGCAGTTGATTGAATAATGCTGGTCAATGGTGCCAGAGGTGGATAGAAATAATCTGACCCACTGGTGAAGCCTTTGTGTCTTTGGCCTGGTCGGTGCCTGACCCGGCCACGATCCAAGACACAATCGATAACAACGCGTAACCGAGCTATCGATCGATCCGGATAGTCAAACAGCAATCATCGGTATCCGTACAGATACATTCTCGTTCTGTAAACCATATGATACTCAGTCGCTTAGACACCTGCGGAGTCCGGAGGCGCTACAGGACTACCTAGGTAGATATGTATCTCTGGAGGCTCATACCATAGACAGTTAGGAAGTTCTACTATATACAGTACACGATATGAACGCTGATCCTAATGCACTGCCGCCACCACTGCCACCTCCACGTGCCAACAGCGCCAATCCCCCGCCGGTTTCTGGCTTCTGGCGTGGTCCGAGGGTCCTTTATTTGGAGTCCACGGATGAGAGCATCCAAGTTGCAGGCAACAACAATAATCATGCGCATGGAGCAGTCATCAACAATTACCACAATAACCCCAAGCCTTTGCTTTATGCAACGCAGTTGCCTTTCCAATCCACCGGATTCAATAGCAATATTTTCCGAAATGATAATTGACAATTCAAATCCACTTCTGTCTCCACCAACCCTTGGTAACTAGACCGTGAGATGTGCTCCGTAGTGTGTCATTGTCCACAGCCCCTCCACATAACATGGATCAATCCTGGACTTCTCGCACAACCTGAAACATGAGAAGGCGCAAGGGTTTTTTGGGGCAAATTTTCCTGTACTGACAGAGCTTGGACAAGCAACAAAGTTCCTGGCCCATAGGCCTCTTCACGCCGACACGGTGGGAATTCTATTGCTATCAAGGACGGCTCAGGACCCCTGGCTCGAATACATTACCACATTGTGGTTGATGCTTCCTGGCCTCACCACGAATACTAGAATATTACCTCGTCCGAGTACTCCATACTCCGTACTTGAGACAACAAAGATCGACTCCCCTTCGGGAGCTTGGATGAGATATCCGCGATCTTGCCCTCTCATCGCCTAATCTCAAGCGAAATTCCATGGTGTGACTACCATATTCGCTTAGCGACCATTTCATATCGCTTGACCTTGTCAAAACTCTCCACTCCCATTCCCTTCTCCTTCTCCTTTTGCTGTTTTTGTTTATCTCGCTCCTCCCTTTCGCGCAGTGCTCGCATCCCCGATGGGTCATCTTCATAGATCCAGCGTCGTTTGTCCTCATCAACCTCCACAACACCCCACCCTCCCACTCGCCGTCCCCCTTCAACAGTGTGCACCGAGCTTTTCTCTCGCTGTTTCATTGTTCGGTACCGCGACCTAGCAAATGCCAACAAGAGCATCCCAAGCACAAGTTTACAAGCCAACAGCACTAGGAAGATCAGGAGAAATGTGAGCACAGTAGTCATATGTGTAACCAATCTCGAGCCGGTAATCACCGCAGGGATCGCTCGAATAATGTCATCAACCGTCTTGGAGATCGCCGCCCCCGTCGTGGTCGGTATGTTCGACCTCGATGTCGAATACTGCGCGTGGATGCTAGCCAGACTGGTAGATGAGGTAGGCGGCGTCGAAGGAACCCACGCCGCCATGAACATTTGGTACGTTTGCACACTCGCTCGGATGAGAAGGCAACTCAAGGGTATCACAGGCAACCCCAGTCGCTTGGTAAGGTTTTGGTCCCCGAATGCGTTCGTGTAATAGTCTTTCGCGAGAACGTCCAAGAACCGGTCGTAAATCTCAGGTCGCGTGTTATTGAATTTGTTAATGTACGCGTGTTTGATCCAATCCACCAACATTTCCGATCCAAGAACGATGAGGAATGGCCCAAGAACCTGGCTGACCGCAGGGACATACGAAGTTATCGATTCCACTATGGCTGGCACCAGTGTAAATGATCGTGGGAGAATCGAGCTCGCCGAATTGGGAGGTGTGGCCTGAGCGATTGACGCACTTCCGTTGACACCCGTCGTTGCTGATGGGCTACCAGAGAAGGATGGCGTGAACGCCGCAGACCCCAGTCGCGGCAGCAGTGCTCCGGTCTCCACGATGTTGCGTGAGGCTATGATGACAAGCATGTGCCAGAGCTGGAACCGTTCAACCACATCAGCACATGTCAGTTGAAACAGGTTTTCTTTCTCAAACTTCTTAAACACTGTCGATTTGATCTCCACAAACTGATTTGACATCAGAAGGGTTATGAGCGCATTCGAGTACGAGTTGACTGCAACATTGAGAGTGATGACCTGGAAAAAGAGTGCTGTAGAATGGATGACAGTGTATGTGAGGGCAAGAATGAACAGCCACAATGGACGCAAAACCTTGCTGTGGCCATCGGGTTTCCTCTCCAACGCCTCCCGCGAGAAGAGGCACTCGAGCACATCCTGCCCAATCGCCGAAAACAGCCGGTCACAAACTTCAAGCAGATTATAGATGACATATAGTTTGATTGCCGCCTGCCCCCGAATCCAGTGGTACATCCGACTGGCGTCCAGTCTGAGGAGGATCAAACAAGTGCATATGATGAGCAATCCCTTGAGCATATCTGCTTTATCATCGGGAAGCAGTGTTGAGGGCACTGATTTGGTCCGTTGGTGGTGTCTGTTTGGCTTGCGGTGCTGAGACAAGCCATGGCCGAGAGCTGGCTGCTCGCTTGATTCCGCCGCAGATGATTTTCGACTTGCAGTGGGAACCACACTGCTCCGACGCCTTCTCCACATTCTGCCTGTTCCATTGTAGACAAAATTAGACACAAAATTGATCTCCTTCATCAAATTCGTGATCCATGATTGCCCAAGAATGTAAAATGATTTGAGTAGCCGCAGCGGCAGAATAGTGAACGTGTAGAGCCAGGCATCGAGACATGCGAGAGTCCCAAACCATAACACGCCCTCAAGATGTGGAGGTAGCATCAAGAAATTGACCAACCTCTCGATCTTCACTCGAGAAGATTCATACGGAAAGTCATTGCTCGCAGCTCGATGAATGTAGAGTTGAGACGGACGTTGCGAAGAAAGTTCGAGCTGCAGATAAGTGGCCATGGATAGGGGAGGAAGTGGAATCGACGAAGGCATCGGAGAAGGAAGGGGCCTTCCCGATGAGGAATACCTTCTGCTATCGGTTATATCTTGACGGGACGCAGAGTCCGGAGGCTTCAGACTTGGTCGCGGCCGCTCATGCTTCGGAGGAGACTGTGGACTCTTGATCGAGTTTGGAGTGGACAACGCTCGTTGAGGTGCCCACGGTCTGAGACCTGGACTTGTTGAAGTTTGACTGGGGCGATTGTTGGTTTCTATAGTGAGGTGACGAGACCTCCTGACATCGGCTTGCTCAGTAGTGACTGTGCTGCTTTCCGGTGACATCGCCTCGTCTCTGTTCGCCAGAGCTTTGCTCGACATATCCTGCGGGCCACTAGACCCAACAAGTGTCTGAGAAACATCTTGCGAAGGACGCTGGGCGATTGGTCTTACCGGCAATGACTCTGGAGCGGACGTCAACCATTGCAATTGATCGGCCGATAGCTTAAGCACACGATCCTCCTTGTCTTCCAGCAGTACGTTCGAAACGTCTTCAAGTCCATCAGTGACAAGAATCTGAGGAGAGACATCACTGCCATGCGAGTGACGCATGGGGCTTGCAGTACGTCTGGAATGTTTGTCAAATACAATGGCGCCATTGACGATGGGCAGCATGGCTTTCCTCTTGGAGATGCTGTCATCTTCTGCATCCTGATTACTGGTGCTTGTATCGTATTGCTGTGATATGGAAGGCGGTGTAGGCTGTGGTTTCGCCAGGTCTACCTCTTGATAATCGTTCACATTCTGCGTCTGATGCAACTCGTTGCTGATCTGACGACGGTGATCTTCGTAAGACTGTTGCCCGCGTAATTGCAGGCCAAAAGGGTCCGTAGGGGTAATGGCAGCGAGTTCTGTCATAAGGTCACGATCCGCAGGAGGTTTGTCGACATGAGACACATCGTTATTTGCAATGGCAGAGCCATTCATCTTGACTCGAGGATGTGGTTGTACAACAACTCGCCATTGTTCACAGCGGATTGCATCAGCAGTGTCAGGCTGGGGTCTAGTACTAAGTCCACGCTTTCAAGATCATGAAAGTCTTCAAGGACACACTGCTTTGTTTGATTTAAGAGTAGTATAAACTCGGAATGATGGGAACGCAGGCCAACGACCTAGCGCTACGTTGGAGCAAATTTCCCCCAAGCCGCCAAAACCCGGAGCTGCCTAGTATGCTCTATGCTCCGCCCCATCTAGACCCTGGTTTGCACTCGCATCGTGTGACCAAGAGCCAACCAACCACTTCCAACAGTCGCCTTCCTTGCCAACTTATCGCTTCTTACAAAGGTACATTCATACATAATTGCTCTACCAAGTGAAGGTCCTCCAAGTTTGGCCAACTGTTTCTGCTCAAAGTCTTACATATGAGCCCTTGTGAACAGCTGTCCTAGCAGAAACGACTTCCGACCGGTAGCATACCCGATGCGGCTCATCAGATGTATAAATTATAACTGGTGATCGATGCTTCACTCACTGTACTTCAGAGCCTCCCCCTTGCTATGTTCTGACATTTAGCACTGGATTGACATGAACTAGTCCTTTGAGTTGATGAGGCCATTCCTCAAGTCGTCTTGAAATGGACCAAGAACAATTCTCAGGATGGAGCCCTCCAAGAGACGATTTAGAAGGCTTGATTACTTCTTTTAACTCACCTCAACCAATCTCAGGGAGAAATGCTACTTCGTGGAGTGATGAAGGCGCTGCCGACTCCTCGGTCCCATCTTCACAATACTTTGGCCAGGCAGGATCTTCAGGTATCAACAGACCGCCGTCGCAGCACGCTAATAGTGCCTCGCTGCCATTCAGGCCATCGCAGAGACGAGTAGTTTCAGCCAATCAGGTTCCTTCGGTTGGTTATGGTGAAATGGCTACCACTCCTACTTCTTTCGATCCTCCTCTTCGTTCGATCTTTGTCTCAGGCCCACCTACGGCTTCTGTATCTGCAAACACCGCCCAAGCGTCTCTAAGCACTACTATGGCATCAAGCAGCTCGAACCCTGTAGCAGCTCTGACAATTGCTGGTGGCAATCGGCGGATGAACATTCGCCTGGGAGACATTCCGCCTTCTATGACCCCGTCGGCAACGACCAACAGGTATTCCTTACTACATCTGGAGAAGGACGTCGACGATCCAACAGCAAGTACAGTCGGTACATCTTTCGATGGCGCTACTACAAATACATCCGCAGCACTTACACGTTTGTTTGTTGCCAGCGATGGCACGAGCCCTGGCGCCACTTCCAGGGGACCCTCTCATCTTCATGCAGCCTCGGGAGCGAGCCGAAGTAATGGCGACACATCTACTTTGAGCGGGCATTTGCTCCATCATGGATTTGAACAAGGCAGACACTCAGATATCACAATTAGAGCATTTGGAAGGAGCTATAGGCTGCACAAATTGCTCCTTGACCGTGTGCCATACTTTTCATCCGCATTCAGTGGGTCGTGGGCTGAAAGCCTGGCACAAGAGATGGCTATTGTGCCAGAGGAAATAGATGCCAATATTACACAGAATGCGTTCGAATTGGCCTTGAAAAGGATTTACGGCACGCAATTCCCAGAACAGGAAGAAGACGAGGCCATTGGATTGTTTGCCACAGCCTGTTGGCTTGATATGCCCGAGCTAGTGGACTCTTGTGTGGACTCAATCTTACGTCAAATGCAGCCAGGTACACTTCACAGCCTTATCAAGCTTGTGACCTACAACTTTTACGGCAAAGCTGGAGATCGCATATTAGCCTCAGCCAAAGCCATGCTGTGCAGAGATGGATGGGAAATGCCCTATGAGTATTGGGATGAGATTCCCTCCGAAATCATTCGCGAGACTGTGGGCGGCGACCCTTTCTTCGTGCCTGGCGAATGGGACCGTTGGTACTTAGTGGTAAAGCTTTTGAACCGTCGGTTGAGAGCTAAAGCCGTTGAGAATGGCCTCGTTTCTCCGGGAGGACGCTACCTTGTCCCAAAGCCTAATAGTCTTCGGTTTTTTGCGGTGAGATTCGATACGACATATAGGCATTCCGGACACAATCGGTATGTATCAGAGAAGGATGAAGCTTGGATTACGCTTTATACATCACCTGAAATTGGCCCTCTTCTGGTGTTACTGGATGAAGGCATTCACTACGTTCATTTAAGGTTCGAACAGCTGCAACAGATTCGAAGTCAGAGAGATATTTTGGGTGTCCCTGTTCTGCCGGAAAAGGTGATTTCAGATGCCCTCTGGATGTCCATGGAACTCAGACAAAGGGTGCTCAATGCCAGGGACAGCGATGTTGAACTTGGTCTGAGTGAAGCGGCCGAGGAGATCGAAGATGCCGACTATCGATCGGAACAAAAGGCCTCCTCTAACAAAGGCAAAGTGCGAGAGTCTTCATTCGAGAATCCGAGTGAAGGCTCGAATGAGATGGAATCAGGGTCGTGGGATGGCAATGGCAAACCCAGGAAATTTTGGATACCTACGCATGATGTTTCATGTATAATGGGTGGCACTAGAGAAGCAACTCTGGCTGCCAATTCGACGAGCCTTGCTGAGTGGAGTACTCATGCAGCCAGGCTATCTGCAAGTCTTGAACCGACCGATGTCGCTTGGGCCCTTGACTTCAATATCGGAAATGTGGTGGATAATGGCAGGCCACCTTCACGGGGCTATTCACCGACCTCATCGCCACGCTACAGTTACTATCCCCCCTTCCGCTTCTCAGCGGAGTTTCCGCATCCCAGAACACTGAAGGAAAAGAAGCGAGTTTACTCTCACACGGTGTGGTATGCGGGAAGTATGTGGAACCTGTATATCCAGCGTGTCAATACGACTAAAGCGCCCCAACTGGGGATATATCTGCACCGGGCGAAAGACAAGGACCCATGTGATGACCCACTCGCCCAATTTGTGCCAGCATCGGTAGACGATCGCATTGGGCAGCTTGAGCGTGAGATGCTATTGCGAAAGAATGAGCGTCGGAATCGAGGCTGGCGGACTGACGATAGTGGGCAGACAATGAACGCGGATCACGATGACGAGACCAGTCATGACTTTGCTGGTTTAGGTTACGTGGAAGGCGAGAGTGTATCTTCCGATCGTCGGGCTGGAGGCCCGGGCAGATTGCAGAAGACGTCGCAATCACCGGCATTACCTCCGGGTGAGCAGTGGACATCGTCTTCATTGATGCTTGACTCGGATGAAGAAGATGAGGAGTTGTTGCGAGTCAACAGGAAGTTCAACATTTCGGCGATCCCTCCATATATGGACGGTCGGCCCACCATCAAGACCTATTTCAAGATCTACTCACCCAGCAAAGCTGGCCGCCTACTCAGTATCTATGAGAGCGCACCAGACAAGTTTGACGTTAGCAAGAGTTGGGGTTGGAAGAGTAGCCAGATGGTGCTGGATGATGGGCTGGGGGCATGCGACACGAGCAAAACCACGAAAGACGGCAAGTTGAGGTATATGGTAGTGATAGGCAATATTTGAGTGGTTGGTTCTTTGGTATGCTTGAGGCTTATTCTAGGGGCAAGGACTTGCAATGTCCACGGCTTGCATGACCACGCTGCCCTCGAGTATTTTTTTTAGCAAGCATATGAGTAAGATATCAACACATGGCATTTCGCAGTGATGTCGGTATATCCCTTTCGATAGCATGAGACTACATTAGGACCTACCTATCTGTGTCGTTTGTTGAATGTGTGGAACTACTGATTTGTGCAGACCAGTTTTGGATACCCTCTCGATGCACACTGGACACCTACTCGTGGGTATTTGTCAGCTGATAAAACGATGGTGTTTAGCACCCTATGGTTGTGGAACATACGCGGACCTAGTAGTTTCCCAGGGAAAACTATATCCGCCCAAAGCATGTTCTAGCCCCAAGATATCTCCGCCACTGTGGTCAACTGATTTGGCACCAACGTTTACATGAGATAGACCACTAGCACAGGACTGCCGATGATGGTGTGGCAATGGGTATGTCTTCCGACTCGTATAGGAGTATTTTAAAATCGCATTGCATCACTATTAATCGGTGTAGGCGTTCTCTTCGGTAGTTTGATCAGCCAAAACAGGCAATGCAACCGCTGCAATGATGTCACCAGTACGAGGAAAGCTTCGTACTGTAATAGTTCTGGTCATACAAGGGAGGTGTACAGAGAATTCCGATGGGCGCTGCCCAAGTACCTAATAAACTACAGTGACATCCTGTGGAATTTTCTGCAATGGGATCAGGCTTCCGGAGCGGCCGGACTCTTCAAATCCCAACATGACACACTCACACCCAGGTTGTCACTCGCACCACTCGTGCCTCAGACTCCGAATGCCACTCCGTTGGCGGACAATCGTTCAGCAGCACCGAAAACATTCGGAGTCGGCTTTCTCTTCCTGGTTACGTTGGTTCTTTTGCACAAGACCAATGATTTCTTAGACGCTTTTCACTCCCGGTGGATAGCCTAGAAAAGTCAGTTTTGGCCTGGCTTAGTCAAGGCAGTATCCCATCTCGTACAGTTACATAAGATGATAATGTCTCACGCGTACACCGAGTACTGGAAAGTTCATGATATTGCTCGAAGAATGGCGATTCACCAATGATCCATTGGTGTAGCGTACCCCTCCATATTTCCCATTGAATAAATAAACATCAAGCCGTCACTCCAAATTCACTTATGAACATCTTCCATTAATTTCGTTTCTTCGCAGGCGCTCCTATCTGGAGGTTGTCATAGTCCCAAAGATATACCTTTGACAAGCCTTTGTCATTCCAACCGGTCGCCATGGGTTCTACAACGGAACATCCACTTATCATCAACAAAGGTGCTGAGGGCATCTCTTACTACACTCCAGCACAAGTCCCGCCGTCAGGAACAGCCAAAGACCCACAGCCCAGTGGCCACCCGATCCCCAAGCCATTTCAACCCTTTACCATTCGGGGAGTCACTTTCCAGAATCGTGTCTTCCTGTCGCCTCTGTGCCAATATTCTGCTCACGATGGCCACCTGACCGATTGGCATCTCACCCATCTAGGAGGAATCATCCAACGTGGACCGGGACTGACCATGGTTGAAGCAACCTCGGTTACTCCAGAAGGACGCATCACCCCGGAAGATAGCGGTCTATGGAAAGATAGCCAAAAGGGACCATTGCGAAGAATTGTCGAATTCGCTCACAGTCAGAGTCAAAAGATAGGTATTCAACTGGGTCATGCCGGTCGGAAGGCTAGCACTGTGGCTCCCTGGTTGAGCTTGGGCAACACTGCTTTAGAAGAAGCTGGAGGCTGGCCGACAGAGACCGTGGCCCCTAGCGCCATTGCCTTTCAGCCGACGTACCCTCATCCAAATGAGTTGACCCTTGAGGGCATCCAGAGGATCAAGGATGCCTATGTTGCCGCAGCCAAAAGAGCCATTGATGTCGGATTTGATGTCATCGAGATTCACAACGCCCACGGATATCTGCTGCACGAATTCCTGAGCCCTGTCAGCAACAAGCGAACAGATCAATACGGAGGCTCTTTCGAGAACAGGACCCGATTCACACGAGAGACAGTGGAAGCAGTTCGAGCCGTCATCCCCAAAGAAATGCCGCTTTTTCTCCGTATCAGCGCGGACGACTGGTTATCGGGACAAGAAGACTTCCCTGAAAGCTGGACGATAGATGATACAGTCAAGCTTGCGCCTATCCTACAGGAACTCGGCATTGATCTTCTCGATGTCAGCTCAGGAGGTGTTCACCCCTCACAGAAAATCAAGGGAGGCCCGGGCTATCAAGTGCATTTCGCCAAAGCAGTCAAGGATAAGGTTGGAGCTTCTCTAGCCGTGACTGCAGTGGGCACAATCACAAGCGGTCCCCAAACTTTGGAGATTCTTGAACGTGCAGGACTGGACGCCGTCTTTGTCGGTCGCTATTTCCAAAAGAACCCCGGACTTGTATGGACCTTCGCAGAAGAGCTCAATACTGAGATACATCTGGCGAACCAGATCAGCTGGGGTTTTGGAGGCCGCTCTATCAAGGGCAAGCATCTGGAGAAGTCGGCCTGATGAGTGGTTCTGATAGACTTATCAGGATGTGGGTTTTGTTTTTGGGAGACGAGTCATGACCTAGGCCACGAGGGTTGAGACGAGCAGGTGTAGGGGCATATGCAGCTAATAGAATGGCCTCACCACGGAGGACTAGAATTGCTTACATCCGTGGTGCTTCGTATACAATTTGAAGTTTCCATTGTTATCAGGATCTATGTAAGGCCATTTTGCATAGCTGTGAAGTGGTCAGACATATTGTGCTACGGTGCTACTATGGGGACTCTGTACTCCGTCCAAAGTACTCCAGATAGTAGTACGAGAAGGATTTATGCACGGGTCTCTGGGTGGTACTTGAACTACGAACCCGTACGAGTACTCGTAAGGAAAACGGCCAAGGATCGTGCTGACAAGCTTCGAACGGGTTCCTGCATGAGCCGATCTTTGTTAGGGGCTTGCAAGGGCCGTTGGGCGGTTGGTGCCAATGAGAGGGCCTGGAAGAGACCCAACGAGTGTTTGAGGATAAGCCCTCTCTCGGCGCCCCTCGTGCATCTGTGGGGGGGGGAGGGGGGGGCGCGCCTGCACGCGAAGCCTGCTGCGGCCTAGCGCTGTTTGAGATACGCGGCTTCTAAACTCTCTGTCAATGGCGTGTGTCTTGTTTGGTCTTTGCCTTGTGGCCTTGTGTCTCTCCCCTTCCTCATCTGGCCTGCCTGACCCCTTCGGCTTCTGCTTCTGCTTCTGCTTCTGCTTCACGTTTCTTCTTCACCCGACTCCGTATTCAATCAGTCCTCCATCACATTCTTTAACACCACCTGTGTCGGTTGATATCCATTCACTACCTTTGCTGTGATCTGGTCCCTCCCTACCTGCATCGACGCTTGATCCATCCGTGATCCATCCGTGATCCATCCTCTCTTTTTGGGTTCAACCCAGCCTTCCTTGTCTCCTGCACGCTTTGTCCTCTTCCCACGAACGACACTCCGACTTGACGGCTGCCACCGCTCCATCTGGGCCTTCCACGTCTTCTCAAGAACTGTCCTGGGGGAATTCGATCCAGGAGAGGGACTTTGCCTTGCTCGACAGTCAAGAACTGTCTCGCAGACCACTCTCTAACAACCTTTGCATCCTCCGGAAGCGATGCAATAAAGCCAGTCAGACAAAGATCGCGTGCACGAAACGCAATTGAGCAGGGCTCTTGTCAATCTTGCACTCTGACCAGCGGCTGAGCCGTGCCATCACCGCCACCTTCTCCCAAAGGTAAACACCGGCCATCTTGAGCCTTGCCTCTCATTAAACCATCCATTTCAAAGGCCTCCCTGGACGCCGCCTGTTCCATCTGCAACCAACAAACCCTACCATCCTCTAATCACCATCATGCCCTGCTGCGGTGGCCAGCGAGAACATTATGGCGACCTTAGGGCTGAACAAAAATGGGAATACATTGTATGTGCTCGAATAGGAGCGAAGAGAACAGCAGAAAGATTGACTCTAACCTTTTGCTAGAATCTTGACGACTTCAAGTCCACCTCGTACTGGACACCCTTCGCATATGGCTACCTGCTTGTCATGTTTATAGTTTCGCTTTCCGTTTACGCTGTCGACTCCTTCACTGCCGTCAATCTCCTTGCTTTCGATAAATGGGCCGGTCAGATCAAACCAGAAATCCCCCTAAATATCTCCCGATGGATCTTTGCCGGATGTATCATCCTCTCCTTCGTGTTGCTCTTTTATCGATGGGTGCGCGCAATCAGGGTCATGAGGCAGGGCGGAGTTGCCAAAAGCTACTTGGACCCATTGGCAGTTCGAGTCCAGTGCATCCGCTGGGGAAAGGCAAGAGGGTGGAAGCGCTTCCTTGTTTTCGCCGAACTCACCAAAAGTAGGAAAGGGGCCGACTATGTTGCCTTGTTCACTTATTTCTCCTTCGAGGCCTGGCTTCGAATCGTCTTTGCCGAAGGTCCTCGACAAGTCGTCAACGCTATCACCCTATACTCAGTCATGAGATTGAACCTAATCCCCGAAGGTGACCATGCCGCACCAAAGGGCCAGTCTCCCGTTACGCAATTCTTTGTCAACATTGGTATTCTTGCAGGCAAAAACCATTTACAAGCCGTTATCCTCTTCGGCATGCTTTGGACGCTCCTCATTTGGGTCTTGTCTGTGCTGAGTCTTATCATCTCAATCATCCTCTACCTTGTTTTCCTCTGGCATCATATTCCTTCAGATGCTGGTGGCTTAGGGGGTTATTGCCGGCAAAAGATTAACCGACGAATGGACAGAGTTGTCAAAGTCAAAGTGGACAAGGCATTAAAGAAAGAGAACGAAATACGAGCTCGAGAGGAGGCGAAGGCTGCAAGAGCAGGCCTGGATATCAAGAAACAACCTACGCTCCCCAATCTTGGAGATCCGTCCGAGAACGGCCCCTTCGCTGATCTATCTCGACAGACCACAATTTCGACGTTGCCAGAGTATTCGTCTCGACTCGGGACAGATTCCACTAACAACTCTACACCCACGCTGCCCACTTTACCCGATATATCTAACCGGCCCCCAATGCCAGTGAGGACCGCGACACATGGTTCGGCGGCATCATGGTCCAGTTACAGCTCAAACGCACCGTTGATGAGCGGGGCAGGAGATATGGGATATGCCCCTGACCGGGCTCGTACTCCTAGCGGAGATAACAATGGATCATGGCCTGGAAGGCCCGGGCCGCCGAATCGAAGTTTCACTGGTCTATCACAGCCTCCTCAGCGATCTTTCAGTCCGGCTCTACCACGACCAGGCACAGCTCAATCGGACCGGAATGGGCCATCTTATGCCCTGGATCCTTTACCACGCCCGGGTACAAGCTTGTCAAACAGCTCGCGCAGACATCCATCCGACTCAAATAGTGCGCTTCCATATCCAGATGATCGAAGCACAACACCGTCAAGTCAGCCTCCTTCTTGGTCTGGACCGATCTCGGACAACCTGTACGACAACAATGGTCGTCGAACACCGGCTGCGGCCATGGGTCCATCCTTTGCAGGAATTCCTGAAGAAGGCGGCAGAATGTCTCCCTTACCAGGATCTCGGTACCAAAGCCAAACCCCAGTCCGCGGATACCCCGAGAGATCTTTTACACCTAATGGTAGTAGTCTGCCGAGGAGCATGACGCCTAATGGTAATGTTCTGCCCAGAGGTATGACGCCTACAGGGAATCCCACTCTCCCCCGTCTACAAACCTCACAGTCACAAGGAGGGTATATTCCCTTCTCAGCAGAGCCACGATCTACCACACCAGCATCGTCAATCCCACCGAGTGCTACAGTGCGAATGGTCGAGCCAAGTAGAAGCTACAGTCCCTTTGAACAGGGCGGAGCTCCTCGGGGCCATTCACCACCATATCCACAAGGGAATCGTGCACCTCCACAACGACAGGATAGTGGGGTAGATGATATTTTGAATCATTATTGAAGAGAAGAAAATTGTATACTTTCTAAGCGGCATGATGAACCATAATGATGAAAGTAGCTAAAGCTCGTAAAAGAATACAATGTCTCACTTGAATCCCACGTAAGGAACAGCAAATAGTTGTACTCCATGCAATTCTCGCTTGAAACTATTTGGGAGATAAGATGGTGGAGTTAGGGAACATGTGGTGTGATCACTCCTGCACACGAAAATCGTGGTGCATAATTTGTGCATTCCGATTGGTGGACTCCGAGTCAATGGATATCCTGTCTCTTAAAAATGCGCTCACTTCCCTCACTTCTATCTAGCTTGTGCTACTCCTGCTTCGTACCAATCGCACCCTTCGGTGGGCGCAATCAAGGCGGTATCACGATGCTTCCTGCATCTACTTTCAATCGTATGCTGAGTGAACTGTCTCCAGGACTCTCGAAACGCTTTTTTGCATGCAGCAGTCGCAGCCACTATGGACTTCGGACCGAGTCGCAGTCAACTCATAAGATCCAAGGTCTGGCGCCGTCAGCAAGGACGCCTGGCCTTGCAACAAGGCAATTCAGCTCACGGCGGTCGACTTCAACGAAAATAAAATATGAATGGCCATCTGCGACGAACTCCATCCCTCGCTTCCGGTCGAACCGAAATATCAACCCCAAATGGACCAGACCTTTCTCTGCATCTGCGCGATCAAGAACCGCCGCTGCCACGGACATAATTGAAAATGCCGCTAAGAGTGAGGCAGGCAGGGCTTCATCTTTCCCTAAGACATCGACCAACGCGGTGGCATATTGGCTCCTCGGTAGTGCGGCAAGCGTCTTTGGAATTGTCGTCTTTGGCGGCTTGACCAGACTGACAGAGTCAGGGTGAGCCTCGCTTTTTATCAACCCGATTTGAGAAGAGAGACTAACACACAGCGATGGATAGATTAAGCATTACCGAATGGAAGCCTGTTACCGGCTCTCTCCCTCCACGCTCCCGGGAAGACTGGGAAGCCGAATTTGCCAAGTACCGATCATCGCCAGAGTTCAAAATCCTCAATTCTCGAATGACACTCGAAGAGTTCAAAAGCATATATTGGATGGAATGGATCCATCGACTCTGGGGACGCTTTGTGGGCCTCAGCTTTGTACTACCCGCTGTCTACTTTGTGACGAGGAAGAAGGTGTCCAAACCTATGGCCTGGAAGCTATTCGGCATTGCGGGACTGATCGGCTTTCAAGGTTTCATTGGCTGGTGGATGGTGAAGTCGGGCTTAAAAGACGATCTGTTTGCATCTGGTTCACATCCCAGAGTCAGCCAGTACAGACTCACAGCCCACTTGGGCGCAGCCTTCATCTGCTACCTGGCCATGCTGTGGAACGGGCTGGATATTCTTCGCACGAACAATCTTCTGTCGAAATCCCCTCAAACATCCTCCTCCATCTTGTCTCAGCTCCGTAATCCGGCACTCAAATCATTCAAACGATCTGTTGGTGCGCTTGCAGCGTTGGTGTTCATTACTGCCATGTCGGGCGGTCTCGTGGCCGGCCTGGACGCTGGATTGATCTACAACGAGTTCCCGTACATGGGCCTGGGATTGACACCACCGAAGTCAGAACTCTTTGATAAGTTCTATTCTCACCGTGAAGATCATAGTGATTTAGTGTGGCGAAATTTCTTGGAAAACCCGAGTTTGGTACAGCTCGACCATCGCATACTGGCAACTACCACGTTTTCGGTGGTCATGGCTATGTGGGCGTGGACAAAGTACTCTGCACAACTAAAGCAGGCTTTGCCTCGTGCAGCCGCCAAGGGAATGCATGGAGTTGTTGGGTTCGTGTGGTTGCAGGTCATTTTAGGCATCACCACACTGCTATACCTCGTGCCAACTCATCTGGCAAGCACTCATCAAGCAGGTTCCTTGGCACTGTTGACATGGACGATTGTCTTGGGCTCACGAGTCTGGTTGCCTTCGACAATGGTACAAAAGATCGTGGCTGGAAGGATGAGATCTGCTGTAGCGGCGGGTGGCAAGGTGCAAGATCAAGGAGCTGGAGCTCAAGTCAGCAATGCTACTCAGTCGGCGCTCTTAAATGGCGCCACCAACGGTCAAGCAAACGCCCACGTTGCCAGCAGCCTTGCAGCAGGTGGAATTGGTCTGATTCCCTTGGGGCTGTGGTTTGTAAGTAATAATGAGAAGGCAACGCAGCAAGGACTCAATCGCGGCCGAAAACCGCAAGTAGAGTTCTTGCAGAGGCAATCCGGGAAAGGGGCATAGATCTGTATGAATACTGTGTATATATATCTTTGGTCTGGGTAAAATAGGAACCACTTTCGACTCTTGACCATCTACAGATTCATAGAGGCTATCCACCGCCTCTTAAGTAGAGAATTCAACGCAAGACAAAACTTTCACTAAAATAATGGCCGAATGCATAGCCAGCGCCAGGAAATAATACCGAGGCCTGATGAAAGCCGCAACGCGCCAGGCATGCTGCATGAGTCATTGAAAATTCAGGGCTCAAAAAATCATGAGTCAAAAATCATAGCCATATTCACATCGCACTTTACAGCACCGCTAGAACTTGTCCAAGTCATACACTTTCTCACACATTGAAGGTATCCCAATAAACTTGTTCGCTAATATCCCAGTCACAAATACAATCATGGCGGACTCTGGCGCATCATTGGCGCAAGACACTGCAAACCTGCACGTGGACGAGGTGACAGGCGAGCGAGTGTCCAAGTCGGAGTTGAAGAAGAGACAGAAACTGAGGGCAACAGAGGCAAAGAAGAAGGAGAAGGCTGCTGCTGCACCGCCGAAGCCGGAAAAGAAGGCCACAAGCGCAGAAGTAGACGAGAGCAACCTCAATCCCAATGTGAGTCAAGCCACGAGACCATCTCCCGATTGCTGCAGCCTCGGGCACTGACACGATGGAACAGCAATACTTCGAAATCCGCAGTGGCCGTATCAACCGCCTGCGAGAGACCAAGCAGCCAAACCCCTACCCGCACAAGTTCCAGGTAAACACAGACCTGTCATCGTTCGTAAATGAGTACGCCGATTTGAAGCCGGGCGAGCACAAGCAGGACGTCGAGATCCGTGTTGCCGGTCGTGTCTATACCAAGCGAGCGTCGGGGGCGAAGCTCGTCTTCTACGACATCCGTGGCGCAGGCACCAAGATTCAAATCATGTGCCAGTCACAAGAGGCAACCGGGGAGGTGGGCTTCGAGGCCCAACATGATCTTCTGCGCCGCGGAGACATCATCGGCGTCATTGGATATCCCGGTCGAACCTCTCCCAAAAACCGTCCCAACGAGGGTGAACTGTCAGTGTTTGCTCGAGAGGTGATTCTGCTCACGCCGTGCCTTCACCAAATCCCCTCGGAGCATTTTGGTCTACAAGATGTGGAAACACGCTTCCGCCAGCGCTATCTGGATCTCATCATGAACGATAAGTCGAGAAATATTCTAATTACCCGGTCCAAGATCATCGCATACATTCGGAACTACTTCGACTCCAATGGTTTTGTCGAAGTGGAGACGCCCATGATGAACTCGATCGCAGGAGGCGCCACTGCTAAGCCATTTGTGACGCACATCAACGAATACAACACGGATATGTTTATGCGAATTGCACCCGAACTGTATCTTAAGATGCTTATTGTGGGTGGGATTGACCGTGTATACGAGCTGGGCAAGCAATTTCGCAACGAAGGAGCCGACCTGACACACAATCCGGAATTCACGACCTGCGAGTTCTACGAAGCATATGCCGATGTCTATGATGTGATGAACCGGACGGAAGAACTGGTGTCGGGTCTGGTCAAGCACGTCACGGGAGGGACTAAGACAACCTTCCATACCCAGACAGGTGAGGTTTACAATGTCGACTGGTCGGCGCCGTGGAAGCGCATCGAGATGATTCCTGCGTTGGAGGAGGCCACGAGCGAGAAGTTCCCACCGGGAGACCAGCTGCATACCCAGGAGACCAACGAGTTTCTCAAGCGGGTGCTCAAGAAGATGAACGTGACCTGTGCACCTCCCGAGACGAACGCACGAATGCTGGACAAGCTGGTGGGAGAGTTCATTGAGGAGAGGTGCGTCAACCCGACATTTATTACGGGACATCCTCAAATGATGTCTCCGCTGGCCAAGTATCATCGATCCCAGCCTGGCATCTGCGAACGATTCGAGGCATTCGTCTGCAAGAAGGAGATCGTCAACGCGTATACGGAATTGAACGACCCATTCGACCAGCGTCTTCGGTTCGAAGAGCAGGCACGACAGAAGGCACAGGGCGACGATGAGGCGCAGATGGTGGACGAGAATTTCTGCACGAGTTTGGAATTCGGACTGCCGCCTACGGGTGGGTGGGGGATGGGTATTGATCGAATGACCATGTTCCTGACCGATAACTACACGATCCGTGAGGTTCTGGCGTTCCCCTTCATGAAAGAGGAGAAGATGGGAAGTGGTGGCAAGGAGAAGGAGACGGCTGCTGAGGTGGTTGGGATTGAACCTTTGCCTGTCGAGGGAATTCGTAAGTGACTCTGACTTTGGGGCATGTGTGTCCGCGGAAAACAGGGATTGTTAACGTTTACGCAGAACACAAGTAAGAGACGTCCAACGGGTATGACTAAAAGCTGTCATCACGAAGATATGATACCGTGAAGGCGGCGGAGTGCTGTGGGCAATTCTTGAAGTTGAAGATGTAGGAGGGCACTCTTCTATTTTTGCTCTGGTTGTTCTTGTTGTTCTTTGCCCTCCCGCACCGAGAACTGACATTGTTAGATAAATCAAGATAAATAATGAAACAGAATCACCAATCAACCCTCATGGTACGGTACTGGCCGAGCCGGACCATCATGTTGTTCTGCTCTACTTATCCGATCGGAGGCCGCATCGTTAATTCCCAGTTGCCACAGCTTTGTCGCCAGCATCACGTTCTTAGTGAGCAAGGACGCAAGAAACGCGGGAGTGGTCGGGTAAAAAGGCGGCCTTGGGAGGGTTGGTAACATGCCCGTGATTAGCTCAGCAGTTTTCACGTTTCAGTCTTAGCCCACAGATGTCGCCAGTAGGGCTCTTGCGAGGGCTCCGGAGTACGTACCCAGTGCAAGAGGAGCCGAGGGCTCGTCGTTCCTCTGTGCTCTGCTGAGTCACGCCTGTACTGGTTACTCATGAACCTGGCCGCCACATGGTGGTTTGGCGACCACTCCCTGGCATCATGAGAGGGCTACGCAGAGTGGCCCCTTGATTGGGATAGCCGCTCTGTACCGATGAGTGGTTCGGCGAGCACTGATGATGGCCGATGAGGAAGCAAGAGGCCGGAGGGGCAGGCACCCAGGCACCCAAGCTGGCAGCGGACAGGCCCCGAAAAGGCCCTCGGGCAGGCTCAGCCTGTGAAGACTAGGCCTTTCACCTGTGTTTCTGTGTTGCCCCTCCATAGGCCAACTTCTGGTGTTTTCTAGTGCTCAGTGGGCAGTGGTCACTGGTGGGTTGGTCCCTTGGTGGGCGGGCTCGGAGCGAGTGGGTTGTGCGTGCGTGGTGGGGTATTTTCTCTGCTGCGAAGCCATCCCAATCCCACTCCCTTCCCTTGCTGGGTGCCATCCCATTCCTATTCCAAGTCCCAATGCTCTAATCAACATAATTCTCTCATCCCCGTGTTCAAACTCTTTCTTCTCCTTCTTTCCTCCCTCTCCCTCTCTTTTCAACTGTCGTGCCTCTCGTCTTTTTCGGTGCATTAGACAGAGACATTACATCGCTCTCCATCCTGCTCCTCTTTCTCATTCCATCAGTCAGTCAACTCATTTCCACCCACCCCGCTCACCAAAAATCAACCCAGCAATCCACCCCAATCCTGTCAACATGTCTCAAGCAGTGTAAGTTCTAGCTCTCGATCCACCAGCCTCAATCGGAGCACCGCACATGAAATCCAACTGCCATATCCCTACTGTCTGATGGCTGTCCTCTCATTTGAGAATACCCTCCATTGACCATCATAATGCTGACTCTAGTGCGCGACTGGCCAACCTCAAGGTTGGTCCTGCGCAGTCCGAACCCAGTGGTGATTTCGGTCTCATTGGCCTTGCGGTCATGGGCCAGAACCTGATTCTGAATGCTGCCGATCACGGCTTCACCGTCGTTGCCTTCAACCGAACCGTTTCCAAGGTCGACCGCTTCCTTGAGAACGAGGCCAAGGGTGAGTAGGACGAGCCAATATTTCCACGTCATACAATATCTGAGGGAGAGAACAACATTGCTAAGAGCGTTCTGCCCACAGGCAAGTCAATCGTTGGTGCCCACTCCATCGAAGAGTTCGTCTCCAAGCTCAAGACGCCCCGCCGTATCATGCTTTTGGTCATGGCCGGCCCTGCCGTCGACGACTTCATTGAGAAACTGCTTCCTTTCGTCGAGAAGGGCGACATCATCATTGACGGAGGAAACTCCCACTACCCCGACAGCAACCGCCGAACCAAGTACCTTGCTGAGAAGGGTCTCCGATTCGTCGGAACCGGGGTTTCCGGTGGTGAAGAAGGTGCCCGTTACGGTCCTTCCCTGATGCCTGGTGGCAACGAAGAGGCTTGGCCTTTCATCAAGGACGTCTTCCAAAGCATTGCCGCCAAGTCTGATGGTGAGCCTTGCTGTGACTGGGTCGGTGACGAGGGTGCTGGCCACTACGTCAAGATGGTCCACAACGGCATTGAATACGGTGACATGCAATTGATCTGCGAGGTAAGACTCGATTGGAGTCCATTTCCATCTCTTGCACCTTTACACACTCAAACTGACTTCCCCTCAGGCCTACGACGTTATGAAGCGTGGTCTCGGTTTGAGCTACAAGGAGATGGGTGACGTCTTTGCGGAATGGAACACCGGCGTCCTCGACTCCTTCTTGATTGAGATCACTCGCGATGTCCTACGCTACAACGACGACGATGGCACCCCACTTGTCGAGAAGATCCTGGACTCTGCTGGTCAGAAAGGTACTGGCAAGTGGACTGCCATCAATGCCCTCGACCTCGGTATGCCTGTCACCTTGATTGGTGAGGCGGTCTTCGCTCGCTGCTTGAGCTCCTTGAAGGAGGAGCGTGGCCGTGCTGCCAAACTTCTCAGCGGACCATCCCCATCTTTCACTGGAGACAAGGCACAGTTCCTCAAGAACCTCGAGCAGGCCTTGTATGCTTCCAAGATCATCTCGTATGCGCAAGGTTTCATGCTGATGCAAACCGCTGCCAAACAATACGGCTGGAAACTCAACAAGCCATCCATCGCTCTCATGTGGCGTGGTGGTTGCATCATTCGATCTGTCTTCCTAAAGGATATCACTGCAGCTTACCGCGCGGAGCCTGAGCTTGAGAACCTGTTGTTCAATAGCTTCTTCAACAAGGCCATCCACGCCGCTCAAGAAGGCTGGAGAGATGTGGTTGCATTCTCTGTCAAGGCCGGTATCCCCACCCCAGCATTCAGCACTGCACTTGCCTTCTTCGACGGCTACCGCACCAAGGACTTGCCCGCCAATCTCCTCCAGGCCCAACGTGACTATTTTGGAGCTCACACCTTCCAGGTCAAGCCTGAGTATGCCAACGACAAATACAAGGTCGGTGGTTATACTCACGTCAACTGGACCGGTCGTGGTGGAAATGTCTCTGCTTCCACCTATACCGCATAAATGGAGTCTCCATTCGACACCACCACGAACAACCGCTAGGCCCAAGGCATAGCCTTGAAAAACCAAAAGAAACCCCTTCATTCATGGACATGCTGGTTGCAGCACAATAGAAACCCCTCGGTCGTATATGTTGCATATCGATTATTGGTTGTTGTGATTCGATGGTGCATGCACATGATTGCATGGAACAGGCATACATATCTACTTTAGACTCGGGTTCAGTAGTAACTTAGTGCAGGTACTCCGTATCTCAAACAAAAGTCCTTTTGCTGCCACTGCGATGCTGCGAGGATAAGTGCCGCTTTTGATTCCACCCAGCTGCTGTCCCTGTCGCCGTCGTTGGAATGAACAGTTGATCCGTTTAGATTAATAGTTAATCCGATCCGGGAGACTTCCCGCGTTGGGCAAGCGCGATGGCTGTGGATCTGGGCGTCGGCGATTCGGATTCTCCAGACTTTCTGGAAATTGTTCTGTACGAGCAGTTCCTTTCTCATCAGGATTCAGGGCACAGGCCAGGAACAGCGACATTTGAACCTCCTCCCTACTCCGTGCGTCCACACCACTTCAGGTTTCTTGTTAACCACCGCCATCAGGGCATTTCCATCGGGCGCCTGGCGTTTTGAGCTGGCTTTTGGTATTTTGTGGGTCCTTGTACTCTTTCTTCCAACCGACTGGAATTATTGCCAGAGGTCGGCTTTCAACTGCCTCCTGTCCCATCCCCGCGACCACAATCCACGAGTCTGTCTGACTGGCCTGCGTTTTTCTTCCACCACCTTCACTGACCATCCAACCGATCTATCCAACATCACTCCCCTAGTGTGACTGTCTCTTCTTGCATGAGGATGGCCTCCGACACAAAGCGCCAGAATGCAGGTCCCAGAGTCCCCGTCGCTCTTCCAAAGGGTGAACCCGCGCAGTCAGGCGCCTCTGTCGTCTCCCCAGATCTCAGTCTGCAGCAGGCCATAGGAAGCCGGTATGTTGAATGCTACTCTGTCAGTCTGTTAACACTACACCTTCTGACATGGCGCGAACTAGAATTCGAGTGAATGTTGCATCTCCCACCCCAGCCGTGGTTGAGGGAACTGTGTACACTGCCGACCCTCTCACCAACCTTCTTGTTCTTAATACCAGCACGGCTTATTCCACTCCGATTACCGCATCCTCTCTCGCTGCGCCATCAGGAACTTATCGCATCATCCCCATTGCGTCCATCAGCAGCTTCCAGCTTCTTTCCCTTCCCCCACCAAACTCGGAAGTCAGCAATAATCCCGCTCTCAATACCATCGATACCAACGCTGTTCAAGCCAGACTTCACAAGAATATAGCTGCTCAACAGGCTGCTCAAGCCCGCATTGGGCCCAAAGGCACTACTCCAACGGATCAAGCACTGTTCGAAGCTTTGTCTCGGACTCTCTCGTCATCTTGGTCTGGCAATGGAATGCTCATCTCTGACACATATTTGATCGAAAAGCCTTATGGTCCTCTTAATGTTCGGATTGTCGACGGTCGTCACGGAGATCTGGAAAGAATGAAGAAGGTGGTTGAGATGGAGAGGCAGAAAGTCACACTGAGGCTTTCTAAGGGAATGCTCGATGGCAAAATGTCTGCCGAAACCACACCTACCAAAGGGACTACTGCTGCAGCTATCAAAAAGGGTGGCTAAATTTGAGATCTACTGCCACACCTCCCTCTTGGAGGGTGATTGAAGTAACAGGCTCATGGCCCCCGCAAGAGAAAGCAGGCTGAGGCTTGGATAGCCAATGTTCATCCAATGTGATGGTATGCAAGGAGACTACACTTGAGCTTCTACTACACGGGATTTCACCGTCATGGCTCGGTTGGAGGCTGCAGCAGGATATGGCATGAATATGCATCAAAGGCCCCTTCGTCTACGCTGGCCTGCATCAGGAGAGATCTTGAACTCCTTTGTCAGCAGCACTAAATCTGGCCAGCTCCCACTATTCTTCAGAAGGGCTTGAGCTTACGAGACCCACGGACGCATTCAACTCAAGCCAGTGAAGAGCTACCAGTATAGTACTAGTACATGAGAGGTGTGCTCAAGTATGGGCGAGGCCTTACGGGAATCCTGTAGCAGATACCAATCATAATCATGACACTGTTTACACTGGCTTCAGATGTCACTGAGTGGTGGTGGTGTATATGCCCCCGGATCGCGTGACTATTCGCATGAAATACATGCGATTGAGCTCTAATCACCCCATCTTAATGGAGAAGTTAATAGTACGTATACGAGCCCCTACTCCTGAATGGACGATCTGACTGTATCGGCTTCCTTGCTTGTGCAGTGTGCGGGGTTCATCCTCGGGATTTCGCCTGTCTTGATGAGCTTCAGGGGGTAATCCTGCTGGCCAAGCTCGTTCGAGCATGAGGCCGCTGTTCTATCTTCGCACCTGGTATCTCATACATTGAATAGCAGGGCGGTCTCGGGGTAAGGTGGATTCAGCAAAGCCGATTCGACGGCTGGTCGGTACCAGGTACCCTCGGAAGCATAGCCTACAAGAAGCAAGGATTGCGACTTGCAGGAAACAGGCCAACTACTATTCCCTCTTCACCTAAAGTTTGTACTATGTGCCCACATCGTGTCAGCGTTCAGGACTGCAGGCATATCCAGATAGGTATGCACGAGGTACCTATTGTCTTACCATGGTATCAGGAGGACTCCGCCGAAGTGGACACGGAGGACTGAGTGACCTGACTACCTAGCTGATTAATATTTCTTTCTCTGTCATCCCATATCATGCTAACACTATCTGAGATCGTAAACGAGTCGAGCGGTCAAGCCAGGTTGAGTGTCACCAACCAAATGCATCCCGTCAAACACTTAACTTTCAGCTTCATGGGGAGAGCAAACGGATTGACACGGTTTATGCAGGGCATGGCTGTTCAAACCTTGGCCGAGGCTTCTCAAACATCATACCCCACCCTCAGCGCCACGTCGGCTTTCTTAGATATGGTTCTCTGCGTCAGCATATATCAATGAGAGTGGTCCCTCTCTCTCTCTCTCTTCAGGACTTGACTGAAACCCCGATTTTTACACTGGACTAGACTAATACTCGTCAGCCAAACCAAGATAAGATGGATGCCAAGATCAGACCACTCTTCGAGACCGTATTGCAGGAGAGAAAACTTCCCGGATTCGGTGCTTTCGTCGTCGACTCAACCGGGAAGCTCCTCCTGAACGAAGCGGTGGGGAAGGTCAACCGTGACGATGGCACCAGCGCCGGTTTCACCGCAGACACGATACTGCCGTTATACTCATGCACGAAACTAGTGACCAGCATCGCAGCCCTACAGCTCGTTGAGCAGGGCAAGATGTTACTTTCGGACACGGTCGAAAAGTATGTGCCCCAGATCTCGGAGATCCAGCTGCTCGAGTCCATCACGCAGTCGGCGGACGGGAAGGCCCCAGACATCAAGTGGTCGAAGCCCACGTCAACGCCCACCATCCACCAGCTATTGACGCATACAGGGGGCTTCTCGTACGACTTCTTCCATGCGCCGACCCTCCAATGGCGCGCCTCCACCGGTCGGGACCCCTGTCTGTATCATGCCGTGGGAGCCTGGCAAGATTTTAAAACACCCTTCGTAGCCCAACCCGGTTCCAAGTACATCTACGGCGTCAACACAGACTGGCTGGGCTTCGTGGTCCAGGCGGTCACGGGGACCCGGCTGCCTGAATACATTGACGATCACGTCCTCAAACCGCTCGGCATGACCGCTTCAGGCGCATTCCTCGACAAGAGCAAGCCGCGGCTGGTGACGCACCTCCGCCTCAACGGCATCGACCTCGTCGCCAACCCCGCCGCTGCCAATCAGGAATCTCCCGAGGTCTTCGGAGGCGGTGGATTCCTCTACTCGACGATGAACGATTATGCGAAGCTCCTGTCCACGCTACTCAATCAAGGCACCAGCCCGTCCACCGGTGCGACGATCCTGCAACCTTCAAGCGTGCAAAAGTACCTCTTCACCGACCAGCTCGGGCCCGAGGTCGACAAGTCCGCGCTGGGCGAGATCCCCACCGCGATACCTCTGCTCTCCAACGAAGGCACCTTCTTCCCGTCCCTGCCCGTCGAGGCCAAAGGCTGGTCGTACGGCCTGCTCATGAACCACGAGGACCTGCCCCACGGCCGCAAGAAGGGCAGCGGCGCGTGGGCCGGGCTCGGCAATCTGTACTACTGGATTGACCCCGCGAGCGGGATTGCGGGCATGGTTGTCACGAACATTCTGCCGTTTATGGATAGGAGTATTCTCTATCTGTTGGACCAGGTCGAGAGGGTCGCGTACGGTCATGATATTGTGCCTGAGAGTAAGGCGACCGGGAATCATGTGGCCGGGGCGGTGGTAGAGGCGAAGCTATGATGAGAGAACTGAACGAGATTGAACGGTTGAGAGAGAGAGAGAGAGAGAGAGAGAGAGATGAAGAAGAGCCACACGACGTCTTGCGCAGCCCTGTCCTTTGTTATGCAACGTGTCTGTCTCGCTGTTTAGACCGGAGGGAGGTAGGCGGCAAAATGAAAGCCATGGACAAAGCCCGGACTTGGAAATTGAAGCCATATCGCGGCTAGACTACCACACCATTTCCACTACTGAAGGGTGAACATGACATCATTCAACCAATCCAGAACGCCCACCTGTGTATGGCATGGTATTTGCAACGCACACGTTTGCCCCATGCCTGGTTGGGAAAAATCGAAAATGGCGACGAGGCTGGTCGCTGAACTGATCCTGAGGAATCTTGAACGACAATGCTCGTTAGTGAGACAAAAATCTCTGCTTCTCGTTACCTTTTGAATTTCGAACTCTAGATTGAAGTGAGCAGAGAGGAATTGTTGTCCTTGGGAGACCCCGCCGGAACGATTCGCTTCAGCTGAGGTGGCCAGACCGAAAACTGCCCGTCATGAGGAATGGGCGCTTATGTATAGGGCGGAAACTCGGATCCCACATCTATAAAAAGCCTCTGGCGCTGCGACAAGTGTAAATGACCACTGGCCTTTTCTTCCTATGTGAGAACTTAGAAGCGTAGCACCACTGTTGCATCAAGACTGCTTTTCACATCTCTATTATACATGAATGATGACGCTGGAAAACACTGTAGAAGAAAGTTGAATCCTGACAGAGAAGGAGTCAGCAGCGCTTGCAGACACCACCTTCGGAATACCATAAAAGATGCATTATGTAGAAGTCTCAGGTATTGCGGTGTGTCTTTCCATGTATCTGCCCAAGGCGGGGGTTGTTACGGTTGGTTGTACATGTCCAAGATTTAGAGTTACATAGCGCGACAGCGTCTCGCACTAAACTCGGATAGAGTTATTTATATATATAATTATACTTTTTAAACCCCCGAAAAGAAAGGTAACGACCACAATCACTTGCAGCGTGGCATTGCTTTTCAGTCAACTACGCGTGGTCATCGTTAAAAGATCACTCGCAGCACTTCTGTGAATACCTTAAAATTCGTTACATCACGCGGTAGGTCTATTTGTCACACTTGGTGACCCAAACAATATGTCAAGGCTGAAGCCCCCCCGGACGTGGACCAGTGGGCCAGTAGGGAATGACCTCGATCCCATTCCTCGCAAACCATCGTGATATTTGGTGCTTGACGGTCGTTGTCCTTCGGTTCAGTTGTTTATCTAGCCTCAGCGGGGTGGCCCTGAATTTTGATCTGTTTGCGCAGGTTGCTGAGCAGGTTGCTGAGTTGATTCGGCTCGTCCGGCTGGGTTCGCTGAACCAGAACTCGTCCCTCCAGCCTGCCGACAATATTCTTCCATGAGTTGCTTACGTCTACCATTCTCCATGTGCCTACGAGCATCTAGGTTCAAGGTCAGCCCCTTCTTATGAACTGTTCACCGCAGCTGTCGAACGACGAGAGCACCCGAGGATCACGAATCCCCATTTCACTCACCTCTATTAAGCGACATCATATGTGATGTGCCTTCACTGGCCGAGCGCCCCTCATAAACGCCGTTCTGGACAGATTTCAGCAGCACTTCGACATTCTGTGGTAATGTTTTCGAATGCACCACAACCGCAAAGATTCCTGGGTGTGCATCATGAACTCCTTGGGGCTTCCAAGTAGCAAAGAAGTATCCATCGACTGGATATTCGTTCGATTTCGGAACATTCCCCAAGCCCGATTCGTCTCTTCTGATCGGTATGCTATGGCGTTGCACAAACTCTGCGGACACCATGTTGGCCGATGATTTTGTATCGAGTAGAGCGCGGCAGTCGTGGAGCTCTGGGTTTCCGTCATCACCAGCGAGCGTGATGGTGATCAGAAAGGGTTTCTTGGTAGGTTTCTGGAGAAGAAAAGCGTGAACGCACTGATCTTGTCTATGATCAGTTTGGGGAAGCAGCTTACCATGTCTAATAAGGGATCTCTGGTATACAAAGGCTTGGAGCCAAGAGACAACCGGTTCTGAGGTTCAACAGGCGCAGGAGGATATGCCTTCTCCTCAAGGTATATTATTCTTGATGCTCTCCTCGAGAAGAAGCCGCAGCTGATCCAGCGAAGAAATCGCGAGACTATATGATTCTCCATGCTTTCTGCTCCCTGAACAGCAATTCTGGGCTCGAGATCAAACTTATGCGCCGCATCCAGGTCTGCGCCTGAGTTCGTGCTGCTGGGGTATGGTGATCGAAGTATGCCGAACCATAAAGCAAGGCGGAAGCAACACCTTTCGATGCCTCGTGATATTTGAGCAATAGAGCGCCTTACACGTCAGCAACAAGAAGGACAACGCCGGATTTCAGTGTGTTGAAAAGGTATCCAAAGCACACACTCCATAGAGGCATACTCAGAGAGAAAGAGGTAATACGAGACGACGCCATGAGGCAGGAGGTGGCTATGTTGAAACGACATGCACCATTGAGCTGCTAGGAGCATCATGCGAGGGCATCACCACTTTTAGGAAAGCATTCTTTCCGTTCAGACCCAGGGGCGCCGCTAAGACCTTCCACAGGACCACAGGTTTGATAACTGCACAGGGAAACAAAACGAAAGCCTTAAGACTGGCTAGGCTGGGGGATTTTCACGTCTTGGAACTGGCAGGGAGGCGCAATATTGATGCCCGAGCCAGCACACCACCATATCCATGCCTACATAGAACCAAGCAAGGGCAAAGACGAGATTCATATTGAGTAGGCAACTGTTGTGCTGGGGATGGCCAAGTTTGACCTCCTACATGAAAAGGTCGAAAAGCTTCTGCAAAGGGTGGGGCCAAGGCACCACTCTCCCATGATGGCCAGCCAAGTCTGTGACGGGCGCTTTGGTAGTCATTCATTCGAGAGAACCAACAGATTCAGACAACGTCTATCTTTCCAATAGAAATCCACCAATGTTCTTGCATTTGCTTGAAGTGAAATGGCAGGGGTCTATCATACATATTTACGAGGGGTTAGTAAGCCCAATAAACAACCACCATATGTGACGTTCACCTTGCCTGACCACACAATACAGTGGACAAGCACCGCACCCTTTTCAACACACCAAATGTGCCCTTCCAGACTTTCCCGACTTTCCAGTACCTTTAGACATGAAATGTGCAGAGCCATAATCACTATATCCTTTACGGGCCGACCCTGAGCATCGATCGATTCGTGACACTGGGGAAGTTTCCCCGCCTCTCTTTTCTGGGCCATCGAAGCACATTCAATTCTCAGCCTGATCGACGCGGACGCTGACCGTTTCCGGGCTCACCGTTCGGCTGAGGTAGACTGGGATTTCGTACTTCCTCCTCCTATGTGGGCCAATAGAAACTCTGGCTTGATCCAGCCACACTGTCTGTCAACACTTCTGCCGCCTGCGCGTCCTAGCTCGGATCGATACTCATTCAGCGTGCGATCTGCCGATTTTGCTGACCTCGCGGACACATGGCATTGGCCTCTGCGTGGTGGGCGCGGGTCTCTCTCTCTCTCTCTCTCTCTCTCTCTCTCTGTGTGTGTGTGTGTGTGTGTGTGTGCGTGTGTATGTGTGTGCCAGCTCCGCCCATCCATTGGATGGTGTAAGGGGGATGGATATTTTGATGTTCTAGACGCGCTGCTCGATGGATTGTTGGATTGTTGTTGAGTGCTGCGCGAAGCCCTAGCTAGAAACTTGAATCAATCAATCCGTAGCCGTAGTATTAAGTCTCGCATGAGGGATATGATCTCTCTGTTCTGCAGCATCTGAGCCGAGCGGGTGGATTGCCTAGGGTTCATACGAGGCCGTCCGCCTCGTCGATTGATCACGAGCGGGAGCCCTCGTGTCCAGCCTCAACGACTGCCCTTTTTGGACTGAGAACACTGGGATAAAGGCCACTGCGAAGCACATCCTTTCTTTTGCTTGTGCATGCGTCCAGCTTAGTTGGATCAGGAGGCGGTACGGTCAACATAAATTAGCCATTCAAGAAAAGACTGGCAAGCCATCGCAATCATTCAGAGCATCTCATTGGATTGGACTATTGCAGAGCCCCTTTGGAGTTGGAATGCCTTTTAAGAAAGATAGGGGGGTGGTCATATTGCCTTCAAGTGTGTCAGTAAAACCAGGAAAATGGGTCAGATTTTCGAGACATGACTCCGTTACGGAAGCCTTGTTGCTTTTCTTCGGTACGCAGGTTTCTGGTTTCTGTGTTCTGGCGATCCGGTTGCTGTAGCCGTGCTTGCCATCTCGTTATTTTAAGTCTACTTTGACGGGATGGTATATTTTCTGGGGACCTGCCTCATATCTAGATGTGTTTAGATTTTGTTTATCCGCAAGCTTCCTGCCTCTCTCGTCGACGCCCTCACATTCTACCTCTAATAGATATCCCATGGGGGATTCTCTGTTTCCCGGGGTTTCAAGGCTTTGTTTCGCGCCCACTCCCAATCCACCATGTATTCGGTAGGCTTAGGGCCTTAGGCTTTCAGTGCCTCACCGATCCAAGTCAATCCACAGCTTGAAGTCTCTATAAACGTTCTGTTCCAACGTCTGAGGAGACTTTTGAGCATGTGCGAGCAATGAATACTTGTGAAAACTCCCGGGGACAAGTTATTGCATGGCAGATACATCCCACGTTCACGGCCGCTGAATGAATCTATGGAGCGATAGCCTTGGTGACCAGCATCGGGGAGTGCTGTTTTGTGTGCGAACATATCTCATTTGTCACATCGATGGCCGAGCGGCCCTTGCTTTCTTTGAGGCCCTTGATGGTTCAATTTTCTCAGCTTAAACTCTCAGTGTGCAGTCACGTTGGATGACTGGGCTCCAGATCTTCGGAGATAACACTGCGGCCCTCGTTGCACTCGGCATTCTCAGCATTGTTGAAAGCTGACAGGATTGAAATGCCCATATCGTCCAGGTATTTCTTCCCAACCACAAACGGAAATGTGGGACGATCACCACTCTTGGTCGAGGTCTGAATGACCTTGAAATTGACCGTGTGTTCTCCATTGTTGAAAGTGCTGTCATTCTTTTTCTTCCACCGGAGATTGAGGTTGATCTCTCCCACGATTGGGATTTGGTGGCCGTTGCACACGGTGACAGCAGGAGAATTGTGATCCCGCCCCAGTCCGAACTTTTGGAGCCATGCGACAGCCTGGCTGCGAGAGCTGCGAGGTTCTCCATATCTGACGATCTGACGGTGCAATCCGCACTTGCGGAGGGTCATCTCGTGTGTGAAGTTTGTTGTAGAAGTACCCGTGTCAAGAAGGGCATCATGCCACGTTAACACAGGTTCCGGGAATCCTTCGAAAAAACATTCAATTCCAACCTGCTGAATTGAGCCGTCGCTTCCGATGAGTTGTCTGCTTGGATCCCTGGGGTCCTTCATCAGATACCAGTTCCCAATGGTGCCGTTTGAAGAGCGGCTAATTGTGCCCCTGGTCAGGTTGTTTACTGAATCAGCTGGCTCAGAGAATGGTTGCTTGCTCAGACGAAAATTTACTGTGGGATGGTATGATTAGTGTCCTGTGCTGTTGAAAACATTCGTCGGATGGGTGCAATCTGGATAGTTTTCTTACAGCGTTCCCGTATAGATTTGCCCTTCCTCCCAGGCCTGGTTTCCCACCACGGAACTGCCACGCCAGAAGCGGGAGACATTTGACCTACACTCCAAGTTGCTGACACTTGGTAGCTCGCTGTAACTCAACGGGGGTCCATTTTTGACATCTCCACTTGAAGTTAGTGGCCGATATCTTTGAGCCCCCGCACTTATTGTATATATGGGTGGAATAATATTGTTGAAGACAGAGGAAGAAAGCCCATGAAAATGAAGAGAAACGGAAATTCAGGCGAGTGTAGGAAGACTCGAAGGCAGTGGAAACGATCAAAACGCCAATTTCAAATGACTGGCGGTGAGAGGAACAAGGTGACCGCTGCAACGGTCAAACCAAACCGAAGCAGGTGGGAAACGCATGAAAACCGTACAAACTTTCTTTACAGCCAGCTGTAAAAAAAGGAGGTGACGAATCTTGAGGAGACCTACCAGGCAAGCAAGCAACCAGCTGATGCCGGAGGATATTATAAATCCAAAGCAAAGCAATGAGCATAGACTTGTGGAGTACTCACTGTCCGGCTAGCCTCTGTATAAAGAATAGATGTCCAACGGCGATGCGAGGCTGATGTGTGGGATAGAATGGACCAATTGACCCGAGCAATCGTCAAAGTCAAATCCTTATGATTGATACTAAACTCGCTTGAAGGCAAGATCTCAAAAAATGTTCCAGCCCGGGGTCGTGATTAGTAGAATATCACCCGACGATGGATTGAAATGCTGTAAAGAGGCTGTAAAGATGTCTGAGCCTCGGAAATGGAAGACGTATTTGCAACAATAGATTGCCCTCAAGACGGATAGATGGTGGGAGATTCTAAATCCACAGGGAAACCAATGTTCAAGCCCAAAATGGCCCATGGGACCTGGGATATTAGTCAAGACAAGCTTAGTCGGGGTGGCTGTAATGGGGAGCTCATCGCTGGATCAGTGTCAGGTTCAGGTCGAGGAGCTTGTAAGTTGGGCCTGCTAGGGGCACATTCCCAAGGCATACTCTACCAAGCCCCTTACACTGCTCAATCCAGACGATGGAGGCTTTCCCTACTAGCTCCACGCACTGCGAACGGGTTCGTCCATCGCAAATGACGCGTGTCAACCGGTGAGGCCATAATGCTCGTGGCAGGGGGACGAGGCTCCATTGCGATCATTGGCTGGATCCTTAGATGCCATGCAGAGCAAGCACCTCGAGCCGTCAGGGCCCTGTCGATCCTCAAGACTCTCTCCCAGGGCGATGAGAACACCATAAACGCAAGCGCAAGAACCTACCAGTTGAATCTGCTCCGGGCGCGAGGTATCCTTAGGGGCGTGTGTCTGCACGTGTGATTAGGCTGAACCAGCGGCAGCTGGTCTGGCAATGGGCTGTACTCGCTGCTGCGCCGTGGTCATACCTTCTGCGCTTAGGACTAGATAAGCCCTTTCAAACGATGTACCGCCGTTGAAGCGAACATCAACAGCTTGAGGTGGATTTTCACTTACACTTTTACCAGCAGCTGACCTTTGCTCATGTTCGCCGCACGGGAACACCGCGGTGTCAGCAGAACATGGCACGATACAGTGAGCATGCTGCCTTCATAGCACAAAAGCCCGAGGCTGCCATCCTTCGTCGATTCCAAGAACTCCACGCAAGAATTATCCTGCTGTTACACGCTGACCTGTGCAACCTCGAGAAGGACTTGAATGACATCGTCCAGAAGGCGATACGCCCAGACTCCAACACCACCGGGTCGCTAGTCCCGGAAGACCTGGACTTCGAGTGGAAAACGATTCGAGATTCTCCGACGCCGCTGGCGCAGGAACACCGAGCCAAGATTGCTGAAATCCAGGAGAAACTCTTCACGTACTGTGAGTCAACGGCCCCCGCAGCCGGCATTGACGTTGCTGATACTCGTAGATGAAAATCTGATCCAATCAGCCAAGCTTCGAAGGTTTGGCGTTGCTTCTGCTGCGAATCTGGAAGTGACTAGGGACTGGCTTCTTCTCCAGCGCCCGTGGAACATAGACGACATGAGACCATGGTTGCACGAGGAGGTTGATCCCAAGGAGCTGTTGACGCTCTCTCCAAAGCTTGACGGCTTCGATAGCTGGCTTGGCCAGATCCTGAAGCCATTCTGGCATCAAATGGTTGACGAACAGCCAATGCTGCCATCCCTGGCGGGGCATGACAACACCAAGGCGCAAGACCTGATTCTGAGATGTGCGCCCGAGTCACTGATTTTGGTAGGCAATATCTGCACGGTTTTATTGTCTTCCGCCATCTTCGTCTGCTCGGTGATTGCCTTGAATTTTACAGAGGCCACGCACTTTCGACTCATCATCATCTTTGTTTTCACTGTGATTTTCTCAAGCGTCCTGATGTTTGTCGCACACTGTCGCCGGTCCGAGGTTTTTGCAGGCACCGCGGGCTTCTGTGCTGTTCTTATTGTCTTCATCCATGGAGTGTCGCCCGGAGAGTGCGTTTAGGAGGCAAATACTGCAGCTAACACTCACTCTGCCAGCAATTTCCCCGGGGGGGAGTGTCTTAACATCGAAGGGAAGGATGAAGCTAGCCTGGCGGTGCCAGGGAAGCAATCTTCTGGGGAAGGATTCAGGCCATGAGCCGTAAAGTTTGCGCCATGGTGCCACCGCGACGAGTTGACTCATTTGATGAAGGAATACATGCTTAATCGAAACGAGTTGCCCTTGGTTGAGCCTTGACGAGAACATAGTTCATAAAATTTTGCTTTTACAGGTACAACTTCGAGCTAGGAGACACGAAGTTGGACGTTTATCACCTTAATAACACCCGGCGACTTTCCAATGCGTTGCGTTCGGTATTAAGTTAGCCTATCGTTTCACAAACCATGTCTAATACTTGTTCCATCGCTAATGGTGGTCCGGATGGCAATCCCTGGACGGACCAGCCTCCCGTCCGGTTTGCTCGGCCCATTTTACTACCTTGTACATACTCCATCGTTGGTACGATGTCCCATGTCCTGTAGCACAGACGAATGGATAGACAATCGCCCAGACACTGGGTGACACTACACTCGAGCGGCAGGACGGATTACGTAAGACAACGATGCATACAGGGATCCATCCATATGGCTGTATGAGATGGCACCATGTCATACGAGTAGGTAGAGCAGCAAGGTCCGGGTCGGATTCGATATGGCATCCACAGGATGGAGGCCCAGAGCACTAGGGTACATGTCTTTCTCAACGAATGTATACTACCAGCTTTGTATCTGCCCCGCAATTTACATATGTATATGCAGTCTCATCGGCGCCGGTATAAATATGTGTCATATACTATAGAACTATGTACATCTGGTGCCGTCTCACAAGAATGGTTGCATCCTGACCCTACGTGATCCTTCCTGCCACCGGCATTCAATCTGCCTATCGCATACAGCATGGTCGAGAAAAGCACCGGGGCCGACGAGACTGTATCGAACGCCGGCCAGGGATAATGAAGCTGATTAGTTGAACACATTCGATGAGAGAGAGATCCACTCTAGCAGCCCCAGGGCCCGGGGCCCCATTAGTTCCAAGCCCAATCGGTGCGGCAGGCAATACATGTGATGTGACCCTAACTAGATAACAGGGACCGAGGCGCTGTAGCGCACAGCTCTTTGCCCAGGAAAGTCCAGGACGCAGGATTGACATATAAGGTGTACGTCTATTCTGGACAATGATATCCGGTGGCCTTATCATCTATGCCCGATGGTATACATAACTTCGGACTCGCGCCTTTAACACAATGCAATCCAATAGTTGCTTGCCAAATTGACCACCGTGTGATCAAGTGTTCAACTCCTAGGAGAATCCTTTTCTCTTCAATGTGAAATCGCTAATCATCACGCTTCTTCCCGGGAGCTCCAGATCCAAGAACATCACCCACCATCGAATCTGCAACCGTACCAAATCCGGAACCGGACCCAGCGCCAATGCCGTGTCCAATGTTTCCTCGGCCGTCTAATCTGTCGCCTTGGTTATCCATTAGAGAGATCGACTCTTCAGGTACATTCGCCGCCGGATGGCGGCTAGTGGAGTCGTCGACATCGTAGACACCTTCAAAGGCCCCATTGTCCTCAATCTCTTCATCTCTCTTTCTAACCTTTTCCCTGGCGTCCTCTCGCATCTTGACAACTTTCAGATAATTGTAGCAAGCGATACTGATGATTGTTACGAGCAAACCGCTGATGTTGATAAGACTCAATTCATCATGGAAGATGATACCAGCTGCACTGATAGTTACAACTTCCTTGAAGATGCCACAGATGCTCAATGTTACAACACTGGTGCGTTGAAGCAAGGTGAATTCAGAGGCGATCATACAGAACGCTAGACACCCTGGAACGATCAAGAGGCCCACAGCTGTGCCGATGCCATGAGTCGAGATGAGGATCTGAATGCCGGCAATGACAGCAGACGGTGTTTCAGAGAAACATGCGATGGTGAAAAGGGTGACGAACATAATCGGAGCGAGGAAGAAAAGCGTTGCGAAGGGGTTGGAAGTGGCTGGATGTTGGAGGAGGAGGATCTGTGTCAATGCCCAGCGAAAACCAGAAAAGAAGGAAGCAGACATGGCCAACGCAAAACCCAGAGCGTGGAAGGCGGTCTCGCCAGCGACCATCATCAGAACACCGAGAGTCATGGTTAGAATAATAAGGATCAGCTTGACGGAAGGCTTCTCTAGGCGGAAAAGGAAGGCAAACGTAAGGACAAAGATCAGAACGCTGGATTTACACATGGTGTAGAACGTGAGGGTGATGTAGCGGAGAGAAGTGTTTCCTAGACCAATGTCGAGGGATGTGGTGGTGCCAGTAGGCACCAGTCGGGTAAAATAGAACAGTGGTGTCACCAGCGGTTTCGGAGGGTGTGGTGCGTGTCGAAATGAGTGCGGTTGTGGTTGAGATGGTCGTAATGAAGGAAATATTAGGAGAATGGCTGAAGCGAGGCAGAACTGAACGATCATGTGTAAAGATGTCGCGAAGAGAGGGAAGTGGAAGTCGAGGTGTTCGGAAGAAAACATGAATTTGTTATACTGTAACGATTGTCAATTGAAGTCTCCCTTGAGATTTGGGGGGGGGGACGTGCGTACAATGGATATTGATAGAGAGAAAAAATACCACCCGCCGATCAGGGCTGCATTTGTGAGGAGGTTGCGCATGACATTTTGGTCTGCCTGCCTGGCTTCATCCTTGGACAGACCAGAAGTTCCTGCAATGCGGGAGTCAAGACCATCACGCCTCCGCTTCCGCCTCAGATATTTCCGCCTCGCATGTTTATTTAGACCCGCTTCTTCGTCGTCTTCAAGGTCCAGATCGGCGTCAGAGTCAAGAGCCCCGAGTTCGTGTTCTTCTGCGTCTGACATGGAGGAGCCTGCCTCATCTTCTGATGAGCCGTCGCCTTTGGACTCAGATACGGAACCTGTACCTCTTCGTTTGTATTTGCGACGGGGATTTATATAGATAAGATCGTCCTCGGCCGTAGGGGGAGGTGCGACAGAAGTTGGTCTCTGGGTCCGGTCGCTACATGGAGGCGTGTCCATGGGACTGAGAAGCGAAGGATGGAGGGGATCTCAGATCATGGAAGTGGCTGAATAAGGGGATGGAAATGAGTGGCAGGTGAAAGACAAGACAAAGTTGAAGAGGATCAGCAGCAACGTCAATGTCAGCGCAACCCTTGGGCTTGACACGAGTTCGGCAGGGGAGTGCAAAGTTGCATGGGAATGGAGACAATACGCGGCCGGAGGAGGGATCCTCGAGGATGGAGAGTGGATGTCAGATCAAAGCTGTGCCAAGCCTCCAGGGGGTCTGTCGGCTGGTGTCATTCGACGTCTCTCTAGTCCACCGTATCCATATCGGATACCCCTGCACCTCTCGTCCTCGGTGAGCCAGGACCTTGTGATAGACGACCCGCTAATCAAGTCACAGCCTTAACCACGGTACGGAGTACTGTGTACCTAGGCACCAGAACTGAAATGCGAGGTGATGAAGGAACGCTCATGATGACATAATAATACTAGGTTTTCTACAAAGCTAAGTCGGTATTGGCGGCACACCGTTTTCCAATTGACCATCGACATTCATTTCTCCCTGCATACCTCGCGTCTCATCAGGTCTTTGTCGTAAGCTTCTTTCGCTTATCATTTAGAATGCCCTTCAGCAGCGTCGTAGTTTCCTTCTTTCGACGTGCTTGAACCTGCCATCGTTCTCGATCCTCCGCAGCGACTACCCCCAGCCCTCCGTTCTGGCTCATTCGAAGGGTTTTGTTCGACCGTACGCTGCTGGCAAATCTGGAATCAGGTGTTTGATAGACACTCCCTGAGCTTCCAGGTGTAGCTCCATATGCCGAGCGTCTCAATCGTAGTGGTGTCGAGACGGCATCTGTACCATTGATTTTCTCACCGTTGCCGGTTATTGACGTGTTCGATGTTGAGATTCCTAGTTTCTTGAGTTGGCTCTCAAGCAAGTCAATATCTGCACTTTTCTGTTCTGCCATGGCCATCATCTTTCCCACTGTCTTAGTAACAGCTTCTACGGTTGGCTTCTTTTGAGATGGAGTCCTTCCGAATGTGCTGGATCTTCGATTTGAATGTTCAGACACACTACTTTCCGCAAGTTTCGCTCGAAGGACCGCAATACTGTCTTCCACCTGCACCAGCTTCGACTGTACGGAAGCAGAAGCTCGACGAAGATCGTTCTGGATGGATGATTGCTCGGCGGAAAGCGGTGCACTCATGCTGGTCTCGTCACTAGCGAGCGCTTGCAGAGATTTTTTGATGGATGTCAACTTTACCCGGAGTTCAAAAAGGTCGTGTCCAAGCAACTCTTGGCACTGTTGTAGCTTGTCGTTGAAACCGTCGATCTTGCTATCGTCCAAAATCGTAGAGAGTGCGATATGCCCCTCATGCAAACGCGTAATGTCACCTAACAGCCATTCATCATTCAACGCATCCATTGGCGTCTCTGACTTGAGCACACTAGGCCATGACTGATTGCTGGCGTCAAGCTGTTGGTATTGCATGAAAGAAGCGAGAGAACGAACGTTGATGCCCAGCGTATAGACCATCGAGTTGATATCGGAATAAAGTCGTTCGATCTGTGCTGGAATTCCGGTTTTAGTCGTATCCTCCGGCGATTTCGGCTGATACGTGATGAAATCGTCAAGAGCCTGCGTAGGCGTTATTGGTCTCTCGAGTTCTTGCCTCAGTCTGTCGTCTTCATCATCCTGTAGCAATGCAAGTTGCTCAGCCTCCTCCTCAGCCTTTCGTCGAGCAGCTTCTTCTCGGCGTGCTTTCTCCTTCGCAAGTTCTTCCTCCTTAGCCCTGGAAGTTTGTATCGCAAGAGCTGATTGGTGATACTCAGCCTTTCGCTGATCAATCACTGATTTAGGGCGAGCCGGTGCGCTGACAGACCGGGATGGGTCAACCCGAAGTCCTTCTATGGGGAATACTTTTCTCACTGGGGACGGCGACCTAGGACTTTCGTGCGGCTTCGGTGGTGCAAATATCGGCCCAGACGAACCCACCTCCCCAAAAAGAGGTCGTTGAGACTTTGCCCCGAAATTGGTAGTACTCACTTTGGTGAAAAGTCCACCAGTTGGACTGACCTCTGTACTTCTATCTCCACTCTTGAACGAACTTTCTGGCGATGTCTGAAGCTGCTCGTGCTGCTCGTCGCTATTATCTTCCTCCTGGCTCGCGCCATCCGTAACCTCTTCTCCACTGCCTTCGAAATCTGAGCTGAAACCTCCTTCGTCTTCTTCCTCCCCATCGCTGGGTAGCTCTTGCAAACGTTCTTCGTCTGCTTTAGTCGCAGGTGGAACGAAGTCCGGAGGCAAGGGTGCAGAGTCAGGTGATGTCTTAGAGGCAGTTGAGGACACCGAGGTATCTCCAGCAGCATAAAGTGGCTTGCTAACTGGATCTGGAGGGAGAGGAGCTTCAGGGATTTGACTCAAATCTACGGACTCGTCGTCACTTGGGGGCTCCTGTTTAATCTCAGGCGGCTCCTTCATGAATTCAAAGGTGTTGGAAGGCGTGCTGGTTTGCACATTGGCGGCGGTGTCATGGCTGGCGTTCTTCGTTCCAAACAGAGCCATATGAGATGGAGCTGGCGTCTCCTTCGGCGTTGTTGAAGACAACCCATCAAAGGACCATCCAGTTGTGCCTGGCTGAGGGATAGGAGTGGTAGATTGGTCCCTCGTAGCACCAAAAAGATTCGACAGTGGTGGGGCAGGGGTGGCTTTCGATTGGTTAAGTGTGGCCGGAGGTGTTACGAGTGATGTTGCAGGCTTATTTGTGCGTTCCACAGGAATGTTCTGGGAGTCAGGGGCCTCAGCCCTGTCAGAGTCCGTATAGCTTTTACTGGATTCATCCCCCATCTCCGCTTCTTGATCGTGAGTTGGTGATAGGTCTTTTTGAGATTCTCCCATCATATCATCCAAAGAGGCTCCCAAGCCGAAACTACCTGACTGTTCTGGTTTTGGTCCGTCATCCTTTGCGGTGCCGTCACCCTGGAACGACGACTGAAGCTTGAAAGCCCCGCTATTGCCTCCAAAGATCGTCGACCCAGAAGTTTTGGCAGCAGCAAATGGTGATGAGGATGAGTTGGAGCCAAACAAGTTTCCGGATGCCTGCTGTCCAAATTCAACTTTGCCGGATGTTGAAGCGAAGGGACTTTTAGAGCTCTGATCAGTTTGCACACCCGCAAATGAAGAGAAACCCCCAGCGTTGGAAAAGGAGCTGAAGCCAGACTGCGTTGTTGCTGCGTTAGCTGCGGAGAAAGGGCTCGGATTTAGGTTGGACTTGAATGAAGAGGCCTGGCCAAAAGTCGTTGGACCAGCAGGGGAAGCTGGCTGGCCAAAGAGAGAAGGTTTTCCAAGAGCACTGGCTGAGCCGAATGCTGGAGTAGACGTGCTACCAAAAGCAGGCGCGCCAAATGTGGAAGCAGGCGCTCCTGAAACAGTACCTGCACCGAAGCCGGTTGTGGTCCATGACGATTTTGCAGCCGCAATGGGCGAGGAGGTACCAAATGCGCTGCTAGAGGTGTTCCCAAAACCAGATTGAGCCGAGGGTACACCAAAGGTAGGCTTCGCGAACGCGCCAGGATTGGTCACATTGGTCGAGGTATTGGCACTTTGTGCAGTTGGAGCTGGGGAAAGGTTGCCAGTGTCGGGCGACGCCTGTTGAAGCGATCGAACCGAGGCGAAGCCAGCATAAGTAGTCTTCGCCCGCACTGAATCGTTATAGATGAGCCACCAGGACGCTAACACGCCGTCAGTATTCAGAACAATCAAGTTAGGAACAGGGCCGGCAGTTTCAAGTATTTCCAAATCGGACGGAATGGGATTTGGGACCCTTTCGGTGCTGGACAGGTCGAAAGCCATCCCAATGGGAGAAGTGTCTTGGAATTCGGAGGATAAAGGTAGTTGGGCACGTCGTGTATCGTCCTCGATTACAGTAGTGGTAAATGCCGGCGCCACAACTCCCTCTGCAGAAAGAGGTTTGTCTGTCCTGGAGACCAACCCAACGTCTATTGAAGTGGTAGCGGTCACTACCACGAGCTCCTGCAAATGTGGTTCAAATGCTCTAAGCCTAGAGATGAAGTGTGCAGATGGTAAACGTTCCACGCCCCATAGTGGTAAGACCTCGGGTAGTTTTTCAAACGTTAACCTTGATTGCTCTGCATCTCTGGTAATGATGTAGTACTCGGAGGGCAGGATTCCATTGTCGGTCCCGCTTGGGGTATATACAGTGAAAAATATGTCATTTTCCAGCCACAAGATGCCAGAGACATGAACATTTGGTGCAATAGAAGTAGATCTGGGTATGTTGGCAACAACGGTGCCGTCCGGTTTTAGTTGCACTGCGTTGCCGTCCGCCAAACCTGCTACTAGTTGTTTACCCTTGTTGCTCCATGAGACGCAGCTGACATTCGATGTGAGGACGAAACCGTTGATCCCCGATAACAATGCACCGGCTTTGAGATCCACTATCATCAAGTCTCCATTGGACGTGACGATGGCAAACAACTCGGCACTGCCTGGCACGGGATTTGGCACAAGAGCTCTCAGAGTTTGCCCATTTGTCGTAATCTTAACCAAAGGTTCAAGCTGTCCGTTCTTGAGGCTTTCAACCTGGAAGGCAAGGATTCCTCCTTCCGAGTGAGTGGAGGCTACGAGAACACTGTCGTCAGATGAAAACGCAATCTGTGACAATCGGGGGAGGGGTATCTTGATATCTGGTTCTAGAGGGCGTATTGGCCCCTTTTCTGACAACTGTAGGCTCTCTCGGACCTTTGATGTGGAGGAGATATAGATGGCATCAGGACCCGCAGCTGCTACAAGCCCCCGGGATGATGCGACTGATAATAGTGAGGATGATGGGGCAGGCAGATCATCCGAAGGCCAGGGCGTTGGAAAAATGCGAATTTTGGCCTCGCCATTCAAAGCGGCAAACCCGAGCTGATTTGTCTGGATCTCTTGCAACTCTGCTCCGTCGCTCACATGGGCTCCTCCGGGGTTCGATGTAGAGGTGGTCGAGGCGGCATTGGAGAAGCTGAAGGCCATTCTCAATTTGGGAAGTTCAGAGGAGATGGATCGCCTCGCATTGACAGAAGGAGAAGAGGGAGCAGAGGTTGACAGTGGAAGCGTGTGCGCATTTGACAGCGACCTGGTTGCTGTTGGCCTGGTGAAAGAGTGTCGGGGGAGTACCGTCGGCCTCCAGAAAGAAGGGGAGCGCTTGTGGTCAGCAATTTTGAGGGAATGACATCTGGCTACACGCAGCGGGATTATGGCTTCTGTACTTGGCTGTTAGAAAGGGTGAATTTCTTTGGGCTTGACTGTGTCTTGGATGAATTGTGCTGCATGCTGTAACGAGGACAAGGCACTTTTCTGTTGGCGGCGCGTCAATACTACGAATTTGGCCGGCGGCTACCGCAGGCACCTAACGCGCTATATGCCAAGCGTCCGGTCGAGCATTAATTCATTGCGCGCCAAATTTCTGCCACGTGACATGAGGATTGTGGATGGCACCTGGGGCTGTATGCTCGTCCGTGCCAACTTGTTATGGTTATGCCTACATAATGCTTCACTGTCCAAGTCACTTCATCATGCCTGGCACTATGTTCCTCCCACACGCTAAAGGGCCTGGACGACAGGTGAATTGAATCATTTGCACAGAAACAGCAGATACCCCAAGATTTCCGTGCAAGAGCTACTTGTATAGTGTCTTTGTGCAATTGCGCGATCTTTGTTGACCTGCGCACACTTGTTTACTCACGGCACAAGGTCGTCTGACATCTTAGAAGACTTGTCCTCGGTACCATCTAATATACTGGCATCGCGCACAAGACAGATGTGGCAAGTTTTCAAAGCTTTTAATATTTGCCCTCCATCAGGCGTCGCAGATTTGGCGCAAGGCAAGAGCAGCGACCTGTACTCCGTGTGGAAGTAGCTCGAGAGATCTTCAAGCATTCGACCTGAAACTATGTCAGCCTCATCGCAGGTGACCTCGTCTAATAATGAATAGTTCAATGCCAAATCAGGCAATTATTGTCGCCTTTTTTGATATCTGGGCCGTTCGAAACCTTGCGGCTCCATGTGTGACGAAGCCTAGTACCCCAATCGCTTGTCGCCAAATTCAAGTCTTCAAACAAGAGAGGATACCCATTCAACCGCTGTCGTGGAAACCAAGGTGGCAATGTCTGCGCAATTCGGTTTCCTTTAGCCCCTTGGAATGAATGTACTTCAACACACATGTGCACCACTTCACGGGGATATGCTCAGTAGCTAGCGATGTGTGTCCAAGGTCAAGAATGCGTCACCCTCATGTCATCAAACACACCGCCCCCGTGTCAGACCTGCTACACTTCCTTTCGCCACGTTATCATCTCAGATCACCTCTCGTGGCAGGATCAGGCGATCAGGCGATCAGGCGAGAAGCCGGAAGAATCCCAGGGTGGGCAGTTGACCCAAAATCCTGGATCCTGGAGCTGAAGTCCTGAAATGTTAACTAACGAGCACGGGTCCGCATTCCAAGATACTATTATCCTATCCGTGCTAGGTCATACCTTGATCTGCTCCAGCTGCGAAGGCTACAGTATGAGGTATCAAGGCTATACCAGGTTTGGTCTTCCCAAACTCGGTTCATTTGTCTGTCTTACCATCCGTACACTCAGTTCTAGTCTGCTTGTCTCTCATAATCCAATAATCGGCTTGGCTAAGGCGTCTCCGCTCGCTGTTCAGGAGGCTTGGAAACCCAATTTGCGACTAAAAGGTATGTGATAGTTGGTGAGGTGGTTAGACTAAATTGCTCACTGACTCAATTTCGCACGTGTCATAGCATTATTGCCTCCGCCGGAATCTCATTTGGTCGATTAAGAAGCCTTGCCGATGGTGCATGGCGCTCACTTAACCATTTGAAGAATTTGACCTCGGGCTCTTATCATCACTTCTCCGCAAAATCTGGGGATTCGAGACGACCATTTCCCCACAAAATGGCTTGGTTTTCCCATGTTGCTCCACTCGAGAAACTCCACCCAGCCCTCTGTCGATAACATCAGTGTTGGATCGCGCCGCTGATTGGACATTGACTCTCCGATTTTTGGAGATAAATCCTGACTGTTCAATTCGAAGACCACCATGCCGGTGGTTCGGCTTGCTAGGCACTAAGCTCCTCAAACTCTGACTTTGTGTGGGCTACTGCCTCTGCCTAGGCAGTAAAAGCTCAGGAGAAGGCGATCAAGCCTCTTGAGCAGCCTTCCTGTCCATGGTCTAGCCCTGCTTTAACTTTGGCATGTACCCCAAGGTTAACTCCACCGGCATGCTGCACCGTCGCTTCTTTCATGCCTGGTGCCAACAACTTCCTTTGATTGCTTTCATACGCGAGATAGCGTCGTCTGCACTGTTGGTGGCGCCTAGGAAAAGACCCAGTGAATATCAGGTCATGGCTGTGGAGTATTCGCCTATAAATCTGCTTACAGTGCCTCGAGCCGCAACTTCTGTCTCCGACATGACATTTCCCCTGGAGACTTGGAAAAGGTCCTTGTCTGTGCATCATCCTTCACCATGGGAAAACTCATCCCCAATGCTTTCAACCTTGCTGTTGTCGTATTTGTTGCCCTCGGGTCTACTTCATGCTCCTATGGCATGGCAATCATCGGGTAGGTCTTTAGCAGCCAGGCCCAGCTTGCAGAATACAATTCTAATGTCACTCTAGTTCGACTATCGGACAGCCGAGTTTCTATAAGTCTCTTAGCCTAGCTGCCGCTGGTGAACCTGGGTATAGCCGTACCTCTGAATATATTGGTGCTTTTAATGGTATGTATACATATGACTCTCTCTTTCGGCAATTTGACTCTGTGAAAGCGCTGACATTCGCTTTAATCTAGGTGTCAATGCCGCTGGATCGGCCATAGGGGCTGCAGGCTGTTCCTATCTTGCCGACAAATATAGTCGAAAGAAGACCATACAATGGGCAGCAATCGTTCTTACCGTCGGTGCCGCAATCTGTGCCGGATCTGTCAACAGCGGCATGTTCATGGCAGGCAGAGTGATCAATGGCTTCGGAATTGGGGCCCTGGTCACCGCGATTCCAATGTGAGCACCTTCAATCAACCCTTGCGTTTCTTCTGACATTTTACAGGTATCAAGCCGAAGTTTCCACCCCAGAATCCCGAGGCTTCATGGTTTCAATGCATGTATGTACAGATTTTCGAGGCAATCTACCTCCGTTGACCGCATTCCAGGGTGTTATGTTTGCTGTTGGATATTCCCTCTCGGCATGGCTGGGCTTCGGCGTATCTTTCATCTCCACCAGTGGATCTCCATCTTCATTTCCATGGCGCTTTCCAATCGCTTTCCAGATGGTGCCCGCACTGCTGCTACTTATCGGATCACCGTGGTTGCCTTTTAGCCCTCGGTGGCTCATGATGCAGGACCGCTTTGACGAAGCCCACGAAGTGCTCAAGCGCCTCCACCGAACCAAAGGCGATCCTCACGATTCACTGGCTCGTAAGGAGTTTTACCAGATGAGAAAACAGGTCGAGCTTGATCGCCAGATCAAATCCACCACCTCGAGGTGGGAGATCTTCAAGACTCCCGCAAATCGACGCCGGGCTGCCGTTGGTTTCCTGCTCATGTGGAACAACCAGTTCACCGGTGTGTTGATTATCGCAAATTATGGTGTCCTTCTATACATCTCTCTTGGAATGACTGGATATATGCCTCTCCTCCTTACCTCCCTGTGGGTCACCTCGACCTTGCCAGGCAATTTGTTTTGTGCTTTCTACATCGAGAGATTTGGTCGTCGGAAATTCATGCTCATTGGCTTGAGCGGGATTCTCGTCTCTTTGGTCTGCGAGATCGCCCTCCAAGCAGAGTTCCTGGGAACAACGAATCGAGCAGGGCAGAATGCGGCGATTTTCTTTATCTTCTTGTGAGTGGTCCATTCACTATCACATTTGTTAGAGCGGCTCACTAACATCGCGCCAGATTCATCACTCCATTCTGGAGCACTTTTGTTTGCCTCCCCCTTCATCCTACTGATTGATGGTAGACACTAACTATTTCCTTCTCAGATGGACGCTAGTCAATTCCTCTATCTGTAAGTCCCGTCTCACGTCATGATGACCAAGTGCCCCAAATCCTGATTTGTATACTAGATCTGAGATCTTCCCAACCCACATTCGAAGCCAAGGCATGGGTGTTGGAATGTCTGGGTTATACCTTGCAGACATCATCCTGCTCGTTGCCGGACCTATTGCGCTCGAAAAGATCGGCTGGAAGTTCTTCCTTGTCTTGATCATTCCAACCGCCTTTAATATTGCATTCGTGTACTTTTTCTGCCCAGAGACCAAGGGTCGCAGTCTCGTGAGTTTTGTCCCAAGAAATTCCACACCGAGGGAGCGATATCTGACGTATGTTCTAGGAGGACATCAACGCACAATTTGGCGATGCTGTTGCCATCCACTACTACGGCGCCACGGCTGAGGAGCAAGCTGAACTTGAGAAGGCTGCTATGGAAGACGAGGAGAAAGAGAGGGGTGCGGTTCGCAACTCGTTCGGTGAGAAAGGCGAAACTGCTCAACAGGAAGTTGTGGCTTCGAAGACTTGAACAGAGCTCAATGTGCATCTGCGCACTCGAGAAGGCATCGACATCGGCATCGACCGCTAATTGCTTTTCTCTCGGAATCCTCCGGCGAGATTGCAAGTACATAAAAGTCCATAAGACAAAGAACCCATTATCTTGGCCCGATCATATGATTGGGGGGATACCATGCCAATTGGCTATGAATTGATATCAGAGGCGTAGACGGTGTGGTCCAAGATCATCCTGGTTGTGTCCTCTCCTCTGCTCTCTACGTACATCCCCTTTAACCCTCTGCTGCCGAAGACCGTCATGCTCCCCATCCCCAAATGCTCGTAGCAGACATAGTACGGAGATGGCGGCGCCGGTGTCTGGCTCCTAGCATGCTTGTATCAGGATTCGGGAGGTGTCCGTGTATTCCTTCCGTCTCCGCTTCCGCAGCTTTGTCGTGTGCGGTCCTTGACTATTTCCCTTGAACGTCGTCCTCAAGGAAAACATCGTAGCGACGCATTTTATAGGGAGCTGTGCAGCCGAAGAGGAAAGTCCTTGTATGCTCGACTACCTTTTTTTTATTCTATTAGAGCAAGAATCCAACAGTTTCCTTAATTTTTGAATGCAGTCTAATTACAGCATTTAACAGAACTTAATTCATGGGAGCATTCGCCACGTTTTGGTGATCAATAATTTGATCTTCATGGCCCACCAAAAACATCGCTGGAGACTCCAAAGTGTCCAACCCGGGTAGAGCCTCTGGTGGAAAATGCTTAGACCGAAGTCTGTGCCGTTCCTTCGATAGGCATTCTGTTTGCGCAACTGGCGTTTCCTCCACCTCATGAACGGCCGCCCAGGGAAGCGCGTGACCGTAAATGACCACGCGGCCCATGCTACACACCCCAAGCGCCTAGCAGTAAGATGAAAGCCATGGTATCAACGTCAAGAGAGAACCCGGTAGGTTGCCAAACAGGGTGACTTTGGAGATGGTATTGAGTTGTTTTACAGTCCCTCAGGAGTGATCGCTAGGAGATCTTTGAGATGTTAATCCTCAGACAATAGCCAGCACTCGAAATCTTCCTAGGAAGCCTCCCAAACCAACTTACGAAAATTTGAGATGATTTTCGTAGAATTTGAGCATTGGGCGCGGGCAATGCCGATAGATTTTGTCCATGCCGACTTTTGTTTTCTTGCCGTTATTGAAGACGACATATGCGACCAGCTGTCCCGACGGGTCTTTCTCTACTGTCTCGATCTTGAGTACTAGAGGCTCCCAATCTTCTTTGGTAGGGGTCCATGATTCTGTCAAATCGGGACGGCCAAGAGAACCATTGCGTTTCTGTCTCTTGGCAGAAGGAGCGGGAGAATCGTCGGTGGAAGCTTGCCGGCGAAGTGACTGTTTGGATTTCGACTTCTTGAGACCTGTTGTTGGGGCACCTCCAATGCTTTCGTGGTAATCTGCAAGGATTTGGCGGGCGTGTCTAAGCAATGAAGTTAGAAGACCGGAGCCGGGCTGGTATAGTGATCAGTCGAAAGTCTTACGGCAATAGATTTTCTTCGGGCTCGTCTGTGTTCTCTTCTTCAGGGTATCCTTGCCACTTGATCTCGTATAGCACCACGCCTTTGTAGATTCGGTGGCCTCGAATCGCCTCTACGTTATATTCGCCGCCTTCCTCAGAGCCTTCAGAGTCGGAAGGGTCTTCTATCTCGCCTCGACCACTTGGAGGGTCAACAGTTTTCACATCATTGCTCTGCTCCCCATTCAGTTGATCCTGAGCTTTGGTATCGGCGTCTACTGGGAGAATGACCTCTGAGTCCACGCTGTCGCGGTCCGGTTCTAGTGCAATTGTCAGTGATGCGATGCGACGCCACTCGAGAGTCGATGAGCCAGCCCGATGGGCAGGGTCGACTTACCAGGGAGACCAGGAGGCATTGCGAAGAGTGCGTGCGCTGGGAGAACAATGAAGATGCTTGGATTGCCGTGATGCGGAAGTGAGGTTGAGCTCAAGTATCAGAAACTGCAAATTGATGTTCGGTGATAAAATGCAAATTGCGCGAGGGAGCGCAAAGAAGACCAAGATGCGAACCGGACTGGACAAACGCGGAGAAGGGCAGACGCGAGAAGCAGGTGGTTGGTTGGTAAGGCTGGGAGTGCCTGACTTGATTGGGTTGGAAGGAGGGGTTAACATAACATCTTAGTGCCATTAGCGCCCACTCAAGACGAGTTGAGGCGGAAGATACACAGCGCTAACGGCACGCTAGGTGGGCACTAAGCAACTAGTTCCATGTTGCCTTAATAGTCATTAAGCACAGTCTTGGCTGCGATGGTCGTCCATGGCGGGCAGTTTTGGAGATCCCAAAAATTTCAGGCTGCGGCAGATGAACACTTACATAACACTTCGTCGGCTGCAGCATCTGAAGCCTCTTTCTACAGTTGCAAAGCAGGCACGCATAAGAAGAAACAGGGAATTATACAGAATCTCATCGGAATTGTAAATCCCGAACCGCCCCCTGCACCTGCAACGTCGAATCTGAGCATCCTTCACCCCGCCCTCATTTCTTTCTGGAGTGATTAAGAGACGATCAATTGTGTGCTCGGTATCGTGGTCAAGAGGACGCAGAATTTGATTCTCGGCACATCCAAAAGATGGCAATGCAATTGGATTTGTCCCAAGCGCAGTTCTTGAAGGATGAGACTGGACGACCTTTTATCGTCGTTAGAGATCAAGGATCCAAGAAGCGGACTCATGGCACCGATGCCGTGAAACAGCATATTGTCGCTGCGAGAACCGTCGCAAATATCGTCCGAACCTCTTTGGGCCCCCGAGGCCTCGACAAAATCCTCATCTCTCCAGATGGGGACATCCAGATATCCAACGACGGCCGAACCATAATGTCTGAAATGGAACTCTCTAATCCAATTGCGAAACTCATGGTTGAATTGTCAAAGTCGCAGGACGATGAGATTGGCGACGGCACAACCGGTGTAGTTGTTCTCGCTGCTGCCCTCCTTGACCAAGCTGCAGATCTGATCGACAAGGGTATTCACCCTATCCGTATCGCTGATGGCTTTGACCAAGCCTGTGAGCTCTCTGTGGCTCATCTGGACAAGATCAGCGATGAAATCACTTTCAGCAGAGAAAAGCAGGAGAATCTTCTAAAGGTCGCTAAAACCAGTTTGGGCAGCAAAATCGTCAGCAAGGCCCATGACCAGTTCGCCAAGATTGCAGTGGAGGCTGTCATGTCAGTTGCTGACCTCGAGCGCAAAGATGTCGATTTCGAACTCATCAAAGTGGATGGCAAGGCTGGCGGTTCCATAGAAGATTCCCTTCTGGTCAAGGGCGTCATTGTTGACAAAGACTTCTCCCATCCACAGATGCCCACTGAAGTCAGAGATGCCAAACTCGCCATTCTGACATGTGCCTTTGAACCTCCCAAACCCAAGACAAAGCACAAGCTTGACATCTCTTCAGTCGAAGAGTTCAAGAAGCTACAGAACTACGAGAAGACTAAATTCGTTGAGATGATTGATTTGATCAAAGCCACCGGCGCCAACCTTGTCATCTGCCAATGGGGTTTTGACGATGAAGCCAATCATCTCCTACTCCAGAACAAACTTCCAGCGGTGCGATGGGTCGGTGGGCCCGAAATTGAATTGATTGCTATTGCGACCAATGGGAGAATTGTACCTCGATTTGAGGATTTGAGCAAAGAGAAACTCGGCAAAGCTGGGCTTGTCAGAGAAATGACTTTCGGTACCACACGTGAAAAGATGCTCGTGATCGAAGAATGTGCAAACACAAGAGCTGTGACCGTCTTTGTCCGCGGCAGTAACAAAATGATCATCGATGAAGCCAAGAGGTCGTTACATGATGCACTTTGTGTCGTCCGGAATTTAGTGAGGGACAATCGAGTTGTGTACGGTGGTGGTGCCGCCGAGATTGCATGTTCACTAGCTGTCGAGGATGCTGCTTCGAAAACCCCGGGCTTGGAGCAATATGCCATGCGAGCCTTCGCAGATGCCCTCGATGCGATTCCTATGGCTCTCGCAGAGAACTCGGGTCTAAGTCCAATCGAGACATTGGCAGATGTCAAGTCACGACAGCTGAAGGAGCAGAACTCTCGATTAGGTGTGGATTGTATGGGAACAGGAAACAACGGTATGGGCTTGAAATGGGTACAAGTCCTGGAATCTCTACTGACAAGCTACAGATATGCGAGAAAGCTTTGTCATTGACCCTCTGATCGGAAAGAGACAACAGCTCCTCCTAGCCACTCAGTTATGTCGGATGGTGAGTCATGCCAGCTGATTGCTTTGATACTTTGTGAACATGACTAACGGCGCTCTACAGGTTCTTAAGATCAATAATGTGATTGTTGCAGGAAATGATGAGAACGAGTTTTAGACACGGTTTCACCAACTGGGCATAGAAAGTCATCATCAGCACGGGTATGGCGTTTTTGGCCTAAGATTCAGCGTGCATGAGAACAGGATTGAATGACAGTCTGAACAAAATGATACCCAAATGGGATAGAAAGGATCCAAAGGCCATTTGTCCACACGGTCTCCTGTTTAGCACCCCAATAGAAAGTGCACCTGGACTACATCGGATGGACAGCTCCACCGATGGAGATTGGTTGACAATTACCTGTTTTCCGCCATGAAGATGGATATAGTACCGGGTCATACTTTCCCGCAATGAAAACGCCTCCCACCGTGGCCTTGAATCTGTCTCCACTCAGAATGATTCGACAACCATGTTAGATTCTATAACGGCGGTATATCAATGGTACGGTATATCAAGTTAAGCCTAGACCATCGATGCGACCAACCAGTTGACCGCCCATACCATGCACAGGTAGGAGTTCACAGAACAGGACATTGACTACATACCGCTTAAATGCGAGGTGTTGCGAGCTATAAGGGCGCCATAGCCTTGCTACCCCACCTTATCAGACAAGCATCTAGTTTGCCGCCCGCGCCATTAGGCTCCCATTTTATATAAAACGAGGCTCAACTGAGCAAATCATCCATTCACACTGACTCCATACCTACATTAAAGCACAAGTTACCTTGGATGCTCATCCTGTCAGCGGAATGAAAACATCTAATATCTTCCTTCTGTTGTTGGCGGCTGGACTATGCGAGGTGGTTGCAACAGGTATTTCACAGTTCTAGCCTTATGACCATTGATGCCAACATTGAAACAGTAGAAGCACTTGACCCCTCTAGCAATGATTCTACTGGGGAGGACGATACAGTGATAGCTCAGAGTAATCACAATGGCTGGGTCAATCCTGAAGACTTGACTCCTATGCCACAGTGCATCGCTCAACAAGACCAGTCCACCTGGCTGAGTGCCATGACCAGATGTACCAGCAAACGATGCACCTCTCACTTCGGAATCATCTGCACACACCACCAATGGCTGACCCAGCTGACCTGTCTCGGCTTTGAGTTGTCCCCTTCTGTTATCAAAGGCTACCTCCCATACTGCAGCCGATCAGTGCTGGCCAAAGCGCAATTATATCAATGGGTCCGCAAGGCTACCGGTCGGACCTGGCTTGTCGATATCGGCGACACGAACGGGCTGGGAAACCTTTCCCCAGCCTCGTTGGCACAAGGGTATGCGGCCGTTGACGTGATTCACAAAGCACCAACATGCCTGTCAGCCTCGAGTTCTGCTTCATCCATGGAAGCATTTCAGCATGTGATAGCCTCGTGTAGTTTCACAGAGACTACTCGACATACCGGAAACGAGTTCCGGGCCTGGGAATACAGTGAGCCCCTACGGTCCATGATAGCTCTGGACTCTGAGACTGTCGGTTACGACCTCACCCAACATGGCATCAGACGTGGCGATTATTTTGATAAAGAATGCTTCTGCAGCGAGTTCACAGGGATCTCAGACTGGGAACCTTGTGCAGGGCGAGAGGAGATAGACTTGACGAAGGAGCGACTATGGATGCATGCCACCTGTGGACTAAAGGCCGTACCCGACAATTGGAATGACGGGCTCAAAACCACGGCATTCGCATTTATCCCCGTTGAAGACTGGGTCTGGCCCACGCGTGTCGCGGATATGCCAAAGCAAGTGGTCGAGCTTGCTGACCAATGCGCAACTGACGCTTGTGAGATTGACTCTGGTGGCTACTGCAGAGTCGTACCCGCCGTTGATAGGGCTTGCTTTTGTCGTGACATCAGCTACGATTCCTGCGGATGTGCTTGCCAGATGTTCGAGACCCGAGCAGATTATGTACATTGGCTTCACGGCCTTTGTGGCAATGTACAAGGCTGGCACGGTCTTCCAGAAGACTGGCAACAACTAGCCGCCCCGACCCCTCTCGACATGATTCCATGGCGTTGGTCTCTCAAGCCATCCAAATCCAACGACACAGACCTGGCATCCATGTGGTATTTGACATCTAGCAAGGGAGGGGAAACATGTCCATCAACCGAGTGGAAACTCGGGAGCTTTGCCCTGATCAATATAGCCACATTCCTTGCGCCATCCCTCGTTCGGATGATGGGCATGAATCGACTTACGCAAGGCTCTCTGGGGCTGCCAGACTCACAAAATTGGGTTTTCGCGGGGATTTCGATTGCCGCTCTTCAACTCCTCGCAAACTGGTTTAATGTTTCGCTCGTCCATGCAGCCACTGGTTATGGACACGTTCCAGTCGTTCACTTGATGCTCCTCTGGTGCACGATGCCTCGGCTCACACTACTAAGGTCCTTGGTACCTGGGGTGCAACCATTAGAAGCTGTGAATCTCTCCGCGGCCGGGTCTTGCCTGCTTGCGGAAATCATTCTCCAAGGTTTATCATCGTATTACATGATCATCACCGTCAATTATGGTCGAGAACACAGCTTCTACGCCAAAGGTATGGAGAGACTAGCAGGCTCCACACCGGCACAGTTCATATACGCTGGCGCACTCTTGTGGCTGATCGTCGTGGTCATCTTGGCATTTGCTGCCTTGATGGCCCGTCGGAACGAATATTGGCCGCTGATTGAGGAGAAGGTGGCATATCATTGGATCGACAAGAGCAGGGCCTTGGAAAATGCATCGTTGATGAAAAGCCAGGCAGCAAATTACAGGGTATATGGCACTCTTCCTGTTGAAGGACGTCAACATGATGTGGTTCCCCAGAAGGCATCCAGGAAGCCACACGCAGTCGCGGTCACAAGCGTGCTCCTTTGCGTTGCGCAGTGGCTCTTTTGGGGCGGATTCATTACTCTCAGTCTAGAAGAGTAAGTGGCGGATTCATGCATATCTTTGGTACGTGTTGGCTAACCGAACTTAGGTTCTGTCCACCCAAACTTGGAGTTCTCACAGCTGTCTGGATGGTCTCCTCGTTTGCACAAGCTACTGTTGGAGCCATGGGATGGGACGATCGCACGAAGGGGGGTAGTTAGATGGTTTCTTGATCAAGGGGTACAGCATGGCAGCACTCCGTGTTGGGCAGGTACTCAATCAAGGCTGAGCATAGGCGAGTCCAGAAGCGTCAAAGGTAGCAACACCGAGTTGGAAGCTTATTCGTATCAAACAGGTTGATGATATTTTTCACTCTCTTCCCTAAGACAACCCCATTCCCGATGGAAGGAGAGGGAGGGAGGCTAGATCCACCCAAATTAAGAGAATGGAGAAGCCTAGCAACACAAAAGTCCAACAACCCGGACTCAAGCATCTTTGACTGATTTATTCCGAGTAAACCTCTTGCAGTTGTCATGGAACATGATGAGAGTTACGAATGGCAGGTGACCTTAGCCAGCGTGAACATACCTTAGAAATCCGCATACTCGTTTGTAGTGTGAAATCTGTGGCAGCCAACTCGTCCCCGTCTCCCCAAAACGGCTAATTCATACAGTCTATGTACTGCGTAGTACCTCGGACAAGAATCTATGCCAATGGGTCAGTATGCAATTACCTCATACGTAACAGCCACTTGTAATCACGCATGCTGATTGGCCAGCTGTAGGGAAAATCCACAAGCTTTAACCTTCTTCACGAGATAAAGTGGGCCAAAGAAATATGGGGGCCTTGAATAGGTGAATCGATGGCGGGGTGTGTGTACGAGTAGTATGAGTAGAACCACCCTCCTACCCCCAAAAGTTACGAGAGCGACGCAGTCAGTGGCTTCGGAAACTGCCTCCAACGGTCCAATCCATCGAACTGACTCGATGACCTCGCCAATGTCAGTGAGCTAAACAGATATGTAAGCGATGCAATGGGGTGCCTACCTACGAAGTTGACTATGTGTGCATAGGTGGATTTGATGTCTGGGAGACATCGGCCATACCTTACCTTACCTATGGAAAGAGTTGTACTTGCTTGCTCTCCGGTCTGACATCTGACTCTAATAGGCCGCAGACGGACCGCAAAACGAGAACACAGCAGGATGCTTGCTGAGGCGGCAGCAACCCGAAGCTCCAAAGAACCGGTTGCTATTGCCCCGAGGCATTTTCAAAGTGTGGAGGGCATAACTCCGAGCTCCACCGTTCCGAACGGCCGTATTACTTCGGACATTGGCCCCATGGTCTGCCAGAATGGAGTGACCTTGCCATCAAGGCCCGGGGGAGCCCGAGGTCTAGACATTGACACCAAGGAGAATAGGGGAGAAGGACGTAAGGGAGCGCGCCTCAGTTTTGGCCAAGCAAGACGGGCGTCCAAATTCAATTCAGAATACCACCATCACCCAGCACCTGCCTTAGCCGTCCTTTGCTACAAGGCAATGTGCTGCAATGCTCCAGACTCAAGATGTGCGGCGAATCCATCACTACGGTATGTCGAGGCCGCCTACCTTTCCTTCCACACACACACGCCGAGAATGAGCATCGATATTGACAGACACACCGCAGCCCTTTCAATACTGTGGCCGAACTTTGTCCAGCCCATTCTCAGCACTGATGAAACTTTATCCTCGGCCTTCTTTCGACTGAGCATGACCAACGAGCTTGTGTCAACTCTTTTATCTGGACAGCTGCTTTCGAAAAGTCCCTGCATGGCTCCTCAGCAACAGATGAAGCTGTGATGATACATTGCCAGAATAGTGCAGTCAGGTCCGTGAGGGAACATATCGCATGAGGTGATGTCCTGGACGAGGTGGTTTTTGCGGTACTCTGCTTGACGATAGCCGATACCGGCCCAAAACCAGTGGAGGAGGTTTATGCAGAGAAGTGTTTCGGAGGTTTTGACCCGCCACTTCGATCACTGGGGTGGTTGGATTATTTGTCTCAATTCGAGTGGACAAATCTACACATGAACGCTTTGAAGGCTTTTGGTTGAGAAGCGAGGTGGACTGTCTGAAGTAATGACACCAGGTATCGCCTATCGCCGACCTGGTGCAATCCACCGATATCATCCAAGCGAGTGTGTCCTTGACGAGACCAAATTTCGAACTTGGTTGCCTCTACCGCCATGTCCTCGAACACCAAGTGAAGGCCATACGGCCACCTCGATCCCGCGCGAAGCAGTTTGAAGTCTCGGACGACTTCAAGGATCTGCTGCTCGACATGCGCACCTACTGTCGACTCTTGAACCAATCTTACAATGATGTACATACCGCTCTTTCGTCATGGGAAATGAACATGCGAAGAAATTTGATCCAATACCGCCTGCTATCGTTGCCTCGAGGCCGTGAAGAAATCTGCAGTCTCGCTGCCGATCTGTGCGTTTTCGAGTACACGCATTTGAGGGATATCATGCGCCAATACCTCTGGCTGGATCAGGCTTGTGACAAGGGTGCAGCGTCGCTCTGGGTCCGCGCTATGTCTGCACGTGAGGAGAGCAAAAACGAAAAAGGAGGTTGTGAGCAGGGGTTTCAAGAGGGAATAAATGGAATCCTTGCATTTGAAGCTGCCGCCCTCCGGAACACCATGGAGGTAATAAGGTCGAGCACACCGTTGACTGCCACTGGTTACTTGTCTTGATTGGCATCAGCCGGAGATCTGGATTACTTTGCATGCCGGCGACTGCGGACCGATGCTCAGTGGACGTACATTGTAAACTCGATGCATCTCAGCCGGGCTACATCCCAATATCACCTACGATTGAAAACTGACAATCTGCCGCTCCCTGATGAGGGGGTATCAGAAGACGCCGGTGGACGTTCGACAGCCTCGGAGCAATACCTTGTGTTGAGCAAAGCACTGCAACATCGTGTGCCTCGTCCTCTGGAGTCTCAATGATAAACTCGAACAAACGTGGGAGCGAGCATGGCTGTTTTTGCATCGCATAGTTCCTCCTATAGTGGGGAGATTGATTCTTTCAAACTCTTGCCTGAAAGGATGGGAGCGCAAGGGAATATTTCAACTGCCAACAGAACTCGAACGGGGCGTAGTCCCTTGCAGGATGAAAGTGGGATTCAAGGGATGCTGGAGAAAGTGATGCAGTGCAATGCCAACCTCGCATCAAATTCAGCTTGGATTGTATGGATCCCCGAGCCGGCACGAAGCTGAGGTGTAACGTACCTTTATGCTCCATACATGGCGAGGTCTGGTTAAGAGGTGGGAAAATATCAAAAACAGTTATGGTTTGGTGAAGTGGAGGGATCTCGGCTGGAGGCAAGGTATCTGGTAAGGAGACACTATCACAAACCAGATTGTGTGATGGGAGATCCGCGCGATCGAGTTACCCCGGTCAACCAACCTTGTCAGGTGCACCGCGATCGCGAACAATATTCACAAGCGAGGCTGATCATCAACATCGGTGTTTGGCCAAAGACAACAACAATGGCCATGCAGTAAGACTGGGTTATGAGAGCGAGATATTTATTTGATCTGGAGGAATGGTCCCTGGGCCTCCTGTCTTGCTGGCCCGAATGTAAAGGGGGGACGCGGGCAAAACGTGCCAGTGGGTTAGAACGACGTGTCTCTTCAAGCTCGGGATAAGACAGATACGAATGCGTATGAAGGGAATGAAATGGGGTTTACCCGCATGCCCCTGGATCGGCGAAAACCAGACCTTCCTGAAGTGAATGGGAGAAAACATTATCCATTTTGTTAAGCCCTGCTGCATCACAACTGCACGACAGCTGCAGCCTCCAAAAAGTGGACATCTGCATGGGACTGGAGCCTAGGAATGCCGGAGACAGCTTGGAGCTAGGTGTAACTAGGAAGGAAGATAGGCCTTCTTGCTAGGCCAATATGCGAGTGTGACTGTTACAAGGTACACCGGCAACACCTTTACATATGGGCTTGAAGCGCCTTCGCGCCATATTTGGATTGTAGGGTGTCGCAGCAACCAATAGTTGAGCCAGTGAGTGAGTCGCAATTTCATGGGTCAGCCGAGTTACGTTCCTTGTAGACCTTGCACCATTCACGGGTGCCGCCTGGGAAGGACAATCCCAAGGGATTGACATATCATTCGTATGGAAATAGTCCTTGGAGTGATCTGTATTGTGCTACTCGCTGGCCAGATCGCAGGCTGGAGCTGTCAAAGTTGGAGTCTAGACATTGGGCAAGCAGGCTCGAACATATGAAATTGGTCTGTGTTATTGATCGAGACTTGACGCCTGTGCGAGGTTGAGCTTGGACACGCCCATTATCCCCAGACTATCGGATTTCTAACTCAGATCACCGGGGGAGACATGGCTAGGATGATACTGAGGCGCCATCCGAGCGTTGAAAATCATGCAAAAACTGGCGTGGATGAGGCAGGGATTGGCCACTAAGTGACAGCGGAAGCAACGGGAGGCGGCACTGATACTTTCGTATGTAAATGTGTCTCATTTGATTCTGAAGCATCTGGCGCAAATTTGACGTATCTCAACGATGCATAGCAAACTGGAGCGTAAGTCCATTTCCGACGTTGGTGGCGTCAAGTTCGGAGTACCAGAGCGAAAAGTCGGAAAGAGATTTCAAAGTTGTTGACGGTCAAATGTGACAGGTGTTGCGTCAAGTAGGGAGTGTTTGATCGATTCTGTAAATGACCACATGCAGCAACCCACGAAAGAGCCCTGTACCGTCTATTGAGTGAGCGAATTCGCACCTTGAGTGGTCCTCGTTATTGAGATGGATGAATGCCAGCCTCAGAAGAGTTGCGTTACTAGGTGCTCCGCACTCTGCACTGTCTCGAGGATAGCAAGGCTGGATGGCCAGTTGGGGCCTGCATATCCGAGATGTGGTGCTGATCAGTACCTCGAGGGCTGGGTCGGGGTATCCCTCGAAAGTCCATACCAAAAGCCATGGTCATTTGTGACTCCGGTGGGTGCAGAGGGATGAACTGACAGGGGGGAGCCTGGCTCAAACATCTCCGAGTGGAGTCCTGGACAAGGTAGCCGGCATCTGAGTGACACTCCCACCCGCAGCGCCTAGGCTGTTAGTAGCAGTTTAGTGTGCAAGGCCACTAGGCTTGGGGGCATAATAAGCGGTCACGGGGCAGATGAGCAGCCAAAAAGCGACGCAATAATCTCGACCAGGGATGGAGCGGCTCCGAGTGTTCGAGTTGGTCCCAGGTGCCCAGGACCCAGAGACGGGGTACGGGAGGTGATATCCGGGCGATAGCTGGTATGCCGATCGCTCTGCTGCTCCCGGCAATTACGAGGTTCTTTCACCGTCAATAGCTTGGCTCGTACGGAGCACTCCTCGTACTCGTAGGATGTTGGCACTGATCGTCGGCCTTTCGAGAAACGACCGTTACCGTCACCGTTAACATTCGAGAGCCGATCATTGCCATCTTTGCACAACTTGCAAGCTGCATTCAACTTGGGTCAGAGGGGTGGTAATTTTAATCCTGAGGAAGTGGAGAAGACCCAAATGGAGTTGCGTGTGGGAGCCAGCTATGTGCAACAAGAAGAATTCGAGATGCTCGTTGCGAATTACCCAGATTACTTGAGCAACCTATTGTCGACGTGCTGAGTTGAGTGTTCTGCACATAAGATTTTACAAGGTGTGGGACGCCTTATCAGCCACAAAAGCATGGATAGGGCGTTTGGCATCTGATTGAGGGGTGAAATGTGTGTGTCGACTTTGAGGGGTGTAGGGCCAGCCAAGATTACAGTGTGGCTTGACTCGCGGATGGAGGGCTTTGCTTGAGTTCGTGGGGAGCGTTGATTTGGTGCAAACACCCTTGAGCGGTGGGAGGGAGCAGGTGCCAGGGTGCTATCTAGTACGTACGAGAATTATGGAAGTCGGAAGGCTTGCGTTCATTTCTTCCTGACCGGTGACTACTCGGGAGAAGCCAAATCGGATGGATAATAAGGGGATTGCCGTGCGGGAGGAAGGTCGTACGAGTATGAGCATGATTCTTGTGGGAATTTTCACCTTTTGGGTGGGAATTGCAGGAAGCGTGTGTGTGTGTGTGTGTGTGTGTGTGTGTGTGTGTGTGTGTGTGTGTGTGTGTGTATCAGCTTCACGTACGGGCCACGTACTGTGTTCGGCAGCTCAGCATCTCTTGCAGGTTCCGGTAGCAGGAGCAGGAGCAGAATCCAGGTTGATTCGAGGTTCTAGAGTCGCTCTTGGATCTCACATGTCAACAAAGCAGAGGAGTTCAGCAGGTCAGCTGGACAGAAAGGAGTTATTCATCAGCCAATTCAGGCACAGGCGGGTGTGCGGAGTCCTCGTACAGTAGGCTAAATGGGAGACTTGCACGTGGCATTGATGTACGCCGTATGTGTGTTTGAGTTGTCACGGGGAAGGCGGACGACATGCCACGCTGTGAGAGCCCGAGAGGTAAGCTTCTCACTAAACATTTCTCCTAACTCGCTCTAGCACGCTCTAGCACGCTTAGTGACCCCACTACAGCTTAGCTAGGTCTCTAGTGGCCAACAGCCTGAAGTGGCAGGGCTTCCCGGGTGGATAGGCCTCTGTCTTGCTCCGAAGGCCCTAGAATCGTGCGTGGGTGGTTTGGTGGAGCCAAGGGTTTGACTCTCCTATTTGGGCCACCATACCGAGGAGAACTCCGTCCAATCATCGAGGTAGCCGTGCTAGGTACTAGGTACTCCGTACTACCTGAGTCAGCTGGTCCGCTGAGACTTTGTTTTGGTGCGGGTTCATGGTGCAAAAATGGTTGGGGTGGGATCTGTAAAATTATCTCGGTCCCTCGCCTCGGTACATACGTCCACAACCACTACGGAGCAATACTACCACTTCAAGTTTTTGCCCCAAGGTGGCGGACAGCAACCAAGCTGTGAATTGGTGCTGTGTAAATACCTTTCATGTTTGGGCACGAGTGATAACCTCCTTGAAGCGGGCATTTGCTGCGAGGGTTGAACGAAGCAGCCAGTCACCGCCGCCAAAACGCATGGGGGCGTCGAGATCAGATGTGGCTGACTGGGGGGGGTTTTGCCGCGTAATTTGCATGTGACTCTTTCAACACGTCCTCCGTATCTGGTACGTACGGGTCGGTACTACGGGGCGAGAAATCATTTCGGTACTTGGTGTTCTAGGCCAACTTGGTCCTCCGTCCTCCATCCTCCGTCCTGTGCTGTTCTGGGCATTCGACAACATACAGTATGTACGTACTCGTAGTACTGTAACAGTGCCACCGATGCTCTGCTCGGGGTTACACGTGAGCGGTAATTCTGTCCCATACGTCGCGGAGTGTCCCCTTCAACACTGCAAGATCCAAAAACGAGTTGGGCCTTGTAACTACAGGCTCCTCCAGAGTTCCGGACACTACCAAGCTTCAATAACAACAGTTACCAAAGCCACAATGATAAGCAAGCAACTCAGATGGTCACCGGGTCACAAAATGCTTGGATGATAGCCTGTCGCACAATGTCACCATGGAACGGGATCCCAGTAGCCAACAAACTAGCAAGAAACCTCTCCTAAGGATGGGCCAAAGTGGGTGATGGGAGGCAATAGATTATGGGGATCATCGATGCCTGGGTTCTGGATGCTCGGGTGCCTGGGCAAGAAATCGTGGGTGACCTTCTGCAGCAACGAAGGGCCCTTAGTGGGGCCCGGTCGAGCCCAGCAGAGTAACTACTAACTACGAGTAGTCGGCTCTTCACTTTCTGCCCAAAGGAGCGAAAATCAAACGACGGATGGTTGCAGCAATGGGTGTCATTTCAAGAGTCATTTCAGCTTACGGGCAGTACGGAGAGAACAGGCTAAATCTCGCTGGCACTGGCGTTGGCACTGGACACCGCAATGGGCCTGCGGTTGACACCTCCGCACTAGTTACTGGTGGAGCAGGTGGGTGCTTTCCCACCCCAATGGTCACTGCGAACGTCCGGAACAGAACCTGGCAGGGCTAGAAGGCACTAGAGTCCGAAAGGCCTTTCCCTCGTGTCTCGAACCGTGTGTCGCCCAAAAATGCTAACCACTCCCCAGTTCCAGTGCTTGTCGTGCTGTGCAAGTACCTCGTAGTGGTGGACGGATGGGTCACGGGCACTGGAACCTACTCGTGGTAGCGACGTCTTTAGGCCCACTGCGCACCCAAAGTTACTGTTCGACAGCGCTAGTTGGTGACCCTGTGGCTCTGATCCTCAGCCTCCATCATCCCTCCTCTCGCCCCCGTCCCACCCCCGTGTCCCTCCTCTGCTCGCATTTTTAGGACTCTTTTGCTGTGCCCATGTTTGTCGCCCTGTTTGGAGCCGAGTGAACTCTTAGCGTGGTGACTTGCTTCGTCCCAAGCACCCGCACCAGAGCACAAGCAATCCTTCCATCGCCCTGGCCCTGGCCCTGTCACCCTGGTCCTGGCCCTTGCCATTCACCCTGGTCCCGGCTCCGGCCTGCAACCTCCTGCCCTTTGTTATACCGGCTCTCCCCATCGCATTCTTCCCCCATCCCTCAGTACCTTTTACACACCGTCCGTTGTCCATCGACCGACTTTTTACTGCCCACTATCCCTCCAGCTTGACTTGACGTCTTGACCTCTAGACTCGTCGTCATCCTCGTCGTCGTCTCCATGTCGATGGTTTAGCATTCACTGTGCTCCTTCCTCTCCACCCTAACGCCCCCATCTCGTATCGATTCATCTCGGACCGAGTGCCGTGGATTGCGTCACAGGACGATCAACCACGAACCCTCCATCTCCCTCCAAAGCCAACTACCTCAACCACCTCAACTACCTCAACCGGTTTGTTGCCCTGTCCTTCCCTGACTTGGGATTCTACATATTCAACCCCCTCTCAAGATGCCGTCGCGCTTAAATGCGCCTGCGCCGGTGCTGTCCTTAGACGCAGCCAAAATGCACCAAATAGACCCCTCAAACGCCTGCAGTCTCATGGCTATGTGGTCTATTTTCTCCAAATGCTCAGAAACTTTGAAGGATGGTCCACGATTAGAAAACATGAGCTGGAGGGTATGGTCTCGCGAGTCATTATGTGTGGCTCAGGGCGACTTGTCACCAGCCAGGTCCAGTGGCGTGCCATCATTATCAAATTCATACTCCTCAGACGACAGCCTCAGTAGTGAACGAGCAGCATTCCCCGTGGATTCTGGCTCGAGATCGCGATCATTCGGACACGATGACTGCGCCAGCTCCCTGTCACGGTCCCGACATCTAACATCTCACACCCTGGAGAAGATCGTGGTTAGCATACAAGAGAAGGCCGCATTAGGCCCATTATCTCCCTCCCTTGAAGCTAGCCTTACCGCATTACCCAGCACTTCGCATCATACAACAGCCTCCCAACCCAAATCGGAACCTGAATCCACAGCCGCTTCAGACAACCTGCAGAATTCGACCGACTCTTGTTTTTCTGCTACAACGAACGAAACCGCGGATACTGCTCGACAAAGTGAGCATCGAAATTCGGATACTTCAGTCTCTTCGGATGGCCTGATACGAAGCGGATCTGTCGTACATGGCTTCTCTCCGGTGGCGTCATCTTTTCGAAAACCGACTGGCTCCGGCATGCAACTTGCTGTGTCGTCTAAGCTTATCCCCAAGGGAAAAACACTGAAGCCTGCCATGTTCACGTTAGGAGGATCCTCCGAGGATGATGATTCGTCTTTCGAGCAACGGGTCTTATCAGTACGCCCTCCACCACAAAAGAGTTCCTTGTCTCAAAGCTTGAGCAAGAACAACTTGGTTGTGGGTGGCAATTCCAACGCTGCTCTTCAACCCAAACGGACTTCCTTCAGAGACGTCGTTGCGCAACGGAGAATTCAAGAAGACGCGGAGAACGATGAGGGAGCAATTGAAAGTAGTGATGAAGAAGATGACACGGACGAGGTGGTTGAGTCGGCCATTGACGAAGAGGATGAAGATGATCCCGACTGGGAAGATTCCAACTCCGATGATGGCAAACCTGTGCACGAGAATCATCTTTTCCGGCGTGTAGAAAGCCGACCTGACCTGGTCTCACGAAGGTCGATGCTGACGCTGGCATTGAACAAAGGGCAAGGGCAAGGGCAAGGGCAAGCGAGATTGAACCATGCTTTTTCACAGCCTGTACTACGTCAGTCACGGTCCTCCTCCCCACAAGGGAGTTCGTTGGCCGCATCTCCCGAGGACGATGATGATGGGATGGTGATGCGGACTCGACAACGGGCACCTATTGCTATCCCTCCACCTAATCCTTCGGCCAAGTCCGTGGCGCATTCGCCACGGACCACACGTCGGAATATGTTGTCTACTGAATTGACCGAGTCTTTACGCAAGAACCTGCTTTGGGAACGGCAGCAGAAATCTCAGGCGGCCAACGCTTTCCTCAAACGAAGCCGCAATGCACAAAGCATGGCAAATCTACAAGCACATACGGCACCATCGGTTGGGCCTGCTCAACCACCTCTCCCAGCGACGGAAACCTCGAAGAATAACTCGTGGAATCACTATTTTGACAATCCGTGGGAGTACCATGCCAAAGGCTGGTGATCTTTTGAATTTTCAGTTTTAGTTTATACCTTGTTTCGTTGTCTGCGTTCCAAGCGGGAAATGCGCGATGCGATGTTTCACGCATCTTATGACCTACATCTACTACCTAGCATGAATGGGCAAGGGGTTATAGGATGGTGTTGGCTCTGCCCCATCCGCCCCCGTGGCGAAGATTGGTTTCTTTGGATTACATTTCTCCGATTGATGCATGGCATCAGGAGCGAGCGCGCGGCGGAAAAGTTGATGGATTTTGCCGTTCAAGCATAGTGTCATTACGATTATGCAATGCCAGTCAGTGGAAGGCGATTGTTCCTCGTTTGTTGCCTTGAGACTATCTCTTGGCGTGGTATGGTCATTTATCACATCCATATCGACTACGGTCCATGCCTTGTACTGGGCTTGGATATGGTCAGATGCAAAAGTGAAGGGGGCCAAGGCGTGGCTGTGGCTGTGGCCGTGGCCGTGGGGGATTTTAATGTCTACCACATGACACCACTGTACAACAAAACAAACTCGGCAGAGGTTAGGGTTATTATCTAACTTAGTCAAGACTCCAGATGAATAGTAGTAGTCGGTTGAGTCACACTGTAGCCGAAGTGGCGAAATGTACCAATATTACATTGATTATTGAATTGGAATTGGAATTGGAATTGGAGAAGTGTCTCTGTTTCCGAGCTTGATGGATGACTATCGAGGCTGCACGTATTGGTTGACATGCCAGCACGCACGGATGGGGCACACGTCAATACTCAACTTGACAGCCATGTCTCATACCACCACGGTGCGAAGAAATGGACAGGGTCCCGTGCGCAGTCAGAAATAGGGTTTGGATGAATCGTCAGTGACGAGATAGCCACCAGCATGAATGATGAGCTGATGAGCTGCATCAGCGATGATGCTGCACTCATCTTCGTTGCTTGTTCTTGACGGGCCTCATGGCCACTGGCCTCTTGGTGATGGTCTGCCCTGCCTGATCAGCGGGCTGCGGTTCAAGTGTTCACATGATCTCGAGAATGCGGAAATAAGAAAATGGGCCCATCGCCCCGTGTCGATCAGTTTCTGCGAGAAAGCTTGGGGGGACTTTGGGACCCCCGACGCGCCCCCGAAGCGCCGCCCAAAAAACTTGGTTTTGGTAGGGCGGTCGCTGGCAAAAGATTGACCGAAAAGAGGATCAACAGAGCGTGCAGATGTTGCCTGTTCAACTGACAGCTTGGAGGCACCCAGAGAACTGAACTATGATCGTGGCTAGGGCTTTCGTCACTCCCGCTTTGAACGCCCTCGTCCCCCGAATCGAGTTTCTCGTACCACTGACTCTAACCAAGCCGGTGAAACTTCGATTTGACTTTATCTTCGGCTGGGTCACCAGTTGGCAATCACTCGCAGTTGGTTCGGTAATTATTGACCTGATCGCAGTAATGAGCAGCAGCTTCTCGTATCTCCTCCTGACTCCTGAATCTTGACCTCCGCTGGAGCAGCTCGAGCGGCGGAAAAAGGGCCCAAATAGGTGACGACACCAAGTCTCACCAAGCACAGCGCAACCCGTTTAACTAAGTTCATCCCCGACAAGTGCTCCCACCGCCCCAAGAAATAGGCATGATAGTTATACTTAGAGGGAACTTATGGGGATCAACAACCCTAAAGGCCACCTAGGGCTAAAGCACCTACGAGTATGTATCATGAATCCTCGTAGCTACAGTAGCTACTGCACACGGCCACCGGCTTATTCCACCGGCGCCTCTTCTCAGTACGGAGTACTCATTCGAAGAACCCCACTGACTCCAGGACAGCCAATTTGTCGCAGAGACACTGTTACTTGCATCTCTCCCTCAGGCCGTAGCCAGTCGTCAAGGTTCGGATTGCTTTGCCCCAAGCGCTAGTTGTTCTCGCTCTCGTTTTCGCTCCTGCGCCGCTGAGTTGCCCATCTGGGCTGCTTACTCGTACGGTGCAATCTACACGGTCCCCTTCGTTACAATTGGTGAGTGCGAGCTAGGGCTCTCCACCCGAATACTATTTGAGTACGAGTATGTATGAGTACCATCAGGTGAGAGCCGACTGCGGTCATTATCCGGTGGTAGCCTTGTTCGTTTCGTCGAGACATTTGACAACAATCTCCTTTCACATCTGACTCCATCGACTGCAGTGGTTTTGGTTAATAGACAGAGAGGCCGTCTACTCTCCCTTTGCCGCCATCTGTCATGGAAGGAGCAATAAGATGAGACACTCTCCAGTGGCGGCCCTTGCAGAAGTGCCCTCGCCACCGCCAGACTAGCATGAGGACACTCTCACCCGCCAAATGGGGATCTTTTGTTGTCAGGGTGAAGAAGCGACTCCCGTGGCAAGAAATGAGACTGGAGAATATGCAGGGCGGCTCCTTCTGGGGCAAGACGCCGTCAGATCGCTCCAGCTGAGGCAATTGATGTCCTTCAATAATCTCGTTATAGTGGCATTGCATCCTAAAGGTCCTGGTACTGGTTAGCCTCGGCGGAGACACCAGACTGCTTACGAGTACTCTGTACTATTCAGCTCTCCAGGTTCCCCTTCCGACACATGGACTACGAGTCGTGAGTGGTTCCCCGTTCTTTTGGATGTTTCAGGGCCCAGCCCCAACAGCAATACCGCAGTAAGTAGTAATCCTCAGGGCTAGAACTAAGACTAGGACTAGTATGCGCCAATGGGTCCAAAACGGAACAATCACTATGTCCCCTATGGAGTTCATATTCCACATCTTGGCCAAGGAAACATTGTTACGCCACCGACGATCCAGACCTGTGTACCGAGTACGGAGTGCCTGCTAACAGTAAACGAGTCGACAGACAGATGGGATTCTCAAATCCGCTTCATGGAGATCTACAAATTGAAGCAGAGACATTTCCCTATTCTGCACCATCACCCACAGAGAGGAGACAATGGCCAGGATGAAGGTCAGATTATGCTGATCATGTTCCCACCGTACGGCAGCAACAGTGGCCGTGATTGAATCAGCAAATAGTAGAGCTGATCTCGCCATGGCCTGCCTGGCATCCATAAGGTACATGTCCAGGTACACGGATGGGCACGAGAATGACCCGCGTGAACGATGCCCTAGAGGTACTTGGGGACCCGGGGGGGGGGGTCCCAAGTCCCTTGAAGATGCAAGGTTCGCGGGTCCGAATGCAGTGATCTGCGAATATCGCTGTGCTGTGCCTCCCTCTCCGGACCCAGGAGAACCACGATGCTTGCTGCATTGTCGATTACACTGAGAAGGAGCTTGCATACGACTTAATGAGAAGCTCCTCCTCTCTCATCTACACGTCTATAAGAGCAAGACTACAAGTTGTTTTGCACTCAAATCAAAGCGGATGATCGAGGCGGGATCATTCGGGTCCAAGGGGGAACTGGGAAAAGGCGGGTGATACCTAGGCTACTATGTCCTTGCTTTCGCGGCTGCTTGAGGCCTAGAGTCACTGGTGAATATCAATCACCATCGGGTTGGGCACCGACAGACTGCAAAGTACGAGTACGAAGTGGTAGCAGAATAGCAGACTCGCCGCGCTAGTTGCCACTGAGCACTTGGACGAAATGAAGAAAGACATCTGACCGACTAGTTCAAGGAGAAGAGCGAATCTTCACCGGTCTCCTCGCAAGCAACTCCCGCAGGGAAATCCATGCGACGATAATTAAGTGCCTGCTGAGTTAGCGTGGTCACCGTGTAAGAGCTTAGGTCGATGCGTTGTGAAAATCAAAGTGCGCCCCGGTACGTCCTCCGTACATACAGTACCCTCGCTCTGCACCAGTGAGAGAAGAGACAACCCGAAAGGCTTTGCGGGGAAACGGGTCGGGAAATTCCTTCACTTGGTCATCTGATTTTCCGTCCATGCGCACCGGGGGCCTCCATGTGGGACGAATCGTGAAACAACAGCAAAAGCAAGAATAACATCCCTACAGGAATCTGTTCTGCGGGGTGGAGCCAGAGGCAACTTCGCCGGCGAAGGCGAGAAGGGCCCAACGGACCTTTCGGCCAAGGCTGAAAAACCAGCCCTTGGCATGGAGGAGGAATAGTCTCGAACAATCTACGACCAATTAATTTACTGTGCTTGTTTCATTCGATACGATGGTGGTGGTGGTGGTGGTTGTTGTGTTTTTGGGTAAATTTGGGAGGGTCTGTTCTAGACTAGACGTGCCGTCCCAACTTCTCGTCGAGAACAATGATGTGGGTACTTAGTATGGATGTGAGGTGCGGTGAGGTGAATGGGCCCTGAAGATCACATGTGCATGTGCAGGTCAGTCCCTACTGTAGTCCAGCTTCTGGGCTTCCAGCCTCGTCTCATCTCGTCGCTGTCGTTGTCGTGACTCTTGACTCTCCACCTCGCTTGAAAAGTCTGAGGCGTCAGGATGGGGCAATAAAAATGTGGGCACGGCTGAGAGTGAAGTGAGGCTGTGCCTAGAACACTACGGAGGACTATGTACGGAGGACTTGGGATTATGTATATTTTCTTACTGAATTGGTGAACTCGGTCTCTATGTCCGAAGGGAGAACAACCTTGGGCGAGGGCCAAATGACAAATCAAGCCTCCGGGGAATCACAGTCACAGGCCATGCAGGAAAATCCTGGGTCTCTGTCTCATACAGAATGCTGCCTGGCATGAGTGAGTCAAGCGGATGGATGATCAGGAGTCGATATGATTCAGACCACTGGGTTTCACTCTTTGCGGGAGAATTCCACCGAGGACCGAGGCCCGAGGGCTCCGTTTGGATCTACAAACTCCGTCCATACTGGTACTATCCTTCCGTGCACTCGGTCGTGGCCCCCCCGAGCTGCGTCGGGTAGGTACCCAGGGGCCACCCAAGCTCCCGCAGGATGCTACGGTACATATTGTACATGCTGATGGCATGATCAACAACTCCTTGGTACAACTGCACCTTCAATTTTCTTCGAAACGGTGCCCCGAGATCTTCTGATCTTCTGGAGTACGAGGACAGTAGTATTTCATGCAATCAGAAGGCGGCCTGAGAATGACAAC